CTCGTAGCTGGCAAACTGGCATAGCAACGTACATAGGCGGCTTGCATCTCTACCACCTACCAATCCATCGTTACATCATTCGGCACAATTCCTGCAAGGGATATACAACGCAGATTCTCCCGACTCCTGGTTTGCAATGAGTTGCCGAGCTCTGCTGCGATTCCCGGGGGTAGTCTCCTCAATATAGGTTCATATGTTTTTATATTGACCTCCCGTCGCCCGCTACCCGGATTACCCGTTCTGGATCTTTGCTGATCCTTTTGTTTGGCGCCGACTGTTATCACCCCACGTGGAGGGTCGCAATACGATAGGCTTGCTTTGCACTTCCCCAGCTCCAGGTACTTACATACCTAGGTAAGTATAGCATGCTCAGTGCTGCATTACAGCTATGTAGGTAGACAAGTACCTGCTAAGCTAGGTAGGTATGAACTTGTCAAGGTGATTTGAATTTTCCGCATCAGCCATGTAGCGATCTCCCAAGCTAACAGGCCTTCATCTACCTTTTCCTCTCATTGGACGATCGATACTAAGTCAATGCCCGACGACCTCTCCTCCAACAAGCCTCAGTCACGTATACAATTACCTTCGTTAGGTGTGTCGTACGGCAGGGCATGATCGCCCAGGGCTGAATCCGACGGATGGTCTCAGACGGCATGGTATCTTTTGGCGGGTACAACGAACTAACCTTAACAAACTACTAGGTATCCATTGTACCTAAGTAGGCTCTTATCCTAGAAGCGAGGAGATACTCTTTGCTCCCCACAGACGCAACGGCGCTGGCTTAATCACAGATGCCTAAAATGCCTAAGATAGGAAGAAAATTCTTCATACGACCACCGTCTGTGTCTTGTCCAGTTCCAACTTGTTACAAATACATATATTCGGCCAGCCTCGGGCATTCAAGGCTCACTGTGGGGTCTTTTTGACCATATAAACCTGTTGATGGCGACACTGGAAAATTTCTACCCCTGCGAGATAACCTATCGTCGTCGTAACATGACACAGCCCTCTTTGACTCTCGGCCAAACATGTACCAAGCTAAAACCGACCAAGATAAGAATTTTTTCCTCTTCTTCTTGTCTCTGTCTAGTTCCCTGCAATAGTATGCATCTCGTTATGAGGTATGCTCCATCTCGCCGTTCTCCATTCTTCCAGATTCCTGCAGGTACCCTAGACGTGGACACCCCTCTACCATTATCTCAGGTCGAGGCATCCATACCGGGTTGCGCTTAGGAACCAATCAACTTACACGGCCGAGCTTGTGAGCTGGGCCAGGCTAGGGTAGACTCGCAGATGATCTGCTTTAGTCGGTCGGTCACCCGCTAACGTGCGTATTTTATCTATCCGAGAGGCTATCTTCTCAGCTGTCAGATGTTAGGCCGAAATGAGATGGACTACCTACCTAGTACTATGCGGATTCATCTGGGAGGCATAATAATAAGCGATAACCGTCCGCAACGTCTACAACGTTCCGTAACGGAGGAATGAGAGCGTAATCGGAGCCGATCACTGCTGATACGTATCTACTTGCATACGGCCCTTGCTCGTTACACCGCTGATGGCTTGCTACTCCCAGTGCTTGGGAGAGCCTCGCGAGATGGTGTGGACATCCTATAAGCCAACTACATAAGAATATTCACCTGCGATCGAATGTTGTAGTATTTATTCTCGCAGTTTATTGTGGCTTGCTCTCGTTCATCTGACATGTGCAGGACAGCAACATATACCGAGGTATAAGACGAAGAGCGGTCCGGGAATCGGACATGTAAGCATGGTGCTAGATAATGTCGGTTTCATCCTTCCCGCTTCGCAGAAAGATAAGGTGGGAAAATTATCGCCTGCTTGAGGCTCAACGCCGCGTCTCCACCGACCCGTTCATGGAATTCTCGGGGAGAGGCGGGAATGTTGATCTATTTCGATATTTGCCAATCGGAGAATTCTCACAGGGTGCTACGTACGTGTAGTTTGAACGTAGTAGCCTTGTTATTATTTACGGAAACTCACTACACCACAACGTTAGAGCGTTGGGATAATTATTAGTTGTAGTGTGTATGAAGTATGCATACATAACATTATATGCGATATCACTTGTCAGTTGCTTAGCTAACATTCATACTTAGATCGCTTCAAGGTTTCCCCAAACACATATTCCCAAGACCAGGGTTTCGTGATGACCTCATCCGTGACCCTTCTGACGATTTTTCTGTGCTTCTCACCTGTACGGCACGTACATTCACAAGCGCGCGTGTGGGGGCTGCTGGCCAGGCGGGTGGGTGCTTACAGTGCTCATGCAAGCCTTGCAGGTCATAAGAGCGAGCCATGGCTGACGAGCTGAGCAAATTCGTATGTCACAAAATTGTGTGAGAATGGTGATGGATATCGTAAATCAACTTGGTCCCCTCCTCATTGCCCTTTTATTTAAACTGACATGCATACGAAGTAGTTCAATGGTGTCACAATTGTAGAAGTATGTCACGCGAGCTTTCCAATTCCGCTTTGAGCTACGGCGAGGAAAATCAGCATGAAAAATCTCGACATTGTCCACGGGTATTGCACCAGATCTTGGCCAACCCATTCTTTGTAACGACACGATACGGCGTAGTACACTACGAAGTAAACGACACAAACAGACACACGGACTTGGAGCGAAAACGTCAGACAACTCAATGATATACAACTGTAATTTATGAAATAATATTGAAGCTAACTAACAATCCTCTTAAGTTACCCAGGTAGGCTTAGCTATTACGTACAAAACCCTCAACCTTTTTCTATTTCTTTTTCTCCACGTTAACTTTGGACTCATTTTTCATCTCCATATGTACGAAGTAGGTATGGTCTGTGCCCAACGAACAAAACGCTAGGTCCCTTGAAGAAAACTCTGTGTTCTTTTTCCCTTCACCGCCATGACGAAAGACTCTCGGCCATGAACAAATTTTTCTTCTTCTCTGTTTCGTGTGTCGTGTCGTGTCATGTCAAGACAGAACAAGGTGGTAACGGCAACAGAAACAGTACTAGGCAGCGGGTAACGCAAGACTACCTAAGCACACTTTTACACTACCGAAGTTATTCATGCTTTAAAATACTAGGTAGTTAGCCGATCCCCTTCCTAAAAAAGGAATTCTATTAAGAAAAAATTATGCCTAGACAGATGCGCTAGAACGTACGGACGGGATCCGGACCTCTGGGGAGGCACGGAACTACGTGTCCGCGGAAGATGCCGTACTGTGCCCGTGCCGCTTTCTCGCCCTCCCACCAGCACAGTATCTAAGGTTAGGTTAGGTATGGAGGCATGTAAGTCAGGGGGGGGGGGTTGCGAGTGGAGGGGCAAGGCTAGAGGCATGGCAGCATGGTTAGTTACCCAGGGAATGCACCTAGGTTAGTTAAGTTATATTATCCTATTCCCTGGATCGTGGAATATGTTATTAGAGTCTGGACCTTTTTTTTTTCTTTTTTTGTTTCTTTTTCCTTTCTTTTGTGCGCGATGGAACAGAATTCTTCTTTGGCTGTTTTGTCCATCGCCCCATTCTCCCCCCCCCATCTTCTTCACCTTGGGGTTCACCTTAGTTGCCCGAACTTCGTTAGTTGGATTCCTTGCCTACCTAGTTAGTTATCCCCTGAGCGCCATCAGGGGCACGCACTCTCGTCACTAACCCCATCTCCCCCTCTTCCCCCGGTGTTTTTTTTTCCCTTACGACGAAACTCGTAAGGATGGGGAGGGAGGTAGTGTGATAGATGGGGAGGTAAGAGGTAAGGTGGGTTAATAATGTGATATGCTAATTATGCAGGAGGTGTTGAGATGTAACTGTGTGAAGGGGGATTATGATATGATATGATATGGCTAAGGGTAAGGGTAACATATATACTTATACCTGGGTATATATAGATAGGTATGTACACTATGTATATGTGCGTATGTGTGTGTGCCGTTCCGCGGTGCAGATGGCGGTGGCTTCCCGGATATATACATGTCTACCTAACCTAGTAGTATATAGGTAGATGGGTATATATTACTTCTACTTCGAAAGCTGGATGCTTTAGTGCTATTGCTGCTGCTTCTAGTAGGTAAACAGTATCAATGAGTAGGTTAGGTAGGTAGGTACTAGGTAGACACATACCATGACTACTATTATAATATACCTAGGATAGCCACACACACACACACACCTACCGAGGTACGTAATGCTTTACCTAACGTATACCTCGCGTTTGCCGTATACATGTATGTATACATATCTCGGCATCTAAGGGGAAGCATACAGGTAGGTACTGTATCTAGGCATGTAGGGCGGAAGATACTTGCAGTTACCTACCTGGGTGGGTATAGTTTTCCCAGAAGGGGGGGAGGCGGCTTGCTTACCACGCTGCCGATGCTAGATATCTAGGTTTGAAGCTGCTGGGTTCACCTGACCAGTGACTTTCTTGAGTAAGGTAGGTAGGTAGGTAGGTAGGTAGTCCTTTACCCAGCATTCCTCTCCATTAAAGAGGAAAATCAGGACAGAAAGGGGGGGGGGGGGGGGGGGGGGGGGGGTATTCGACGATGAGCTGGGAACTGCGTACACGTGAGCCAGAACACGTCGTCGACTATACCTACATCCCGCAGGTGAAAAGATGGGAGGAATAAGGACCTCAGGCGTCGGGGTTGCCATAAAGATGTCAAGGTATCTAGGATTTTGCTCCTCGCCACTCACCTGCCTACCTTACCTATGTCTAGCTCTTCCTCATCGTTATATCCCTCTGTGAGTTGGCATTATTGATCCTCGGGTACCTAGGTTTACAGCACCCCCCTTACCCCCTCTACGGCCGGGAAGAAGAGATCGTGGATGATAGGTAGTTAGTATCGCAGATATGAAGGAAATGCAGCTTTCTCATGCCTAGCTAGGTATGTACGATCTGGTCTCATGTCTACCTATGCTACTATTTAGGTACGGGCCCCCCTTTAGACTACACACCTAGGCAGCCGTCATAAAGGACGATTAGCACGATGATGAGATGTTAGCTTCCTGGTAATAGTGTTCACATTATGGAAGGCCTGTTATATGCATCAGAGCACCGCGGATATACGTACATGGCTGCCCTAAGCATTAGTATATCCATCCTCTAAAGTGCCTAGGCAGGTAGAACGATAAGCCCTGAAAAAGCTCTCATAGGATACGCAGACATCTAGGCATACAGTAGTAATGTACTGCGGGTGGCAAGAAATTGAGCTCAAAAAGAGGCCATCTTTCAATAAAGGGGTAAAGTCTAATGCACCTCCCTTAACTTTCGCCAGACCCCCAGTCTTATGTAGCTCGAGAAAGCTTACATGCACTTAGGATGTACAATATTGTATGCGCTACTCAATATGCTTTCACATTAGGATATAGTCCGCGTCATTGACTCTATGAGGGACTACCATGTACATTAGTATGCAGGAAGAGTCTGGAGCTTACAAAACGACGTGTCCAAGTCTAGTCTGATCCTTTTATCCCTCCCATGTCCTCTCCCATGTCCTCTCCCTTTTCCATCTCAAGTATCTCACTTTTATCTTTCTGGACATGCGTCAAATAATCTCTTAGGGCTGACATCGCTTCCGAGATCGTCTCTTTTCGAAAAATCTTCGCGATTTTAGTCTGGGAAATTTGAGGGAGTAGGAATAGGCTGGGCGGAGAGCGTTGTGAAATGAGGTCGGCTGACTTCACTATTGACTCTATATCGAGCTGGCAGTCGCCCTCGTACTGACCGCTGGCATTTGCAAAATCAGATGCCTGTGCCACCTCCAGTAGGCGGCTATTGGCTTCAATTGCTTCTCTGATGGCATTAGCGAACACTTTGGCTTTAACATATTCTCTATTCTTTGCGTCGGCGGCTTTTTGTTTAACATTCCACGGTTTACTCTTCTGTCGCCTGACGACGCCCCGATTATCCGGGCGCGCACGCCAAACGTACCACATTGTTCGAAAGGCTCCTACATGGGCCAGGCAAGTGATATATTCTTTAGGAACATGGATCCTATTATGGAGATGCGAAGGATCCCGAGTTTTTGAATCGTTCAGCGATGGCCGTGACGTCTCCTCCCATGGTTCTCGGCCTGTCAGGAGGCTATATACTGCTAATAGTTGGGGGGTGGCGTGTGCTGCCATACGAGATGAAATGGCGGGTTTCCCAGACTGCCATATCGTCACCAAAATCCGGAGAGCTTCCTTTATTTGTACATCATCCAAAGCATGTCCTTTATCATGAATTATGTTCAGGTATTTTCTGGCGGGAATGAAGGCTTGGGACAAAAGCGAGGTTTTGAAGGCACGCCACAGCAATAAGAACGTAATGGGCAAGTCTTGCGATTCTAAACTCAAGATCAAGTTGTGGAGAAATGGTAGCATCTCTGCTGGTGGCGTGGTGTGTTCCATCTTGGAGAGCACAAATAAAAGGGCGTCGTTGTAAAGGGAGACAATCTGACAGCCTCGTGGGGTTTGAAGCATATTTGTGACGAGCCTCTCGAACGTAACGAAGCTGTGACATCTATGAAGGGCCTCTGGAAACAACTCGGCGTCTTCCAAACTAGGCCGTCGACGATGTGCCAACTGTTGGGAGCGCAACATGTAGGTGACGGTCTTGGAGGTACTATTCCATACGTGATCTGGGATTCCATTATTCTCGAGCATGATTTGCACCAAACGAGAAGCGCGAGGAGTTCGAAGGGGGTGAATGTCATTTAAGGTGTGCGAATCAGAACCTGGACTTGTGTCTGGGTTTATTCTCGCGGAGGGGGAATTGGCTAATACGACGGAGAGAATATCATGGTCGGAAATTCGCCATGCGCTGAACTTGTCGGTCTGAACGGATCTCGACTTCGCTTCATATTCTTTCGATTGTCTCTCGAAGATGGCAACACGCCTCACTTTTGACCTAGACTCTATTGTGTGCTGAGCCCAGGCAGACCTAGGCACACCATCTATCTCCTCATTATATGGGCGCACGTAGGCACTATCTTCAGCCTCAAGGTCCAGAATTAGTTCAGACACATTGTAGGTGAGATATTTTTTCCGCAATGGAGCATCTTCAGGTCGGTACTTGGGCCAGGGAGGGGTTATAACATTGTGTTTGGATCTAATTTGATTAGGTAGGTTGCATGTGGACGACGATATTGTTAATATTTTGAGTCGCAGGCACGAGTCGCCCAGCCGCTGCATATCGAAAGTCAGGACTAAACTGAGAAGGAGATAACATTGTAGATGACTCTATATTTGTCAAAAAGAATAGACAGATTATCGTGACATACTTCATTCAATATCGTTGAAGGGATGAATATTGAGATGAAGATGAAATATTGAGGAAGAGGAGGAAGAGGAGGAGGGGCCAATGAGGGAACAAACACCCAGGGCAGGTAGGTACATTTGGCATTTTGGAATATGTATTATATGACAATACATGTACCTTCCCTCCCTTCCTCCCTTCTCTGATTCAAATAACTGCCCATGTGTTCCTTTCCGTTTACATGTAACACTGCATTCAACTTACCCCAGGTACTATAGTACATATGTCTCCTGGGCTAGGTACTATGTAGTATGTATGTACAGGGTAAGTTAGGTACAAGATGTGCTAGTAACGGTTAGCTAACGGGTACCCTGGATCCGCGTCTGCTCCCCAGAATCTGGGGTAACTAGCTGCAAATTAGCAAAGCTCCAGGCCTTTAAACTTTAAAGCTATTGGTTAACTAAATTGGATGTAATAATTGATTTTGGTACTAACCTACCTAGGGTAAGATAGATCGGGCTTTAGATAGTCCGATGCATGTACAGTGCAATCGGAGTATGCATTTTATGCATTTCGTAGTGATAAATTGATAACAGGTTTGATAAGAGGCTCAAGATTGCCAGCTGCATCACCAAAGTCGACTTGTTAATCTTGCAACCATTTGTTTCAACCAAAACAACCCAACCAAGCAAGCACTATTTACCCCCCAAACCAACCGGTCTTATATCGAGAAAGGAAAAATTACATTACCCTTCACATCAATTAAAAGATTTTAACGACAATGCCTCCTGCAAAAAAAAGAAAGACGCGCTCGGCCACCAAAGCCATGGCTGCCGCCCAAAACGATCCTCCAGCCTCAACAGAGATAAACGAGCAACCCCCTGTCAAGGAAGACGTGGAGATGTCTATTCCAGAGCCAATACAGGAAAAGGAACTAGAGCAGGAGAAGGAACCAGAACAGGAAAGGGAACAAGAACAGGAGAAAGAGCAGGAACAAGAGAAGGAGCCGGAACAGGAACAGGATCTAGAACAGGAAAAGCAACCAGTACAGGAGAAGGAACAGGAACAAGAAGTAGAGAAACCTGACTTGCCAACACTGGCAAACGAGATGGAAACAGAGACAGAAGCAGCAACAACAGCAGAAACACCCGTAGCAGAATCTAGTTCAGCAGCAGGCGCTGCCGAAAAGGCAAAGGACCGAATGGCCCGTTTCAGGGCCCTACAAGCCCGCGCCAAAACATCATCCGACCAGAACCTCAAAGAAGCGACCAAGGAATCCCAACGGCTAGCCACCGACCCGACCGCCCTCGTCTCGCTCAACCGCCGGCGCGACATCGCCACGCACAAGCTCCTCAAAGCCGAGACCGAGGAGGCAGGCGAGGACTTCGAACGCAAGCGCGCCTGGGACTGGACGGCGGAGGAGAGCGAGCGCTGGGACCGACGCGTGCGGAAGAAGGCGGCCCACCGCGACAACAACGCCTTCCAGGACTACCGGCAGGAGAGCAACAAGGTGTACAAGCGCCAGCTGCGCGACATCAACCCGGACCTGGACCGGTACAACAAGGACAAGATGGCGGCCATCGAGCGCGCCGCCGCCTCGGGCGGCCTCGACATCATCGAGACCGAGGACGGCGAGCTCATCGCCGTCGACAAGGACGGCAGCTTCTACTCCACGGCCGACTCGACCGCCTTCGTCGAGAACAAGCCCGACAAGGCCGCCGTCGACCGCCTGGTCAGCGACCTGCAGAAGGCGGAGGAGGCCAGGCTGCGCAAGCGGCGGGAGAGGATGGCGCAGAACGGCGACGAGGGCGACGTCACGTACATCAACGAGAAGAACAAGCAGTTCAACCAGAAGCTGTCGAGGTTCTACAACAAGTACACGGCAGAGATCAGGGATAGCTTCGAGCGCGGAACCATGATTTAAGGAGTTGGAGAAGAACGAGGAGTAAGAAGGATAGGGGTAGAACGGCATGCACTGAAGAAAAAACAGCATGAAGAACCTTGGTTTGTGGCGGAGAGAGATTCATACAGATGCATAAACTAAGTAGGGGCGTTTTTAGGGCAGGCTATGGTACAAGTCTATAAGTAGGGTCCTTTTAATACATTTTAGTCATACCTAAGTAGATCGATCGATCATCAACTTAAGCCATAACATAAGATCCTTTTTTCTTTCTTTCTTTTTCTTTCAGAGCAGATTTTTCCTCCACGACTTGTTCGCCAGCTCCTCAATCTCCGGCACCTCGACCGGCCCCCTGACCTCGGCGTCCTGCAGCGCCTCGACCACCGCCTCCGCCACCGTGTCCGCCGGCAGCGGCCTCACCCCCGCGGCGCCCATGACGCCGCCAAACGTGTTCCGCGTGAGGGTGTTGAAGAAGGCGCCGACCCCCGTCAAAGCGGCCATGGGCAAGGTGATCAGCCGCGAGGCGTCGTACATGAAGGGCGGGCGGAAGAAGAGGCTGCGCATGCGCGGGAACTCGCTCGCGATGGCGCTCTCGGCCTCGCGCTTCGTGCTGATGTACCGTGCGGGCAACACGGGGGCGCCCCCGGCGGCGGAGAGGAAGACGAAGGCCTGGGCGTTGGCGCTCGCGGCTTCTTTTGCGAGCATGATGGCGCTGTCGCGGTTCATGTTCTCGTACGTGAGCTGGTCACGCGTCTCGGGGGGGCGGATGTCCTGGTTCGTGCCCGCCGGCACGCTGCGCTCGAGGGGGTTGCCGGGTTGGGGGGCGCAGGTGAAGGCTTTGCGGAGGCCCGCGACGGGGGACTCGCGGCCTTGGAGGACGCCCTTGTAGTCGGCTTCGAGCAGGATGCCCATGCTGTGCACGACGTAGTCGGCGTTCTGCAGGAAGGAGACGTAGGTTGCGGGACGCAGCACGTCGGCTTGCTTCCAGGAGACCTTGCGGGCCCACTGCGGTGCCTTGTCGGAGGAGGTGACGGTGCTCCATTTGGGTTCACCGGAACGGCTTGAGGGGGGTTAGCTGAGATGGGATCTTATATATATATATTATGTATGTTTGTTTGTTTGCTTTCGTCCTTCCATTGGTAAGAAGAAGAATTGTTGAATGTAGGTAGGTGAACTTGCCTACATAGGTATAGTAGTAGATGTACCTTACCTTACAGAAGTGACTTCCCATCCCCTAGCAACAGCAAACTTGCATATCCTAGACCCAATAAACCCACTGCCGCCGCATACTGTTAATCTCTTAACCGACATCTTTCGGAACGGAGCTAAGGTTGTGGATGGTTTATAAGAGTAAGCCTGAATATTAAGTCCAGCTAGAGAGCTTGAGGTATGGTGTGTTGCTCTTATATCAATGTATCTAGGCAGCAGCTGTTAAAATGTCACATTAATGTATGTATGTATGTATGTATGTGTAAAGCGGGATGTGTGACTGACGCAGTCATCGACATCATCCATCACTATATCAAGCTTACAAGTTGTACATAATATGTATAAATTGTACCTGCTTAGGCTACTTGGGTTATTTTAAAAGCAAGGGAACTGTTCTTCTCATTCTGATTGGGTATTAAGCTCTTTTAGCCCGCTTGTTTCATTTTCATAGTCCACAAAATGCATGTAAGATGATTAACTATCAGGAGACTGCTCAATGTTGCACAAAGCTGAGATAAGGCTGAAGGCTTATCGATAAAGCAGATACATAAAAAGTTCCCATGACGCTAAAGGGAACTCAGATAGCTTTAACCTTTAGAACAAACACTACATCAATAGCTAACACTTAACTTACACTTAACTTACACTGCCGTCTATAACATTGAAGTTGAAAAACTTGAAAGTTAATTGCATATCCTTTGACATTATATACCTGCCGACCTACGCGACTAATTCAATCACGTCCATACTTTTCTCGAAATACCATTGTTACAACCTGTACTTCCATCATTCTGTGACGAAGCTACACATTGGTATTTACTAGGTACTTTCCGCAATTGGATCTAGCACACCTTCTGAAGACGCTACTATCGCGACAACCCAATCCAATCATGGCGCCGCCTGCGGGAAAGCGTGTGAAAGGTGTCCAAATCTACCGACCATTCATCTATGGTACCACTGCCCGACCTTTCAACGACACCGACAATATTCGACCTCCAACTGTCCCCGCCGACCATACCCACTCTTGGCAGGTATTCGTCAAAGGTGTAGATAACACCGACATCTTCTACTGGCTGCGCCGAGTCCAATTCAAGCTCCACGAGTCCATTCCGAATCACTTGCGTACCCTTGATGCCGAGACAATTATCAAGGAGAACGAAAGCAAGCCACCAGCCCAGAGACAAAAGGGCTTCGTTGTCAATGAGACAGGATGGGGTGAGTTTGAGATTACCATAAGACTATACTACGACAGTCGCAGCAGCGAGAAACCACAGACCCTATACCATCATCTACGTCTACATCCCTATGGCCGAACAGAAGCCGAGAAGGAGGCCATGCGCAATGGAGGCGAAATTGTGGCCTGGGTCTACGAGGAGCAGCTGTTCAACGAACCCTTTGAGGACTTCTACAAAGTCTTGACCACCGGCGCACGCGACAAGAACGCTTCGTCCGGTAGCAAGGGCAAAGGGAAGGGCAAGAATGCGCAGCCACCTGCAGACGGCGGCAGCGGCGAAGTCAAGGAGCGCAGCGCCATGATCCCCCTCACGAACCGCCCGGGCCAACCCTTCAGCCGAGAGACCGAGCAGCTTGAGATGAAGCGGCTAAAGGACGCCGAGGAGAAAGTACACCAGATGATTCTAGAGATGACGAAGACAGTCAAAGCCAAGGAGGCTGAACTAGCAGCGCTGAAGAAGGCCTCGGGCGTGTAGGGCACAAAACGAGGCCGTCCAGCAGCTTCCTCCAAGGCCGTCGCCGTTAAGAAAGAAGACGATGTTAAGAAAGAAGATGACGACGACGACGACGATGATGATGATGACGACGACGGTGATGCCCACCAACCCAGCAAGGTCAAGGGCAGGCACAGTGAGTGCAATGCCAAGTCTAGCCGTGGCATCAAGAAAAATGACCCCAAGAAAAGAAAGCAGGGCCGGCCACGAGGCTCCACCAAAGCCACCGCGACGAAACGAGCAAAAACGACGAGGACGCGCAAAGTGAAGGTGAAGTCGGAGGAGTAGTTCTCCGAGAAGCTCGCAACGGGGTCGTCTTATATGGTACTGGCAAGCATGTCTTAGGTGCTAGAAGGCGGTACTACTAATGACCGATGGATCCGGACGTTTTCACCGGGGGCTGGCCGATACGTTCTAATTGGGGTTTAAAGAGGACTTTGGTAACTGGAAAGGAGATGATAAGGTACGGGGATACCCTAGGTACCTACATACATATCCTGTGCTACAGTTGCTTGTACAGCAATACATACATAGGCCTTCGAAGAAAGATTAATAGGGGTTGGGCTCTGCTGGAGGTATTCTGCAGCAGTCAGTTGGCTCTACAGACGGGAGTGCTGTATACCTATCTAAGAGATATCTCTAGGCTGGCTCTTCATGTCAAAGGTGTTCATAATATGAGGGAGGACAGAGGGATTACCTATTGTTTACGAGACAGAACCCGATATGAGAACTCGGTCGATGGCACTAATACATATGTAATTAATGACACCGATGAGGTTATCAACGCTCTAAGGCTGATCCTTGTGAATATCTACGTCCCTACCTACTTACCTAGGTCATAAACACATACCCCTTTGCTTTCCCCCTTTTCCATTCTTACCCAGATATCAAATATACCCTGTGTATATATCCCTACTAACGATAGCTGCCCCAATATTCATGTTGAGATGGATACTCCATATCACTAACTGATACCTATCAACAGCTCAACAGCCGACACAGGACGTACTTTTACCTACCTACCTACCTATCTACCTACCTAAGCATTTCCCTAGACATCCATCCGATGTTTGAGAGAGAAAATTCCCTATGCATAGGTAGTATGTAACTTTAACTTTATCAAACTAGAGTTGTAAGCTTTGATTGAAGCTTAAGGTATAGGGAGGGGTTTACATAGGCTCTAGGTATTACATACCTAACATGCAGCATTAATGCTTCAATGTTACTGATATAAAGGGGGTGAAGTATGTATTTCTTATACACACACATACTTATGTACCGACCCCTTTTATATATGTTACATGTAGTATGTAGCATGTAGCATATAACATGTAAAGGATGCATACACACCTACCTACCTACCTACCTACCTACATACCCCGGTAGGCAAGCCGCGCGGCTCTTCGATATACTATACTATACCTACATACATATTTTCTCGCCTTACTTTACTTTACTTTACTTTACTTACCTAGGTATTGAGAAGTCGTATTACATATGTACCTCTCCACCCACTCACTCACCACTTACACAGGTACAGTACCTAGTTACCTACTCAGTACTCGGTATTCACCATCGCCACCCGACTAGCCAGCCAACCAGCCAGCCAACAACAACAACCCCCCCAAAAATCCAACCCACATATAATTACCTAACCTGACCTACCTACCTATATAACAATAGTGTATTGCATACCTAGGTTAGGTAATAGTAAGTGTCACAAGAAGCCCGCTGGCCTATACCTCCATCCCCCACATTATCACGAGCGTCTAAGTGCCTGCCTACCTACCTACCTACCCTACCTACCTACATATACTAGTGTATAGACTTGTCTTGTCGCGGACGTCCACAGGCGACATGCCACGTCATTGCGGCCACCTCCCTAGCCTTAACTACTTCGTAACTACCTCTTCGCCCCCTCTTTCTCTTTCTCTTTCTCTTTCTCTCTCTCGCACATACAGACCTACTACACACACACACAGAGAGAGAGAGAGAGAAACCAAAGAAGTATAGTATAGTAGTTATAGGGAGGGTGAGATAAGCACCAATCACCAATCACCACCACACCCGACACTCAACGCCCAAACTTCATCATATTCATCATCGTATCCAATTTTTTATACAAGGTACCTAAGTACCTATATATTTATATTTATATAGTTATTCAGATCGGAGTGTTCCTCTCAAGAGGACACCTGCCTCGAGTGATTTTTTGTTGTATCTTTCTCTTTTCTCTCTTTTCAAGAGAACAGCGAAGTTTGTATCGGGATAAAGTAATGCCCTTATCCTCTACCCATACCCTTCCCTACCTATCTACCCAGACATGCCAACCATGATGCTATGTCTGCCTGCCTGCCTGCCTAGTAAGCTAGCCAGATACCTAATCTACTAGCTTAGCTTGGCTTAGGTACAGGTACATAGGTAAGGTATGTATGTATAGACAGGTGAATAGCCCTACCCAGACCCCCCCTTTCCATGAATCCATCCCTCCAATCCATCCAATGCCTATGCTCCTTTTGCCGCCCTTTTCTGTGCGTGTGTGTGTATGAAACTACATATTCAAATTCTTTCTTCTCTTCCTCTTCTTCGTTGGCCCTTCTAGGACGGAAGGGAAGTAAAGCCTGTCTCGTGAACAAAAGAAAACCCCTCGATGAGGGCATGAACGTGAATGCATCGCAATGCTTTTCTTTCAAAAGTCGAGTCATAAGCTTTTCTTGCTTGCTCGCTCGCTCTCATGCTGGCTCTGCTCTCTTTTGTGTCCGAGACTTGAAGGATAAAACAGAAAAGGGACCGTGTAAAAAGGAAAAAAAAAAGCAATCCGTCTTGGGAACAAAAATCATAAACAATGCCACCTCTTCTTTTTCTAGTCCGGTACGCCTAAAACACCTCTGCTGTAGACCACCGTCTCAAATAGACATTACCTACTAAAGGTAGACAGACATTGGGGGATATCTTCACCGCCAATTTCCACCCCACCCCCACAACAACCCTTGTCGTAACGCCATGTCCCATATTTACAGTCTAGCTGTATAGACAAACGGAAATCTTGGAAATGATCGATCCTGCTGTAATGTCGTGCATTCTATTATGTCGCTTCGTAAGCCGGGGGCGGGGTGTCGTCACGCTCCGCCCAGAAATTCTCATTTCGTTGTTTCTCGTCGTAAACCCGACGAGCAATTTCACCAGCCATCTTCATAATCCAAGCCTGTTCAAGGATTACGGATGAGGTGTCAGACCCATTGGGCCGATGCCGCTCAAGATTAAACTGTAGTTTAGGAATAGGAATAGTGGCTCCTAAAGGCTTCTCTTGCTGGACCTTTGGGACCTGCGCATCACCCTGTACCACTACCGACTCCATAGGGTTGACCTCTGGGCTGGCTGGACCTTGATACAAATCCATATTCATAGGAGACCGAGATGGTGCATCCTTATCCAACCCGAACCGAAGCGTACCAGAAAAAGGCACATCATCTATCAAATCGTCTTCGGGATCCTCCGATATCGAAGGGGGTAATATTGGCTCCGAAAAGGGGCCAGCAATGGAAGTAGTATCCGACGACATAGTCTCACTAACGTCGCTGCTTGCCTCGCTTCCGGTTTTTGTGCGCCGTAGGTTAACCACCCGTGTCTTCTTTTTGCGGGAACCTCTGGAATGCCTACTGGCACCAAGGGCTAAGCCGGTCGTGGCTGTGTGAAGACTCGTTAACGATGGCCGAGACGGTAGACTGCCCTGGTCTAAGCTGCTTGCATCGGTGAAAGTATACGTGTTGCTGGCCCCTTGTACAGAATGTGTGCGCATTAGGCTGGGTGTCATGATCGGCGTAGAGTAGCCGGTATCATTGCGGTCCATTGATCCAGCCCAAGCTCTAAATAACACATCACGAATCCCGGGAGTGAACAGTGATAATGTCCGCTGGGAATCATTCAGTGCTGCTAATTTCAATAGGTTCTTTTGCGAAAATAGAGACTGCAATTCCGAGCCACCATGCAAGGACAATGACGCAATCTCATTCGCATCGAGCACATGGCCATTCGAATCAACCGCTTCTGGGGGTGGGTTGGCGAAGGGGTCAACAACAGCCTCATCTTCCGGACTTTCTTTCGACATTTCTTCTCGAGGCAATTGGTCAGGGCACCAGAGTCGTAGCGACAGTTTGTGGATTATAGCCGGCAGCTCATCCATCATCAAGTTTCGCAATTGCCCTTCAATCGTTCTCTGAAGGTAGTCTCGAACGAATTGGATCGAGTCAAAGGTCGAAGAGACCTTGAGGGATTCGAGCGGATCATTTCGGAATACCAAAGTAAGACCTTTTTGCTTCGAGAAGACTAAGATAATGAAAGCGGACAACTTGATCTCCGATAAGGTAATGGATAGAGGTATCGTGAGACTTGCTGCCGCCGCTAAGGGTTGTGGTGATGTGAAAGTTGGCTTGGCAGACAGGTATGTGTTCAGGGGATTTGCCTATGATTGCGACATTAGCGATCTTATGATGCACAAACCTCGGCTTAAAGTTGGGGAAAGCGAGAAATCATCGTCGGGAGATAAAGACGCGAACCCCTGTGGTAGTAATTACACGATTCATGCAAAAGCTCCACAAACGCGTAAAACTTTTGAAGTAGCATGAATTTCCGCGTAGGCCCATACAAAAAAGAAAAGAAAAGAAAAGGGGGTTAGAAAAGTGCTTGAGAGAGCTATTGTAGCTGTTGTGGCTGTTGATTGCGCTGACAATTTTGAGACAAAGAGCTTCATGTGTGACCCCGCGAGCACTTGCCCCAATTAAAATAACAATGACGATGATGTCGATAAATATATAGTATGTGAAGCTCTTGACCGATCGACAGCGTACCACCTTGACAGGGCTTCTTGGTACAGGATCGTGAAATAGGTATAGGAAAACCCCATAGCAGTGGGGATTCGGTCATGGACAGCCTCCGTTCTAAGATGTAGCTGGGCCGAGGAACCCGCAGAACATCCTAGGAGAAAAAAAGCAAAGAGAAAAAAAAAATTCTAGCACCTACTTGTACTCGGGTCCGCAGTGTTAAGAATGCATCACCTGAATAACACATTTTAAAGATTCCGCGAAATCTGTCCTCGGCCAAATCTCCAATCTCCAAGATTTCCAGCTCGGGAGGCACGGAGCCAAGGTTGAGTTCGGTGACGAGGATATCATCGACGATTATAGGAGGTTTCGGGGACTTGTTTAATGCGTTGGTAAGAAGCTCCTGCGCTCTTCTATAGAAGTCGGCGTCGGCCGTAAGCGGCGACCAGTTGAAGTTGAAAGCCATGTCGAGTGAAGCATTTGATATGATTTGATTTGATAGGTATGGTTATATTCGCATTCGCATCGTATAGTTGGGTGTAGTGGTGGCAGTGGTGATAGTGGTGGTGTTTGGCGATAACAGTTAGGTAGGAGAGGAGGGGCTGCTTTGGCTTTGCTGTATTGAGATAGAATACAACTAAAATAATAATGTAAGTCGGTGTGCCGGGTTCGAGGTGGCGGGCAACCGGGGAATTTGACTAGATCGAACCACAAATTATCCCACGAAGCAGTGGCTGATCGTGTGCGGTGAAGTTGAACGAGTGGTAAACGATAGGTAGAAAGGTATCGTATGATACGTAAGTAGAGTGGTAGAGTGGATAGGAAAAAGGGTCGTGTACGAAAGTATAAGGGACTAATATTTGATAAGGAAAGGGATCAAAGGATTTGTGCAGGGCATGACGCTATCGCTGCACTCCGAAGCAAGCTTTTATGAATGAGGAAAGGAATCGAACGAATCGTGAGAGGTCGAGGTCGCGCCAGAACGTGCATAGATAATTTAAACAGTAAAACAGCAAAACAGTTTTTTACTTCAATTTCTCTTTTTTCTTCTCTTTCCTTTTTCTTTCCTTTTTCTTTCCTTTTAGTGCATAAGGGGATCTGGGGAGCTTACCTGGTTGGCTAAGGAGATATTTTACAATGGAGACTTGCGGAGAAAAACGCGCTTTCTGGGAAGCGGGTTATGCTCTATCGGCCTTGCTAGTGCGGTCTTGGCAAGCCCCCAAGCTAGGGTTAATACTACACTACGGTCACTACCACTACACATAGTAGAGCATGTGGTCTGTGCATGGCTCGACTGACGTTGACGGCTGACATCCAAACAAGCTTGGCCTGCCAGACGGGGTTTTAAGGGGACCACTTTCAAGGGGACCACCCGCAAAAAAAAAGAAAAAAAAAAAGAAGCGAAAACGGCCGGATTCGTTAGCCCGGCCCGCCACTGCAAATCTTGTTGGACTTCACCCTACCCAGACACTCGTCAGGGCCGACCAGTTATGTAGAAACTCTGAACTTCCAAGGTTTAACTTATTGGAAAGAGGCACGCGAGCTTTTCCCTCTTTTTTTATTCATCGAGATAACATTGAATAGGGAACAAGCCTGGAGTTTAGAAGTGGTCCCGGTCCCCTCAATGATCTCAACTGCATTAGTTAGTGTGTAAGTGCCAAAGTTGTATCGTACATATTACTAGGTAAATATGGATAGATGTATTGTATGTACGTATTAATTCATTAAAAACCCAGCCAAGCAACCTCGGGCTCAAAGATGATGCCGGCTTCTTGTCTTAACCTTTAAGCCCTAACCGATCGGCTTCCCCGGTTATTTTTTCCATCCAGCCGGGACGAGACAACTCTTCTTATTTTCTGGGTTGTGATCCTTACATACCCAAGGTATGTTACTTACATACAACATCTAAGGTTGGTATGTACGGCGTAGTTTAACAGTAGTTATGCATGTCATGTATTCTACTCCCTTCTTCATGATTCAAACTTCTCACCGCCAGATCTGTGTATTGTATTGTATATACATACACACCTACATACATGGCAAAGTGATTACTCAGGTAGATGAATCAGATATATGTATAAAAATCATATATAAGAGGAAGCAAGGGTTGCTTCCAATATCTATTTCAAGCGGTCATATATCCCATCTGGGATTCAATCTTCTTTAGAAACAACATTAAACCCTACACACGGAAAGAAAAGAGTATATGCCTACAACTTGGTACATATAATCTTTATTCCCGAGTATACAATATACCAGACCTTCATTATTTGTCTTAAACAATGTTTATGGATTCGATCTACTTTTTTTTTTTTTTCTCAATCAATATTCGAATTCGCATGAATGCCTAGTATTTGTGTGCGTGCGGTGTGCGTGTATGTGTGTCGATATCCGTGCCTGTGGTTTCTCTCCATCAGCCACATGAACATCGATCGGGAATTCCTACCTACTTACCCATGACCAATACCGACATACCTAATTACCTACATAATAATGGATCTAGGCACGAAAGCCTTGACGCATGAAAATCTCCCGAAAATTTTTGCAAGCGTGCATACCTACTACCCAAGTACCGGTGGACTCTCGATTCTAGCTTCGTATAGGTACCTGCCTATCACGAAAACTGACAAGCCTCAAACAGCACGTTCTCGTTTCGAGATGAGTGATTCATCAAAAATAGAAGTCGATAAATTGACAAGTACTACGTCCTAGGCGTATCTACCTTAGGTAGGAATGAAGGAAAAAAATATAAAACAAGGACAAAAGAAAAGTGTTGGTTATAAAATCAAAAGCCAACCCTTCCCCCCGTTACCCCCAAAGGATTACCATTTGCCTTCCTTTTCTCTCACTCCCTGTTCCAGTTCCTAAATTCTGAAACATATTTCCATGTGTGTAAGACAAACATACTCCCCGAAAAAAAAAAACAATTGATAGACACCCTTGCCGACTATGGCCTCGCGACCAGACCTTTCTATAGGTAATTCTTGTGTGTAACGAAAGCGTGCCACCCACCCAACCAGATGATCCCCCAACCACACCCCCCCTTTTTTACCCCGGTATGATTACTCGTAGCGTTAAGATCATCTTCTCATAAATGTAAGACATGAATGACATAGGAAAAACCACAACTCTTCCCCGGAACATATGCAGCATTTACTTCAGTAGCCTCTGGCTACTTTTGACGCTTCAGCCGGCTGCGAAACGCCAGAGGGACCTCGAGGCCCCTTGCTAGGCAGTACTCAAGTCTTAACACGCATGCCGTCTCGAGTGGCGGGGTCGTGTTCTCTTCGCCATGGTACCAGCCCTCATTAACGAGATCATTATGTCTCTTCTGCCAATATGATTGTTTCTCGCGCCAATTCTTCTTGTCCACGTCGGCGAGTTTGATGATTACGGGTGCATTGCGGTCCATCGGCATGCGCACGAAGCACGAACAGTCGCGTAACGTCATCGATAACCCGAACCGCGAATCCGAGGGTCGTGTAAAAAGGGCGTCCCCGGAGTCACCCTCCGCCTGCAGATCTCGGAGCCTCTCGAGAACTCCACTTTCTTTGAGGGCGTCGGCGAGCCGCTCTCGATCCCGCTCGGACCACTTAGGTGCGATTCGATCGATAGTGCTCAGCACTACGGCGCGGTTTTCGTGGATGAGGCCCAGGGGGCACACGGGTGTCGATACTTTGCCGCCTTTTTTTATTCTCGCCTTGCTGTTGCGAAGGGCCTCTCTAGCGCAGGTCCGACAGCGCGTTGCGTTCTTAGGAGCCATAGGAGACTGAGCCAGCCACTTGGGTTTAAATTCGAGGGCCATGTAGCCCGGCGATGGGCCCATATCCTCAACTAACATGGCATAGCCAGGAAGGATGGTGCTTAGATCACCTTTTATACCCTTAGCCCGAAGAGCGCTATCACGCTTGGCATTGAGGGCGGTTGCTACAGTTTGGGTAATTCTGACTAGGACTTGAGGTACGATGTGCTCGCGACCGACATGGACGTCAACGAACTTCTCTTGAAAGTCCTGAAGGGTCTCGTAGTCGCATGGCGTGACATCAGGCGTTGCTTTAGGTACGCGCAGTAGGGTCCCTCGGAAAAAGCCCACGGGAATTGCCGGGTGGTTCGGCTCCTTGATACTGAAGACAGCGTTGGCGCGGCCTTCGGCAAGATGAGTGAAATGAGATCGATGAAGGATATAGCTCATTTCATATAACTCTTTAGCTGTGAGGGCGGGTCGGATATGCTCAACGCCTAACCCCGCGGGGAGCGGTTTGGAGAGCTCACTCCAGATATCTAGAAGAGGTCTCATGGTAATTATCCCTTTATTCTCCGATTCCTTGGTTCCTTGATTCCTTGCCGAAACAGAAAAGATAAGAATTGTAAAGGGGGAAGAGAGGAAGCTTGCAGATTAAATAGAAGAATTAGGTCAAAGAGGAAGAGACATCAAGGCAAGAAGAGAGATGAGATGAATATATGGTGAGTGAGAGATTACAAGAGCGGGCAGCTCTTAGCTATTGCCTTTGTCTATCATGTACTGTTGTTCTACTACCACTCACTACCACTCACTACTGCTGCCGCTGCTACTGGGTACTAGGTTGTAGATAGTAGTCAGTGGGTAGTAAGGTAGTAGGTGGTAAGTAGTATGGTAGTACAGACTGTACAGACTGTACAGACTGTACAGTATATAAACGTAGCACTTGAGGTAGCACAGCTGAAAACCTGAAAACCTAAAAGATGAGAAATAATTAACTCTGCAAATAAGAATTAAGGCTCAGCTCGGGAGAGGAGAGCACTGATAGATAGCGACAATGGCAATGACAATGACAATGGCAATAATGAGAACCTCTCACTCACACTCACTTACTCCTCCCCCCCTAAAAATTAAAAAAAAGGTATGTTACTCTAAACGAGTGGACGTATCAATGGGAATGAAACATTAGGTGATAGATAGGGAAGGAAGCACAATATTCGATATTGAATTATACGAATAACAAAGTAAGAATGAACCCCAGATATTATTTATGATACGAATGATATGAATGTACGAATGCAAAGAGAAAAAAGGAACTATAAAAAAATGAAAAGGGCCAGACCCTTCCGTCTCCAATCGAACGGCATGAGAAAGTATGTACTATAGTACTAGGTAAGTAACTTGGAAAAAAGGCGAAAAACGAATGGAGAGAGTGGATTGCATTTATGACGTTTGAAACATTTAAACTCAACTGCCGCCGGGGGGTTCTTGGGGTTCTTTGGGTTCTTTGGGTCAATTCTTTTTTTAAAAATAAAAAAAAAGTTCAACCTAAAAAGTGCGGCTGCGCGCAGGCCGACCTTTGCATCAATTCGTTGACATACAATAACTACCTACCATGCTAATACATTACCTACCTATTAGTGGTATGTATTAGGTATGTATGCCATTGTATGGTACCTAATAGGTACCTACAGTGGACAGTGGCGCAGTCTCAGAGGGCCTCTCCGGGCTGTCCCCCCCCTTACGCTTCAATTAAGTTCCTTATTTGCCCCCCCCCCCTACATGCTGTAATATGCATATGGATATAATAACTATGCCTACCTGTCTACCACTCGAGCTACAAAAGGATCTAAAAAAAGAACAAATTTAGCAATTAAACGCCTTCATACATGTATGCAACTATATGTAATATACAGTTGATAACTTGGAAGTCCTACATACCTATACATACCTATACATACCTACGTCCTACTTACACACCAACATGTACGACTTCAAGGGTGTGCATACACGCCTAGGCACTACATAGGTAGGCAGCATGTAGGTATGTACGTTATCCATGATCCTATCAATCTGCTCTACATGCCATCGTATACATAACGGCCATCCGTGTGACCGAATTTTATTTAAGATTAATTAATAGTTCGGCACCCGATACCTAACTGGTCGTAGAATGAACATCGTGAACTATCATCCCAGCACGCTAATTCGTTGGCTTACATATGCACGGCGATCTAATATCCACCGAGTCGGGTAGCTAGGCATTCAGTAAGAGCAAATAACCATTGCAATCCTTCAACTTAGGTGAGATCTATCCACGCCATACCCGATATGCCTAATGATCACTCTATCATGAATTTCAAGGAACTAGGTTGCCACAATCCTCCAGGGCTACTAGCTTACGGTCCTATGCCATCATATCATATACCGGCCGCAGTGAAGCTCAGCAGACTGCCAAATGCCAACCCAGCCACTATAGCTAATCCCATGAACCCCCCAGATGCCTCTCTTTCTCCTTCCTCAACCCAGTCACTAGCTGCCATCATGCAGTTGGACCCCAACCACCCGGTGGTAAAACCATACGGGAACTGCACCACCAATAGATAGAACACATCACTGTTGATAATCGCTCCTTTGCCGTGGAGGTTACACAGCGTGTAAAGCGGCAGGAATAGTAACCGTGCAATGCTCGCTACAAACAGTAGCACAGGCCGTTCACGGAGTGACAAGAAGAGTGCGCTGGTTCTGCCTCCGAGATCGCCGAGGTTCCAAAAGAGAAACCCGAGTGGGATAAATGCGGCAGGTTTTAATAGTAGGCTCGCTTCTTCCGGTGGTGTGACTGATAGTATTTTGGGTGTGAAAATAGGGAAGAACATGGCGACAGCAAAGCACATAAACACCCCGCCCGCGAGCCAGTGCAGTTTCTTGAAGAGGGTGAGCATGCTAACAACTTTGCGTGCCGAACGCTCAGCTGACTCGATACTCGTTGTTGACGCGGCCATTTGCTCCATCATACGATTCTCAATGATGCGGTTGTGCCGTTGGACCAGCGGAATGAAAGCCACGAGCGCTATGATGGATATAATGACCGCGGTCAGAAAGTAGATAAAAGCTGGCTTTTCATTGCCCGATAAAGCCTCTCCTCTCGCCTTGGTAGTAGTATCTGATGGCGGCGAGATAAGAATCGAGGTAACCTGAACGAGCGCAGGAAGAACGCCTGCTACGCCTTGCCCTGCCATAATCGCCTGCATATATTCAGGTCTCCCGAAACTCGATGCGAACGCGAACACCCCATTTTGTATCAGCCCAGATGCACATGCTGTGAATCCCACCATAATCAACAAGAATACTAGGTATGCCGAAGGCGACACGCCGGGAAACAGAACAGTCGAAGCAGTTAGCAACGCAAAGATGACGACGTTTATATATAGAGCAAGATTAATTCGGAACGGATAAGAGGCCGTAGATTGAACATTCGTCAAGATGATCATAGTCCCTAAATTCCCAAGTGTTGATATTGATATGATGGCGGATTGGAAGTTGTCTAGAATCCAGTCGTTATCTTCAAATCGAAGCTGGAAGTAGGGCGCCGCCGCAAGGAACATATTCCTATTCAAGTGTTTCATTAGCCATCACACGTTTACTCATATGCTCGTAACAACCTGACCCCAGACGTATGATGATGAAAGTATGCGTACCAGGCCCATAGCATCGCAACGCCGAGCAAGGCGAAGAGGCTATACTCGATCCATGAGAAGGGTACCCCATCCTGGCCCGAATGTTCCAACGGCTCTTCAATAGATTCCGAATCCTCGTTTAAAGGTTGGTATTCTTCATTATTCTTCCTTGCCTGGAACAACGAACGGACCCGGTCCATGATGGCGTTTGTAGGAGTGTCCGTGGCTGCAGTTGGTATGATATTGCTGCGGTTTACATTCGGTATTCTCTCGAACGGAGGGCTGTAATCTTAAGGAGGGACTTTACGGTAAGCGATAGGTAGCTGAGTGACTACCGATGGAAGTATTCACTGAATCATGACGATCGATATGGTTGAAGCAATAAACCCGAAATTACTTAGGGTGTATTACAACTAATGAATCCCAAAGTTGAAGAGGTCATTAACGGATATCGTGGATCATGGGATGGGAGTATGAAAGTGGATTTCTAAGATGTCAAGATGTAAAACATCATGTGAAGAGCATGACTGGACTATGTATGTACAATGTACGTAGATTACATACGTACAAATGCAAGAACGCCAAGTAACTAACTCAAGGTTAGGTTAGTTGGCTTCTAATGTTCCATGTTCCCCATGGCACAATAACTACAGGGATGTTGCCATTACACTTAATGAATGTTCATTGTTGAATTCCGATCTTCCGTAAGTACTAGGTTAGGTAACTTACATACTAGTTATGTAGGTATTTAACCCACATGTGCAAATCATGATTAAATGCATTCATTCAAGTTATGCATGTCCAGCAAGAGGGTCAGTACATACGTATATAAGGATAAGGAGCACATTTCAACCACATGCAGACGTTGAACATTCAAAACTTCGGGTATATTGACTCAACCACTCAGTAGGCATACAAACAAGAATAGTTTGAACACTCTTAGAGATTGAATCTCGTTCGTACCTTTTCCATCTTTGCCTTCCATTCCCATTGTATAGCATCTTCTCCTTCGCTCCCAGCCCGACCAATGCCTTTATCAATGCGTCTAAGTTTAAGAGTTGCCCGAGGGCCTAACTCCTGAAGACCTGTAAATAAGAGGAAAAGTGGTTAGCCAATGGTTGCATGTAATCATAGTATGTTGTATGCAATATTATCTTACCTGTGCGAATCTGTTCCACTCCTTTCATCTCCTTTCCATCTGCGCCAACCACACTTTTTTCTGTTGGTCTCTTGTCTCGAAACACATATCTGTGTCGACGAAGGAATATGTAATCACGTTGGTTGTGCAATGTGACTACTTGACGACCTTGAAGCTCGGGCGTCTTGGGCCAAAGCGTCTGGAAGAGCCTTGCAGTGAGGACACCTAATGGCGTCTTGAAGTTGTTGAGCAGTAGTTCTGGATAGTGGTTGGTAGGATTTCCATGGCCTGGGAGCTTCTTGCCTTCAACCCAGTTGGATATACTGAAGTGGAATGTTGGCCCTGATGGTAGATGGATGATGTCCAGGCCAATTGGTTTCTTTTGGTCCTCCCTCAGGATCATGACTGAGCGAAATCCCCTATTACCTGCAAATTTGCAGATCTCCCTCACACTAAACTTATAACCGTACTTGTGTGCTGATCGTGGAATGTATGTGCTATTGGGGAATAGGGTGCAAAGTAATCTCGCTTGGTCGTGAAGGGTTGAGTTGAGAGTGGTGGTAACCAAGACCTGGGGCTCTGGAGGTCCATCATCTGAGAAGAGCGTTGGGAATTTCGCTACTAATGATTCCGGTGTAAGGTCAAGATTTGTCGACGTAGTTGAAGGTGCAATACTGTCGTCTCGAATTACTTGCTTTGCGCGAGCTTTTGCGGCAGCTTCCTCGTCCGACTCTTCATCATCGCCATCATCCGAACCTAGCATACTATCTTGGTCATCTTCGTTTTCCTCGGATCCGTCGCCTTGCTCCTCATCTACTGCCAGCTTCTCTTCTGCTTCTTCTTGTTGTAAGCGCCTTTTCTTAAGAAATTGCTCCATGTCAACGCTTGCGCCAAGTCCATCATCGTCAACATCATCCCAGACACGTTTTCGGTCGATAGTTGCGGGTTGGTTTCGCTTGACTCGTTCCCTACGCAATTCGGGATCTTTGTCCTCCTCCTTCTTTCTTCGAAACTGAGACTCGCGCTTCTCCTTTTCGCGCTCTCTCTTCTGCTTCACGTATAATGATTTTCGGTGAAGTTTGTTGCCTGTCTTCTTAGACAACGAAGTAGACTTGTATGAACCCATATTGTTACTTGTTGATCGAATATGTTGATATACAAAAGCCTAGGATATGGTTGACATATTATGGGACGCCGTATAGATGAACTCAAGTGTTCAAATCTGGTTTTTCTTTTCTTTTCTCGAGTAATTATGTCTGGTATATACGAACTTCGTAACATGTAAAGTAAAAAGATTCGCGAAAGAACATTTGCAGAACATTTGCAGAGTTCAATGTTGACTTGCATCTGAAAATTTTAGTGGATCAAATGGCTACTAGCGTAGGTGGGTCTCTTATCGTCCAAAAGGTTCTTATCTGGCGTACGAAGTAAATTCTAAATCTTTTAGAGGGACCGGTGCAAGCGATGGAGGGGTTTAACTAGACCGAGGGGTAAATTGGAAAAATATTGGTCGTGACTCAATTCCTTAATTCCTTACTACATAGTAATTCTGCATATAAGGCTTAGGCATTGTCGGTCACTACCACATAAGCTAATAATGAAAACATCTCCATGAACCGCGCACATCTTGTGATTACGAAATTTGCGCCGAGCTTAGATCGTGCAACTTACTCGAAAAGTCTAACTAATACCTGGAGAAAGAGAAATACTGTCGCAATCTCTGGTATATTTGGTGCATTTGGCACACAACATTTCCATAATTCGACGTCAACTTCACATTCTATTCTCGACTACTCGAATATTAAAAAAACTCCAGATATGGCGACAGCTACAGCCACTACCCTCAAGGGGCAACCCCTCGACCGACCTTCGCTAGATTCCATGCTTCGACGACGAATGTTCTACACCCCTTCCTTCGAGATTTACGGCGGTGTTGCTGGCCTTTACGACTATGGTCCTTCTGGCTGCGGTCTCCAGGCTAATATCATCGATGTATGGCGAAAACACTTCGTACTCGAGGAGGATATGCTGGAGGTTGACTGTTCGGTCTTGACCCCACACGAAGTTCTGAAGACCAGTGGCCACGTGGATAAATTTGCCGATTGGATGTGTAAAGATCCCAAGAATGGCGAGATCATTCGCGCCGACCACTTTGTTGAAGAAGTTCTAGAAGCCCGCCTAAAAGGCGACAAGGAAGCCCGCGGTGAAAAGGTTGAGGAGAAGGAGGAAGACCCTAAGAAGAAAAAGCGAAAGGGGAAGGGAACCCACGAGGCAGTTAAGCTAGACGATGCAGTTGTCAAGGAATACGAGGAGGTACTAGCCAAGATCGACAACTACAACGGCGAAGAGCTCGGCGAGTTGATCAAGAAGTACGATCTCCGGAATGCAGCGACTAACGAACAACCCTCTCCACCTGTCGCCTTCAACCTCATGTTCCAGACGGCTATTGGTCCTAGCAGCAATCTTGCTGGATACCTCAGACCAGAGACTGCTCAGGGCCAGTTCCTCAACTTCTCCAAGTTGCTTGAGTTTAACCAGGGTCAGATGCCATTTGCATCTGCATCCATTGGCAGATCTTACCGAAACGAAATATCCCCCCGAGCCGGTCTACTACGTGTGCGCGAATTCCTAATGGCCGAAATCGAGCATTTCGTGGACCCCAACGGTGGCAAGAAACATCCTCGATTTACAGAAGTCAAGGATACTGAACTAGTGCTATTAAATCGCGAGACCCAGTTAGCTGGCCAAACGAAGGTCGAAAAGGTGTCAATTGGCCAAGCTGTAGCTAATGGCACCGTAGACAACGAGACGTTGGGTTACTTCTTGGCCCGCATTCATCTGTTCCTCAAGAAGATTGGCGTAGATCAGTCTAAGATCCGCTTTAGACAGCATATGGCAAACGAGATGGCCCATTATGCTGCTGACTGTTGGGATGCCGAGCTTTTCACCTCCTATGGCTGGGTTGAGTGTGTTGGCTGTGCTGACCGTAGTGCTTACGATCTGAGTGTCCACGCAAAGAGGACTGGCGCACCCCTGATCGTCCGTGAACAGCTACCAGAACCTCTAGTGGTGGAGGAATGGCAGGTTGATGTGCAAAAGAAGAAGTTTGGCCCCCATTTCAAAAAGGATGGCAAGACAGTGGAGGCCGCTGTCGAAGCAACCACCCAAACTCAACGAGAGGCTCTCGCAAAGGACTTGAACGAGAAGGGTAGCATCACCCTCGAGGTACCTGGTGTTGCCGATGGGAAGGTCGAGATCTCGAAAGACCTTATCGCGATCGAACGCCGAACGAGAACAGAGCACGTCAGGGAGTACACCCCTAACGTCATCGAGCCATCTTTTGGCATCGGTAGAATATTATACGCTCTTATGGAGCACAACTTCTGGACTCGAGGAAGCGCAGGTGGTGATGAAGCCCGCGGTGTAGGTTCATATTTTTCTCTATGATATGAAAACGATGCTAACCCTACTCAGGTCCTATCATTCCCGCCAACCGTAGCTCCTACGAAGGTGCTCATTGTCCCATTATCAGCCAACGAGAAATTTAGACCAATCTGCTACAAGCTTTCGCAAAAGCTTAGAAAGATGGGCATTTCCAACCGCATCGATGATTCTTCAGCAACTATTGGAAAGAGATACAGCCGTAATGACGAACTAGGCACGCCGCTTGGCATTACAGTTGATTTCCAGACGGTTCAAGATTCCACTATCACACTCCGAGATCGTGACTCGACCAAGCAAGTTCGCGCAGACGAAGACAAGATCATCGCTGCAATTCAGTCTGTAGTTGACGGTAGTAAGCAATGGAAGGACGTTGAGACTGAATTACCTATATTCGAGGGACAGGAGGTGGAGATCGCTACTCGCTGATTCTGGAGATAGGGAATCGGTTAAACTCAAGACGGTAATCATTGCAAACTGGAGGCCTCAAGCATAAAGTGTAGGAGGAAGGCTAATGGGGACTGGAGAGACGTGAAAGAGCTTATCCCCCAGTTCTCATTCTCAGATAGTTTCAATGGTAGATCCTGACCACTCCAAGTATGCCGCCCCAGTATACCAACGATCAAGGGACTGAGCAAACAAGACTCCTGGAAGTTGGGGATAACTTCAAGACAAGCCTTGTGGATGTAGACAATTGTGGAAGGATACTCTTTTCAGAGATCACGATACCTCTACGCGAATTTTCAATGTGGACAGTTACGCCATGCTCCTTTTCTTCCTTTTTTCTGTTTTACTGCGTAGCAACACATTGAATCAAGTGATATTTATTACTCTGTTCGCAGACGAGTTGAAAGAAGGACTACACCATCAGGGGTAGGATTCCAAGTTGCCCCTGTTGGCCCCTGTTGACCTTGTTTGGCCAATTACATGCAGCAGACAAAACCGCCAGGGGGGGGGGGGGGGCTAATAGCATGCCAAGCATGAACATTTCTGCGACAGATCCGCACGTTGGCGAAACCAATGCCCTAAAGTTAGTGGACTTTTTGGGGCAACCTATTTTGTAAATGCCTGCTGTGTATTGATATATTCTTGCGTAAAGGGAGAATCAAAAGTTGAGAAAGGTTGAGAAATGGATACCGCTGATTCGCTCTCGCCGTTTGCGCCCAAGCGCGGACAACGATCGCCGAGAATCAGCTGAGGTTTTCCCCGTTTGTTGTTCGCCGCACGCTTGCTTGCGCTTGTGCGGAAAAGTTGCCTGCTGCATCTAATGTATGTAACTATGTGCCTGGGGTATGTATGTAGTGACGATAGTGTATGTATGAGGCAGATCGCGGCTACATGGTGTGGTGAAACGGTCTTACACAGGGAACCTGTCAAGAAAGCCGGGGGAGTATTACAAACAGGCCCTTCCACAGGAACATCTGGACGTTTCGTACCTGCTTAGAGAAGACGTGTGCGGTGCTGATTAAGGAAAGGTTGAGGAGGGTAGTCTACCCAAAGTAAGCAGGCGATCCCGACTTTTGCGAGGACCCTTGCGTTGCGTTGCTTGCTTGCTGCAAGATGCATTCCTCGCACCTTGCCTACCTACCTACCTACTTACATGCATGGGGGACATCTGGATTCTGGTGTGTGTGCTGCTTGCTCGGTGCACAAAGAGGGTTGGCTGTAACGTGGAGTGACACTCGGGATAACCGAGGAGAAGAAAGGCTACGGCGGGGAGATCGCGATTCGTTACCACCTCATGTGTGTTTTATAGTATTCAATGTTTCCTATTGACCGGCCGGACTGGTTGGCCCAGGTGTTCTTTCAAAAAAAAAATTTTCCTAAAATAAAAAAGAAGGAAAAAGGAACAGGTCTCTCGGCTGCTTATTATTTAATTCATGTATGAGCCGATTGCGACTCGTTCGCGCCGGACTGTGCATGTGTCGGAGTCTCACAGGGCGGGTAGGATCCTGGATACGCGTGACGGGCCGCACAACACAAGCCCGTCCGTTGCTGTTGGTTGTCTCGTCTCAAAAAAGATGCAGTAACCTATGTATGTATTGTTACATACCTACACTACCTAGTAGCTAGGTACCCAGGCTAGTGTCTTCTATAAATGTTGATTTGACGTTCAACATAGTTATGGTTATGTTGGACGTCAAAGGTATGTAAGGTGACCTACCGCAGGGCCTGGGATGAAACAACGATATTATTAGTTATGTATTACTGCCAGGAACTGTCATATATACATACATACATATATATATATGCAGATGTCCCTGTGTCATCCCGATTTATATAGGGACGAAAGAACCTATCCCTTTTTCCCTTCCTTTCTTTCAAGCGCAACCCTTTTCAGCAGCTACACGCAAATGTGTACTATGCCGTACTACCTAGGGTAGGCAAGTAATACTATTAATCAGTACTAATCAGGGGTATAGCACATCCAAACGAAAGCCATGGTAATAAATACTTCAGGCTTGTATAATATAATAATATTAAATAGTGTACATGGAAGTTTGGATAGGCTAAGGAACTGGAGTCAGAGGATCTACATTTCAATGTTGTTCACGGTTGATGACTTTGGTAATAATTGAAATAGTAATTGAAATAATTGAACAGTAAACCACTAAACGCTCATCACTGGCTAGGTACTATACTTAGTGCAAGTTAGGTGCATGTAGGTTGCATGTAGGTATCCATGCAGGTATCCATGTTATCCTGGTATGTAACCAGTTACTTCAAAGAGGGGACTGCTTTGCCCAGAAATGAAGCTGTTCGCTGCCCAACAATAAAACATCCAAAATGTATTCAGTACTTGTCCATGTTAAGGCTTCGGGGGGGATTTTTGTTAAGGGAAGCCATTCAATCAAATTCCCTAGCAGAATCCCTACATAGGACCTAGCTACGCACTAGAGGCAAGAAAGGTTAGAGTGCCCCCCCTCTAACAGCAATGGAGGGACCTAACATGGATAACCCCCTTTCCCCTTTGCTGACTGGACATGGGGGCATAATCCAACTTTGGAAATGACTTTTAGGTTTTCTGTCTTATCGGTCCAGATGTCCTCTACCGTACCTCTTGTACCTGTGCATTTGCATTCGCCATTTACTTGCTTAAACACACACACACAACTCACTCACAACCCACTCATACATGCATGCATCTTCTCCTTATTTTTTTTTTGTTACCATAGGACAGAAATTGATTTTTGAGTGATCATTGCTGATCGCTCATTCATTTAATTCATTTGCATTCACTAATCTTTTACACTGTTCATTTGGATTTCCTTAAAGGAATAAAATATAATCTCCAGCAATCTACCTATCCTAAGCTAGCTGTATGGGTATTAGTGAATGAGCAGAGCAAAGAGAGAGAGAGAGAGAGAGAGAGAGCAAGACCCGACCCGATATTTCGACACCGCATTGATGCTTTTGGTCTCGTCTCGGATGTCTAGTTGAACCGTTCGTTTTATCTCTTTCCCGATCGAACCGACTCCTTTCAATCGATTTTCGATTTCTCGAGATTTTCCTCACAGTACGAACCGATCCTTGAGCAAAGCAAAGCAAAGCCAGCATTCAATTATTTCGCGAGCATTTTTTTTATTAGCATTGAGCATAAAAAAAAGGCAACTGGTCCCTCTCTTTCTCCTTTCACAAGCAACTGCCTCGATACGAATTTCCCAGGCCTCAACCATTATTCTTACTTATTCTTAACCATCGCTTGGCAGTTTATTCATAATCTTGAACTTGAACCTAAACCCGAACCCGCATTTGATCTATTATCCAATACGTTTACCTACTTATGATTGAATTGGTCCTCCTGCCCCGTGCTTGTGATATTCCTAATTCCCGTTAGGGTGAGTTGACTGGACCCCCCTTCAGGTTCATTTCCTTTCAAGATGACGAATGGTTTTCTAGGGCTAGGTTTAGGACTGACGGTGTGGCGTTCTAGCCTTGGATTGAACAAATATTGAACAAAATTGAACAAAGCCTCGCAAGTGCTTTGCGTATCGTCATTTTAAGGCAAAGGCAGTGACTTCCCACGTGGTAGAAGCTGCTACGGTAACCTGCTACGGTATCTCAACCTTCCCAGGTTTGCCCATCATGGCGGCGCCAAACAGGTACGCTCGTCCCAGTTAATCTTCCTTGCACCGGCTCGTTTGTACAGGTTCATTTTTTGGAGCCAACCCTCCCTCCAGTCTTCGTTCTTCATCCACCATTCCTCATTTAGTATCGTAGTAGAAGTGGGCATTTTAGAGTGTTGCTTAAATCCTACCTACTTACGACTACCATCACTTTTACACTAGTTCCTTACCCCTTACCAAGCCTTAGCTGGAGGTTTATCTAAATTGTCTTATGACATTTACCGAATACGTGAACTGACCATCACATCAACAGCGCCTACACTACTGGTCAGTTCATGAACCCCGGCCCGGCCCCGCGACCACCCACGGATCGCCCGCGTCTCAATCTTACACCCAGTACCAATTATCCAGGGAGCATGACGAATGCAGTTTCTTCGCCCATTACACGTACCGCTACCTCTACATATACAGGCTCGACTATTTCTCTACCTCTCGCTCGTGAACGATCCAACCAAGCAGACGGCATGGGAGGTGTTGCAGTTATAAAAGAAGGGTGGGCACAGGTCAAGGAGAGCAGGAATTTCATCCAGCCATGGAAGCAGAAATACCTCATCCTGCGTAAAGAGGCCCTCGACTTCCACAAGGCTGAGGGCGGAAAGGTTTCTTACACTTTATACCTCAAGGATGTCGTCAATGTCGGGCGAGTTGAAGCCGCGGGCACCATTTTTGAGATCAAGAGACTTATGCAAGGTTCTTCTAACAGCCCCGGAGATGACGACGGCACCATTAGAACTTTGCACATCCGAGTGAAGAGCGACGATGATCTCTACGATTGGATTGACCTCCTCTATGGCCGATGTCCGACGATGGGGGGAGTGAGCAATCCGACCAATTTCTCCCATGCGGTACACGTTGGTTTCGATCCTCAAACAGGACAGTTCGTAGGCTTGCCCCCTGAATGGTCTAAACTTTTGAACTCGTCTGCTATCACAAAGGAAGATTACGAGCGAAATCCTCAAGCCGTTTTCGAAGTTTTAGATTTCTACTCCGATCTTACCAAAAGAGCAGAAAACCCTCAGCAGTATCCAAACCTCGCCCCCACGCCACTTCCCAGTACGCAGCAAAACAAACAGCTTGGATATGGCGGTGGAGGTGGAGCCTCTGTTGCTCCTCCGAGACCAATGCCACCTCCACAACGCAGTTACGGTAACCTCCCGACGCAGCAACAGGGTGCCACTCCACCACGACGACCTAGTCCCCCAGATATGTCGCAGCGACCGCCAATACAGAATTCGGGAAGTAACTACAATGCGGCGGTTGATGCAGCGCGAGAAGAACAGCGCATGAAGCAACTGGAGCTTCAAAGACAGCGAGAGATTGACGAACAAAACCGACGTGACTTGGAAGCCTATAATGCTTCCATTCCGCAAAAGAAACTTCCTTTGGCTCAACAAGAGGTTGGCGGTGGTGCATATGGTGGCTCTCCAGCTTCGGCAGATCGTTATAATCCTAGCCGAGCCGCACCGCCTGCGCCCAAGTCTCTCGGCCAACAGCCCGGCAGCCTTCGCGCTCAGCGGCCTGCTCCGCCCGCGCCCAGCTCTTCGGCGTCTTCGTCTAACAGACCTGTGATGACATCGCAATCGAGCTCAAGCTCCATGTCCTCACGCGAACCTCAGTCTAGCCAGACGCAGCGTATGCCGCCGCGAAACGATCAGTCATCTGCTCCTCGATACAACAATGCAAATGGCTCTCCTCAACAACGATCGAATGGCCAAGCCCAGAACCAGTCAGCGGCAGCAAGAATGCCCGCCCCAGTCAAGCCTCTAAATGTTCCCGCCAAGCCTAGCCAGCAACAGAACGATGGCATCAAGGCTGCAGAGGCGGCCCTCACAGCCAAGCCTTCGCCGTCGGAAAGAAAACAGGATGTCCGCATGTCTACCATGTCAGAAAAAGAGGTCATGGCCAAACTGATCGAAGTTGTCTCAAAAGACGACCCTAACTTGTCTTACTCGAAACAAAAGAAGATTGGACAGGGTGCGTCTGGCTCCGTCTATGTGGCTAAGGTTAAAGAAGGTGCCATGTCTCCTGTTGCTCGAGAGGTCCTCCGTAACCAGGGCTCTAGAGCTCAAGTTGCTATTAAGCAGATGGACTTAGCGCACCAACCGCGCAAGGAACTGATTGTAAACGAAATCATGGTGATGAAGGATAGCAAGCACCGAAACATTGTCAACTTTCTTGACGCGTTTCTGCGCAACAACAACGCTGAGTTATGGGTTGTCATGGAATACATGGAGGGCGGTGCGTTGACAGATGTCATTGACAACAACCCAGTCATTACCGAAGAACAGATCTCGACAATTTGCCTCGAGGTGAGTTTCACCAGAATCAAACTTGGGTATTATTATATTTGCTAACTAGGTTTCCAAGACTTGCCGTGGATTGCAACACCTACACTCCCAGAACATTATCCATCGTGACATCAAGAGCGACAATGTTCTTCTAGATGCCCGCGGAAACGTGAAGATTAGTAAGTGCTTATAATCAGTGAACTTCAGTCCCTTTCAATACAAGTCAACTAACGTCATTTGTAGCCGATTTCGGTTTCTGCGCAAAGCTTACCGAGACCAAGTCGAAGCGAGCCACTATGGTTGGAACGCCATATTGGATGGCCCCTGAAGTTGTTAAGCAGAAGGAATATGGCCCCAAGGTCGATATATGGTCGCTAGGTATTATGGCAATCGAGATGATAGAATCAGAGCCGCCGTATCTCAATGAGGAGCCTCTAAAGGCGCTATATCTCATTGCGACCAACGGTACGCCCCGGCTAAAGAAGCCAGAAAAGCTCAGCAAGGAGCTTAAGGCGTTTCTGTCTGTCTGCCTATGCGTCGACGTTAAGAGCCGTGCTTCGGCAGATGAGCTCCTGCAACACGACTTCCTCAAGCACGGCTGTCCACTTGGAAGCCTCTCTGATTTACTTGCCTTCAAAAAGCATGCGAAATAAGAAAATGACGATACCCTATTCTCCTATTGACGATTCATTGAGTAGTAGCCCCTCGGATTTCAATTCCAGAAACCATAGGTTCTGGGGCCCAGCAACTCACCTGCGTACCAAGATTTGCATGGAAGAGGTATTCATCGTTTGGAACACATAGACAGGGCTCTCTCGTTGTCTATGGATATGCAGCTTATTCGCCGACTAAGGCTACGCGCATCATCGGATGGGGTAACGCGTGTGACGTTACCAGATCCTTACACTAAGCAGAGACACGAACTTGCGATTTGGGTTCATAGCAATGGCTGGTTGCATAGAAAGAAAGTTGCGGGGATACGACCAATACCACGAAGAGTTTGGGAAGTTTTAATTGACTGTAAAGGACGAACGCGTGGTTTTCGAGGCACGATTTTGTAGGCGTCGGCGTGTGTGGTAAAAAGGCAATGCATACTCTGATAGTATACCATAGACATGCCAATTCGAAACCAAACATGTCCATTCTCGAAGGTCTTTGTTCTTTTTCTGACTCCTGCTTACCTAGTACGTTCGAACAAGGGGAAGAAATGTCGTGGTGATGCAAATGTGAGGCATTGAGACGGAGCCTTACATGACTACTAGGTTAGGTAGGTTAACCTAGGTACATAGCATGTGCATACCTCCTAAGGTCTCCATTCAATGCCCTACATATCATCCGCGAGTATGGCTGTTACACAACGTTCGAGGTGTCCAGCAGTATGCCGTAGAGCCCTATGAGAGGTTGACCTGCAGTACATGTATATTAATTATCTTGGAGGTGCCACATAAAATTCCGAGTCTTCAACTTCGCGATCTATTACCTTCTAACCTTATCAACAAGTTCCATCATAACCAATGAAGTACTGGACCTACCTACTTACAGTACCTAGGACGCCATGACTTGTGATAAGAATTCGCATGTTGAGTTACCTCACTTATGTAACTTCTAGGTCGGCTACAGCCTTGCATACCTACCTACCTACCTACTTACCTACTTATCAAGCAAATACATGTTTTGCTTACTTACCTAGGTAGTTGAGTGGGGTGGATAGTGGGTGTCTACCTACTATAAACTGAGAGATCTCGTCGTCTTGGTCATGTTCCTTCTTTTTCCGAGTGTTCATACTTGTACCACTATAGAGTCATTAACTAGGTATTGATAACGTCTTGGCTACCTTTCTCACCTAAGTACTTTCATATTTTTATCCTTTCCGAAATATGGCTAGACCAAAGTTTATACTTATGCTTTCAGGATGGGGAAAGAGCCTTGGGAAGAGCCTTGGGAATAGCTTAAAACGACGAGCTAGCTCAACAACTTGTCAGGGGGATCTAGTTGCAACAACAACAGCAACAACAACAACATCATCATCCAAGGATGGGCCTATCAAGTGTGAGATCAAGCATTTGAGACTGAAAGACGATGGCGAGAAAAAGATATACTTTGACCAGAATAAGGAAGAGGTGAAGAACCCCCGTATGTTTGCATTCTGCCTGGTCAAGCCTCGCTACGACAAGAACGACGACACCGATTCCGATTCCGATACTGATGGCGGCGACGACGACGTTGACATGACGGTCTTGCATGTCAACCACCAACCACTACGACAGTTGCTCAACGACGTTATGGGAGACTGCCCTATAGATTCTATACATGCCAACGACGTTAGGATCAAATACCCATACTGTTCGCTATTCTACTTTAGAAAAGAACTAGAGTCAGAAGGTCACGATCGCTTTGAGAATGATGAGGACTCCAAGGCTCAATTAAAACTACTTATGACCTGGATCAAGACTCGTTTCGACCTCGACATCGCTGCTTATGATAATTGCACATCCAGCAACCTCAAGGCTATCTCCTATGACACACTGTGGACTCTTTTCCGACCACGCACAATCATATACAGCAAACACTGGGATCAGCACCGAGCTTACCGGGTCGATAGTTGCGATTATGGTACCAACGCCCTCTATGTGAATGCTGACTATGTTTCCTTCGACGGCCAGAAATTCGGTACTGTGACAGTGAAACACACTATCCCGAAGTACGATGGGTTGCGGAAAGTGAAAGATCTTGAAACCATGCCGTTCGACTTGTTGGAAGATGCGGGTAAGATACGCGCGGAGCTAGTTGAACGAGGCAGGAAATTCGAGAGCTACGTCGGCCAACATGTTAGGCAATACGACGGACTTGCCCTGACAACAGGTTCGCAGGGCAGTTTAAGACCAACGAATGTTAAGGAGCGCATCATGATCGACTTCGAGACCTGCGACCGGTTCGGTCCGTTTTCTAAGCTTGAAGTCACCGAGCTCGAGAATATCGCTAATTCCAACGAGGCATACCATAGGGTGTCGTGCAACGATAATTTAGCTTCCGCGCCGCAAAAATTCGCCAAGTTATCCGACGAGAACGCTTTGATCAATCACGGCGTGCTCAGGGGATACGCATTGGAGACGAATCAGTTCATGTTGTTTTCTATCAGTAATGTGTCCCCCGTGGAGTGGAACACTCGCTGTTTCGAAGATCTCGTGCTCGACCAAGAGACGAAAAAGACTATTCAGTCCCTCGTCTCTACGCATTTGAGTAACCGCGATAGCTTCAACGATATTGGCATACGCAAGAGCCAAGGGCTTGTAGCCCTCTTACAGTATGTAGCCCCCGGTATATTGCAATCGGTCTTGGACTCTCTTGGGAATATACTCCTTTTCATATATATTTTGAAATGGTTGATAACTACCTACTAGGTACCTAGGTATTTAGTAGGGATTCCCTTAAACACGGGCCGACGGCTCTCATAGCCATATCAGAAAAGTAGTTAGGTATCTGATTACTGACGCTTGTCTACCGAACAGTGGCCCACCTGGTGTAGGCAAGACACTTACAGTGGAGTGCGTGGCCGAACACTTCAAGCGGCCTCTCTGCACGGTGTCGTACAGAGACAGCTTCCCAATGGAACGCCTAGAAGCAGAAATGGAAATAACGATGAAGCTGGCGTTAATCTGGAACGCTGTGCTTCTCATCGATGACCCCGAAGCGTACCTTCAGAGATCACGCGGCAAGGGCCACTGCCAGACCTACATGGTTGGCGCCCTCCATAACTACAGCGGCATTGTCTTTCTCACGATGAACCGCTTCAGCCACCTCGACGACCTCTTCGCGTCCAGGATCCACCTCCCCATCCGCTACACGCAGCTGGCCTTCGCGTCCCGCCTGAAGATCTGGCGCACCCTTTGCACTCGCGTCTCCTGCCCCTCGTGCTCCTCATCCTCACATTCGTCCTCATCCTCGTCCCGGTCTTCCTCCTCCTGCAGTGGCGCCATCAACATCAACATAAACGATGTCCAATTCGACTCCCTGGCCAAGGACTACGAGCTCAACGGGCGACAGATCCGAAACGTGATCCGCGTGGCCTCAGGGCTCGCGGAATCCGACGGCGTGCCGCTCGACTTCGCGCGTCTAAAGTCCGCGGCGCGCATGCTGGAGACGTTTCTGAAGGACGTCGCGAGCGGGGACCACATCGATTATATGGCGTCGGATATGTCGAGAATGGGAGGCCGGACTTTGGGTATGTATTTTTGAGGGGTTTGGGGGGTTTTGTGGGCGTGGGTATTGGTATGGGTGTTGGTGAGAGGGTAGGTCGGTAGGTAGGTATACTGTAAGTATAGCGTGGCGTGGGTTGGTAGTTGGGTAGGTGCTTGTATAGGTCAGGCGGGTAAGGGGATATATACCTACCTAGGTACCTAGGGTATATAGGCGGTAGGTAGCAAGGGGAAGGGGTTCATAGGGAGGCGTTTAGAAGGAGTATAAGGCGAGCTTGGGATATCCTTTCGGGTTATTGATATACTAGGTAGGTACCTACCTAGTAAGCAAGTAAGTAACGGCCAGTCTCGGAGATGATATAATACTCCCCTATCCAACGTAGGTAGCCTAAGCTGTTCCTGGAGGTAGGAATTTTAATACGCATACGATGTTGGAAAACCCTACCTATTACCTGCTCCATACTATGACCCTATGGCTTCTATGTAACAGCGACAATCGACAGCTCTTGTCCTCTAATTGGGTACCTAGGGTTGATGCTATAGGTAGAATACAGTCTCGTGGCATTGAAATGGATACCTAGGTAGGTAGGTATTGTTTATTCTCATGCAGTCAACGGGACTCCCTATTGGCACCATTTTCCTCTCTGATTTCTGTTTTACCATGCCTCGTAGCGCGTAAGGCAGTCAATTACAGTATTGTAGACTACCTAGGAAATCCACAGGGACGAGGTACCTAGGTAGTATTGCATTTTTCTAGTCGTGCTGGTTAGACTCAGGTAGGTACTGTAGGTACACAGCGTGATAGTCACGAACGAATGTGTGCAATCAGTCTACTTATTATAGGTAGGTAGGTACCTACCTACATAAGAATCCCATCCCATCCACTTCTACCTATCTTCTATCCTATCCTCCTATTCATCCCCCCCCCCCTCTGTCCATCCGTCCCTCATAGGCAAGCAGTGTGGACGTGGTTAGTATAGACGCATTCCCCCATCACCCACCATAATAACCAGGGTCAAGACGTCGACTTTGTAGCCTGCTTCTTTGATCACGGACGTGGTCATGATCTCGTCGTGGAGGAACTGGCTGGCGTCTTTGTGGCAGGCTTTGTAGGTGTGGTAGTGGCGTGGCCCTGGCGAGTCGTCTGGGTAGAGAAGAAGCTTCATGCCGGTGGAATCGGTGGCCCAGATTGTGGAGGGGAGATGGGGTTTGGGGGAATGGGGATGGGGATGGGGATGGGGCTGGAAATGGGGCTGGTGGGGAGGTGCTAGGCCTACGAGCTAGATGTTTTCATTAGTTATTTCGTGCATTGAAAATGAAATGGTTGTTCAGGGGCTAGGGGCTAGGGGTTGGGCACTAGGGGACAGACAACATACCTTGACATCGCCACCAAGTCGGCTAAGGAACACGTCACTCCAGCGGAAACTAGGACCCGGGTACGGCGCGAACGGTGCGCGGACGCTGGCGTCGACCGCGATGAAGTAGCTGTACTTCTTCCACAGCCCGCCCTTTCGAAGGACGCCGCGGTGGGCGCCGAAGCCGACTAGGCAGTTGTTGGGCTGCTGGATGATCTGGATGTTGGGCTGGCTGGGGATTAGTGAGGTTGCGGAGGAGGTGGGGCCGGCGAGGATGAAGATGAAGTCTGCGGCGCTGTCTGTGGTGGTGGGGTTAGTGACTACGTAGTAAAGCGGGAGAGATGTGGTTGAGTAAACACCGTCTTTCTCTCTCTCTCTCTCGCTCCAAATGGAAAACTCACGCAAGCCGTTGTCAATGAATAACTTGAGGTTCTCTCGCGCATGAGGGGACTCGCTGTACGCGTAGGTGATGAGCGGGCGGGCAACGCTGCCGGCGGTCGTGCTGCGCTGGTGGTCATCTGAAACCGGGCCGACAAACCGATGCGGCTCCTCGAGACCGTCGGCTTCGAACGTTGAAGGGGCCAGGTAGACGGGCTCTTGTGCTTTGACCACGGCTTCGAAGCGTCGGATCTATGGGGTGTTAGTGGATTGGATTGGATTTTGAGATAGGTAGGTAGGTAGATATAGGTAACTTACGGCAAGGACGTTCTCGTGGGAGAACCTGAGAAAGCCGTAGATGCCGGTCAGGGCGAGGAAGAGGATGGTGAGGACGGTGGGGGTTGTGAGTTCTCGCGGCATTTTGGATGTTGATTCACTCGGGCTTTGGGATGGGATGAGATGAGAAGGGGGATGGAAGGGGAAGGGAGGAAGAAGTTACGACGAGGTAAGGCTGGATTTAGTTGGAAGGGGGGAGAGAGTGTTGGCCACAGTAGATGGGAAACTAGGATAAGGGTGTAGCGTAGGGAGAACACTATACAACACGGCATTGAAAAGGTTTCGTGGTACTTATTAATTTTCCAAACTGATCGATCTACCTAACTTAGTAGGTAGGTACCTAGTAGCTTTGATAAGGGAAGGAGGATGTAGGTGTATATTATCAATGAATTGCTGTTATGTGTCTCGAAAGTTTCAAGTAGAACTACCTTCCTGATATCCAAGGTGGCTGACTACCTAAGTACCTATCAAGCTGCTGCCGAAGGTCGATTACCTACCTACCTACCTACCTACCTGAGTACGGAGAGCCTAATAGGAAAACCCCGGACCGGGCCCGGAGGTAGACCCAGGGCTTGTCCGGGGGGATACTTATATCGACTCTGGAGTTGCCATGAGTACCTATTGTGTAAGGGTGGAAGGTACCTAGGTATACAAGTACCGCAGGCTTCTTTCTTTAACAAGGTGATTTTGCATTAATTCTATGTACATTAGCATGAATAGAGTCATAAGGGGGAGAAGAGCTGCACGGTGATGTGCGTAGTGCTGAGCTGAGCTGAGCAGGCATTAGCGCCACATGGAGCAATTAGCCACAACTTATCTTCAATGTGGAGGGCCCCACTATGAAATCACGCTAGCTGAGCTAGAGTACCAGCTACAGGGGACCCACTCATTTCGCGCTTTCAGCCTCATCAATTCCATCAAGCCTTGTCACTTTTCAACTTTTCGAGACCGACCATCAACTTTCATCCTCCATTTTTATTTTCTTTCACCTTTTTTTCTAGCATAACATCACTTTTTGCGTGTAAACTCATCCAGTCATTTTCCAAGTCGTTACCCACCGAAGGTTCTTTCGACCACCATGCCTTCAATTGGCGATGAGTTTTGAACATTTTACAATCATTACCGTTTTGATTTGAACGCGCTTCTATCCTCTTTTCGACTTCAACTCTTCGCCCTTTCTCCCCAACATCGCCACAACCCCCCCCTCATCGACATTTTACATCTTTCATCTCTTACCCTTAACCTTACCATTCCTTATTCAAGATGGCGACTACTCGAAATGGGAACGCCAACAATGGCGTAGATAGCGAAGCTCCTCCCGCGCCGATTAGCAAACGATTTGCCGATATTCCTAGCGCTATCGATATCCCCGTCCAAGGCGACCAAGAAGACGAAGCCGTGGAGATTGACTTGGAGGACCTGGTAGATGATCCGACAGAACTCTGCACGCTATTCGAGAATGAAAGGGCCGCGCGCACCTATTGGATGACCGTGTCCCTCGCATACGCGAAGCAGAAGAAGATCGATCATGCTATCGAGATGCTCAACCGTGGCGGAAATGCCATGCAAGACAACAATCCAAAAGAGAAGCTCAGCATAGTGACTTGCCTCTGTTGGATGTACCTCTGGAAAAGCCGCGAAGCTCCTCGTGTAGCGCCTGATGGCGTCCCTGCATCCGAAGCCAAGACGAAGGATTACTACCTCCAATTGGCCACTTCCTCTCTCAACGACGCGTCGCGTATAAGCCCGGCCTTCCCCCCGCTATTTCTAGCCCGAGGTGTACTCCAGCTTCTCAAAGCTTCACTACAAGCACCTTCCAAAGCCCCGGGTGCTGGTCTTGTCGATCAGGACAAGGCTAATTTACTGAAAGATGCCTTGAAGTTCTTCGATCAAGCGAGTAAAGTTTCGCAGGGCAAGAACATGCTGGCACTTTTAGGCCGAGCGAGAGCGTTGTTTGGATTAGGCAACTACAAGGAGTCTCTAGAGACATATCAGAATGTTTTGAGAAAAATGCCGGATTTGGTTGACCCGGATCCTCGAATCGGCATCGGATGCTGCTTCTGGCAACTGAGACATAAGGAGGATGCGAAACAAGCTTGGGAGAGATGCCTGGAGATTAATCCCGAATCTAAGACTGCCAACATTCTCCTCGGTCTGTATTACCTTGATGCTAGCGGTCGTGTTCCTACGAATAGCCCTGAGTTTATTCGACTATACAAGAAGGCTATGACTGAGTACACACAAAAGTCCTTCAAGGCCGACAAGAACCAGCCCTTGACTTGTGTCACCTTTGCTAGTTATTTCTTGTCTAGCAAAAGTCTCTCGCACGTCGACTCACTCGCCAATAAGGCCATTCAGTTCACCGACGTAAATGCACTTGCAAGCGATGGCTGGTATCTGCTTGCTCGAAAGGAGCATTTTAGTGGTAACGTTGAAAAGGCCGCGGATTACTATCGCCGCGCAGATGAAGCAAGAGGTGGACTCGAGAAGGGCTACCTACCAGCCAAATTTGGCGTTGCTCAACTTTCTGTTTTGAACAACGACTTAGGGGAGGCTAAACTTCGTCTGGAGAAGATCATCCAATCGGCTAATAAGAACGAACGAAACTACGAGGCCATGATTCTCTTGGGCACTCTGTATGCCGAAGAGGTCTTCACGAATCAGATGGCTGCCTCTAGCGAGAATAAGAGTGCCGAGTTGCGGAAAGCGATAGAATACCTGGAGCATGTCCGCACAGCTTGGAAAGATCCCAAAAAGAACCTCTCCCCCGATTCCGCGATTTTATTGAACCTTGCTCGCCTCTACGAGGGTGACCACCCCGAGAAGGCGCTTGAATGTCTCTTGCAAGTTGAGCAGATCGAGTTGGATCAAATCCCATCTTCAGAATATCCAACCGGAATCGAGGACGAGACAGCTCTACGGAATGCTTTGCGAAAGAATCTCCCACCCCAGCTCCTGAACAACATCGGATGCTTCTATTCTCAAGCCGAGAAACACGAGCTTGCGAGCCAACTGTTTGAAGCCGCCCTGAGCTCCTGTATGCGGATTGGCGAAAAGGACGAGGACAACGATATAGATGCTTTGGTCACTACCATCAGCTTCAACCTCGGTAGAAGTTATGAGTCACAGGGCCTCACTGATCAAGCTGTCGAGGTCTATGAAAAGTTAGTGGCCCGCCATGATGATTACACTGAAGCCAAGGCTCGTCTAGCATATATCAAGCTACGCAAGACACCAATTAAGGAAGGTCCGGATGCGGTTACAAAGTTATACGAGGAGAACAAATCTGACCTCGAGGTTCGCGCCTTGTATGGTTGGTATCTCGGACGAAAGGGTTCACGAAGAAAGTTGGGTAATGTCAACGAGGACCCTGAGCTGAGGCACCACAAGCACTCTCTTCAGCATCACAACAAACACGACCGGTATGCACTCGTCGCTATGGGTAATTTGTACATGATGGCAGCACGTGAAATGCGCCGAGAGACAGAGCAAGAAAAGCAAAAGCGGTCGGCTGCGTACACGCGCGCTGTGGAGTTCTTTGATAAGGCGATACAGCTGGATCCGAAGAATGCCTTTGCTGCTCAAGGTATCGCTATCGCCCTTGTTGAGGATAAGAAAGATTACAAGTCTGCGCTACCTATATTCCTAAAGGTGCGGGAGACAATCAAGGATGCAAATGTGTATGTCAATATTGGGCATATATACGCAGAGTTACGACAGTTCTCTAAAGCTATCGAGAGCTACGAGACTGCAATGTCGAAGGAGAGTAGAATGGACGATCCGAGTATCTTGGCATGCCTCGGCCGTACGTGGTTGAACAGGGGTAGGCATGAGCGAAGTCTGGATGCTTACAGAACAGCCTTAAGCTACGCCAAGAAGGTAAGATCAACCAAGATGCTGAAAAATTTACGCAAGCTCACATGTCTATAGGCCCTCGAAGTGTCCCCAGATCAGATCCACTTCAAATTCAACGTGGCATTCGTTCAGATTCAGCAAGTTCAACATATCATGAACGTACCTGAGACCCAACGTACGCTAGCTGAGCTCGAAGAAGCTTCTGAAGGTCTCGAGGCCGCTATCGTGGCTCTTGATGAGATTGCCACCAACCCACAACCACCGTACCCCAAGGCAGACCTGGAGCAGCGAGCCAACATGGCTCGCAACACCCAGCGCAAGCAGCTTGGCCGCCAAATTGAGAGCCAGAGAGAGTACGAGGAAAAGAATAAAGAGAAGCTTGCTGCAGCCCTAGAGCAAAGACAAGCTGAATTGAAGCGCCGTGAAGAGGAGCGCCAGAAGGCTCTCGATTTAGAGCGGGAGAGGCGAGAAAAAATCCGCAAGGAACGCGAAGAGATAGCGGCCCGCGACAGAGAAATGGCCGACAAGCGAGACCAGGAGGAGAAATCGCGCCAAGAGGCTGATCTGGTTACCGACTCTGAAACGGGTGAAAAGGTTAAGCGGAAGAGAAAGCCTAAGCCGAAGTCAAGTGGCGAGCCCAGGTCAAAAGGACGTTCGCGCAAAAAGAAGACGACGGAGGGCGATGAGTCAGAGTCGGAAGAAGAACGTCAACCGAAGAAGAAGCGAAAGCTCGCTTCCAAGAAAGATAGCAACAAGTACAAGTCTGCGGAGATCGTGGTGGATAGCTCTGACGAGGACGATGATGCCTTGGATCGTGCTGATAGAGCCATTGAGAATCATCGCTCACCTCGGTCAGATGCGGATGATGCATCAAGAGCTGGCTACGACCGAGACGTAATGGAAGTGGACAATGCAGCTGGCCAGGACGACGATGAAGACGAAGACGAGGAGGAGACGACTAGCCGTGTACCAAGTAAGCGTGCTCGACGTGGCGGTAGAGTTCTCGATGATAGTGACGAGGACGAAGACGTCGAAGTTCCAAACAAAGAGGCCAATGGCGGATCGGATGCAGAAAACGGGGAACCTGCTGGCGCTGCAGACACAAGCATGGCAGACGCTGCTGACGAAGATGAAGACGACTAATGGGGTCAGTTTCTATGAAAGAATAAATTTTGCTAAGCGGCTGGGGATGGACTGGCTCTAAATACTTGTGCTATAGGCTCCTCTTTCCAGGGGAAAATAATCAATTACATGATATTCGGCATTGGCTTATGTAGATTATGCATACATATTCCATGCTGCACGAATAGGAATGACATACATAGCACTAAGGTATGATGTAGGAGTAGCTGCATACACAAGAGTAGCACTGAGTTTGGGAAACAGCTAATATGAATATAAGAAGGTTTGACCATGAGACAAATCTCTATTCAGGTAGGTAGGCATTTAGACAGGAGCTTTCTTGTGAAAAACTGTGTGACCTGATACTGACCTAGGGTACCTACCACTGCCAAACGTAAAGAAATGGACGTCGGTGCAATCAGAAAAAAATCCAAGAACGACAACAAACGAACCGGAATCATTCCTTCCTATCGCGCTGAGCAGTTCGCTGCCAAAGAGATAAACTTAAACGGCCCTACATTTATGGAGAGAATCCGGGAACTCGAGACCCAAGTGAACAATCTTCGCCTGAATAACCAGAAACTTCACTCGGCGATGGACGAACTACAGAAGAATTCAACTAGTGCTCGACAACAGAAACAACCAGAGGAATCGTACGCTTCCTCGCAGAATGGCATACCCGCCTGGGCAAACCAGAAAGAGCGGCTCCCAGACGGTAGATTGAATCTACACTACCGCCCTAACCACGAGTTGAATCTATCTCATCCCACGGAGGACGAGCTAGATGATTCATGGAAAGTGTTTCTCGCGACGAAACCCTGCAAGAACGAGGGCATGTTGCACTTCCTGCGACGATTCCGAGAAGCATTCTATGCACTCCAGCTGCGCTGGCAAAACGGATCTTTCGACCGATCTATCACGATCGATGTCTTGAAAACGTACACACCTAGCGTGTGGCTACATATCATGGATCACGAAAGGACTATGATGACGTCCCAGATAATAGAGGAGGCAGTGGTGCTAGGGGCCATAGTCGAGCGAATCGCGGTCGAGAGCAAGATCTATGGCACTCCATCGACGACTACCTATACTACTCGCCAGGGGTCCTGAAACCTGAATAGCTTTCTATGAGGAGAAGGAAAATGTAAGAATAACATCGCAAATGGGCTCGTTGCAGTGGGAATACCTATGTAGCTTAGTAGATGGTGGGTGGTATTTCTTGATAAGAGAATATACCATATGTTACATGCACATAACAACACCTTTCGTTTTAAAGAGAAGACAAATGGCTATCTCTTTTCTCCCATATACCGGTACAACTGTCGCTATATAATCTTAACTTAAACCCTAAAAACGCCTTTCAGATAACTAAGTAGTTGGGAGTTGGATTGAGATCGGTGCGGCTGATCTGAAGGATTCGACAAGGTTTCATCCGATGTCTTAGTTATATCCTGATTTTGTGCGTTCTAGGCGGTGCATATGGGGTTGTGGTTTAGGTGTATCGTCTGGTATTTTAGGCGTAGCCGCCTCAGAGTCAACCTGTAATACATAGAGGGAAAAGGGGGAGATCGATACATAACAACCTGAACGAAGATACATACTGTACTACTATGTAAACGCTTCGATTCAGGGGGGGTTACACGGATTTGAGCCAATCGGAAAGCATGCCTCCAAATAACTATATGATAATATCGATAAAATACCTACTATCTACTAGGTAGGGTAGGTATGTAACTAAACAGTGCTAGGTATCTACCTATGTACATATTGACGACAGCGTTAATTACCGAGGTAATGAATAGGAAACTGCTTTTTATCAACTCATCATTCAAATGAGGATGGGGATTCTAACTCATACCTATCGAGGGCTTCGCCGAACACTCCCCATTGCACAACTACATAGTGCAAGATCATTTCATGTTTCCACGTTGAATGCGCGCATCTTTCCCGCTCTATTCGTCCGAGGCGGCACGTCTAATGGCTTAATCTTTCAACGTCAGCATCTTCCACCCCAAGACCAATGGCATATCATATTGCCGGCGGCTATGGGATCGCCAGATTCCTACGGTCGACAGCTCAATGGCATGGGAGGGGGCATATCCTCGACCTCTAAGATCTGCGTCCTGTCGCCTTCTACGCGCCCGGATGCGGATATTGACTTCACTTTCGTCCAGGTTGGTATAAAAGATGGCGTCCTCGACCTCGCTGGAAATTGCGGAAACATGTCATCTGCTGTGGGACCAGTCGCCTGGGACGAAGGGTTAGTCGCCGACCAAGCGTCAAAGGTCCGAGATGTAGGCAAGGCAGCCAATTACCGAGAAGCTCTTGTAAGGGTGTTTAATACGAACACCTCCAAGATCATACATTCGCGCTTTAGGGTAAGCGGTGACCCTCCTGTCTACTGCCACGAGGGAGATTATGAGATGGATGGCGTCCCTGGGATGCAATCGAGGATTACTCTCAGCTTCCTAAATCCTGCTGGCGCAAAGACAGGCAAAGCGCTACCGACTGGGAATCCGGTTGACTTGTTGACGCTACCAGACGGGGAGCAGATCAAGGCCTCCTTGGTAGATGTGTCGAATCCAGGAGTGTTTATCCGGATAGACGAATTAGGGATCAGTGATGCGGACCCGGCCGCTTTTACCCCACAGGCGGTCGAGGCAGACCCAAATCTGAAGGCCAGATTAGAGTCCATCCGTCAAGCTGGCGCGACGATGATGGGATTAGATCCAAAGACCGAAAGTGTGCCTAAAGTCGTTCTCCTGTTTCCGGAATCGGGCTCAGATGATATCGACATCAGATGTCTAGCATTATCGATGGGACAGGCACATAAGGCGGTGCCCCTGACTTTAGCTCTGTGTCTTGGGGCAGCGGCGAACATGCCTGGGACTCTAGCGGCACAAGTTTGCAGCAAGACCCGAGGCAGTCGCGGAAGTGGCTCTGTCGTTATTGGACATCCGAGCGGAACCGTCGAGATAGGAGCGACGATCGAGGACGGTCAGATCGTCTCAGCAGACCTGCTTCGCACTGCTAGAGTACTTATGAAGGGCGAGGTTTATTACTAACTGTGAAGATTATTGGGAAGCTTTTAACTACTATCCTGTTGCCAATAATTTCTGCCCACCTAAGGTACGCCTTCTAAAATGCACGCGGGATTCATATCTTCGGCGGAAACTGCCAGTATCCTAAAGTGAACTTGGACCTTCCAAAAGCCTTCACCTACGTACCTAGGTATGTTTACCTACTATGTTCTTAGTAGTTAACAATTATATTTTCTTGGACATCATTCTCGAAACCTTTCAACTATCATCGTCAACGAGTCTTGATTTTCAAGGAATACCGATATCAATTCAATAACAAATATTCAATCATCAGTTAGCTATCGAGACAGCAAACAAATTCAAAGTATCTCGATCAATATCGACCAGTATGGATTTGTTACATCACCGCGTTACACTTACCCCAACGCTCATGGTCCTGCCGACGCCAGTGATGAAGCTCGAGGATAAGGCCCTCCGACGCTGTGAAGATGCGATGGATGAGGTGTATAAATTCAGGGCACACCCGACAACAGAAGCGATTGATTTGGACATATGGAAACCGCCAACTCTACCAGATGATCCCTTCATTTGGGGGCGTCATCTTTTCATCGATGGATTTGCAGTAGTCAACTTTCTGACGATGTACCAAAAGACCGGCGAGCTCCATTATGGCCAGATTGCTGCCAAGTTGGCGTTCGTTGTGTGTGAAACCCTGGGCGATCTTACCGGGGCGACCGACGACCAACCTTTGGGGCAAGGTCTCAGAAGTGGCGATACAGCTCGGTCGCCGTGGAGGGGGACTATTTGGCCACATGTGATGTGGGCGTTCGCTTTGACTCGCCTAGGTGCTGTGATGGGGCAACCGAGGTTCCTCAAATTGGCTGCGCATACGATTCGGAGCGTGCATCCTCGTATCGAAGACGGTAATCACGATGTCCCAGTCGCTCAGAATGAGTCCCCGTATGGTGTATTCAAAGACGGCTACATCGGTGCCATGGGTACAAGCTTTTTGGCCTTGGCTTCCAGGATCTTAGTTAAGACGGCACACTCATTAGGCTATGTCGATCCCTCCTTCGTCTGGGACGTGACCCTGCGTTTGTCTTTGATGCGCGACGACCACCAGCTTATAGGTCTTGACGACCCTCAAGTTGCTAGTTACGCCTTAATCCTATGTCAAGTCGACCCCGAATCCCAGGCGGAAACGGCTTTGACTCAAAAAGCACTCGAGAAGCTCGACGACAATGTGCTCCGAGGACAAAGAGGCCCGATATCGTTGGATACCAGTATCCATGATCCGTGTTCGATCTTCGCTCTTAGTCTTGGACTTAAATGTAACAAGAATTCTATATGGACCGCTTTGATAGCTGATCACTTGATCAAATTCTGGGAGGAGAGACCTGCCTTGTGGAAAGTAGGAGTATCTCAATCTGTTGCGGCGCTCGTAATGTATGCGGCAGCAGTGGCTCCCGGAGGTATGTCTCATCCAACTTCGTATTTACATCTCAGATATGCACAGAATCACTCACTTACAAACTCATATAGCTTTCATAATAAATTTGTAACCACAAGTTAGTATCTATTAGATTACCCCGGTAGGATATTAATTTGCCGCTGTTAACTTGACTGTCAACATGCCTCGGGAAGGGACAGTAGCCGTAACCACACCCCCCGATAGTGCAGCAGTGTCTGCGGCCACAGACCTAGTGTTATCCGTCACAAAAGCTTCGGCAGCCGCTGGGGTGAATCCATTGAAAGAAATCTTGACGCTCTGCTGCGAACCTCCCGAGTTAACAAATACCACGACAGCTGAACCATCCGTGTTCTTGAACGCCGTAATGCCCGTGCTGGAAACGGTGCCCGTGGTCTTGACTCGGTAGGCCCCGGGGCGCACAAACCTCGACCACATGGTAAAAGCCCAAAGACGTCCAGATGGGGTCACTGTCTTACCGTCACTTGCGACGAGATACGAAGATGCTTGGAACTAGTAGAACGAGTTTGTGAATTAGAAAGCCTGAAGTTCGAAAGTTTGGGCATGGCTTTCTGGAAGAAAGGAAAGAAGGAAAGAAGGAAAGAAGGGGTATAACATACTTGGTTAACCTCTACCCCCTGCCAGTAGATATAAGCAGACAAGTTGGCATTCGCAAGACCGTTGTGGATCTTATTGGCCCACGTCGATCCTTCGCAGAGACCGCCGCCGCCGGACCAGGTCGCGCACCACCGCGACTGGAGATCGGCGGCCTCGGTCTGCCATGTCTTGAGGTTGGTGGAGATTACGGAGTTCGGGTCGCTCGAGTACATGTGGCTCGTGATCAGCTTCAGGTACTTCTCCATCCCTGATGACACGAGGCCTTGCGTTATGCTGCGCTGGGAGTTCCAGCCCACTGTTGGTGGGTGGTGGGGGTGTGGTTAGCGAGGAGGTAGAAATGGATTATAGCGTTGTAAGAAGTTGGAAGACAGCGAGGGAGTTAGTTAGCGAATGAATGATTTGTTTCACTTACTCGCGTCACAGCATGCTATCGATACGTTTCCGACCCCCTGTGCTTCAAGCGTGTCGTGCAGGATGGGGATAAAGGAGGCGGCTTCGCTGGCGCCGGATTGCATTGAGGAGTAGCTCGTTCTGCGGGACTTGTTTTAGCTTCGCCATGAGCTACCAGACGGGTAGGTACGGTCATCGCTTACACGTAGTCCGGCTCATTCAAGAACCCAAGGTGCGTAACGGGCAGGCCAAGCGAGTTGTAGTAGGTACTTGACATACCGCACCAAGAAATCCGCATACGCCTGCCTCCAATCCCCCGGCGCGCACGCGTGGCCCGCCGTCCCGCACAGGTACCCGCCGCTGTTCTCGTTGCCGTTCGTCTTCATGAAGCCCGGCGCGCTCCACGCGTCCGCGTACACCGCCGCGACCCCGTACCGCGCCGCCTGCCGGCCCCGGTCGTCCTCGTCAAAGGTATAGTTGGCCGCCATGCCGGGCCCGCACCGGGCTTGCGGGCAAGATGCTGTCGGTCGGGGTGGTGCCGGACCCGATCCGGTTCCGGATTATGCTGAAGCCGGCGCCGGTGCTGGTGTTGAAGAGGTAGGTAGTCGAGGCCTTGCTGTTGGAGGGGGGGCGGGGAGGAGATCGCGGAACTCGCTGGCGCGCCCGAAGGCTTGGGATAGGTATCCCGAAGCCGTCGATTTGTTGGTGGGGGGTGAGGGTGGAGATGGAGATGGGGGATTGTGCGGTGGTGGGGGGGAGGAGGGGGAGGAGGAGGAGGGTTGTGAGGGTGAGGGTGGTGAGGAGGAGGGACATTGTGGGGAGGGTTGTTGGGGTGGTGTTTTGATGCCGAGGTATGTTAGGTAGGTAGGTAGGTAGGTAGGTGGAAATCTCACAGATGGACCTCGTTGGGATAGGGGTGAAGTTGTGGGGAATTAGTATCCGGAGGATAAGAGTCTTTTACATATCACGCACCTACCTTACCGAGCGTGGGTAGGGAATATTTGATCACACCAAGCCGAGAGATCGAAAGAGATTTAATATATTTCCGAGACTTGCTCAGAATAGAATATCACCTCGATCCAAACCCTACCGCTTCTAATTCGAGCGCGTGAGTGAATGCGCGGAGGAAGGCCAGGGGCTTTATCCTCCGCATGGCTTCCTTTTCTTATCAACTTCTGCCATATTCATACCAGTAGTATCTAGGTTGCCTACTTAAGGTAGTTAGGTAGATAGGCGTGATATGGTGGGAGAAAAGGCGTTGTGATGCCAAGATTTCGTGATAATAGCCTGAATGCCTTGACGTGTTCTGGCCCTTGGGGTGGGATACCTACCGTGGTGGATGGCGCGGAGAGGCAACTTGCGGAGGTAGGTAGGCAATGAGATTCGAGCATTATGGGAATGTTTGAAGTGATCAAGTTTTCGTCGTTGGATATTAATACTGGGTATCTATTATTAGCATGCAGTGTTATAGTTAGGTTATTTTGACAGGTAGGGATAGGTTGAGGCGAAATGCAATGTGCCCAGGTGTGTATGAAGGAGTTGTGATCTGATTTTGTGTGCCAGGTGGGTATATAGAGGGATTCAGGGGTTGATAATGGGATGGTTTGTTACGTTATACCAAGGTACTAAGTACCTACGAATACGTTAGTAGATTGGACAGGTAGACGACCTTTTACGAAGTGCCCGAGTTTATCATGGTGTTAAGATACTGTATATGAATATAGTATAAGCATAGCATATATCTTGATATATTCTAGGTACTGATCTCAGTAAAGGTATATAAGTAATTAAGTGTACAATTTAGTATCAAATCAATGGTCTAAACTTGCTCAGTATAAAACAGTATCCCTCCAAATCTCATATTTATCATTAGGTACCCTTAAAAGCATGCTCATTTCGCTCTGCGTACGCACAGCCAGAATATTGTAATCGTAGCTTTGATTGCGGCAACAAACCATAGACTTGGCTGTACGGCACCAGTAGCTTTAGAAATCCATCCTCCACAGATAGCCCCGAGTAGCGTGAGAAGGAAAGCCACAGCCCTACGATTTCGCTTCACATTCTGCGTAAGGGGGTCCAGGATCCGCTCATCGCTGATTAAGTCACACAACAGCCTGCGTGTAACAAGGTATCATTATGTCAGTTCCAGACTCCTACTTATACGGATTGGAAAGGGGTTCGAGGAATAAATCTAGAAGCAACAAAGGTTTTCCACTCACGTCGTAATTACAACCGTCGGCACTTCGCTCAGACCTAATCCGCGACTATTCGTTATCTGACCCGCGGCCTGAAAACTAAGTAGCGCAACCGGGGCCAGTTCGAGGAAATCCATGACATTGGGGTCTCTCCGCGAGGGATATCGGCCATCGACGATGCCGGTTTGGATGATGGTAGCTGCCACGACCACAAATACGGTCTGGAGAAGAAAGGAGAAGAACACGGTTCTTCGCAGACGCCCACCACCGATCAGCTTATGCAGCCGGGAGAAGACTAGACACCCTATGGTGAAACATCCTATCGAGCATAGCGAGCGAGCCCATCCGAATGGCCTGTTGTTTTGTCCTGAAGCTCCTAGGGCAACGAAGACGGTGTTTCCTAGGCAGTCAAGCGGCTTAGGATAGCTCAATTTGGGGTGGGGACTAAAAAGGGGGTACGGTCATACCAGTTTGCATCGACACGAAAGTGCCATACGCTGAGAAATGACTCGATGTTAGTGACAAGACAAACAAAACATAATTAGGTAATAACACAACATGAGTATTCTTTACTTGCCGTTGTATAAAGTTCCATCCGTGAGGCCTGTTGCGAAACAACAGGCTATTAGAGGCAAAGACCCTATATTCGTATCGACTTCCTCGGAGAGCTGCCTGTAGAGCCGCCGACTAAATGGCTGCTCCTCGGGTGACACTAAGTCGATCATTGGGCTAGGGTCGAGTTTCTCCTCATCTGGCATAGTGACGTTGAGGTGACAATGCAGTGCAGCAGGAGGTCTGGTGATGCTATGTGAGAAGTAGGTAGGGCGCTTAATATTCAATACTCCAAGCAACCAAAATGAAATGGGGGTTTCAAGAACCAATAATTCGACTCGAGGATGAGAATCTCGAAGATAACCTGCGCTGGCTCACAGTTTTGAAATAAATAACCAGGTAATTAGCACTACGTCAGTGAGCGCATGCGTGGTTTATTGTGCTTGGTTGCTTCTTGGTCACTTCTTGGCCGCCTAATCTACAGATCCGCACAAAAGAAGCCGCCGTGTATCTTTAAATCCCTCAGTCCCTTCTTAATGCAACGCCGACCGAAGCTTCCCGTGTGGCGTGTAACCCTTGTAGCAAGTTTGGCTCAACAGTTGCGCGTGAAAAGGGGGCGGGAGGGAAGTGGATTCACATAAGAGAGAAAGCTGATAAGTTCGACATGTCCCGGTTTAAGCATCCCCGGTTTAGATGTCATAGATTGCCTACATCTCTGTAGGTATATCAAAGGTGGGCTGTATCTAGACCCGACCAAGCGGAATTTCTCAGCGACCGGGCTTGCCACATCCACGCCGCGCCACGCGACCTGATTATCTACGAATAAGCCAATAGGACTATTACAATGACAATGTCTCGGATGGGCGCCGAACGTTTTTAGGTTAATGACCCGGTCACGGCGCTCCTATCGGGGCCGTTTCTACTCGTGAGCAACAACACGCTATTTCCTTTCTGTCTTCCGCCTCCCGCCTCCCGCGCAGTTCAGCTCTCCTACGCAAGTGAGCTAAGCCAATAACGAGCCTATCTAGCAGGGTTCCCAACGTTTCAGTGGAGCGGGTTCTACCGCCAAATAGTGAGCTGGAATCAGACAACGATATGAAATGGAGAAAAATGATTGGCCGAAGGTGAATGTCTCGGCCGGTGAATGTCTCGTCCGACATGTCTCTCGCTTTAAAGTTTATCAGATGAATTGGTTTCCCCCTTTTGCTTCGATATTCCCACCTTCGGTGCTGCCGGTCTACTACCCAGTACCTAATGTAGGAGGGCCCAGTATCAACCACAGAGACGGTTGAGAGCTTCATGGCTCAACGCCTACTATCAGAGATGATGTATAGAAGGACCGATGAAGAAAGTGACAGATCGAGTTGGCCTCAAAGCAAGGAATCATTGGCCCAGACCATAATTGTGGATGATTATAACTTGGCGCCAAGGTGATGGCTTGCCCTAAGCTGTGGCATCACAATCTAGAGTTCACATCTACAAGCAACCTGGTATCAACTGATAACCAACCAACTACTCCTCGAAACAAGCGGGCTTCTAGATCAGGTCATACAGTTTGTTGAACCGGGAGGCTGCTTAGCAGGTGAATATTTTTAACAACTTGACATAGCTGTCGTGGCACTTCACCTCGATCAAGGCGTTCAGCCCGCCAAGAAAGCCATGTTAAGCTGACATTCACAGGGAAACACGCAAGAACAAACAAGCAAACAAACAAGCAGATGAACGACGACACACAGTCAACGTATGACCTGAATTTCTACGACAACATGACACATGTATGTCGTATACTATCTAATACCTAACACGAAACCGTTGATATAGGCTGTATTTCAAGTTACAGCGTATATGAAAAAAAGAAAAGGAAAAAGAAAAGCACCTTTTCATGAGATAAGGATCTGGGCAAGAGCAAGTTCTAAGACGGGTAGGCGTATATACAACACCACCACCTACATATATGCTGACAAGGAATAGGATACTCAAAGTATATGAAATATGATCATATGATATGATAATTCGACCGCGGAGGCTTTTTTTGCCCAGTCTCAGCTCATTTACCTGGTGTACAGGTGCATATCAGAGGCCTCCCAAGTGAAGCCCTAGATCTTGGCGGGTCTTGGGCCCAAGACGGTTGCAGAGAGGTTATGTTATCAGCGAAGGGGGACGGGATGTTGAACGAAAGACGCTCGGCGGCTGAGGCTACATCGAAAGGGCCCGGCCCGTGGCGAGCTACCACCTTGCTTACTTACCCACATTATCAAACGCCAGTTACAGCCAGGTAGGGACGGATGCCTACCTAGATATGCAGTATTGCAGAATCGGTTTGCGAATGCATGCCAACGACATCGAACCCGATTAGCGCCTCTCGGAGATCGCGGCGCCGCACCACATGGTTTATTGAAGCTGCCGTGGAATCTTGTTATGGTGTACAGGAAGTGTATAAATGTCGTCATGAACCAAGCCACTTGATTTGTTGACATACAGGTCCCCGTTTGCATACATGACTACCTAGGCAGATACATAGCAGGGCGGCATGGGGTGATGAAAAACGTCATACCATGTATCTTTCCTTCTTTGTAAGGTGCCGGTAAAGTCGTTTCGGGTTTGAGAAAAGCTGAACACTGCGGGATTCAACTGCTGCCAAGAAGAAGCCACTCGATGATATCGCGGAAGCGGAGACGCACCGCTCTTTACGCGTTATTATAGGGCGGTACAACATCGTTACACCTACCCAGACCAGCATCAACTGGCAGAAAAGTCTCTTCAATAGTGCTTACCTAGTACCTACCTGGATAGTCACATAGGCTATCTAGGTAGGTATAGTACCTAACCTGTTACTGAAAGGAGCTGATGTCAGACTTGGCTTCAGCTAAGTCGTTATCGTCCTCAGTAAGCCTATGTGGTACAGAAGACAGAAAAGGGGGGCATGTTAGTTAGGACAGAGGCCAGAAAGAGGGCTAGAAATCACATTTTCATATATTGTATATGATTGAAGTAGGTAGCACCTGAACAATCTATCCGGAGCTGAAGGTGTTTTTAGCCACTCCCTCAAAAAGGAAAAAAAACAAAGGCCAACGTCGTGGTACTGCTTTAGGGGATGTCACCGGGGAGTAGCCAAGAGTAATATTTCCAGGCATGGGACGAGGTTACTGCAGCCTGCCAGAATATGCGGAGATACCTGGTCTCTATAATTGGACAATGACTGTGATCGTAAGAAGCTTGAGCGGCAGACAAGAGATCGGCATGGTGGTACGTTCCCCGGGTTTCTGCAGAGATAAACTTATAGTACATTTTGATGATCATCATGTATGGAAATGAGGATAATTATCTCCGTTGATAATAGCGGCCATCATTAATATCCATAGAAACACGCTCCTCGGTTGTATACTAGATAGGTACCCCCTATTTCCCCTATCTCAGGAGAAGTCCAGAACAGCATCTAGCAATAAGAGTGCCTTACCTACGAAAACACAAAGACCTGAAAGCTGTGAATAAAGCCAACTAAGACGGCCATCCCGTGATAATGGAAGCTGGAAGCTGGCGCCTTAACGAAATAATCAACGGAATCTACGGTATGGCGCCGAGGAAGGAGGGAGTATCCTTGAATACTCCATATTGGGCGTTGTCTAGAAATTGACCTGAAGAGATACACATACATACACACATACACACACATACATGTATCTTCAAACTCCGCATTTCAAGCCCGAGGTGGCTGGCTTGGTGATATCGGCGATCTGGCCCCCACTGAATCGAAGAGTAGAGTGCTTTTGGAAGTCTCATGCGCCAAGTCAGAGTGGTGTTTCCAGGCCGAGGCGTTACTGCAACTCAGGAGCTTTTGCCCCCTTTTGGTCTGTTTTAAGAGGCCATTCTGGATGAAAATGAGCTCAAGGTACCTACGGCATGGAAGTCTAGAAAAACAAGGAAACGGCTACTTAGTTAGGTTAGAAGCGAATATAAATATAAAGGCTCGGCCAGCGTTCACCTGAATAAGTATCTCGACTTTCCTCCTCATCAACACTTAGATCGCACAGCAGCCTTTCTTTTCATATCCAAGTGCTTCTACCCTTCGCTACATACCAAATAAGCCATGACTGTCTCTACTGTCATGTTCCCGGAGCCGGTGACCAGACTCGAGGGCGAGTCGGTCATAACTCTCCAGTCGACAGTCGACTTCGTCTCCGGCCAGTTCAGCGAGCCCATCAAGCCGATTCCTCTCATCGACGTGGCCGAGATATCGGAGGATGACAGCAGCAGCTCAGCGTCCGAGTCCGAGGACGTCGTAGCTGCTACATTGCCGCTCACCAAGAAGCTTAGCAACCCCCTAGCGCTTGACCAGATCGTTTCAAGCGTCGTCGAGCCGACGTCTGGGGCTAAGAAGCTTCGCAAGATGCTACTCGAGACCGAGGAGTTGATCGTGTGTCCCGGGGTCTACGATGGGCTCTCGGCGCGCACGGCTATCGAGTTGGGGTTTAACGCTATGTACATGGTGGGTTCTCATCTCCTTCTCCTATACATCCACATAGTCCACTCGATTTAATCCAGTCTGGTAAAAAAAAAAATACTAACGTTGTGTTGGGTCAAAGACCGGCGCAGGTACCACAGCCTCCCGCATTGGACAGCCAGACCTGGCTATTGCGCAGTTGCACGAGATGCGAGAGAATGCCGAGATGATTGCCAACCTTGACCCCTTTGGCCCACCCCTAATCGCTGACATGGATACCGGGTACGGTGGTAAGTAAATTTCTCTTGATCCTGCTATCTATATACGCTTTGATCTGATATATATCTGCTATAGGTCCCATCATGGTCGCTCGAACCGTGGAGCAGTACATCCGTGCAGGCGTGGCAGGCGCCCATCTGGAAGACCAGGTAGGTTCCCCTATCTACCCTCCCACCCACCTATCTTTTTTGCTATGTCTTAGGGGATGAAGATTCCCACCATACTCCCACAGTGCCTATCCACATGTAAAACTCCAGATCACTAACCCCTGTGCCCAGGTCCTCACCAAGCGCTGCGGCCACCTCAGCGGAAAGCGCGTCGTCCCGCACGACGAGTACATCTCGCGCATCCGCGCCGCGCACGCCGCCCGCGTGCGCCTACAATCCGACTTCGTGCTGATCGCGCGCACCGACGCCCTGCAGTCGCTCGGCTACGACGCGTGCATCGCGCGGCTGCGCGCCGCGCGCTCCGAGGGCGCGGACGTCGGGCTCCTCGAGGGCTTCGCGTCGAAGGAGCAGGCGGCGCAGGCGGTGCGCGACCTCGCGCCCTGGCCGCTGCTGCTGAACTCCGTCGAGAACGGGAAGAGCCCCGTCATCACGGTCGACGAGGCGCGGGACATGGGGTTCAGGATCATGATCTTCAGCTTCGCGACGCTGGCGCCGGCGTACGTGGCCATTCGGGAGACGCTGGTGAGGCTGAAGAATGAGGGGGTCGTCGGCACGCCGAAGGAGATCACACCCGTGAAGCTGTTCGAGGTCTGTGGGCTTGAGTATAGCATGACGGTTGATACGAATGCGGGGGGCACGTCGTTTTTGGGGGGGTTGTGAAGGGTGAGAAGAGGGCGGAAAACGGGGGGTGTGTGTGTGCGTGAATGAATCGGCTGGCGGGCTCTGTGCTGTGTTCATGTGAAAAATAGGTGATCAGAGATGTTTTTTCTTATATTTTCCAAGTGTTGAGGAATATTGGGGATGGATGTACTATTTACTATATTTATGTATTATCAGCTGCGTGGTTAAATATGATCTGAGGTTCTTTTACAACACTGATGGAGTATAATAGGGGTTTCCCCTTCTCATTATACCTCTGTTTCATCAATGTCACCGTCACAATTAGAGAAACAAGGGATAAAAAACGCAGGCAGGTTATATCATCATCTATATTTTATAGCCAGCCAACGGTCTGGCTGACAACTCGTTCATGGAAGCATATATACATATCAGACCGTTCGAATCATACATATGAATACCTCAAAATCCAACTATACAAAAAGGTTAAGCTATGTTCAAAAGAAATCTCATCATCCCACCACCCAGCACAACTCGATCATCTAGGTATCTGACCAGGTAGGTAACTACCCGCCAGTGACTGATGCCGCATTCACTTAAGAAGCAGCGTTGTTGGCCAACAAGTTGACGGTGCCAGTGGGCACTTTGGTGATGACACCGCTAAGCGCGTTCGAGACGATGTATTCGCACAGATTGGCAGGGGTCGCGGCATCGAGTCCTAGGAAGTAGGCGCCGAGACCAGCAATTTGGGGGCTGGCCATAGAGGTACCGGAGATGGTGTTCTGTCATTTTTATTAGTGTGACTGGACATAGTACTGAAGTTAGGTAAAAGAACAGGGGGTTCTTACAGTCTCGCCTCCAATCCAGGTGGAAGTGATCTCGGATCCGGGCGCGAGGATGTCGACAACTTCGCCACTATTATCACCACGAGTCAGTTACTGTCATTTTACGTACAAGTGTAGGGGGCTACGTACAAGTTGGAGTAGTCAGCAAGCTCGTCATCGGCAGTAGTAGCACCGACGGTGCAAGCGGTCGCTTCCGAGGCGGGGGAATAGTCAGAGGCATCAGTGGCAAAGTTTCCGGCGGCGACGGCGAGGAAAGCGCCGGTGTCGACGATGCCGGCCGCGGCCTGGTTCACGGCGTTGGAGGTGGGGCCGCCGAGGGACATGTTGACGACGACGCCCTTGGGGCAAGACTTGCTGGCGATGTCCTGGGTGACGAAGTCCATGCCGGCGATGACACCAGAGCTGTGCGGGGTTTTGGGTCAGCGAAAACTGTGCCATTGGCAATTATAGGAATGGTTGAGTGGTGGTGAGTAACTTACTTGGTACCCGAGCCGCTAGCATCGAGGACCTTGACGCCGAAGAGCGTGGTCTTCTTGGCGACTCCGTAGGTCTTGGAGCCGATGGTTCCGGCGACGTGGGTGCCGTGGCCGTGGCCGTCAGAGTCCTGACCGTCCTCGGCGAAGTTCTGGAGGAAGGTGGCGCGGCCCTCGAATTCCGGGTGGCTGGCCTCGATACCGGTGTCAATGATGTAGGCGCAGGTTCCCTCGCCGGCAGTGTCATCGTAGGTGTAGGTGGTGGAACCGGGCTGGGCGTTGGACAGGCGGGCGATACCCCAGTCGGCGTTCTGCTGGGTAGCCGCGATGGTCACAACAGCATCCTGCTCGATGTAGTCGACCTGAAGATAATAGGGTTAGGGTTTCAAGTAGATTAGGAGACTGAGGGGAGTAGTTATATTCCAAAACTTACGTCGGCGTTGTTCTTCAGCGCCTCGAGCTCCTCAGCAGTCAAGGTGGAAGCAAAGCCCTTGAACTTGTTGGAGTTGTAAACGAAGTCGGCGTCGCTGGAAACGGACTGGATCGAGCTCTGGATAGACGCGAGCTGCGCATCGCCCTTCATCTTTACGATGTATTTGCCATCAAGAAGCTGGGCGCCGCGGGGTCGGATGACCGGAGCAGGGGTAGCCCGCTTCGCAGGGGCGGCAAGTGCCAGAGGCAACAAAGCGAGAGCTGCAGTAGTACGCATTGTGGATAGGATATAGCGGTGACTGGTTAAATATTGATCTGGTTTTGCTGTCTGAAGTGGGCTCCTCTGAAGAATGAAGTTATTCGAGTGTGAGATGGTGAGATGGTGAGAGCAAAAGTATTCGATTGATAGAAGACATGATGCCCTTTATATAAAATCTGGTTACAGGCCCCCCGGCCGATGGTTGTGACATCGTGGAGGTTGAGAGAGAAGTCACGAAGTTAATCGTGATGGCGATCCCTACCAAGGGTAGCATGTACTACTGGCATGTAGATGTTGGACGGGCTTGTTAGCGGCCGCTAGCATGTGAGCTACTCAGAGGTTCAGATGTTTGAGATGAATCCTTCATGGGTATAATGGCAGGGGGTCCTCTAGCGGGCGACAATCTCCCTTGTAGGTAGGTACAATTGTACTTGGGTATGTAACTAGAACGGACAATAATCCGACATGCATGACGAGTGCCGATCATAGCAACACCTCCTGGATAAGGCTTGGTGGATCTGAAATATATAATTCGTCAGAAGACGGAATCTGTCTTCGTCCTTCAATAAGATGATAGATCAATCAGGGACCAGTCGTGCTCAAGTCGTGCTACCACAAGCTAAAAGGGTCCACGGGGTTGCACTTATTGTAGTTGTATTAAGACCCAGGGGTTCGGATTTATTCAGGTGGTACTATGTATTAGTATGTAGTTATTCCTAGGTAACGAGTGCCGCTAGACTTGAGCCGAACAATAAATAATACTATTATGCCGTATGGTACTGCTATACATAGTATCATATTAGTATGGTATACTACGGTAATACTATGTAGTCAAATTTGAAGACTAGCCAATGACAGCTAGCATGATAGAGCTACTAAGCTTCTGACAGGAGAACTACATGCACAATAGCTACAAGGTGTTAGTACGTGTTGCACCGCTACCGGTAGTGTAGTGCCAACCGAACTAATGGACAGCCTCGACTTGTGTTGCCTACTATGGACTAGGGAGCTAAGTTGGCACTATGTTGGCATGTCGGCAGCTATGTGAGTAGGTAGGTAGGTAAGTGCTAAATAAAAGTCGTGTTTAGAAACGAAAACGGCCTTCCTTATCGGGTACACTACCCTTCTTGGCTTTTTCATACCTGCATGGCCTGTCAGCGCCTCTGTCCAACCGTCTTCTGTCGATAGGGTTAGTTAATTGTACGATATCTCCGGGCTGCCGGGTATGGTAAGAGACATACTCAACTCTATTTTCACCACATCCACAACGGCGGGCGGCTGTTGGTTGGACAGAATCGGACAAGAGTATCATACCCTATCGTGGCGCTACTAATCTCCCTCCCCGCATGGTGTGAGCAGAGGGCGGAATACGACTGTTTCATCATATTCTCCTAGGATATTCTATTTATGATTTATTTTTATCTATCGTATCTTTATCTATTATGTATGGCGTATATTTACCATATTCGCTCAGAAATCGTTACTCCTGCCGGAGCTATTTTCTGCAGCGTGTTGCGTATCAAGTTAGAAAGAAGTCTTTGTGATCATGTGAACCTTAGAACCATGGAAATCATACTGCAGCTTCAAGCTAAAAGAAAGAAATACAGAAACAGACAGACACTGGAAATCCATCTAGAGACTGCCGATTCAGCTTATCGAATCTTAGTCCCCCCACATCTTTCGACTTTCCCATCCAACCCCCTGACCTAACGGCACCACTCTACCCCTGTGCGTGGATCATCATCCATGACTAACCCCAGTCTGTTCGATGCCAAGTGCCGGCGGGGGTCCGCACATGTCAACGTGCCATTCACATTGGTAGCTTCTCACGACACCAGCTCGGTCAGTTCAAATTGTATGGTACAGATATGCACGTGTGTGGTTAGCCTGGGTTGTGTGATTGCCGATCATTGTCCCCGCCGACAAAGTCATGTAGCCCGACAGCTCACAAGAGCCGTAGTGATAAGTCGGAATGGCTTAATAACGGTCCTGGCCCCCGGCCGGATTGCAAATCCCACCCGGATGCAGCAAGTATGCCAAATTCACCTACTTACTGCGGAAGGCCGTATCTCCCTAACGTACGGCGCTATTCCGGGGTGCATCGTTTCCGATAGTTCGTATCTTCAACTATCTCTTATACTTGCCATTGAAAAGTCTGGGTACGGGATAACCATAAGTCTGTAAATCCGCGCTTAACGAAACGAAGCCCGATTAACTGAATCCTACCTCGGGATCACAACATGACAACATAATCCTGTGGCTCCTTGCCGGTCATCGGTAGGTCCAGATGAGAAACTGTCTTGTTACTGATGCCTACATCCCAACCCATCTACATACTACCTAATACCTACCTAGCATACCTAGGTTTGGTCCGATTTCGTCCGAAGCCGTCCGAAAGCACATTGTCACATGATAGAAACAGCACCGCTCCTAGGTATATACTAACCTAGATAGCTAGAAACATGTTGATTGTTAAGCTGCCTACATACCTAATATTTACTTACCTTCTAAGTTGGTAAACAATTGGCAGTCTATGAAACGTCACATAGCAAATTATCTCATTCATCCTTGTCCTAGATTAGGTTACGACCCGCCTTTGAGAATATGGGGAACATCGAAAGAATCCTACATCGTATGTGGCTGTGCCTCTTTCGCAATAACTAGCCCCTCTCTCCGTCTCCCCTTTTATTTTTCCCCCATTTTCTAGCAACTCTTGGGCATCGTGTTGAGTCCAAAGATCTCCAACATAAGAAAGAACTACCTCCTAAATAAGTATGTGACAATGATTCAAAGAAAAACCTCGTGTTAATACCTTGCCTAACAGACTCGGCGAAACGACTGTGCATGTTCACTTGGCAGATTGGTAAACCTTCAAGGTTGAATTGAATAGAAGTCATGCCAGACTCATCAGAAAACAACTGCTAACGCGACAAAAGGCTACATGAGATCTCGTTTAGTTTGATGGTTCTTACATCTCAAACTTCAAATGAAAACCTACCTACCTATTATCCCTTAGCTGCTTCTCAAGTCCTTGTGTCTCTCCAGTATCAGCACAATCTTGAGATTTATTCATCGTATCCCGCGCCAAGGGTGCCAACGTCGTGGGGACTGAGAAGTATGGTGCCATAAGTCGAAGAGAAGAAACAGAGCAACCTGGAATATAGGAGAAATACTCGGGGCTATGAGTCTATCTCACACGAATGTCCTAAATGGGTTTTGCGTATTACCTGAATGGGGCCGAACTATTACTCTTACAGATGGACTCCTTCACATTGCACTGTTTGATATTTCACTTACTTATCTTCATCGCTGGTTGGTGCGCATCTCAGTCCTCTATTTACCTAGTAGACTAACTCGGATGTAGTTCCGCTTCCACAGATAATGAGAATTATTTTGAGTACATGCTTGTGATGCCGTGTCTCATATACGGCTAGTTAGTTGTATTGATCCTCCGTGCTAAGTGAACACCCGGCCATTAGCCTCCTAATATTCTCCGAAGGAAATCCTTTACTGGCATTAATCATTGACTATCTACCTAGGAGGCGGGCACTAACCTACGCAAGTATTCGTGCCACACACCGAGTAACAACATATATTCTTCTGTGCTACCTTGGCAAATTGGGTAGATGATAGCACTGGATAGATGATACTGAAAGGTTATATACCATGTAAATATTCTCTATTGATACATCAACATGACACGTTATACAACTTTTCCCTGCTGATGGGACCGTGAGGCGAAATGTCACCTCTATGAACCGGCCCTTCATCTCAACTCGCCTGAAGTCATTTGCAGATGAACCAAGACTGAGGCAGCTTCACATTGTCCAGCAAGGTGAGGCTAACATGAAAATCTATACGAGTAAAAGCTATCTCACGGATCGGGCCATTTCCTAAAGTTGTGTTCACACATAGACCCAACCTAGAGATAAGTGAGACGTTTCGCTTCCTGTGTAGCTCTGGTTGGCTTGAATCCAGGATTATTCGAATAGTGCTATTGTTGCTCAATTCTATAACTTCCAAGAGTTAGATAAGGTGATGGCCAGTAAAGGTACCTACCAACCTGAGTATAGCAAGCCTTGGAAGCTGTAAGTTGATACCTTCCAATTCGTATTACCCCCCTTTCATACCAGTTACCCCTTAGTCTAGGTAAAGGGACACGAGACAGTCGGAAGGCCCGAAGCAACGATTGGAGTTATGGGGACGGTTGTGTGCAGACTCGGAATAGATTATTTTATTATACGATGCTGTGAGAGGTGGTGCGAGGTGTCACCGTTACTACCTCCGCGTATCTATACTCTGTTTCAATATTACGACCCTGCGTACGATTCGGATATAGTGGGTGCCGACTCTAAGTTATTTCAGTGGTAAACAACCCCCTTTCCTATGCGGGCCATGGTCGATGTGAATTATAATTATTGCAAATCTACTGAGGCACCTAGAAAATCACATCTACGAATTCAAACTTCCGGGCGGGCTTCATCCTCTGCGTGTTGCGGACCATGGAAGCAACAGTGTTCTGACAGGAACTCATCAATTGAGTATGCTCAGACTATCACGCTCCAGCGGTACTATCAGATACTATAAGTGTTCACTTCTTATATCAAACTCCTTACATTTAGACTTGTCAACTGATTTTGATTTAGGACATGAGGTTTTCTGGAAGGGAAGTCTATTGAATGTTGCGTGCGGTCTGGGCATGATATGTAACTCCCTAAGTATGGAGTACGAGGCAACCGCATAGCACTGGGACATCATGATCCCACAAATAGTTCTAGTACTATAGTCGATAAAGGACATCACAGTGGAAACACGTTCGTCAAGTCTAAGTCAAGGCGGTGGCAACCCTCGAAGCCACGAAGGTACCTACGTGAAATATTTGAGTAAGTTTCTCCCTTGTCCGTGGTCTCCAATAGTATCTGAACAGGTCCTCATCTTTTTTTCTGAGTAAGCGTCCCACGCACTAAATATCAAGAGAGCAGCGGGGTGGGAAAATAATAGCCTTGTTTCTAAGGTTAAGGTTGTAGGTGGAGCCGCGGCTCCACGACATCACAAGGCTCACCACCCGCCCTCGTAACCGACCCTCCTACCCTTCTTTCGACCGAAGTTAAACTTATAGGTCCCCGGAAAGCAACAACTACCACTTCCTGGGTGAGAACCTGGGTACCTAGGTTTTCAACCTATGTTGGCTCAGTGGTAAGGTGCGAACACCACCATGTGGCTCCCTTAAAGTGCGGGTTCAGAACGAACACCACTGCGGGATGCCCGAGGGTGCGGGTTCAATCCTACCACGAGCACCTTTCTTTTTCTTTTTTTTTCTTTTTTCTTTTTTCCCATACCCTTTATTTTTCATTCCTTCTCCTTTTTTCCCTTTCCCTTATTTGTGCCCCTCTCTAATCTTATTTTCTTCCTATTTTTACGCAGCCATCGTAACTCGTGACCATTAAACCAACATTGCAAATTGACACTTCTACTACGCAGCTTCCATTACATCCACCCACTGCTAAATCATATCTCCATACCTAACCTCGATATTATCAATCACAATGAGCTACAATAAGTACCCTCGATAACTTCACACTCATAAAATGTCATGAGCATTAAATTGTAGTCGTCGTATGTACACTATATAAAGAGAGCCCCTTTATCACCCCTATACGTTATATTCTAGCCCTCCAACTAGGTACGCAATAAAGAGCTAACACCTATCTAGTAAGTACCAGCTTTCTCTCTACACTCTGGCTTCCAATCACCGATACCAAATACCCTCATGACCTAGGTTAGTGTGACAGGGATAGCTACGCTCTCCTAAGATCACCTAACTAATCCAGTCTAGTTCAGCTGGATTGTGTATATAATGAGCATGCGCTCTTTGAGATCGTACCTAGATCTCTTTCTCTATCTCTCTTTCCACTGGAACACACTGTCCATGAAATGATCACCTAGTTATATGTGCAATACCTAGGCTCCGTGTTCCAATTCGATGAAGACCATTGAATATTCTCTACTCATCGCCATCGCTCAAAGTAACACCTACCTACTACCTTAGAGCATGACTGCTTTAAGATTCAGAAGCTTCTAACTTCCACTAGCATGAATATAAGCTCACATCTACCACACGTTGCCCGTGAAGAGGACCGGATCTGTAAAGGATCTGTCTACCTTTTGGCTAGTTAGCACAAAAACAGCTATATGTCTATGTCTATGTAGCCTCCGTATCCCTCCAGGAGGTGTTATAGATTCCCGCGCAACAACGATGTTATTCTGCATCTTCTAGTTTCTTGCAACTAATCATAGCCCTTCCTAAATGAGAGGATACTATCAGATCCGAGATGTGCACTTGAAGGATAAATCGGAACGACGTTGTAATCAAAAGTAAAGAGAGTCTCACATCATAGATGAAAGGGGTTAGGGTCCTTTACCACTCACTAGGTTAGCTCCCTAGCCTCAGTAACATTGGTTAGCACAGGTTATGCGCTTATCGCACATTCACTTAAAAGCTTTCACCTAACTATCCCACTTACCCAATTAACGATAAGCGTGGTTATTGGTCCGGCCACTGTGCACACACAGTTTAGATTGAGGGGATTTGATGCCACACACACCACCACACACCACCAAAATTCCCTCAACCTGCCAACTGACTAACTAGTTATATACGCTAATACGCAAAAGAAAACCATCGGCGAATAAGACGAGGCCTCGTGGCGCAACGGTAGCGCGTTCGACTCCAGATCGAAAGGTTATCCGTTCAAATCGGGTCGGGGTCATCATATTTTTGTAGTTTTACTAAACTACTCCTTCCTTTTTTTTTTTTTTTTTTTTTTTTTCCCCTCTTCTTTTTTTTAATAGGGGGAGGGGGGGGGGGGATCAAAGCTTGGGCCTTTTCTCTTCTCATCAAGTGCCCATGCGATCAAGGAAACAACTTCTTTCTATGTAGTTATTTACATCTACTAGGTACATAGTCACGTCCTCGATAATCTATTCGTAAAAATTCGTATAAACCCTTTGTCCTCGCCAGCCATATCGTCAAAATCCAAGATCTAAAATTTCAGACACATGGTAAATACTTGCCGGGAGTATCTCGCGCGCAACTTTGATGTCTGTTCAAGCATTGTCAAGCCTTTTTAGCGTCTCCGGGCCAAGGAAATGCGACACTGTTCGATATCATTCACCTAGCTCTCTACGGTCTACCTAACTACCTAACCTAGGTATATGATGCAACTTTTATGGCCTTAAAATTGTTGGCAATGTTATCTCTAAATACAGGGCCACTTTAGCCTAGTATAGACATTTCTATCTTTTAGCGTTACTTAGTAGATATCCAAATACGAGGAACCCAATCGTCATATAAGCTAGTCTGCGTCGTACAGTTCTTTCAAGATCCGAGTCTGTTTATCACATATAAGGTTAATAACCTGGAAGTCAAGTTGGTGATTGTCTCGAATGATAAGAACAATACATACTTGTAGAGACTAGAAATTCCAAAAGTAAAAGTAGCTACCTCGTATGTATGTACGATGATAGGTTGTATGTACATGGGAACCTTGGAGATGTCCTGGGCCAACATCATTGGAGGAAGATTCCAACATATCAACACTGAGGGGCAAAGATCCTTACAAGAGCAGCCGGGCACAATCTAGGCCTACATATCTACAGCAGTATATGGTATCCGACCTTCCGGAAACGTCAAAGTCAGAGAATGGCGCAACCGCAAACAAGGAACCCGTATGAATGGCAACTGCCTACCGTGTAGCTATTCATAATTCGACCTTACCAGTGTACTATGTAGTAACCTGTGTAGGATGCTCATCGCAAAGGCAATTAATGTAATTTCCGGCCTGTTGAAATCAAGACTTCTAATTGGATCTTGATATGCAGTAGGGCAGTAGCCTGCCTCTCGTCCCAGGTCAGTGATCCTTGCCCTGTCAGCTTGCATTATGGATCTTCGAGATAGCGTGCTACGCGCCTCCCAACTGAGTGCACCAACATATGTACATAAATTGGCCCTCTGGAAGCTTATTCTGTCCCAGGAATATGGTTCTAGTTGTCTTGCTTTGCTCATACCTCGGGTCCATAGACAAGCAGAATTACCTAGGTTGAACCACCTGCGATCATGGTTGGCCTCACTGTTGCCTTTTCGGCACTCCTCGCCGTCGCCCAGGTTACATTTGCGACCCCTATACAGTCGCGCACCCCTTATCGTGTAAAGGATGTGCACCATGTTCCTAGAGGATGGACAAAGGTCCGTCGTGCTCCGGCCGAGCATGTCATTGATCTTCAAATTGGTGTCAAGCAGAGCAACTTTGCCGAACTCGAGAGGCATCTGTATGAAGGTAGGCACCCGAATTGGAACTCTATAGCACGTGCTGGAGTTAAGCAAGATACAAGGGATGATTTCTAATGGCAAATGAATAGTTTCGGATCCGCATCATCACCGCTATGGTCAGCACCTTTCTGCTGATGAAGTGAAGGACTTAGTCAAGCCGACGGACGAGACGTTGGATCTTGTCCACGAGTGGTTGGAGGCCAATGGCATAATCCCCTCAAAATACAGTTCAGCCAAGGACTGGATCACGGTGTCTGTGCCGGTAGGAGTGGTTGAACGTCTCCTCGACACTGAGTACCACGTCTACGAGCATGAAGACGGCGGTCTTATCGCTCGAGCTCCTGCATGGTCTCTTCCAGATCATCTGCATAAGCACATCGATACGATCCAACCCACCAACTCATTTTTCCGGGCTCGCGCCAACAAGTTTGACCATATTGAAGCGCCTATTCATCTTGATACCAACTATAAACTCCCTACCAATCCGGCTCTGAAGGCGGTCTGCAATGTGAGCTCTGTTACGCCAGAATGCTTCCAGACGCTTTATTCGACCAAAGGATATATTACCCGGGCTGGCGGCAAGAACAAGATTGGATTCAATAATTTCCTCGGCGAACATCCAATTCGGTCGGATGCCGAAAAATTCCTCGCAAAATATCGACCTGAAGCAGTCTCGAGTGCCAAAGACTTCCCACAGATCACCATTGCGAACGGCCCTGGTGACTACGCTTTGACTCCCGCAGAGATTGCTTCACGTACCTCAAAAGAGGCAAATTTGGACATCCAGGCCATTGCTGGAATTAGCTGGAAGAGTAAGTAGTATCTGAATCTGAATTGCTCTCAAACCTTTCATTTCACTAACAAGTTTTGGGGTAGCCCCAATAATAAGCTACTCAACGGGTGGCAGCCCGCCATTTAACCCGTCCCCGAGTACACCAGACAACACCAACGAGCCGTATCTGGTTTGGGTGAATTATCTCTTGGATCAGAAATCTATCCCGCAAATTATTAGGTATGTACGAGAAAAGGGGGTTGATAATACCCATAATCTGCAATTTCATGTTGATAGAGGCTGACTTTCTCGCAGTATGTCGTACTTCTATCTTAACTTACCCACTGGGAGGAGTTCAAATAAATGGGTACCTAGTATGATTTGGCTGTGCAGATAAAACTAACAGCCTATAGCGACTTCGTATGCCGACGACGAGCAGACCGTACCGGAATCTTATGCAAGGCGAGTTTGCCAACAATTTGCTCAGGTTGGCGCTCGTGGAACCTCTTTGCTTTTCAGTAGCGGCGACAGCGGTGTTGGGCCGTACGGAGAGTGCTTAAGCAACGATGGGAAGAACACAACAAAATTCATCCCCGAGTTCCCACCCAGCTGCCCTTACGTGACAGCGGTCGGTGCGACCAAGAACTTCGAACCCGAGGTGGTAGCGTATCGACCGGCATTTGTTGGCCCGAATGGTGTCACGCGCGGCAATTACACGAGCGGAGGTGGCTTTAGCAATTACTTCCCGGCACCGGCATACCAGGCTAAGCAGGCCAGCAGTTATGTTTCAAACCTGAAAGGCTTATATGATGGCCTGTATAACAAGACGGGTCGTGGCTACCCTGACATCTCAGCACAGGGGCTCTACTTTGCGTACTTTTGGAACGGCACTGAAGGCGTCATCAGCGGTACCAGTGCCAGTTGCCCACTGACAGGAGGTATCCTCTCGCTAGTCAATGACGCGCTCGTCTCAGCAGGAAAGCCCCCACTGGGATTCCTGAACCCTTGGCTGTATTCGAAAGGGTACAAAGGGCTGACAGATATCGTAAGTGGCAGTGCTGTCGGTTGTGGAGTTGATGGTTTTCCAGCAACTCAAGGATGGGATCCCGTTACTGGGCTTGGAACGCCGGTAAGTGCATTATTGCCTTTTCTTCCTGGTCCCTTATATCGATTTATAGAACTGACCAATGCTTTAGATATTCCCCAAGCTTGTCGCATTAGCTAGCGGGTGGGGGCCTTACTGACAATGAGGGAGGCATTCTTAATTCGTGATTATGTATAATTTATGAGATATACTCTACTTTACATGGTTAATGAGCAGAAGACTTCAAATAAGCTTCATTAGAATGCAGCTATTCTAATTCTTGACTGATTCTAAGATGCGTATACCGAAAGTGATCAGTTGTGCCCGCTGCCTGTGTTGAAGATGACGTTGGTGTTGATGTTGAGGAATTCAAAAAGTATAAGTTGAAGTGACTTAAGATTAACTAGTACTAGTACTATGTATGTACATGCTATCGATTATGTAAGTACCAAAGTAGTCACAGCAACTGATGTCATTGGATCCCCGGTTTACCTCCATACCTGTCAATTGGCCTAAATAAACTTCGTAGCCTTGGGAATTATTTAACCTAGCGTTATCTCACCAATCGCTCGCGTCGCATTTCTTCTAAGATCAGTCTCTTAGATTCACCATCGTCATAACCTCTCAGCTCTTTTCTTAGTAAGGATCTTAGTAGGAACTGCCTACCCATTACAAAGTCAATATGGGATCCATTGTCCTGCCTCATCTGAACACAGGCTGGCACGTCGACCAAGCTATCCTATCGGAAACGGAGCGTGTTGTTGGTAAGTAGTTCATTTCGCCTTTTAGCTATGAGTTCGCAAAGCAAGCTGCTAACCTCAATCTTTATGGCAGCGATCCGTTTTGGCCGTGATCACGATGCCGACTGTATGCGACAAGACGAAGTCCTCTACCGTATCGCAGATAAAGTCAAAAACTTCTGCGTGATCTACGTTTGCGATATCGACCAAGTTCCCGACTTCAACCAGATGTACGGTAAGTGCTAGTAGCCACCTACCACCTCTTCATTATTACACCACTAACGACAAAACCTCATATAGAATTGTACGACCCATGCACCATCATGTTTTTCTACCGGAACAAGCACATGCTATGCGATTTAGGCACAGGAAATAACAACAAACTCAACTTTGTCCTAGAAGACAAGCAAGAATTAATCGACATAATCGAGACTGTTTACAAAGGTGCCAAGAAAGGCCGTGGTCTGGTCGTGAGCCCCAAGGATTACTCTACCCGCTACCGATACTAGTTTCCCCACGTACAAGTACAATATATCGGCATTGCGATATTAGTGGGCTCAGAAATATTGGCCAGTCGGTCTTTGACGATATCTAGGAGTTACTGGGAATTGCTTATGGTATGTGATAGAGAGACAGAAAGCCGTTTATAGTGATAGCAAAAAAGAAGCTAATAAACTGATCCTGTGTGTTTAAAGCTACCGACTTGAACCATTTCCCTACTACGTCTTCCTATGTCTACGTGCAAATGTAAGTTGGTATTGGACATGATAATGCTAACCAACATTTATGGATAATGATTTCAACGAGGCCTTACAAAATCGAAGTTGCCTGGATGGCCTAAAAGACCCAGTGGGGCGGATGGCCGGAATCCACTTCAGCTTGCCAAACCTATCAAGGTGAAATAGAGCATCATCTGAGTGAGTGTAACTTCGTATGAGTGAGTAAAGAAATTGCTTTGTATGCTTGCACAACATTGAATATTGTATCTACCTAGGTAGGAATGGGTGGTAGGAGTAAATACCTACATGTACCTAGTCGGCTAGGTATGTGGTGGATTTGTTAAAAAAGGCATGCGTAAGCTATTGTGGCATTGAAGATTCCTACAATGAGGATAGCGTGCAATGTACTATGTAGTATGGGTCCATGAAGGAAAAGAAAGACCCCTGAAATCTATTTACGGCTAGCTGCTTAGGTACCTTGGCCCTGAAGTCCCTTCAAGTTTCCACCAAATGTACATATGTATGTTGGTCCGAGGTCACTACATGTATTGAAGATTTGGCAACAGCACAGCCTCTTTGTGGCAGCAACGACTGCAGCCACGCAATTTCAGTGGATAAGCCTAGGCCTAGAGGTGTATTTTCCTTGTACCGTAATGCGCCCCATACCTCGGCCAAGGTACGTTATTTGTACATATACTTAGTACTTACAAACATTATGCATGGAGCCTTAAAACTGGATGGGTGACGACAGCGATTTGCATTTGGCTGTGTCTTGTCTTGGGTGTCCTGCCTCATTACCTAATGCTACCTAATGCTAATAAATACCTAGTACATAGTGCTTTAAGGTTAGTACCTAGTACGAAGTACTACTAACTACAGTCTACTAGTACCTGGCACGTTAAACAAACACCAAGGACCACTCAAAAGGATTCCCCAAGCCCAATTTCCATCTTTTCACTTTTGTTTTCTGATTTACCTACCTGACTCTGCCTGTCTCACATATTTGCGGTTTTGTTTCTGTCTTCTTTTTGCATTTCCTCATCAAGGGAAAACAATCACGCATCATCAATCTCTGAGGCGATAAATCGTTATTTTTTGTCTCAGTTACATTCGTTCCTATTTGAACCTTTGCCGCATTGCTGCATTAATTCACCCACTATCTTAGTAATACTCGGAGTCAGTATCTGGATTGGAAACCAGGGTAAACGACCAACAAAAGGTATTGAGAAAAGCGAGAAGATTGGGAGAAAAAGAAGAGAACAGAAAAGGAAAAGAAAGGGACAAAAACACTGTGCTGGTCACGCTCTTTCTTGATTCCCATTCGAACCCCGATAAGAAGAGCGACCATGGCCGCCAACGAATACTACCACACGTCGTCACCACGACCCTACAATAATTACGAGCCATCAGTGGCATCCACAACCCCTCCCACCTATACCTCACAACAGCATCCGCCAGATCGTACAGAACCTTCACCCTTCGATACCGTTTTTGATGATCACGCCTATCCAGCTAATTCACATGCCCGCCAAACACCCGATTCCATGAACTCTAGTCAGCAGAATTTCGCCTATGATACGAGATATCATGGCGGCGCACCTGGAGATGTTTCACCTGTAGGCGGGGATGATATTCCCCTGCGCCAGCAAAATACCAAGCCACTCGGCTTTGGTCTAGATTCAAATGACCATGTTTACGATGCCCCCGATCCGGAATCTGGCCCTCCTCGAGAAGCAGCGTCTAACAAGCGTGGCATGTTACGATTTGGAGAACTAGGCATGCTCGGATCGGAAAAGAGAAGGATACCCATCATCGTTTATCTACTATCTCTCATTCAGATCGTCGTCTTCATTGTCGAGCTAGTTAAGGGCGCTCAACTCACTGGAAGCCCTATTCAGACCAAGCCACAGTTTAACCCCATGATTGGTCCTTCCCAGCAGGTTCTCATCAACATGGGCTCGAGATATGTTCCGTGTATGAAGAACGTGGACGGCGTCCAAAATTACCGTGCTCCCGCCGGTGTTACCGAGAATGGTTTCGGATGGCCTTGTCCCAACACAACTTCGCTTGACCCCAACAATGACTCGAACAAATGTTCCCTCTCAGAGCTTTGTGGCTTCGATGGTGTTCCCAATCCAGAGTGGGACCCTGACAATGGGCTCAACCAAAGTCCGGCACCCAACCAATGGTTTCGCTTCATAACTCCCATCTTTATGCACGCCGGTATTATCCACATTGGCTTTAACTTGCTATTGCAGCTCACTATGGGAACGGAAATTGAGAGATCCATCGGCTCTATTCGGTTCTTTCTAGTCTATATGAGCGCTGGCATCTTTGGTTTCGTCATGGGAGGAAATTACGCTGCTCCTGGTATCTCATCCACCGGAGCCTCGGGATCCCTATTTGGAATTATTGCCATTACCCTACTCGATCTCCTTTATTCGTGGGGTGAAAGACGTAACCCTGGTAGGGAGCTAATATTCATCATCGTTGAGATACTCATATCTTTTGCCCTCGGTCTGCTTCCTGGTCTAGACAACTTCTCCCATATTGGCGGCTTTATTGTCGGGATATGCCTAGGTGTTAGTGTACTCCATTCCCCGAACGCTCTTCGTCGTAAAATTGGAGAAGATCACTTCGGAGGGCCTTCGTACTCGAGCGTGAACGGCGGCATAACCAGCGTCGCCTTTCCTTCTTTCCACAGGAACCCAGTGGGTTTCTTCAAGGGCAGAAAGCCTTTATGGTGGGGTTGGTGGCTTGTTCGCGCTGCCTTTCTCATCCTTGTTATTGCCGTCTTCATCGTACTACTCCAGAACTTTTACTCCAATCAAAACAACTGCAGCTGGTGCAAATATCTCAGTTGTCTGGTAAGTTCCCTCGTCGTCTTTGCCTTTCATGTTCCAGCACTAATCACGTTGACAGCCCATTAATAACTGGTGTGATATCGGAAATCTAACCATCTCAACGACAACCACTACAAACAAGCGAAGCATCGAGCTATTTGCGCTAGAGCAGGTTGCTAATCTCTATTGATTAATGCTGGGTGGCTTGGTGGAGGATGATCAATGGACTTATGATACCCGGATGCTGGTGAAGAAATAGGAAAAGAGTGTATATAGGCAGTGGATTATTAAGGGCTGGAATAGGGGCGAGGATTAAAAAAAGTCCGTGGGGAAGTGCGCATTGAGAACACACTGAGAAAATGGAGTATCGACATCGAGGTCGCAAGGGCGTCGACATAGTTGAATATACTGACGCGAAATGAAATGAAATGAACCAATCATTCCTCCCTATCTCTCTCCTAGTTACAATCTCTCTCGAGACCTCGGGAAGCTGCATGCTGTATACTTGTGCACGTATATAGGTATCCATGTCAAGGCCCTCTCACCCATAATAACTCTCATTAGTCTGCCTAGCAGAGTTATTTGTGGTTTGTTTTTACTTGTACCTAGGGGACTGGAATGTCGTATCTACCTATCGTACGTGCAAGCATCGCGTATACCTAGGTAGGTAGGTAGGTAGGTAGTAATTCTCCAAACTAGGCCTCGATGTGTACCTAGCTAGATAGTTGGTGCTGAAGGAGATGTGATGTATGTACAGTAGAAGTGGGTGGATGATGATGATGATGCTTACCTAGGTAGTGGTAGGCTCTCCCTCTCAAGCATACACACAATAGAGAAAGGTAGGTAGGTAGGTACACATGCAAACACACACACACACACACACACACGGCAGGGTACTTCAAACGGAAGAAGGAAGTATCATCCATCACATTTATGTAATGTACTAATTCATTACGTCGATTTGGAAACGTCAACATCATCTAGGTCGTTATAAACATCTAGGTTAGACCGTTGTGAACATCCATCCATCCATCCACCTATTCCATCCCACCCATTCCATCCCCTCATCCTCTCATTTCGTCATGTCTGTTCATCACGTCTCCCCATCATCCGACAACAGCTCCTCGACAAGCGAGTCCGCCCCACCGCTGCGCCGACGAACCGTGCTCGCAGAAACATCCGCCTCGTCTATCTCGTCTTCCTCTTCCTCCTCTTCCTCTCCCTCTTCCACTTCCCCATCCCCTTCTTCCTCTTCCTCCTCCTCCTCAATCACCGGCTCCCGCGCCGTAGCAGCCGGAATAGGGTCCTCGGCGGGAGCGAGGGAGACGCTTCTGCTCCTACGACTGCTAGCGCCACCCACACTAGCGGCGCCGACGCTAACGCTTCGCCTGTTGGAGCCAGATGCCAGCGACGCCTTGTCTTGGTCGGCGGCGAGCTGGTTGACGATCTTGCCGAGGGAGACGTGGATCTTGTAGAGGGCGTTGCGGCCGGTGGCGTCGGACATGAGGTTGTCCTCGACGGCGGAGGAGATGTCCTCGTAGAGGGCGCGGATCTTGTCTTCGCTCGAGGCGGGGGAGATGTACAGTTTGCCGAGGAGAGGGGCGATGACTTTCTTTTCTTCTTCTGCGGGGAGAGTTAGCCATGCATAAATGATGGGATTTGGAAATTGTTATAAGGAGGAGGAAAAGGGAAAACTTACTGCTAAAGTTACTTTCTAGCTTTTCGAGAATAGCCCTCGCTAGGTCTAGGTGAACATCGCCGTTCACGTTCTTCTTGTCCGCATCCATGGGGATACCCGGTGTATAGCACTTCCGAGGATCCGTCCAGTCGACCAAACAAGCGCCGATGGTATTGAGACTAGCCATCTCGTCGCTAACATCCATAGCGTCGTCGTCGATGCCCTCCCGGACATTGTAGAGAGCGTGCAACGCATCAAGCGCTATCGAGCCCATGAGCTCTTGGTTTTCCACCCTTGAGTAGCAGAACACGGGAAGGAAATAGTTGAGAGCCTGTCTGACGCCCTGGTTCCCGGCCGTCGACGGGTCGAAATACGCCACGACCAGCGTCTTGAGCAGCTCCGACGACACATCCTCGTCCGTGACCACGCGGCCGAGCAACAACTTGCAGACCGCCACAGTCGCGGTGTCTTGCACCTCTGGGTACTTAGCTCCAGATCGGAGGGCTTTGACATACACTTTTAGCAGTGCCGGGTTTGCTGACAAGAGCTGTGCTCCGTGGACGTTGAGAATGTCGGTCAGAATCTGGAGCGCGGTTATTTGGAGAGCCGCGTGGCCTTTGCTGAAGAAGTGCATGAATAGAGTCAGGTTTTCTTCGGCAAGTTCTCGATCGAGCAGCGCGCATAGTCCTAGACACACCAATCCCCGCTCTCTCACAGGAGCATCTGTGCTTCGGACTGCGGGGACCACTAGGTTGTTCAGCATCGCCACCAGGTGGTCATTTTCCTGCAGCAATCCTTCAACGTTGGATAACATGCATTGAACGATGTGTAGACACTTCAGGTTGATCATTATCTCCTTGATTTCCTTCTCTCGAGCTTCCTCTTCGGTCAACTTGGAATCTGCGCCCTTCTTCCCCTTGGTAGGTGTGCTGTCGCCGCTGACTTCGGATCGAGCCGAGTGGAAGCTTTCCTCGCCGTCGCCGATGGCCGATTCATCCACGATGGTATCGTGAACGTCTGCGACAGCTTCGAGGACGATGCTGCAGAATTCTTTCTCGCCAGCTGCGTCAGGGGCGCATATATCCCGAAGCGCCTCAATGGTAAGCTTGGTGATCTCGTCGGGCAATTCTGGTATGGACAACGCTTGCCGCAACCGAGAAAACATCGCTCTCCGGCCAGCCTCGTCTGAATAGTCCAGGGTTAGGATGATATGAAGCAACTGCTCGAGTATAAACTCCTTTTCTTCTAACTCCTTTTTTTCTTCTAACTCCCTTTCTTCTTCTAACTCCGTTTCATCTTCTACGTTTGCCTGACTGTTGACTCTTTTGGTAACTTCAATGAGAATTTTCAGTTCACGTTCGAAGAGGTAAGCGAAGTCGGTCACCTCAGGCAGCTTCTCTGTAAGGAACTCATATTTCCCATTTCCTTCGGTCCGGCAGAAGTGGTTAAAGCTTCGCGCGATGAAGACGGACTCGGCGCTTAGCTCCTTCCAGAAGTTGTCATCGAATTCTATAAAGTCACGATAGTCTGGCCTTCCTTCCCAGAACCCCTTCATGGCTTCTAGCGCGACACCGTTTTCGACGCCAGAGTTGACAACTTCTATACGCTCAAGCAGCTCAAGAAGCCCCTTTAAGGTAGGGGGGGCTGTGCCGTTTGGGTTCTCTTCGTCTTCAGGTTGATTGGCTCGGGCACAATCCTCAATCCAACGCTCGCGGAATAGTCGCCCAGCGGCCTTTCGAACATTCTCGTCTCTATCTCGTAGGCCCCATCGGAGCAGTTTTTCTCGCATGAGGACGGAGAGATAGCGGAAGTCGCTGAGCGCGGGCAATAGCCTCGAGTAGACTGCACGGCGAGTGGCAGGATCTTGATCTCTAGCTCTTTCCAAGAGATAGCGAAGAGTGTTGGGTAATATAGGCAGGTTGACGAGGAGCGAACGCCTGACATCAGCACTCGGGTCGTTTTGCAACACTTCCAGAAGCTTATCTAAGAGTCCTGTCTCAGCATCGTCACTGTCATCTGAGTTTACCATGCCTTCGACCTCGTTTCCCGCCAATCTGCCAAGGCCAAGCACAGCTTGTGAACGGACCATAGCTTCCTTGTCACGTATCCTCTTAAGGAGACCGTGGCGCAGCTTCTGGAATAGATCATCGTCGATGGCATCCAAGGAGTTGATAACGTGAGAGATTAGCTGAGTTGCTCGGTATCGAACAAATTTGTCCTTGGCAGTGAGCAAGGGCAAGATAGCCTCCAAAACTTGGGTGGTAAGGCGAGTACTTGGAGTCTCGGGCATGGTACTAGCATCAACATCCTCCTCTCCTAGTAGCTCGTTGTCCTTGTCGTTGGCATGGCGCAGAAACAGACCGACAAAGCGTATAGTCTTCTCACCTACGCTCTCGCTCTTTTTCACAGGCATGATTCTCAAAACACATCGGGAAAATTCGTTGTTGAAGTCGGACTCGTCGAAATTGGTAGGCGTGTTCTTGTTGGGACGCGTAGGCTCGTAGCAGCATGCCTCGTGAATCTTGCGGAGGTTGACGACCAACTTTCGGTGAGTAGCGGTAGTCTTCTGTGCATCGCGGAATATTGCGCATATTTGGGTTCGTAATTGACTTTCAGGTGCTTCCTCGGGGATATCAGCATTGGATGATGAGCGTCGTGATGCTGGAGAAGCGCGTGAGGGTTGGGCTGCGGTGGAAGCTTTGGATACAGCAGCAGAGTTGCGCGTGGATCTCCCAGGCGCTCGAGGTGGCATGGTGGGGATGTTTTAGTTCAATACGATATGAAAAATGAGTTGATCAGGTACATGAGTTTATTTCTTCTGGCTAATGTTTGTTTGTCTCGTCGTTTTTGGTCTCTAAAAAGCTCCAGAGGTAATAGTATACGCCTGGTAGGTATAATGAAGTTTAAGTGATTTGCGACGTGACAAGATGCGCCTAAAAGGCGGGATGTTATTATTTATCGATTAGCCCAGGCCCCAGGTGAATCAACAAACTTGAACGTTTAGGGCTGCTGCTGCTACGACAACAGTTCCCTGGCCCCCTCATCCCTGCACATCACCGTGACCTGGGCATGTTCTTAATTAAGGTGGGGTGGAGATTAAAATAGTGGAGTTCTCAATTGATGTTATCGATAACTAATATTATCTTTTTTTTTCTTTTCTTTTTTTCCCTTACTTTCTGAGTACTACATACTACTATATAGGTATTATCACCATTTTATTCAACTTGTCTACCATAAATTGACTCGACCAAAATCTGGTCGTGCGAATAAATATGGGCAAGAACAGCGATCTTAAGAGGTCGAGAGTGCAGGCTTCTGACTCCAATGTACCTTCAAATGATACCGAGTCTACTGTCGAGCCACCCACCAAGAAAGCTCGAGTTGAAGCAAGCAGATCGCTTTTCGTGCGATCGCTACCTACCTCAGCCACCGACGAAACATTGACCGACTTCTTCTCTCAACATTTTCCAGTGAAGCATGCTACAGTCATCCTTGATCCTCAGACCAAAGCCTCTCGTGGTTATGGCTTCGTCACCTTCACAGATGCCGATGATGCTAAAGAAGCCAAAGAGAAGCTGAACAAACAAAAGTTCAATGGCCGTCCACTGGTATTGGAGATCGCAGAACCCCGGCACCGCCTATCAGCCGCCGATGCCGCCGATGCCACCTCCCAAAGAAAGGCTGAGAGGCAGGCAGCCATAGCCGATGCTCGCAAAGTACCTAAGTTGATTATACGGAATTTGCCCTGGAGCATCAAGAAATCCGACCAACTAGCAGCCCTGTTCCAAAGTTTTGGAAAGGTGAAATATGCCGACCTTCCCAATGATAAGGGGAAACTCTCTGGTTTTGGTTTCATCACCATGCGTGGTCGCAAAAACGCAGAGAAAGCTATAGAGGCTATAAATGGGAAGATGGTTGATGGGAGAACTATTGTAGTTGACTGGGCTGTGGATAAGCAAACATGGGAAGAGCAGAAACAGCAAATCAAGAAGGATTCTAAGAAGGATTCCAAGTCTGCAGATCAAGAAGAAGCACCTGAAACTGAAACAGAGTCAGGCAAGAAGAGTAAAAAGAAGGAGGAAGATAGGGAAGAAGATAAGGAGGACGACGAAGAAGATGAGGATATCAAAAATTTCATGAAAAATCACATGGGAAACCTCGAGGAGGAAGACAGCGATGTTGATCCGGATGAGGCCACAGAAAACGACGACGACATTGATGCTGCATCCGAAGACGAACCCAGTCCACCAAAGAAACCCATGATGACAGATAATAGGACAACACTCTTCATTCGCAATTTACCGTTTTCAACGACCGATACAGAACTCAAGTCCCACTTCGAACAATTTGGGCAAATACGGTATGCCCGTATAGTGATGGACCGAGCTAGCGATAGGCCGGCCGGGACAGGCTTCGTGTGCTTCGTCAATGACAGCGATTCGAAAGCTTGTCTGAGGGGTGCACCTCGTCCTCAGCAATCTGTGGTGACAAACAAAAAGTCGATTCTACAGAACGATATGGCGGACGAGGAAGGCAAATACACGATCGATGGCCGCATCCTCCAAGTCTCGCAGGCTGTCAGCAAAGATGAAGCAAGCACCCTAGCAGAAAAGGGTGTTGCAGCACGACAAGGCAAGGAGAAGGACAAACGCCGACTGTATCTATTATCCGAGGGTACGATTTCGAGGGATAACCCCTTATATGCCATGCTAGCCCCCACCGAGGTCAAGATTCGTGAGCAGAGCGTCGACCAACGGAAAAAGCTCATTCAAGGCAACCCGAGTTTACATCTAAGTCTGACTCGCCTGGCTATCCGAAATATTCCCCGTAACACGGATTCAAAGCAGCTCAAAGCCTTGGCTCGTGAGGCTGTCGTTGGATTCGCCACAGATGTTAAGGCCGGCCGAAGAGAGCCGCTTTCCAAAGAGGAAACGGCCCGAGGGGGCGAGGAGGACAAGGAGGCCGAGCGGCGACGCAAAGAAAAGGGGAAGGGCATAGTCAAGCAGGCAAAGATCATATTCGAGAACAACGACGGGTCCAAGGTGCCCGAAGTCGACGGCGCCGGCAAAAGCCGCGGCTACGGCTTCGTCGAGTACTCCTCGCACCGCTGGGCCCTCATGGGCTTGCGATGGCTCAACGGACACGCCGTCGAGGGTGCCGCTGGGAAGACCCACCGCCTCATTGTCGAGTTCGCCATCGAGAACGCGCAGGTGGTCGCGCGTCGCAAGGAGTTCCAGACGAAACAGCAGACGCTGGGCCCGTATAGGCCGCATAACCAGCATGCGACTACTGTTAATGGCAGATCGGCCGCACCTCCTTTTGCGAATGGGAGAGAGAAGAGCAATGGCTACGGGATGAGGGGGAAAGACTTTTCTGTATCGAAGGCTCAGCGCCAGAACCCAAATACTGGTAGTAAGGGGCCTGGTAATGCTGCTGCTACGGGGAAAACTGGCGAGAAGCTCTCTCCTCAGGATGAGCTACAGCAGAAGATTATTATCAGGAAACGGATGACGCGGAAGAAGAAGGCCAGTGCTCGTGGTTAAAGTAAAGTAAAGTAAAGTAAAGTCTGGTCTTGTCGTTTCATCAATACCTCCTATTTACATACCTAGCCTCAGACTCAGTAACTAGTGTCATTGTCATACTAAAAGTATAGGTAGCCCGAACATGTGTTTTCCATGAAAATAATATTCAAGTTTTTTTGTTCACATTCTGTTATTCCTTGCGAAGTCAATGTCGCGTGTGCAATATCCATCCAATCATACGATAACTAATTGAGGGAGCTGCGTAGGTAGAGTTGTGATCATATATCAATGAGAGGTTTTTTGGTATGAAAAGGGGGGGGGGGAGAAAGAGGCGCCTCAATAACGCCCTGATGCCTCGCGTAAAGATACCCCAAAAAGCCATACCCGGGTATAAATCCATTCCCCTTACTTTGACCAAAACCAACCAGTAGGTTTCTGTTCCGGACGGCTACCTGCGCTCGAGTCCGGCTCGTTGCTTGTAGTAGCAGGCTTGGTGTCCCCCGAGCCTCCTCCAGTAGTCCACCCAAACTGCAGCTGCTTCGACCAAGACCTGCTCGAAGACCTCGACATTTCTTCATTGATCGCTACGAGTTTACCGTCAGCGTTGTATGTTCGAACGGTTTTCTCGATTACCATGCCGCCGTTGTCGTCTTCGTACTCGCGGACTTCTTCCTCGACCTTGTAGTTGCCGACGGTCTCGGTTGTTCGGGTAACATTAACCGCGGGGCCTTCGACATCGTCAGAACTAGTATATTCAGGGGTGGGGGGTTGGGACTGGGTAGGTTGCTGTTGGTCCCCCCGCGCATCGTTAGTTTGTTCAGGCTCTCCCCTGAGAAAGACGTTTTCGAAGAAGTTGTACAAGTCAAGTTCCGTGCGTGGTAGCCTAGTGGGGAGCCTTCTGTCGTCTGAAGTATTATACTCTGATTCATCGTCCTCTTCATCCTCTTCGTCCTGAAGGCTGAGCGCTAGTTCCGGGAGGATGGTTCCAGCCGACCATGATACATCCGGGCGGCGGAACGCGAGGCCTTGCAAGCTATGGTGTTTCCAGTATTTTTTGCTTAGCTCGTACTCAACGCCTGGGGCGAGAGAGAAGTAAGCGGGCAAGAGACCTCGGCGTGCTAAGCCGGTTATCCAGGATTCGACAGACGTGCCCCTTGTTTCCAACTTTATGTGCTCCAGGTATTGGTCATGTAGGCGCATCCGTAAGCTTTCGAGTCCATGCCCGGACTGCACTTCCAGGAGATCCTCGAATGCATCCCGGAAGGTGAACTGAGTTCCGGGAGGCGCACCGAGGGGACGGGGCTGCTTCAAGGATTGGAGGTTCACTGGTGAGTAGGGGGATGAGACGGCCCATGAGACAACGTCATCAGCGTTGACAACATTGTCATTTCCCATATTAATGAATGATCCGAATAGAGTCTGGAATCCTCGGGAGATATTGTCATCCATATGGTTTTTGAAGCGTATGAATACGTTATCGAGTGGGTCATTGGGTGCCATGATGCCGTACGAATCTTGAGCAGTTATGTAGTTCGATGTTTGCAACTTGAAGTTATAGTCTGCCTGCCTACTACAACTTACTTTGGAAGTGGAGAGATTGAACTTTTACGAATTCAATGTTGTTTGAAGATGATGGATACCTGAAGTAGGTGGTCTGATGATGCAAGGTACATGTACCTTCCAGGTCCTTCTTCCAAGTTGCGTATCTAGTAGTACTACATGATGTACAATAACTACCTAGTACTACCTAGTACCTAGTATCATACCAGTGACATGTCCAGGGTGGGGTTCTCCCTACTTAAGGTTGGGGTAGGTGCGTCTGATCGCCCTGTATGATGCAACCTGGAACTTTCACGCATGTCGTATATTGGTACCAATAACTATTGTGGATCGCCAATTTCAACTTTGGATATCGCGAATGTGTCTTGAACTTAATTGAAACTTATTCAACTCAACTTCTTTTCTATCGCGTAATTTATTCCGTACCTGGAATGGAGCTCTTCACAAGTGGCTTATAGATCTTGCTTTCCCTTTTTCACTTCTAATCAAGCGATAGGTACTAGGTAGACTAATTCTACGTACTGCGAATTGGATATGCGCCGTCAACATGCCTTTCCACTGTCGACTGTCCTCCTCGTCGCAGCCAACCTGCTTATACCCGTAGCAATCGTAGTCTTTGCGATTGGCTTCTTTCCCTATAAGCCATTCCTGCCTGGCCTAGCCGAGTATCAACCTCTCGAATATGGCCCTCCACCCGATGCACCATTTGACCGCCTGATATTCATGGTCATTGATGCTTTGCGCAGGTTCGTTCCCATTGCGCATCTAGCCTCTTAATGCCATGCGCCTGTCTAGCTGACAAGCGTAGCGACTTCGTATTTTCAGATGAATCCGGCTTTGAATTTACCCAAAAGTGAGTGAACCAAAAGTACGCGACACCCGTCGTGTAAAATCACTAACTAGAGCTTCTAGGTTGATTTCCGATGGAGTCGCTATTCCCTTCACTGCCCATGCCAACTCGCCCACCATAACGATGCCCCGAATCAAGGCCATCACCACTGGCTCCACTCCTTCTTTCCTCGACGCCATATTGAGCTTCGACGAGGCCGACACGTCTTCGACTCTTGCTGCCCAAGACACCTGGCTGGCTCAGATGAAAGCACAGAAAGCTGGAAAGCTGGTTATGCATGGTGATGACACATGGCTCAAATTGTTCCCCGGGATATTCGACCGAACGGACGGTACATCTAGTTTCTTCGTTTCCGATTTCACAGAAGTCGACAACAACGTTACGCGACACATTCCTGACGAATTACAAAATGACGACTGGAACACCATGGTGCTTCATTACCTCGGGCTTGATCACATCGGCCACAAAACTGGTCCACGAGGTCCCAACATGATCCCGAAGCAGCGAGAAATGGATGGCATTGTTCGTATGATATATGAGGCTATGGAGACACAAACTCATCTTCGATCGACTCTGTTGGTCTTCTGCGGTGATCATGGCATGAATGATGCTGGAAACCACGGCGCCTCCTCTCCCGGGGAAACCTCAGCTGCTCTAGTATTTGTGTCACCCAAGTTGAAAACTATTTCCAAGCATGTGAAAGTGCCAGCCGATTTTGTCGAAGATTTCCATTACTACAATGTAGTCCAACAATCCGATCTAGCTCCGACTCTCGCTGCTTTGCTTGGCTTCCCTATACCCAAGAATAGCTTGGGTTCCTTCATACTGGACTTTCTACCTTTTTGGTCGCAGAGTAAGTGAATCATGTGATAATAAGTTGGGGGGGATGTTGCTAACATCACAAGAACATGACAAGCTTCAAATTCTCGTGCGCAACGCAAGACAGATACTAGACATCGTTACCGCGACCTATAGTGGTTCATCTGGAGGCAAGCAACTAGACTGCCTTCACCCTGGCTCATCAGCCGAAGAACTAGCTTGTGAATGGCAACAAATCAACAAAATGAATAAAACGATGCCAACGGAAGAGGAAGATGATGTATGGATTATGCAAGTATCAAAGGTGAGGAATCAGCGCTATTTCGCAACTAAGCGACGTACTGATTAGAATCCAGTGGTTATCTAAGGCCCAAGCTTTGATGAGCAGTATGGCCAGCAATTACGACATGAACTTGTTGTTATATGGCCAATTAGCTGCAGCAATAGCTTCAGTTGCTGCAATGTGCGCCTTAATAATTTCGACGTCCAGCGTGCCCACGAGTTTGGCACCATTTGGTCTGATCACTATCCTCTATGGCATAATGATGTTTGCGAGCAGCTATGTTGAAGAGGAACAACACTATTGGTACTGGGCTACAACTGCATGGCTACTGTATCTTGGGATCAAATCGTAAGCAGGATCATATTACTCTAGTCCCACTTCGCAAAGCTGACTCTGACAGAACCTCGAAAACTGTCCACAAATCTTTTGGCATGGGATTTGTTGCTCTTGGTGCTATGCGGCTCATCCGAGGATGGAACCAAACTGGACAAAAATTTGCTGGCGAGCCCGATATTGTGACCAACTTTGTGTCACCATATCCCCCCTTTCTCTGGTATTTCGTCGCCATAACGTATGCGATGGTTTCCTTGGAGTTGTTCATCAGTCTCAGAGATATCCCAGCAGCATTCTCAGGATCCGCAGTCGCGGGCCTTGCGACGTCGGCAGTGTCGTTCAAGCTCGCTTTTACCAAGGAGGATGCTCCCGAACTAGTGATTGGTACCGCAAAAACCCTCGCGGATATGTTTGATGGGCCATCTCTCGTAAATCGAGCACGAGCGGTCTATCTCGGGCTCGGACTTGCTTTAATATACCCCCTATACAGCCTAGCGATGCAAGCGACCAAGGTTCCCAAAGAACGATGTAAGTGCCTGTATATCGTTCGAGCCAGAGAATTAAGCTTACCAACATGCTCTTAGCCATGCAAACACTACACCATTTATACACGCTATTTGCATTGACACAGTCTCGTGTGACAAACGTGCCGTTGTTTTTACTATTTCAAGTCATTTTTGTATACTTAAGAAGGCTGGACTTGGAAGTAGCCGAGATCACGATTTCGTCATTGCTTTTACAGTATGCTTCTTTCTTTGCTATGGGGGGTTCCAATGCAATATCCGGGGTAGATCTATCGAACGCCTATAACGGCGTTAGCGATTTCAACATCTTCGCCGTAGGCATCCTGACGTTTTTAAGCAACTGGGCTGCCCCGGTATGGTGGACGTCGGCTGGCAATCTGCTACTGCTGCAGACTAGACGTTCCCAAAAGCATGGAAACGGTGGTGTATATTTGCAACACGCAGCGATCTTGACCACGTTTACGACGGTGGCGCTGGGGTTTGTGATGGTGGCATGCATGGCGCTGAGGACGCATCTGTTTATCTGGACTGTGTTCTCGCCAAAATACCTATATAGCATGGCTTGGAGTTTGGGCCAGCATCTACTGATCAACATGGGGTTTGGTGGTCTGTTATACTGGATTGGGCGCGCATGATGGATTTCGGCATGGAACATGGATATGAGTAAATCGTTGGTTTAAGGGGATATTGTGTATAGTAAGATCCCCTATTCCTTTTGAGCACCAACATGTTTGAACTTTGAATCCGGGGCTTTTAGCCAACGTTTGTTTCCGTTTCATTCCAAAAATCCTTAAGACATGGTAGTTGTTTGTTTCCGTCCGTGGATTCGTACGATAGAAGACATTTGTCGGAGTCAGTCGGACTAATAAGTTTATGTTTTGCATAGAGCTGTCAGCCCTACTGTGGGTAATTAACGCCTAGGAAGCAAAGGCGTTAGTCCAGTAAATAAGATTTGATGGATGTTCCCTTTCCACAATCCATGCATCCAACTCCCATCTTCAAACGGTAAGCTAACCTATCCCTGTACTACTACATGCATGTAGTAGTAGCAACCTTGTGCGATTTACCGAGTTGGTAAGCATGATTAAGTATATATATGTACTATCGACCTATTGGAATAGTGTCTCTATACTTGGGATATACATATATACAAGAATACCTTCTTATCAGACCAAAATCCAAAAAAAATCAACGATCGAACAAAAAAGGGATGGGGCTGCATAAGTGGATTACCCAAAACGCTGGAAAGTGGTGACCACGTACCGTGATCCTACATCCTATTTCGTGACTCGTGTCATCTCCTTGCCTTTTCCCTTGTCGACATAGCTTGTAACCTATCGCCATTTGCTATATTCGGTCTTTAATAGATGCTGCTTTTATTCTTGATAGAAAATTCCCAAGAGGCAAATTTGAGTCATTAATCCTTCGGTTGCTGTTTTTTATTTACACTTAACTATCTAGTCTTAATAAATCCTTGCTTCATTTGATATCTCATTCCTTGGCTAATCGGTTACCCTCCTTACTAAAATACCATATGCCCACTCTCAACGGAACCTGCGAATTACCACTGTGAATTGCCATCATTCTCTTATCACCCGGTTCAATAAATCACCAGAGAAAAGGTTTACTGAACAAACAACAAACTTGGCTGGAGCGTTCACATCCCACATAAGAACGATATTAATCTTTTGCGACCGCGATTTCTTGACAACTTTACTTTGCGCATATTTATATTGTGACTTGAGTGTATGCGACTGCGACGCGACAGCAACAACGGCAGCGATAAAGGATCACAGCCCACCCTCGGCAGTAAACGCATCGCAGACACAGTCCGTAGATGTATTCAGTGCGGTAGAAGCATGCGGGGGTTTGTCTCTCTAGTGTTGGTCATCATACGGCTATGGTTTGCCTTTTCACCGAGCTATCTTCATCCAGATGAGAATTTCCAGGGACCCGAGGTCATTGCCGGTAAGCACGGATATTTATTTTACATCCCATTTTTGGCCTTATCTTTGGTTTTGGGTCTTCATCTTTTAGCCCCGCCCTTCGCCGTTGATCGATTCTCATGAATATGTATTATGGACTGACCACTTTGCGCCCACCCTTGTAGGCCAGATCTTCAGCTACCCCGTCCGACTGACTTGGGAATTCACGAGCGACCACCCTATACGCAGTGTGTTTCCACTATGGCCAATCTATGGGTTGCCCATGCTACTGCTGAAGTGGCTGGGGATTGGTGTTTGGAGCGATGGCGAGATTCCACCAATCGCGGTATTCTGGACGTTGCGCGTTCTGATGTTCGTCTTGAGCTTCGTGTTAGAGGATTGGGCTATATATGAGCTGGTCCCGTCTCGACGACATCGCTGGGTTGCTATGCTGCTTGTAGCATCCTCGTATGTGACATGGACTTTTCAAATGCACACCTTCTCCAATTCCATTGAGACTCTCGTGGTCGCATGGTCCTTGGTACTTATCGAGCGCATTCTCGAGACTCCAGTAAGTCATATGATATACCAAATCCTTCACAGATGGTTTCTATCTCAGCCCTCAAAACTAACACAACTGTCATAGCATACTTCCTTAACTGCGTCGACAGTGCTCGGATTTGTAGCCGTCTTTGGCTTTTTCAACAGAATTACTTTCCCTGCTTTCTTACTTATTCCTGCACTTCGATTGATACCCCATTTTTTAAAGAAGTAAGCTGCTTTCCCTTATTCGCTTTTTCTTCTATACTACACTACTAACAGTCGCTCTTCTAAGACCTCTGTCCTTCGTAATTATGGCAACGTCTGGACTTTTAACCACTATAATCGCCATCTCTGTTGATACTTCGTTTTATACGCCACACTCCATCACCTGGTCTGATTTGTATCGCCATCCAGTCATAACGCCCTGGAACAACATTCAGTATAATTCATCTTCCTCGAATCTAGCACAGCACGGGTTACACCCCTGGTACCAGCATCTCCTGGTCAATCTCCCACTACTAATAGGACCCGCTGTTGTTCTTTTATTTAGGAGACCGCATCTATCTCCCAGGCTCTACTCCGCAATCTCAGGGGTTGCCGTTCTGTCTATTTTCCAACATCAGGAAGCCCGATTCCTACTTCCAGCCATACCCCTCTTACTTTCTTCCATACGACTTCCAAAGAAGCCGACGCATCTGAATGCATGGATTGCCGTGTGGGTATGCTTCAACGCAATCCTTGCCCTCCTCATGGGAGTGTACCACCAAGGCGGTATCGTTCCCACCCAAGTGTTCATGAGCAAACAGCCAGACGCGACACGGGCTATATGGTGGAAAACTTACATGCCGCCAATATGGCTCCTCAACGGCAAAAACGCCGTCCTGCAGACCACCGACGTGGCCGGCATGGCAGGCGACGAGCTGCTGGAATCACTGCAGACGATTGCAACCTGCGACACGCCCGCCGACCGGAGAAACCGCGAGTACCTCAAGGAGCGCAACGGCACCTACCTCATCGCGCCCCTCTCCACCACCTGGCTCGACCCGTACCTCGACAACAAAGGCCTCGACGGGCTCCGCTTCAGAGAGGTCTGGCGCTACAGCAAGCACCTGAACCTCGACGACCTCGACTGGGCTGAGGACGGGTTCTGGCCTACCATCAAGAGGGTCATCGGGAGGAGGGGGCTGGCGGCTTGGAGGGTCACGAAGAGCTGTGGGCCTCCGGCGAGATAGCGGGGGTTTGGGTTGTGAATGAATGAATGAATGAAGGAAAGAAAGGAAAGAAGGAAGAGAGAGAGAAGAAAGTAAAGTAAAGTAAAGTAAAATTAAATTTAGAAAAATGAAGAAATAAAAATAGAATAATTCCGTTTCAATGTGGTTGGTTGGTTGAGATGGTGTTGCTTGCTTGCTTGCTTGCTTACTAGGTTAGAGTACCTACTTACATCGTAGGTCTAGTGCTACATATGGTGTGAGTGAGTGAGTGAGTGAGTGCTTCGCTTGTCTTCGTGTCTTTTGTGTTTATGTAGGTACGTGAAGTTTTTTTTTTAAAAAAAGGGGGGAGGAGAGGGAGAGATTTCGGGGTAGATATACAGTAGTTGCCCCTACCTACCTATCTAAGTAAAACCTGAACACGGCTTACTGTTACATAGGTAGGTGCCTAAGAATAACAGTAGGGAGTGTAGATAGATACCTTCCTAGGTACATAGCTACATAGGTAAGCTGCTCTCCTTCTGGATGCCAAAGCTCTCTCTCTCTCTCTCTCTCTGGCATTGAGCGTGGAAGTAACGGCGGGTTCAACGATAGGCAGGCAGCGTACCTAGGTAGGTAGGTAGGTATAGATATAAACCCCCTTCGTCTCAACGCCCTCCCTTCTCCCCTCCCACGAACAAACACAAACAGTCAGACCACAAGGTACCCAACGTAAAAAAGCGTTTAGAGAAGAATAAACCCTCCGGGAGTTTCTCTCTAGGTACCTAGGAAGCCATCCATTTACCTAACTTCAATACCCAGGTATCTATTTTTCAGAGCTGGGGGTCTGATTATTGTCGTCGTCGTCGTCGTCGTCGTCAGCGTCATCATCACGTGCTCGGCACAAATCATCAATCTTTCGCTTATGACAGATGACAGCTATGAACAGCTTCTGCAATTCCCTATGCTAGCTACCTATTGCCGTCTACCTATCTGACCTCCCTCCTCATGAACCCAGTGTAGAGCAAACGCACTGGCTGGCTGACTGACTGACTGACTGTACTCCTAAACCTGACCTCTGACTCATATGTATGTATGTCGTTCGTTCATTCGTGAGTAGGTGCCTGACACACCTACCTACATCCCTCCCTGCCCAGGCCCTCAGGTACCTATCCATCCGTATCACTCTAGGTGCTCGCACCCTCACCAGCCGTAGTAGCAGCAGCCGCCGCCAAGCCCTCCGTGTACGCCTTGCACAGCGGCTTGTGCCGGGACTGCCAGTCGCCCTTCTGGCAGTTCTTGGAGCAGTACCAGACGCTCCTGCAGCCGCCGCAGGCCTGGAGGGCGGTCAGGGCGAACATTGTGCTGCTGGTTGGGCACTGTATGAGTTGAGAGGGTGAGTTGGTTAGTATTGAATTACCATTTGAGACTTGGGGGGGGGTAGAAGGGGTAGAGGGGTAAGTGAGTAGGGGGTCAGGTGGATAAGGGGTTAGGTTGGTAAGGGTTAAGGGTGAAGGGTAAGGGGTTAAGGGGTTAGGGGTTACGCAGACAAAGACTCACATGGTAATTCCCACACATAACCTCGCTCCTCTCGCGGCCCCGCAGCCGCATCTCACGCGCATCCTCAAAGCGTCCCTGTGCCTCGCGCAGCCGCGCGATGTTGTCGCGGGTGATGGCGGCGTCGCTGCGAGGGCCGCCTGCCTCGCGGGCCTGCAGCGCCGAAGCAAAAGCGGCATCGGCCTCGTCGAAGCGGCCCGCGCGCAACAAAGCCTCGCCGAGCCCGTTGTAGGAAATGCCGGCTTGCACGGATGTCGCCGGGAAGGCGCGCAGCTTCAGCTCCAAGGCCTGCTGGTGCAGGCGCGCGGCCTCGTTGTAGTCCCCGCGCCGGCTGGCGGCTACGGCGGCGTTGGAGATGTCGATTGCGGTTGTGTGCGCGGTGGCGTGGTTGGCGCCGTTGGGGTCCCAGGGGCCGGTGGTGGTGTGGTGGTTGAATCCTTGATTTATGGTGGGCATGGTGGGTGGATGGAATGGGGTGTACAGCTACGAGTGGTGATTTATGTATGGTTATGTATGGTTATGTATGGTTATGAGTTGGGATGAGATGAGATGGGAAGGTGTGGATAGGAGGAGAAGAGTTTGAGGTACATATGTAGGTCAAAAGCGGTCAACGGTGGATGTATGGGAACTTATAGGTATCTATGTATGTATGTACTGAGAGGGAAACCACCACCCATATGGTTTGCCCTGTAGCTGCCTAAGCAGTTTCCTCATGGCCCTGCGTTTGCAATTCGATTGGGCACTCTATCATATGCACTCTAGGTATATTTAATATATTGATATATTGATTCAAGGTGGGTGAGTGCATATGCATCAAAGAGGGCATGGCCACCTACATAAACGCGAGATCCCGTGATTAAACTACCCTAAGTACTTTAAAGCAAGAGCCAATCAGATTCTAGCAATATCCATTTGTCTATCGGTACTAGGTAGTTATCGATAACCATAACCTTATTGGTTCCAAAGTTATGTACATTGAGAATTTCGAAAGCTTCAATTGCCATCCCCCACATGCCCACACCCTACACTCTTGTCCTACATGTAACCATTAAACTTCACATCAAGCATCCTTCCTCTCGCAATGGGCGGCTTAAATCTAGAGGTCTTTAAGGTGAGCACATAGAAAGGCACCCTTCCAAACCCCTCACTCAACTTTTTCCTTTCGGCTTTCGCCTCCCGTACTTCGTAGTTGCTAAATCATACGGTAGTTCGGCATGTACGTCATGTTCCCGATCGGCATCATGTACTATTTCGGGACGAACCTTGACGAGCGCTTCGCCGTGCCCGAGTTCTGGCCCAAGCCTGAGCAGGCCAACAAGGTGCCCTTCGACAGAGATGAGATAAACACCGAACTGCAGCGCCTGCGCGCGCGACGATTATATCTAAGGGAGAAGAGGCTTGAGAACGAAGCGAGACAGGCGCCGCCTTCTTCTGGTGAAAACCAGGAGGGCCACGGGTCGTGAGAGAGAAAGAGGTTGAAGACTCGTAAAGATTTGCGACTGGTGCAGAGTTCGTAAAACAGGCGCTTCAAACATGAATGCTGATGATGATGATGATGCGCATTGATTTCGGTGGCGTTTGGGTAACCAAAATGAATCAAGATAGGATCACGGCGATCAGAGCATCCCTTGGGCTTACGCTTGAGTATATGGCAACAAGGCGCACCTCTCTCCTATTCTTAGAGACGGGATTGGTGGGTAAGACCGTTTGCGGTATGCATCGTACGGCCGCCCGTGTATAATAATACAGTCTACGTCTATTTATTGTAACCACTATCATCCATATGGATAGGTTATGTGTCGAGGTTCTCCTCTACCAAACTCCATACCTCCTCGGTTACATCCCCTCGTTCGACATTCGCACTACGGTGCCGAGGTTAGCCATCAGGAATGCTAAGGTAGCTCATAATCATATGCACTTACTAAACTCCTTCTACATCCGGGTGATCTTGTAGCGCTGCCATGAATTTGCCTAAAGTCGTTGTCTCTTCAGGGCTATCAAGCCGAACTTTTTCTCCTGTCGGCGTCCATAAAAGCTCCGAGTTCATAATATCAGCGGACAGCACCTTGCTCAGATTTTGCGCTGTCTGGTGGGTCGTGTTCGGTTGCGTCCAAATGACCAAGTTATCATCCTCGTCCTGTTCAACATCCTCGGCGCCCGCATCGAGCGCTTGCATCATAACCTCGTCGAATTCGGTGCCACTCTTGAGACTAAGCGTTGTGCGGCCCTTCTTCGTGAATAAGAATGACGTAGGCGTCGCGGTGCCCTTATACTTTTTGAGTATGATTCGAAGCTCCTGCAGGGCGCGCTGCTTGTTCTCCGTCTCGACATTGATAATCAGGGCTACGTTTGGCGGCATCATGACCTCATATGTGACATTCTCGAGTCCGACGCCAGATGTGGATTTACCCTGGCCCCGTGCGATAGCGACTTCGATGTTGGCCTTGGGCATACCAGCTAATGCAGTCCCCGTCAGATATATTTCTTTTTCGCGAAAAGCCTGGCTATATGTTTACGAGATACCTTTTTTTGCTGCAGCAATGACCATGGCTAATTGCGAGTTTAAACTTGGGTCTGGGCCGAAGACTATGCCGAATTCCATCAGCGGTCGAATCGAGGACGAGTGAACCTGCATGTGAGATACGAACGTTTCGAAAAGAGTGCCAACTTGTGGGCGAAAATACTTCGCTGTACAACCTTCTTCGCATCGGCGGCGCCCTTCTCATGCTTGATCTTGGACCAGCGATTGTGACCGCTGTACAAAGCAGGGCTCGAAGCGAAGGAACGGCGACATTGAGCGCACATAAGAGAAGGAATCGATCGCGGCGCAAGAGATCGAACAGGGAAGTGGAATAGAGAGGACATCTTGAACGTACGTCTTGTCCGTTTGGACAAGGGATATCTAGCGAATATAATAATAAATATAATAATAATAAAATTGTTTATGTTTTCCGTTTATGCAAAGCTAAGTTAGAAGCGTAAAGACAGAAAGTAACCAAACCGACATATCTAAACGATAGATACTACTACTAACAAACAGCATTTGAAGCATTTAAACCCTGGAACTTTCAAATCGATAAAGAAAGAAAAAAGGTTGTACAAGAAAATGTAGGTGGATATCGAAGTCTCCACTGTAATATTTAAGCTCATATTGATCTAACCATGTCAAGGAAAGTCAATGGTCCCGTCAAAGAAGTTGAAGTGATTTGATTGGCTACTGACCTCGAGCACATTACTACTAGTAGTATGCCATCCCTCTAATCTGTAATGTAGTGTTACCTCTTTGCACACACTCTAGTTACAATACTTGCGACTTTCAACCACCACCGCCAACAACCACATATTACATATTACATACCACACAACCACATATCGTCTATTTCTTGTCGCTACCAACGCGATAAACTGTTCATATACCCTCTCTAGCGTTCGATTCAATATATCCATGATTTCCCATGTCCGCGCCAAGTTCCCCTCCCCGAGAGTCTAACGGGACTGCTCAAGCTGCTCAAGATGCAGCACCTTCCCACACATATCTCACACCCGACCCAACCACCAACCCCGAACTCGACCTGCAGAAGCTTCAGTCACTTCCTGCTGAACAGCAAGACCTATTCTTGTTCAATTTCGTCTGCTCCTTGAGCAAACATGCTCTCAGCTTGCCTGCCGACGACTGCACTGCCCAGCAGTTTTACCTCAAGAAAGAGGTCTTCCAGGTCATCAACCTTTCTGCGCCCTCACCGAGTCGAGTCATAAGGACCAATCTGGGCAAGATACTTGCCCATATTTTTGGGAATGGAGACAGAAAACTCCTATTTGATACCATAAACGAACTAGTCTCTATAATATCTGCTGCGAAATCCAAGACCGAGGCCGATGTTCGAACGAGGCATGCTGCTGTTAGTTGTTTAGGCGATGTCTATGCTGCTGCGGGCGATAGCGCCATTGTCCTACACCAAATGGCCTGTGCTTCCTTAGTCAAGTTGCTCAAGTCGTCTCAGCCTCATGCTGGCTTACGCGCTGCCGCGCTCAACGCACTAGCCAAGATTGTAGGCATGGTACAGGCGAGTATAGACGAGACTGTCGCGAGAGATATTTGGAAACAGGCGCGCAATGCTGCTTCCGGAGACAAGGGATCTCTAATTGTCATATCTGCTTGTCGCTGTCTAAAGGTTTTAGCTAGATGTACCTCGTACTTCGAGAATTCGAGCGATTTCGAGAATCTCAAGTCGACCATCTTCAAATCCATCGACTCTAGCTCTTCACACGTAAGGCATGCTGCCGCCGATTGTTTGGCTGAGGCCATGGTAAAAAACCATTCGGAAGTTGCCCTTAATGCCGCGGCAGCAAAAGCCAAGAAGTCTAAAAGTAAAGCTAGTAAGAGGAGCTCGGCTCCGCCAGGCGTTGACCTTGACGATGATGAGGACATCCCATCACGGCCTGGGAGCCCGGCACCCGGGAAGAGGAGCCAATATCTTACGCTATCATTAAACGACATATTCAAGACTTTAACTACACAATACGTACGGCTGTCCACCACAAACAGAGCCAGAGCTGCCATCGGTGTATGTTATGGAAGGGTTCTGAAGCGGCTAGGAGAGAAGTTTGTTGAAGCCAACTATCTAAGAATCCTTGAAAATTTGACTATTGACCTACTGGGTCATCAAAATATCATCAACAATCGATATAGGCTCCTCATATCGCGTCGTATTATCGATACTATCCTCCAGGTAGTAATTGGCCAAAAGATCCTCGGGGAATCGTGTCAGATCAGCGTAGCAAAAGTACTTGTCAACGACATATTTAAGAATTACCCTCAAGTACTAAAAGAGCGTCCCGAGCCTACAAAGTCTACCTTGATTGCAGCACTCGGTGCAGTCGCTTCCCTCGTCAAGTCTCTAGGATCCGCCGCAAATAACTTTGCAGAGGCATGCCGAGATGGACTACTTCAGGTGTTGCAGCATCCCAGTTATAGTGTTCAGGTGTCTGCTTCATACTGCATGAAGACATTCGTCCTTGCATGTCCTCAGCAGCTGTTACCATGCCTGTCAGTTTGTATGAACAGTCTCAGTAGAGAAATATCTCTCCTTGGAGGCGCACGAAACTCCCCGAGAAGGTGTATTGGCTTTGCCCACGGGTTGGCTGCAACACTTAGTGTTAGCCCGTCCCGCCCTCTATATGGCTCCCTAGATATCAATAACCGGGTTTATTCCATGGCCACAAACCTCCTAAAGACAAGTGGCCAGTCTGAGCTTCGTGTCTCGAGCACCCAGGTTCAGGTAGCCTGGATTCTCCTAGGGGGGCTTATGTCGTTAGGACCTAACTTCGTCAAGATTCATCTCTCACAACTACTGGTTCTCTGGAAGAATGCCCTACCAAAGCCACTGGCCAAGGATAATTTTGCTCATCGCAACATCCTCGAGGTTTCTTACTTGACTCACGTCAAGGAATGCGCGTTGGGCTCCATTCTCTCGTTTCTCCAGTTTAACAGCCGCTTATTGACGGTGGATGTCTCGAAACGCATTGCCACCATGCTTCAAAATACCAGCATGTATCTCAGGATGCTTCCTTCCAAAAAAACAACTGACGATATTTCTCAGAGGCTGACTCCAGCCTTGCAACTGCACGATCTTGACATGATGGTCCAACGACGCGTTCTACAATGCTACACTATGTTGGTGAATCAAAGCCCAGCTGGAGGCAGCGAGGCGCTTCTGCAGTCCAACCTCCTTACCCTAGCAATATCTCTATTTTCAGACCCGGAGAATTATGCGGCCAACACTCTAAGCGCATCTATTGCTAACGCTGCGGGGACATTCGAATCTATCTGGGACGTTGGCGATAATTCTGGCTTCGGGGTCAACAACCTAGTTAGGGGGTTCGATGTTAAGAAACTCCCTGGACAGAAGGATGACACGTCCGACAGTCCTCGGAGTGACGAGGCTGATCCGGACGAAATCATCGATGGCATACTTTTGTCCCCAATTTGCCAATCATTAGAGCATGATGCCGCTGTGCTCTATGTAGGGGATGCAGATCTGTCGACGAACCTTCCAGACCCCCCAGCCACTGAGGTGGTAAACATGGCAATCCAGTTATTCGCATTTGTGTTCCCTCTAACCCCGGCCAAGGTACAAGAAAGTGTCCTCGAACAAATTGCCACATATATTTCAGCCGGTCCTTTACAGCGTGACCCGGGACGTAAGGCAGCCATCAATGTCAACGTCGCCAGCGCTCTATTCTTAACCTTGAAGGTTGCCGTCAAGGAGACGCAGTCTCCACCTGGCAACATCACGAATATGGCGGTAGAAAAGCTGCTCCAAGAAATGACCAGGGGTTTCGTGGTCGATCCGGATCAATACATTCGCAGTCTCGGATACGGTGCCATTGCCCGTCTCTGTAACGCATGTGGCAACGCGTTCACCAACCACGAGATTAAGTACTTAGTGGACACCATTGTGAGCAATCGGGAACCGAGTGCCCGAGCAGGATGTGCCATGGCGCTAGGTTCTATCCAGGCCAAGGTAGGAGGCATGGGCGCGGGATACCATCTCAAGACCATCACGGGCATTTTGATGTCGCTTTGCAACGATCCACATCCGACAGTACACTTTTGGGCCCTCGAGGCCCTGGCTGATGCTGCCGATGCTGCAGGTCTTGGGTTTTCGGCATACGTTTCCGGAACCTTGTGCATGGTTTCCCAGCTGTACCTTTCTGACACGCACCATTCCGAGGTATCCTCTGCCATTTCCATGAGCCTAGAGATGGATTTATCGGCTATCGCTGCCATTACACATTGCATAGACTCTCTCATCAACGTTGTAGGGCCTGATTTGCAGGATTCTACCAAATCTCGTGAACTTATTCTCACCCTTGTTGGTCAACTACAATGCGAGGAGGATGTTATTGTGCAGCGCGAAAGTCTGGCATGTCTCGAGCATTTGTCACTATATGCTCCAGGATATATGGTATTCAACGATTATGTGAAGACTTTACAAAAGTACCTCAACTCCGATATCCCTAGCCTCCGCGATGTCGCGGTAGATGGCCTTTATAATCTGATGAAGAGGGATTCCCGCGACGTATTAGAAGCAGCAGAATCAGGCTTTGAGGACCAACTCTGGCTCGTCCTAGATGTCTCGCCCAATCATGACGGAATTCGTAACGTGATCCGGAACTGGTTGCGTCAGACCTCATTGACGGAAACGGCATCTTGGTTACTCCGCTGTCAGAATGTACTCAAAATGACACGAGTGAAACCCACGGAAGATGCTTCCCACCCTTCCAAAGCTCAGACTGCCGCTCTCGACCTACAGGACGAGGAAGTCGCTGGCTTCGCAGTAGCTGCCGGCACTGCCAAGGACGAAAAAGACCTGGTCTCAAGTTCTGAAATGGAGCCCCTCCGTTGGCAGGTCAGAACTTTTGCAATGGGTTGTCTTTGTGACATTTTCCTATTGATTGGAAAAGATGTTGCTACGAATGGCGAATCGCCAGCGCAGTCGGCCCTCCAGGCTAGAATTGCCGATGTCATCCGGATGGCCTTCTCGGCGTCCACGTCTAACGTCCTGGAACTGAGAATATGGGGGTTGAAGATCATTGGTGCTGTTCTAAGAATGTTTGGCAAAACACCAGATCCTGATTTCGACGAGGCAATGCTGCTAGAGCAATATCAAGCACAGATCGGCTCCGCATTGACCCCCGCCTTTGCCGCGGACTCGTCTCCTGAACTCGCCGCGGAGGCCGTCAACGTGTGCGCCGCATTTATCTCGACGGGTATCGTGACCGATGTTGATCGTATGGGTCGTATACTCAAGACGCTCGTTACGGCCCTTGAGAATTTCTCGACGGAGACGGAGAATGCCGGGATCGGTGATCTCAAGGGTCTCAGCTCGAATGCGCAAGTCATGGTCAAGATGTCTGTCTATTCGGCCTGGGCAGATTTGCAGGTTGCCAGTTCGGAACAAAAGTATCTACTCGATGTGCTAAAACCCCACATAGGCAAGTTGACGCCGTTGTGGCTGGCTTCTCTAAGGGAGTTTGCTCGGTTGAGATTCGAGCCAGACATCTCGATGACGCTAGGACCCCCGTCCATGTCGGGTAGCCTTGATACCATCTACGCAGCTCTCAATCGAGAAACACTACTTAAGTTCTATCAAGAATCTTGGCTGAAGCTCGTTGACGCTATTGCTAGCCTCATTGAGCAAGACAGTGAGTTCGTTTTCGATGCTTTAGATGGAAAGGAGGCAGATGCGACGGGTACCAACGGACATGCCAAGAGTGCCGATATCAATTATCGTGACGAGCCCGTAGCCTTTTTCTTCGTCCTCTTCGGCATTGCTTTTGAGGCGCTTGCCACAAGATCAGGCCAAACCGATTCCTTGGCTACTCAAGAACAGACACTTGAAATACTTCAGGCTCTTAAGAAGATCCTGCACCCAAGTGTTTCTGGCCACGCCATCTACCGAGAAGCCATTTTCTCTGAGACCATGGATCTGTTAGATCGTCTTGTCCTGACGGAAGGTCTCGATGTCCAAGGCGTAATCGTAGAAATTGCCCGAGCTCTGTGCGTTGCTCACCCCTCGGCGAGGAAGCAGGAGCAAACCGAAGACGGTGACTTATCCGAGGATATCGAACAGCTATTCGAGCTCACCCGAATTATCGTTCTGGTGCTTTCTGGACTATTGCCTAACCTGACCGAGGCCAACCAACCCGTACGCCATCATTTAACCGAAGAAGCTATTCTTCTCATAAGAACTGGGCTCAACGCCATTGTAGACGCGGCGGAGGTATTCCCGGTAATCATCAAGACGGATCTGCATGCGTGTATCATTCATATCTTCGCGACTATATTAGCCACGCCTGCTTGCCAGGAGGTCATCGTTCCCCAAGCTCTACCGATTTTCAAGAGGTTTATGGCAAGCATGTGCAAATCTCACGGCGCAGAGGGAAGAGAGGCTATTGACATGCAGATAGAGGGATGTCTACGCCGCTACCTATCTATTTATCTAAATGCGCAAAGACGGGAGGCTCCGACCTCTCTACAATGCGTCAAGAACTGCTTGCTTGCCATCACGATCCTCTTCACCGGTGGAAGTAATGAGCTTGCAGCCAGCGATCGCCTCGTTGCCAAATATCTAGACGAAGTGATTGATTGTCTAACCGATCGCATGGTAAGCGTGCCCGATATTTCCCTACCCCCATTGTGTTACTAACTGTTCAATAGACGGCGAGAATCGCAGCGAATTGTATTCGGTCCCTGCTCTTGCAACCCTCGCCCACCCTTGCCGATCAATCGATCGCTCGCTACCTTCTTCCCCGTCTAATTGCCTTCGTGGTAGACACGGAACCAGAGGACCCAGAGAGCGCACGCAAACTCGTAGCGCACAACTTAACGCAGTACGTGGCGACCCTCGGCAGCGGACACACCCAAATCGCCATGTCCGTCGTCGCACCAGCTCTGCTCTCCCGCGCGGCTAGCGAGGGCGCAGCGGTATACCACGAGACGAGCGCGCGGCTGCTCGAGCTAGCCTCGGCCGACCAAGCGGGCTTCAGGGGCGTCGTGGCCGCCATGAGCGACGGCCAGAGGGCCTTCATGGAGGAGGTCATCCGCTCCGGTCGCCAGACTAGCGGCCCTGAGAAGGACGCGGGTAATATGGGACAGCCTAGCATTGCACTGAAGATGGACTTTGGTGGTTAATGCCCGGGTAGGTAGGGAATAGGGGGAGGCAATGAATGAAATGGATCTATGGATGGTCGTTGGATAGGGGGGTAGGTGTCGAGGTGCTGAGTTGCTGAAGGACTGAGAGGCTGAGGTGCTTAAGAGACGATGTATGGTCGGTCATGTGACTCACGTCGCTTTTGATGATGCCTAGGTACTGTTACTGTAGGTCTACATACCTTGTGGTGGATCGCAAATGGACTGTAAATTGTGGATGGTGGATGATACATAGATATGCGGGTGGCGGTGGCGGGTGGCGGATGGCGGATAGAAGATGATGAGACAAGACAGGTGTGGTTAAAAGGGGCTATGTACCTACATACATACATACATACATAGGTACATACGTAGCTAACTTGAAGGTTCAACATTGACAGGCGGTTAAGAGGGGAATGCCGCTCGTCAGATAGGAGGCAATGTTGGTTGGTGGTGGCGTGGAAATAAGTAAATTAGTAAATACCTAACTAAGTACTACTACCTACTTGAAATGAAAGAGATGAAAAAAAAAGAAAAAAAAAGAGGATGTGGTATAGGTAGGTAGGTACCTAATAATGAACGAAGCAGTGGTAGTGGTAACATAATAGTAGCAAGTAGCAAGTAGCAAGTAGGAGCAGGAGCAGGAGCAGGAGTAGCAGGAGTAGGAGTAGCAAGCTGGTTACCTAGGTATTTTGAAGATATATACCTAGCCTACCTAACCTACCTACCTACCTGCCCGCTTACCTACCTACCTACCTAGTACACACAGTATTTATTGCTCGTCGTTGATATCTATCTATCTATCTATCTATCATGCTATTTTTGGTCCCCCCCCCCCCTCCTCCCCCTATTTTATTTTTGATCTTGGGGGCTTTTGATGAATACCTACCTAACTACCTACCTACCTACCTACCTAACCTAACCTAACCTATGTCCATCCATTATCAACTACCTATAACTATACCTAACGCCCAAAATCTGGGGGAAGTGGGGAGGAATTATTCTCATTCTCATGCGGAAAGCTAAGTCTTAAGGATGTCCATATATTTTAGATTCCAGATTCCAGATTCTTGAATTATAAGGGGGAAAGAAGAAGAAGAAAAGGGGAACGACCACCCCCCCCCCCTCCCCCTTTTCCCTCTCTCCTATAAGAATCAGAATATCCCAATATGTAGGTTTGAGATACCAGTTCCCAAATAAATCTCATCTCCCATCACATATATGTCCAGAAGACGTCAGATATATAAATATATATATATATTTTTTTCAATTCCAACGACTCGAAACTAGAAGGATCTATTATAATCCCGACCTAGATATATCCCGAGCCACGCCTTATTGTTCCGCCAAGTAAGTACTTAGCTAGGTCCCTATATACCTAGGTTAGGTATTTCTGTATTTCCCGGTTGCGAGTAACTAAATATATTTAAAGAATTAGCGTAATGATGCTAGTATGTATGGGCCGGCCGTTTTTTTTTTTGTCGTCGTTGTCCTCTTCGTAAATCCGGTACCTAGGTATATATCGGACATTTTCCGTGTTCCCGTCCTTTTCCCATCCCAATAATAATAATAATTTTACCTTGTTCCCCGTTTCCCGTTTCCCATTTTACCTCCTTGTTCCGTTCCGGTGTTCCCCCCTTTTTTCCCCTGCCCGTCGCCCATACCTGATGCTTTCCATCCCGTGGAGCAAAATAGCAAAAGCGTAGTTGTAGTCGTAGATAGGTACTAGCATATATAAGTAAGTACCTGGGCAGATAAATATCAACCCTACCGAGATCAAAGTTAGTAATCAAACTAACTAGCATCATATACCTCCCCAGACTCTTCAGCTCACCAATAGGGGATTACCTATCCTACCCTACACTTTCGCGGCCACCCCCTTAAAAGCCTTCCATCTCACCACCAACCTCAACCTCCACCCGACGACTCTGATTCTCGCGGCTGCTCCTCCGCTCGCCCAGCGCCGTGATGTCACTCGTATTAATAGCTGAGCCTGGAGGTGAGAAGTCCGTAGCCGTGTCGTCGCTGTAGATCTCCGACGAGTCCTCGTAGATGGTCTCCTCGTAGAACTCATCCTCGTACGCGAGGGCGCAGTCGTAGCAGTCCTCGTTGAGCCACGTGTCTGAGACCTCTTTCAGCGCCCCGGTTCCCTGGTTGCCGAGGTACCGCGAGCATCGGCGGCGGCGGCGGCGGAGGGCGCTGCCGCGGTAATTGATGTTCTCCGGGCACTCGAACGTGGTGCGCTCGACGCAGCCGCAGGCGTAGATGAAGCGGACGGTCCAGCACATGGTAGCTATGGTTGGCTGGTTGGTTGATTGTTAGATGGTTTTTTTATTCGTCCGGACGGTCGTTTATTTACTTGGTGGGTATATATGACGGCAGGCAGGTGGGTATATAGATAGGTAGAGAGGTAGAGAGGATGGCAAGTATTGGTATTTAAGTAAGTAGATATGATGGTAGGTAGGTGGTTTAGTTAGATAGATAGTTGATGGGCAGTGAGTGTGGATGGGCATATGTGTATGTGGAATATGTTGGTGAAATAAGATGACTCTGGTGATCGATATTTGTACCGACCATGAAGATGAAAAGAGAGTAAAATGAGGAAAAGAAGGAAGAGGCAGCAGAATTTTATAGAGGGTAGAAAGATTGAGGAGATTGGGAAGGAGCATTCGTAAAACAGCACAGACTTCCCATCAGTGGCAACTGCCTTCATCGTACATGCCATTTGTATAGAGGCAGTACCTAGGTAGTTGCCGTATAATGTTGTGCAATGGGCACATTTAGTACAGTATAAATCAACTCAAGGCAGGAGCTTCATACCTGTTACCTACCTAGGTTGGGTAAATTGACTTTAAGACGAAGGAAGATGCATCTAATATTGCTATATCAGCTCTTGCCATTTCTATAACCGTATGCTTTTTTAACCCGCCTTCCTGACCCTAGCTGACCCTAGCAAGCACCTTTGCGCCTGCCCTTTGGACCTTTTTATCCCTTGACCTTGAATGAGTACTATCCGTCATGTACCTAGTATCTACCCACTAGGCAGTACTTCCTTAGTATGTAGATAGATAGTGAAGATGTTTAAGTAGGCAAAATGCATAACACCAATAAATGATTTCCCATCTTCCTTATATTACAGTAATCCACTACTGCCAGTCGGTAACCATCAGCAGCTTCGAGACAAACTCAACGCCCTGGCAGCAATGCCCGTAACACTGCTTGCAAGTACCTTGTTTTCTTCTTCTTGCCGCTCAAGAGGCGAATTGGGTAATAGCACCGGCAAACTCGTTGACGGACTCGACACCGGTAGATGTACCTGCTCGTGAACATCATTCCGTCGAAGCGGCGCTACCATGTGAGGTAGGGCCAGCGCACCGCTATCACCATTAACGCGTGCCGTCCGCGGCAGAGGCGGTAACGAAGGTTGCCCATGCCGTATAGATTTGTTGGCGCCCAACAACGGCTTTACCTTGAGCTGGTCAAGGGGCACGTCCGTTTGCCCCGTTCGGACTTTGTAGCTGGCAAGACCTAGTCTTAATCGCAGCATCTCTGCTTTCTGTGAAGCTTGTTAGCAACGCGTATACTGACAGCATTTCTAGGGCGTCTGTTCGACTTACTCTTCGGGCTTCCTCGCGGGACATGGGAGAGCGCTGACGAGCTGGCGCGGGCACGGGTACAGGCGCGGGTGTGGGCGCGGGCGCCACTTCCTCTGTGTCCGGCTCTGTTACCGTGGTGGCCAGAGACGTGTCTATGACAGAGTTGTCAAACATTGACGAGTCCTCGTCCGGTGTATCTGATCGTTGGCATTCCGGCACATCACTATCACCACCTGCACCCTCGTTGCCATCATTCCCATCATTATCATCATTATGACCCTAACGCGTGACCACATTAGCTAGGTTTGCCAAAGGTGGACAAGATGCGCGACACACGTACCCCACTACCACCAAGCTCCTCATCTGCGGTTATCGGTTGAGCATCTCCATCCATGGAGAGACGTTGCCTCTTGATTGGCTGTGATGATGGCCGTTGTTGATGCTGCAGTTGCTTGGGTTCGTCATCGAGGCATCTCTTCGCCTTACCCTCCACCGGACTACATAACTTGGCCACTTCAAGTTTCGAGGATGCTGCCGTGATTCTCGAGTTGACGTCGATAGGGCCTAAGGCGCGACGTTTATTTGGCGAGGCATCCATCTTACTGACTCGCTTTGTCTATTAGAATTATGATCGTATTCGCTTGGCCGGCTGATGTCCAATTTATTCAGAATATATATCCTGTGTTGAAAATTATGTAGGGATATGCAATTAAGATACAGTATAGATAGCCCTGGAAGATATAGGACAACTGGACCTAAATTGAAAGATAAAAAGCAAAATGTAGAAAAAAAAAAAAGATGATGAACTGTTGAAATAGCAAAACAAGAGCAGCCTGTAAATTAATGATGAAGCAAGTACGATGGTTATTAGGACTGTACCTATTATGTATAGGTATGGTACGCACCTGGCAGGTAATTCAATGTTTGATATAGAGGGGCTGTACATTCGCGTGCCGCGTCTTCTTTACTTTCCCACCCGCGTCGTTACTAGGTACTGTTACTAGCGTACCTGAGTACCTACCTACATGTAGTAACTACTTAACTACATAATTAATGAATCCAACGAGATGTTTTTGCATAAACTATTATTTACTTATTACTATTCTGGGACTAGCCTGGGTGCATAACTCCAACAAATTCAGGAACATGGCTTGGCAAGTACCTGCACCTACGTAACCAGTACTAACCACCCATACTGTGGCATACACTACGGAGTAGATAGATACTACGCAAGGGACCCCTGCTAGCCCCGCGGGTACCTGTATCCTGTACCCTACTCGTACACGTTCAAACCCTTCATACCTACATACATATGTACCCTTCCAATCAATCTTCTTACCCCGCTATTCATCATCTACTATCATCTACATATGTACGTATACATATGTATAACCACCATTATGTAAAATACATCACACCTATATTCATCAACTTCAAATCTTGTTGACAAACTATCAAGTCCTGAATCTGAATAGAGAAATCACGTCATATAAAGTAGTCACTCTAACATCTGCATATAAATAACATGTGCATATAAAAAAATTCATCACCAAGTGACATTATTTGCTATCTGCCTGTCCTTTTTTGATGGGTATCATTTGCTGTCCAGCTCTCTATATAGGCTGCTTCTTCGAGGATCGATGCTAGGTGTGGCCTTTGTTCCTGTCCGTAAAATAGGCCCTCTCCACCTACTCATCTCTGCTCTCATTATAAAAATGAACATTTCAAGTCCATGAGTAAAAAAGCAACGCGAAAAATATAGCAAATCCCCGCAACACCAGTGGACCCATCCGTTCATCCTCCACCGTACGCCCCTTTTCCCTCCTTCGCACTCGTAGGGGTCTGCCTATCCATAATCGGTGACTCGTTATTGGTTATAGAAACCGAATGTAAAACATAGATACCGTCGCTCCCAGGCCGTAATACTCGTAAAATGTAGGCCCCCTGGCTTTAGGGGCTGTCAGGGGCTATTGAAGCCCTATGAGACCACTCAAACTCCCCCCCCTTTTTTTACGTCGTGTCCAGCGAATACATGCTGCTATCTAACACGAAAGCCTTCCCAAATTCTGGGTTCACGTCGTCCCACGAGAACGCTTGAATCGCAGGTTCGTCTGCGCCTGCCATGTCCATGTCCGTAGCGTCGAGGTCTATGTATGGGTGGCCTGTGAAAGGATGCCACACGTTGAATCCCATATCCAGATCCACGTTGAGACTGAGCGAGACACCTTCAGAGATATCGCTGTTCGGCTCCGAGCCTGCGCTATCCTTGCTCGATTCCGGGGTATCGTTCGGCGTTATAGCCCTATACACGTTCATATCTGAGATCGCTCCCCCGCCACCGCTCTCTAAACCGCCCAAGTTATGGAACAAGTCTTGAGGAGCAATTGTCGCCATTGCCCACGCATCGTCTGTTCCAAACGTTTGCAATGCTCCATCAGGTGCCCTTGCTAGTCCTGTGGTGCCATCTCCACCCTTGGACCCGGGGTCGGGTTTCGGCGTGCCAACCCGCCCGGCCATTGTCTTGGCCAAATCTGTGGGCTTGGAGCCTGGGGCGCTGTCTTGCCTCTTCATTGACGGTTCTCGGGACATTGGTGCCGGTTCAGCCCGATTTGCAGGTGTCAAGCCTTGTTTCGAGAGATTCAAAGCCATTGGAGCAGCTGTTAAGACTGGAGCCTGGGACGTAGCTTCTGGAGCGTTCAGCGGCTTTCCGTTGTTGGTCGGGTCCAGCCCCAGAGCGCCAGCTAGGCTCTCCTTGACGAACTGAACCGGATTTTGGCGAGGCTTGACGTGTTCCTCTTCTATATGATGCCGCTGAGCGTCCTCGGTAGCAAACTCAATGCCATGTGCTTCGCAACTCGGCTCAGGACATTTAAACTGTAACTTTATCGGAGGCTTTGACTCGGTCGGTGCAGTTCTTTTCACCATATCTGGAGACGCAGCCTTTGGTACTTGGGGAGATGAGTTAGCACTGGGGCCGCCCGAACCAGCACCATGTGCTCCAGTCTTGGCCTTTTTCCGAGCAGGTGGTAGGTGAAGGTCTGTAGGGTTGAACGTAGGCTTCCCTAGGTAATTTGGCTGGCCATTGGGCGACTGTGCACCGAAAGAAAACGGGGGCTGCGCGACAGTTGGCGCAGCAGGGGGCTGCCCACTCTTGCTGGCAGTCCTCTGGTGAATCTTATTGAGGGCTTGAGTCTGCCTCTCGAGATTGGATTGGCTTAGAGGGGTAGGCTGGCCTGTGGGTGGTGTCGCCGTGGTTTCGCTAACGCCTTGCTGAGGTCCCGAATCTTGCGCATTCTGCGGCTGGGGAGGTTTACTCTTCCCAACCCGGGCTAGCTGAGGGGATATGTCCCTGACCATTCCCTCTAGCATTGCCCTCACGCCATCTAAATCCCCAGGCCTAAGCGAGAAAGCATTCCTGAGAGCCGTCATTTTCTCACCGTCTGAGAATTGTTTTATAAGACGCAGTCGCTAGGTTCAAGTCAGAATTTACACCAACAAAAGATATTAACAGAATAAAAGACTTACAATTTTGAAGAACATCCTAGCACGATTGTCGTCCTTGGTGTGAGTGTACCATCGGCCCAAAATCTTGCTGACTTTGTTCATTTGGTCGATCGTGGTCTGTATCTTCAGAGCCATTTCCTTGTATTGTTCTGGGGTCATTGGAATCTCTACATAAGGCTCTTTCGCTGCGCTTATGTGCTCTTCCTGTCCGATAGCCCTGAGATGTCGCATCTCCTCCCCAATAGCTCCTCCACCAGCAGTCAATTGTCGGCTCTTCTGCAGCATGGCTTCATATTTAGCCCTTTGATCAGGTCCGAGTCGTGCTAGCTGGGCGGCGTCCAATTGGGGTATTTGCTGGGGGACAGGCCCAGATACTTGAGGGGCCTGCTGGGACACAGGGCGCTGGACCGGGGTGGTCGAAGGGTTCGGCACTTCCACCACATCATCCGTACTCGCTCGCTTCAAGCCGTTCTTCTGCGGAGGCACCGAAGGTGCGTTATGTGACGCTCGATTGTTTTGAAGCTGCCTGTTATTTCTCGTAGGAGCCACAGGGCCTGCGGCAGTGGCATCAGGCATTCCATTGTGTGGTCGCTGCTGAGGTATATTAAGGGCGTTCGGCTGTTGAACGGGAGTGGTGATATTAGGGTTGGTAGGTTGGGAGGTCTGCGGTGTCTGCATTTGGCCACCTTGGGCTTGTGCTTGCGCTTGAGCCTGCGCCTGCGCCTGGGCTTGTGCCTGAGCCTGGGCTTGTTGTGCCTGAGCCTGCTGAGCCTGGGCTTGTGCCTGAGCCTGGGCCTGGGCCTGGGCCTGGGCTTGGGCTTGAGCCTGAGCCTGGGCTTGGGCTTGTGCCTGTGCCTTATTCCTGAACTGCTGCACCTTCATTTGTAACAAGGTTGACCGGATCCTATCGTCGGGCATGCCTTTGAACTTATCATAAGACTTAGCCTGCAGAATTTCCTGGGCCGAAACCGTGATGCCCGCAAACGGGGCCATGTTGGCAGGAGGCTGTACGGACATCTGCCCGTTTGGAGGCTGCGGCCCTTGTGGCATCTGATTACCTAACCCAGCCCTTGCCTTCATAACGTTCTGGAACTGGTTCTGTTGATAATGTGCGAGCTGGTTCAGAAGGCCCGGCCCAGCGTTCTTCGTAGATAACCATTGTTTAAGGTGCGCCCACTTCTTAATCTCTGGAGGGACTGGTTGTACCTGTCTCAACTTATCGAGAACCATAGCCGGAACGTCCATGGAATCCATGTACGCATTAGCATCCTGAGGCATTTGAGGGCGATTTGGGCCCTGCATGCCATTACGCATCCTGTTCAGTGACTGCTGAATAAGTATCTGATTTTGAGGATTCATCGGCATGTTAGAATTCGAATGCTGGCCTACGTTATTCCCCGGTCCAAATTGTGCCATGGGGTTGCCTTGTCCAAATTGACCAGGCTGAGGCTGGCCAGGCTGGGGTTGACCACGGGGAGGCATCTGACCGCGACTGGCGGCCCACTTCATGATCATCTCATTTTTCCTCTCCGGTGGCAGCGCCATAAACGTATTCCGTGCATCGGGAGTGGTCAACTGGGAAAGAAACATGTTCACGATTTGTTGGTTATTCGCCGGGTTTCCTCCCATTGGAGGTCTTTGGTTGCCCTGATTGAAACGCGGGTCTCGTCCAAAAGGTCCGTTGGGCTGGCCCAATTGGGGCTGTCCTTCACCTTGGCCCATTCCAACAGGTCGTCGAACTGGAGTATTTAACGTGCCCATCCCAGGACTTTGCGAAATGGCACCGGCCCCGTTTAGTCCACCCGGCTGGCCCTGCATCTGTTTGGCCTGAGCTTGGGCCCTGATCTGTGCCTGTGACTGGGCGGCTAGTTGGTCCATCTTCAATTGCTGAGCCTGAGGCATATTATTGTTAAACGATTGCTGTAGCTGATTTGGCATACCGGGCTGGTTAGGCCCGGGGTGGTTACCCGGATTGGGACCCTGCACTCCACCCATAGGCTGTGGTGTAGCATTTCGGCCAGGGCCGTTACTCGCAGGCACCACCATCTGTCCTGCTTCTTGAGCAAGTAAGCCAGCTTTTTGTTGATTCATGATGCTTTCTACATTCGAGAAGGGTCCGAATTCACTGTTTTGCACCCCAGAAAGCTGCTGACCAGATTGGTTCATTAATCGCTGCTGTGCCTGCATCTGCATTGCTGCTTGGTTGCCACCAACATTAGCACCTCCCTTTGCGCTCTGCAGGATCTGATTTTGGAAGAAAAAGAGGACTGGATCCATATTCTCCTGCTGAAGTTGCGACATTTGTTGTGGGCTGAGTTTCGACTGCAGCATTAAACGAATCTGGTTTCTTTGGAGCTCTGGTGTTTGACCTAGTCTTGCAATAGCTAGTTGTTGCACTTTCGTTCGGTCCTGAGCTGATAAACTTGTCAAGGTGCCTTGCAATGACATCTGCGGGCGCATCTGCGGTGCACCCATCTGCATCTGCTGCTGGGAGGGGTTCATGGGCATTCCCCCAGGACCTCCCATGCCCATACCAGGTTGGTGAGGCTGCTGGGGAATCGGCGAGGCCTGCATCTGCTGTTGAAGATGCTGAAATCCCTGCTGGGGGGGTTGGCCCATTCCTCTTGACATCATGTTCTGGTTCATTAGCATCTGCGACTGGGCTTGCGCTGCAGCCTGCGCATTGAGGGTATTTTGAAGGCTATGCTCGTGCGCTTGCCGTTGCTTAAACAGCTCCTGGACACGACCATTAACCTTTTGGTCGTAGGTCCCCTTGGAAAAATTAGCACGATGCTGTAATGGATTCAAGATTAAGGAACTTGACCCACCTTATCTTGCGATTTCATAAATGCTTCCCGTTCAAATTGTAGACCATGTGACACCAGTTGCTGTGATTCAATGGCAGGCATGGCAAGGAACGAGTTGGAGATCCTAGAAGTATATTAGCGCATCGCTCGGATATGTATATGCGAGTATAGGTTCGAGTCGGAGCAACTTACAAATTCATAGCATTGCTCACCCGCAGGCTGGCCTGCACTTGGTCCTGCCAGCCGTTGCCGTTCGTCGGGGCTTGGTGGTTCATCATTTGTGTATATACCAGTTGTGATAGTTGCTGGTGGGGCGGTCGCGACCGCACGGAGGCACTACCGCCCATCTGAGGCATATTGGCGGCCATGGCCGCGATTGAGGGTGATTTCGGTCAAGTCGTAAAAGTTCTCAACCCCCAAAAAGTCCTAAAAAAACGCGATCAATAGGGTAAACCTTGGTAGGTTACCCAAATAAACGCTTCGCGTAAGAGGAGGGAAATGTCCACACGTCTTTGTCGCGAACACGGCGACACGGCGTATGAAGGCGATATGGCGATATGGCGATAGTTTCTTTCCCAAATCAATTCATCTCTTATGGAAGTCCCTATAGTGCCTTGGCAAGTCTACACTTGCGTATTTGTGACGAACGAAACAACGAGTTCTTAGTTTCGAGAAAGGTTGATCGCGCGACTGGAGTGCAATCCGAATATTATGGGTAATCGAAGATGCGGATTACTGGTGCGTTGTGTTGCTGGATAGGCAACGAGAATCACGGTCGTTCTTTCGAGTAATGGCGAGAATAGCGTAAATATTCCAGTGCCAAGTAGATAGGGAACGAAAGAAAATTGGGAGTAATTTCTGATTTCGAAGAAATATAGGAAATCAGATGGTCAAGATGTAGGTGCGGACTATCTGAGCGACGATAGGACAATAGTTGGTCGGGGATCGTGGCTGAAACGAGGTATAAATAGACTTTCTTCGAGGTAAGATGTTAGCATCTAAAAAAAGAGAGCAGGCGTCTTGGTTGAAAGCTAGATGCGAAAGTGTTGATGATTATGGATGAGATGTAAATCTCGTAGAATTCGAATAAGTATGAGAAATATGAGAAAATAGAATGGGTAGGGGAAAAAGGTGACAATGTGAGTACGACTCGTTCAGAGTGTTGAAGGTAAAGAAGGATATGGTTGTGATGATGATGGTGGTGGTAAGGTAGGTAGTTGGCAGGTATGGTTGGTACGCAGAGAGAAAGAAAGGCGGCAGTGGAAAAGAGAGAATTCAAGTGTACAAGCATCAAATCCACCATGGATGGACTGAAAGTGCTAGGGTGGACTGGGTACTTGGTACTTGGTACATAGTGTGGACTAGGATAGACTAGTGTAGGGTGCTAGGATGAACAGGAAAGCAAGCAAGGCAAGTAATGCGAAGCAGCAGAACAGAGCAGCAGAGCAGTAAGGACCTGACACTGGCTGGGACACTCATCCCAGCAAAGTTGCCGCGTGCAAGTAGTAAATGATCGATCACCCAATAGTGGGAATTGGAATATTGACAAAAGTGGGTCCTTTGGGGATCTCCCACTGTCTAACAACCACTTAAAGTGCATCTATGTACCGTACACTGGCAGATACTAGTAGAGTACTGCAGGGTACTGTACGTTACTGTATGCTGCAGTGCACTGTGATTGACTCTGATTGGTTCTGATTGTATGTACTGAGTCCCTCCGTCTCCACTATATAGTGGATGGATTCGTATGTACTCAAGTAACTCGTCAAGTACGGTACCTCAGTACATACCTAGTATAGTACATACGTACATACATAATGTACATCACTGGCTAGATGTACACCTAGCCGGTAGCGACAGCAAGTTTGAGTGAATGCTGAGCTTGCCCAGGCAGGCTATTCCGAGGATGCCATACATAGATCGTGCTGTATAAATACATTGTATGGCAGAAATCCATGGATCGCATACTGAAGCAGCTCTAGCACTGGCCAAAGCATGCAAGAACATATGTGTAGGTATGGATGAATGTGTGGATGGATATATGGATGTATGTATGTGTGTATGTATGTATGTATGATTGTAGGTTAGGTGGATTGAAGAAGAGATGAAGAACTTACCAAAGATTTGCGTCTCGGATACCCTAACCTAGGCAGGTTGCAATTTGTCTCGCGTAGAATTCTTCAATAAGAAGAGATGACCGGATCGTTCGAAGTCTGCGGGAGGTTTACGGGAAATTCCAACCGGACGGGCAGTCTTGGGTTTAGGGAAGCAGCCTACGGCATCGAGAGTCGATGGACCTTGAAGGAATTGCATGTAAGTATTTGTGATCTAGAAGGAAAGGAAGTGGGAGAGAAAACGAGCCCGACTCGGAGGTGCATACTATGTAGGTTTGAAGTCAGTAGGCAGGTACAACTTACAAGTATGTGAAATTTGAATAACTTGTGTATACTTAGTACATGTATGATATCTGTTGAAGCGGTCACCGAAATGGAGAAGAGAAAGAGGGAGGATGCCTATTCGGGGTTGGGTTTTTGTTTTTGCTTTCTGAACTTGTTTGGGACAAAAATGTCTCTAGACCTGGGCTGCTTAACGCCAAGGACAAACATTTAACGACCAAGACCCTGCTTAAGCCTCTAAGATAGATATGTGCGATACGTAGAGGTACGTACCTGCTCCCTACAATTAACACTATGTAGGTACATGCGAAGGTTGCATAGCTGTATATGTGGTATCAACCTTTACTACTAATAACTATGCATACAGTCAGGTAAGGACATTCAGAGTTTTTCAAGTTGAATTACCACAAACTACAGTGCCAGTCAATGCTACTAAAAAGAGAGTGCTTATGTAATGCTCAGGGTGGCGAAAATTGAACTATGGTAGGAATATTTTGCGCTCGAGGAAGTGAAGCAATTCATAACTTGAAATCTAACGAAATGAGGCGGGCTTACTTTAAAGTACATTTTTGAAGTATAGTAGAAAAAAGAACAGGGATCATGATGATGTACCTAAAGGCTAAGATACAGTTTAAAGCTTCAAATTGAAAAGATTCATGTTTAAAGCCCCAGGCTTTAAGCTACATGCTATGTAGTGCATACATATACTACTAGTAGTAGTAACTATGTACTAGTAAATTAGGGCTACATACTAGGTATGTACTGCCAATTAGACTTGAGCTTAAATATGGGCACGGGACGGCCAATGCCTTATGTACTATTAAGCCTACATGTAGTACCTACATTCAATGTTCAAGTTCAATGTTGTAGCGTAGTAGACAAGGAGGGGTTGCCGTCAATGTTCATACCTAGTATGTGCATGAATGCTATTTACCTACCCTGGGTAGTGCATACTTACATAGTAAAACCTTGGAAAGAATTGAACATTACCTACCTAGGGTAGTGGTAATAAATGATGAAAAGCTCAAGAGCCTTGGGACTTTCATGTTGGGTAGGTAGGCAGGTAGTTACATACCACATACCGCATAGATAATGCCTAGTTACATACATATGTAGTACTAACCTTAGATACCTCTCTGATGCATCTACATCAAATGTACCTACATAGCACTGCAGCGACATCTTTAAAACTCTCATGTTTTTTTTGGGGGGGTTTTTTTTTTTTACATTTTTCCAACATTTGAACTTTTCCTCTTTAACTTCATTCCGCATAATCCACTTTCACGATACGTGTTATGCCTTTCAAATCATACTATAGAACCATGGTAGAGGGCGGCAACGCCTCTTTTTTTTCAACTCCTTCTTTTCTTTCCCCTTTTTCCTTGCCTCATAAACTTGAACGATTCCCTCGTTTCTTTTTTCAACGTTCTAACAAACATTCAAGTCCATACACCATTATAGATACTTGATACACCGTCTATCTTACTAGCATGGGCAATGCCACACGTCAGCCAGCATACTCATTCTCAAAGCAATGGCACTTACATCAGTGCTCTACTACAGATACCTAGGTATGTATTAGGCATTATCGCATTGGTCAACATCGAGTATAGTTAGCTGCTACCACCTAGGTTAGATACAATGATACATGCCCAGATGCATACATGCAAGGTACCTGGGTATGTACTTAATACACCTCACAGGCTCAGTGCTATTCTGAATCTGTATACTTAAAAGGTATCCGTACACAGACTCAAGGTGTTGCCAACATCAAACCAGTAAGATCGTCGCTGCCAGTGGCCAACCTGGCTCAGGTACATGTATCTGTTGGAGATTGGATGGGAACTACTCCAGGGCTACTACCAAGTTCGGTATGTGTACGTTCTTCCTTGTATGTTTTGTCTGGTTGGTCGCCAACATCGAACCTATCTATTGGGAGCAAACAACAAGTTGAAGTAACTACATACATATAGAAGTAGTAAATTACCAACCACGTATGCGAGGGTGGGTATGACGAATACATGTCCACCTTATGATTATGAAATATTCAGCGGCAGCATGACCTTGTATCGTGTTACGGTCCAAAAAGAGCCACTACCTAATGCCTACATTGCCTAGCCTTACATGTGTACTATAATGCCACGCTTGCATAGTATAGAATTATATGCCGCCTACTAATATACCTATGTAGGTATGTAGGTCTTTCGACCCAGTTCACGACAACACCGATACTAACACCAACGCAGACCCGCTGCCCAAGTATATACTATAACTTCTATAACATAAACAGGCCGCCATGTATGCTATGGTAACACAGAGACTCTTATGCCTTGGGTCTCTGGTTATTGGTTCTCGGTTCTTGGTTCTCGGAATAGGGCGTGTTGTGCAGCCAAGCCCAACACGATACAGCCGGAGCCCCGCACTCGACGTCGATTGATCAATCAGGGTACAAGTGCATACCTACATATAGGCTACTACTATATACGCCGTATGATCTTTTCTTTCTTCTTCTTCTTCTTCTTCTTCATAAAGCCCTCTGAGGCTCGGTGACCTACATACATACATCTGACCTGACAGGTGGGGATGACCAGTGACTACATCGGCCAAGACTCATAAACTGGTATACTTGGGTTTAATGGGAAGGGCATCGGTGAAGAGGCGCATATATGACATGAGTGATGTAGGGCGAAGCACCACCTTATCGTGCGAAAATGGGGATGGGGATGGGGATGGCCACCACATAAGCACAGCGTATCACTGCCTAGTACCTTCGAGGTACGTACGTACGTAATGAAACAAGTCAGCCTCACGCTCCTCTCAGCTCGGTCAGCTCTATGTCTTTCGTCGAAAGGCTAGATATCGATCTATCTATCGCCCCAGAGGAACCGCTCGCAGAATCAGTAAGTCGTTGTAGTTTCTGTCTACTACTACCTATGTAGTTAGCATTAAGCAGAGGTAGAATATAAGCAGCATTGCTTCCCTGGTCAACAGTGAATGTCAATGCGAATACCTTACAACAAGATCTAAATGTCGTCGATTTTTGATGTGCATAAGCAGAAGGGTTAGGTACCTGCTCAGCCTGGGGATCTGCGTGGTATCAACTTCCTTTGCCCCCAACTTCTCATAGTCATGAGGGAGACAAAGCTATACACACGGGCAACTACAGCAACATTGCTCATCATGCCTTATGTATCTTGGGCCGCGATCCTAGCTTTCGACTTTTCTAGCGTAGGGGATCTACCGCCTACTTTTAAATGCCTAAGGTTAAGTGGTGTCTAGGAAAGCTTTCATTGTGGGTAAGGGCGATTAGATAGATGTCTGATATCTCCTACTCGACACACGTGCGCGCACATGGACATAGTTATATATAACTCGGCCGGTATATACACATATATATATATATATAGTTTATATACGGCTGTGTGGCAACATAGTTATCTGATGTAAGTAGAGATGAACCTAACACTTTACTTTTAGCAAAAGATGAAACAATCGCAATTCATTGTGCGCTCGATTTAGGGCTGACAGCTTTACCAACATTCGAAAATCAGTGGGTTCGGGGAAGCGCTTCTTTTTTTCTTTTCTTTTCTACATCCTACATACATACATAACTCCCTCCAGCGTGCAAGTGTATGTATGTACTTATTTAAGCTATACATAGCACTAACTGGTTGCGTGATAGGTAGAATTTGAAAATAGTATCAGCTTTGCTTGGCCTCCTTCCTTCAATGTTCTCCCCTCCCCCCCTCCTCCTCCTCTCAGGGCTGGTTTCAGGGAGTCTAAGGTCGCAGGTCGTAATAATAATATTGATAATAATAATAATGACTCTTCGCCGAACCCGAAACAAAGAGAGAAAAGAATTAAGAATAAGATCTTTACATATGTAACAATGTCCCTACTTACATACTTAGTTACATACTATGATACACTGCCCAATGCCTGACATTTTCAGCCTCTCGGTATTAACTCCCGATGTTGCGCAATTCGCCTATGTTGCCACTCCCCAAGTTCTACATACATCTCTGGCCCATATTTGTGATTTATGATGTAGGTACCGAGGTACATCCATCTTGACCGAAGTCTCGAGAGTCGAGAGTCGAGACAGGGACCACGCGATGTGCATAGCTACATGTAGGTACATGTATGTAACCTTTAATCCATCAATATGTAGAACCATCAGACGAGATCATTTGAAGTCATGTAGGTACCTACAACTGCAGTAAGTATGTTGAAAATCCAAATCATTCACAAGATTGAAAGGGGAGACGAAGAGAGAGAATCAAGCAATATGCAATATGTCTGCTGGTCGGATTGACGATGCTTTCATTTCGTGTTGTATGTATGTAGCTATGTATGTCGGTCAGTCTGGAAATTATTATGAGAGAGGAATGAACAAGATCAAAAGTCGGTATATTACGTGCTAGGTGGTGGCGGTAAGACGCAGGGCCCCCTGCTGCTGCTAAGTCGTCGATCATTACATCGCCCAAGTTTAATCCTTTTCAACCTCAATGCCACCACTGTTATGTAGGTACCTAACCTGCATACATACATACATACATACATACATACATACATACATTTCTTCCATAGATTCCATACTACGCAGCTGAGCTACCAAGATGCCTTACTATACACATGAGCTTGTAATTAGTGCTTGGACTAAACAAACGCGAATCTACCACCTAATTACCTACCTATTCCTCGGGCTTCGCGGGGTTGCAATACCACTTTGCATGTAAATAATACTACGTACCTACCTAGTGCAGGTTGGGGATGCAGTGTAGGTAGGTAGGTAGGTTAGTCAGTCTACCACGAAAAACGTGGATGTTATTAATATTTCAAGATCCCTTAGGTAGCCTACCTAGGTAGGCAGGTCATAAATATGTTCATATCCTGTTTCATCGTCGCTCAAAGGATTCGACCATGTAGCTGGATTGGAAATATATACATACTTAGCCCATTCGAACGAGAGAGAACTACTAACTATGTACTGTTGGAGAAGGAGTTGGTTTGGTGAAGATGATGCTAGCTACCTGCATACGCTAGTATGTAGCCCTACATACTACTACTAGTGGTAGAGGTACATGGCCAGGTATGTATGTATGCTATCCATATGAAAATTAACCAGGACATCAGCACAAAGCACACAGGTGGGTATGGTATGTATGTGTGTGTATGTGTGTACCTCGCAGAGAAAAGGTGCAGCAGAACGACATCGAGTAGACATTATGTAGTAACTGACTATCAGAGTTGAAGGAGATTCCGCAGAAGAATATGATATTCGTGTCAACGGCGAGGCACACACACACACACATTGTATGCACATATAACATAGACATACATACCTAGTTACTACATGTAGTATTAGATGGATGGTATGTATGTATGTACCTAGTAGATCAGCGGGAGCTATGTCGATACCCGTGCTATTTTAGTCCGGTTTCTTATTTGTGGACGAGAGTCACCGTGCCTTGCAAGTTGTAGAGGATATTAACAAACCTACAGCATACCTACATGTGTACATATGTATGTATGTAGCAGCAGTGGATACATATATCATTATATGTAGGTATGGCAGCATCAATGGGGTTGGCACTTGTTATTTATCACGTACCTATTCGTTCAAAAGAAGCATGTAATAAAAAGGAACATTGAATAGGTATATACCAAGAAGTGGACTCAACTCGTATTTACTATTTCCTGACTCGAGGAATATATACATACTACCAGCCTTAGTACCTACATATCTACATGCATCTTGTCCCTCTCTCGCGCAACATAAGATAGGCGTTGATGTATATGTATGATCGACGGTCTTCCCCCACGGGCTGGCTGGCTGTCTGTCTGGCTGGCTGTCTGGCTGGCTGACTAGCTGTGCTGGGTTGGTTACATAGTAGTTAGTAACTATGTAGGAATTCCAACATCTAACGAAACGCCATCGACGTCTGGGATGCTAGATTAGGTAGCCGTTCGCCATGAATGGGCGAGCTAAAGATCATGGATCGCAGCGTTAGCAAGCCATTTAGAAGAGTTGGCGCCACACCACCAGGTTTAAATGAACCTTACTTTGCCGTAGCTTGCATGGCTAGCTACTAGGTACATACATCTTACAATCATGGCAGCTTTGTTTGAACATTCATCAATGTTGTTTGTTTTTTTTAGGTTGGAATAACTAATTGATTAAGCAGTCGAGGGACTCGGTTCGAAGAGAGACAGACTATAGACAGGTTAAGTTCTCAGTGTTCCAATTGTAACAAAAAAAACACTCGAGTATACAACATTCAAACAAAGCATTGTTCTGTTCATTTCAATCATCACGACATTTACACGATGCAATTCCGAAATGTTGTTACTATTACGGAATGCCCAGGGTATGTATTATGTATGTACCAGGTACAGCTTAGACAGGGCCTGACAGGCAGGGTAGGTACTTTCTTTCTACAATTAAAACACCAATTTAACCCATTTAATACACACCAAGGTCCCTCCTCTCCCCCCCCCCCCCCTTGCCTCAAAAACGACCCCTGATTTTTCAGGGTGTTTGTGCTAGATGATTTGGTTCGACCCCATGATTGGCCGCCTTTCGGGAAGTATGAACGAGGCGTATCTTCAAAGTACCAAACTCCCGTTCCAAAGTACCTCAGCGTGTTCGATACTTGCCATCTTGCTGGAGCCAAATTAAATCGATACTGTATGGACATAGTATGTGCTATGTACCTTGCCTTGCCAGGTACCTAGCTGTATACACGCAACACACACGCACTCACGCACTCACACACACACACACACCCCCCGTCAATGATTGAACCTGTCTGCATCTGCGTCTTGCATACGAATCAACCCTTGTCCCATTTTACTTACTATGTACCTACTTGGGTATGAACCTACATAGTTACATACATAGGTACGCTACTTTCGATGTCCCATCCTCTTCTCGTACGAGTTCGACAATCGTCAAGAAAAGAATGAAATATAACTAGTTATATTAATATAATCGATCACGCATTTGCATCTTGACGATTTGAGCTACCTCCGTCCGTACAATCTCGATAAATATAACTACCCACCTCCATCCATCTTTCCAACCAAGAGACACGGAGGTGGGAGAGGGGGAAAAAGAGGATTGAGGATTAGTTATAGAACGTCAAGTGGTGAGTTTTTGGGTTAACCACATGTGCAGGAGGTACGTATGTGACTGTACATGTGTAGAATTGCCAATCCTCTCTGCAAGAAAGAAAAAAACCAGGCCAACTTGCTTGTTGCGAATCTCTCAGCGGGGAACCAAATGAAAAAAAAAAAGAAGAGAAATGGAAAAAACAAAAAAGAAAGGTGGGCGGGGTGTGCCTGAGTAAGAGATGCCCCGGCCGGTGCCTTGGTCCAAGTCTAGTTAGAGGAGGAGAGAGAGAGAGGAGGCGAAAGTTGCGAAAGATAAAATAAATGGATATCTTCCGAATCCCTCCGTGAAGAAGCATTCGGACGATAGTCCCACGACTAACAGGGCTGGTTCCGCCTAGGTATGTATGTATGTATGTAAGTACGTACATATATGCGTACATATTGTATCTACATACATACATACATACATCCCTGGTGATTGATTCCATCAGAAGATACCAACTAAGTGAAACCCTGGGGTTTGTCTGACAGTCTGCCTATTCTGTTCTATCCATCTATTTCCAGCCAAATCCTCTTGTCAGTCAAGTAAGGTACTGTAGGTAGGCAGGCAGGTGTGTATGTGTAAAAATCGACGGTCCCAAGACTTGAGAAAAAAAAAACTCCCGACTCACTGGTCTAGGTTAGGACTTTTGGATGGGAGATCGCTCGTCTTTTTGTATGCTGCTACACTTTATACGTGCTTACATGATGATAGATTTCTGGCTTGGCGGGACTAGGGAATTCCTTGTTATTCGTATAATGAGGCACTGATGAGGCACACATCACTCACTGACTGACATGACAGCAAAAGTATGAGGCAGTGGTGCACTTTATTTTATTAGTCTTTGGATAGAATTCTTACCCTCCACAAATGCGTTCGCTTACCGGGACCAATCGAACGGCCATCAACGAGTAGGAGCCCTGCCCATCTTGCGTGTCTCTCTTGTCCGGCTATCCGGTGCCTGGTATTGTTGTCGTTCGTTATTGTTGTCATTCCAAGACGTCTTTTTGGTGGTTTGGCTAAGCACGTATGTACAAAGTAATACTTTTTGTTATTTACTTACTAGGTACCTACCTACTCCCCCCTCTCTCTAATACGTGCGCGCGCTTGGACACAGATACAGATACAGTTATAGTTAGAGATACAGATAGATAGACAGGCAGGAGGGCGAAGGAGACTCTGACTACGCAGTACATTCATTACCTATGGCATGCATATCCCATCCTTGATATCCTTGATGACAATCTGTAGACGCCACCTCATCCTGCAGAACGGGCGGGCAGTGGGCGTGGGCGTGGCGAGCGCCCGATGATCCCAATGTGTCGGATTGCATTTGCCCTGTTCGGTTTGCCGGCTCTACCTAGCGAGCCATATTCCATTGGTACCATAGGTAGGTAAGTATGTGTGTAGCTACACAAGGCGAGGGGGGGACACAAGGCATGGAGAGGGAAAAGGTGTGGTAGGATCCAGGAAAGGAAAGAAGAAGAAGAAGAAGAAGAAGAGAAGGAAGAGTGACATGTGTATTAACTATTGCATAATGTTAACTTCAAATGTTCTTCATCATTCTTTTTTCCACTTAATTGTTTTGCCTGAGACGTTATGCACGCAATGACAGCTGAGTGCGCGCAATGAATTCTCTGCTTGGAAGATCATGGCCCAGGTGCCGGGATATGTAGTATGTATAGAAAGTGTGCCCAACGTGGAATGATGGATGTGTGATGATGGATGTGTGATCGTGGATGTGAGTGAGTGATTCTATGTAACTACAGTACGTCGTAGGATATTTTCACCCATTCGCGGCCTCCCGGGTTGATTGATTAGATAAACTTCCATGTTCAATGTTGCTTCTTCCTTGTCAAGTATCTTTAATGTTTACCTGGTAATGTTGGTTCAATGTTATTCTATCGAATCTATCATTTGGATCTGGCGACAAGGATTTGGACGATCAAAAGTTTAGATACTATGTACGTAGAAAGTAATCTTGCTGAGTGAGAGGTATGTAAGTACTAGTGCAGTAGTAGATAAGATAAAAGAGAAACAGGCTCCAGCTGGGGCAGGGTGTGGGTTGTGGAGGTTTAATGTCAAATTATCAAAACTGGGTTAGCGTTTAAATTAGTCATTTAGCTTATATTTTTAGTCTCGGCACCAGAACATCAATGATTGAAGACACAAAAAGATACATACCCAAAGTACCTATTGACGTATCAACTCTCCACAGATCTTCATCCATGCACATGACATCTTCATAGCAACCACATTCTCCAGAGTCTCTGCTGGTTTTCTGCTGGTTTTCTGCTGTCTTTCTTTTATCCGTTAGACTTTAGGGGAAGCTCACATCTCAGTTGTGCTACCCAAGGCAATAAATGAATGCCAAAGTCTTATCACTTGGCTTGACATTCATCCGCAACCTCGTTCGACTACCCCTCTCACGACAGTCTCGCATTGCTTCAACTTCCTCTTCACCTTTGTACTCAACTTCACCAAACAACAGACGATATTTCAGCTTCGTACCTCATAAAATGTCACCACCAAAGTCTACCCTTGATTTCCTTGACTTTGTCAATGCCTCCCCTACCCGTATGACACCTACTGCGTAATCCCAGAAATGTCATCATCCCATTCGGCTAACAGCATCCGTCTCAATATATAGCTTATCATGCCGTGCAATCCTCCATTCAACGCCTAGAGAAGGCTGGCTTCTCCTCTATCAAGGAGAGAGATAATTGGTCGTCCATTCTTCGGCCTGGAGGTAAATACTATATGACCCGGAACGGGTCAACCATCGTAGCCTTTGCCATCGGCGCTAAATGGAAGCCCGGAAACCCAATTGCCATGCTCGGAGCCCACACGGACTCTCCATGCCTACGGATTAAACCTGTCAGCAAGAAAAGTAGCGCAGGTTTCTTGCAGGTTGGTGTCGAAACGTACGGTGGTGGTATCTGGCATAGTTGGTTCGACAGAGATTTGTCTGTTGCTGGTCGTGTTCTGGTAAGAGATGGGAAGGGGAACTTCACTCAGAAGCTCGTCAAAATAGATCGTCCCATCATTCGCATCCCTACTCTTGCTATACACCTCGACCGCTCTTCTGAGTTCAATCCTAACAAGGAGACTGAATTGTTCCCCATTGCGGGTATGGTAGCTGCCGAGCTAAATAGGACTGGTCGGACTAAGAAGGCAGTAAGCACCGAGGCAGCTCCCGAAGGAAATTTCCAGCCACTCAAGGAAATGACCGAGCGCCACCATCCATATATCATCGAGTTAATCGCTCAGCACGCCGAAGTAGAAGTTGCTGACGTGGTCGACTTCGAGTTGGTTCTCTATGACGTCCAGAAGTCCTGCCTTGGCGGCCTGAACGAGGAGTTCATCTATTCAGCTAGGCTCGATAACCTCAATATGACTTACTGCAGCGTGGCAGGACTTATAGACTCTGTTTCGTCCGCCAGCCTCGATGACGAGACTAGTATCCGCCTAATCACATGCTTTGACCACGAGGAGATCGGTTCAACATCTGCTCAGGGTGCGAACTCAGACCTCTTACCAGCTGTGGTTCGCCGGCTTTCTATCTTGGCTGGTGGTCGTCATGGGGATACGGGGTCTGACAAGTCATGGGAACATATCAGCTCAGACCCTGACATTGACCTCACGACCGCTTTTGAGCAGACAATGGCGGCATCGTTTTTGGTTTCTGCTGATATGGCTCATTCGGTTCATCCCAACTATGTTGGTAAATACGAGTCCGACCACAGACCTGAGATGAACAAAGGTAATTTTAGTCCTCCAGTCAAAGCTTCATGCACTCTAGTCACCTAGCTCTAACTGTAAATTGCTATGTAGGCACCGTGATCAAGGTCAATGCAAATCAACGCTACGCTACCAACTCGCCTGGCATCGTGTTGTTACAGGAAACGGCAAAGCGTGCGGGCGTCCCATTGCAATTGTTTGTTGTCAGAAACGATTCTCCCTGTGGTAGCACGATTGGACCTATGCTCTCTGCCAAGTTGGGGGTAAGAACTCTAGATCTGGGGAACCCCCAGCTCAGTATGCACAGCATTCGCGAGACGGGTGGTACCTACGATGTCGACCATGCCATCAAACTGTTTAGCGCTTATCTGTCCTCTTATTCGGACCTTGAGGCTAAGATATTTGTTGATTAAGCTTAAGTTTGACATTTAACGCAGGGCTAAGTAAAGGTAGACAGACTACCGAGTGTCATCGACACATGGCACGATAGTAATATACCGATCTAAACAAACCACCAGAAATAACCTTCTATAAAAGACTCAAACTAGGTATGTAGCCGCAAGTTGAATGATAGCCGCCACGATACTTGACCAAGGGGTTGCTATAGAAACTGAGATGACAAGTCTGCACCGGATAATAAACACGAGAATTACTAGTTAAGTGAAGCTGTTTTCTGGCCATTTAACCTCATGCCCTCTCGTCCTATTTACTTTAGGACCCAAACTAGGAGGTAAGCTTCGTGCTGGTAGCAATGCTATACTTCAACAGGCCTGTGGATTAGCCTTGGAGAAAAGATGACTGAAGTATGTTGCCAGACTATAGACACTATAAAGGAAAAGAGGCAAGAAAATACGACTATCTACTCGATACTAGGCGTAGTATTGTAGCAGTAGCCTGGGAAGTCTTCAACACTGAGTTTGAACCTTTACGCCACCTCCCACAACAACAGATCAAACCTGTGTGTGTTTACTTTGCCATAGACTTCTCACTACCTGCGTTGCCTAGGTAGTATAGCGTATTTCTTCATGATAGGGAAACTATTTAAGAAGGTCGTCCCTCCTTTCTCTGGGTTTCCCTTCTCTCATATTCATCACACCAATTACTTCTGTTTCACTACCTAGTTTCCAGCTTCTTGAACCTTTGAGAATCGAATTCGAGAATTACACAGGTTCGACAGATCGACGAACACACATCTTTCTTCTTCATCCCTGAACCAGTACCCAAGTAGGTTACTTACCTATTGACAAGCCTATCTATCAAAGATGCAAGAACACGCAGGCACAGCCATGGCCGACGACGAGTCCAACAATTGGGGCCAGGGCTTCAGCTCTCTACCACCGATGTCCGGGGAATGGCACAACGACAACCCCAATGAACATTCAGACTCCGACGACATGCTCAGCTCTGACGACTCATCAATGAGCGACGACTCCAGCAGCTCCGGAGCTTCGAACCCACCATCCAGCCCTGCCTCCTCAGTGGATGGTGATGAGTGGCCACACGACGCTGAATGGGTAGACCACAGATGGCCCAACGAGCACATCACCGTCCCCATAATTCCCGGCTGGCAAGAGCTTGCGCCCCCTTTCCCCCCCGCCCAGCCCTTCATGGAGGCCCTCACCACCCCACGCGGCACCCTCCGGGTATTCATGGACCCACACTTGGCCATGGGCTTCACATTCGGCGGCGGAGCCCCCGAAAACGACAACAACAATGCCAACAACAACGCCGCTGCCGCTGCCGCTGCTCCCGCTCCCGCTCCCGCCGCTGCCGAGGCAGTACTACCATACCCAGCCCTGATCACGGAGCCGCAGGCCGCGCCGATCGTCTTCCGAACCGAGTACGGGCTCCTGGTGCCGCCCGGGGCCGCAGCGCCAACGACACTAGGGTTCGAGGACCTCGCGAACCTCGTCCCGACCTCGGTGCAGACGTCGATCCCGCCGAACGCCTCGCCGCAGCGCCTGCGCGTGCTCGCGGGGCTGATCGAGGGCGAGGCGATCCCCTGGATCGGCGACGCGACGCGCATGCCCATCGCGCTGTCCGCGCCCCTCGACCGCGAGGACCCGCGCGGCGGCGTCGTCGTGCGCGGCACCCTCGCCCTCGTCGCGCGCCTGCTGTCCCGCGTCTACGGGCTGCTGGGCCCGCGCCTCGACTCCGCCATGGACGACGTCGTCGACCGCGCCCTCGTCGCGCTCGACCACGTCCACGCCCGCAACCCTCGGCCGTCGGTCCGCAACGCGACGCGGGCCGCGCGCGCGCTGCGCGACGAGCGCGCCTGGCGCGGCCTCCTGAGGTACTACGGGGAGACGGACGAGGCCGAGCTCGAGTTCGACGTCGGCACGCGGTTCCTGACGCACCCGGAGGACGGCAGCGTGGAGGTGACGCCGCTGCGGCGCGGGTTCAGGCCGGTGCGCAGCGTGGGGTGGGATATACTGCGGCGGGCGCGCGAGGGGGAGCGCGCGAGGTTCCGCCCGGTGGTCTCGGTTGAGGCGGACGCTGGGGAGGAGGGGGAGGGGGAGGAGGGCCGCGCGCCGGCACTGGTGCTCACGATTCGTGGGGAGTCGCTGGGCGTGACTAGTGCTGCTGTTCTTGATGCTGCTGCTGCTGCTGCTGTTGATGCTGCTATTAATGCTGCTGTTGCTGCTGCTGCGGCGGCCCCCCCTGCTGCTGACTATTATACTGCTGATGACTATTATCCTGCTGATGAAGATATTATTCCTGCCTATGCTGCTTATAATGTGGGGGCCGGCCTTGAGGTTTTCCATCAGTAAGTCGAGTTTGACTAGATCGTCTCATACATCGTCATCATCATCAGCAACAACTAGGTACCACAACGGCATCGGAATCGGCATCGGCATCGGCATTTTCGGCATTTTCGGCATTTTCAGCAGCATCAGCATCGTCATTTACAGCACACAGCGCCGTGCGCGGCGGGGATTCAGCTACTTAAGGAGTAGGGATACATACATACGCCAGTCCTTCTCCCCCCTGTCCCCCCCTTTTTTTTTTTTTTTTTTTACATTTTTGGCCTTTTCTCTTTCGAGTGTGAGAAATGGAGCGATGGATAGGTATTGGAAAACGAAAAACACCGAAAAATCCGAAAATCGAAAAAAAGAAATTTTTGAGAGAGAGAGTTGCTGGGAGAAGGAGGAGTCTTAGGAAAGCTCGGTTAGGATGAAGGGAGGAAAATAGGAAGGGTTTGCATACCTACATTGCATTGCGGGAAGGAGGATACATTGCATGGGAGTGGTTGTCGGGTTTGGCACGTTTTGGAAATTTGGTCTCAGTTGATAATTAACTAATACCCTTTCTTTTCTTTCAGTATCGGGTTTTCTTGTTTGATACCTACTGAAAAGAAAAAGGGGTTATGGATCTAAGCGGAGCATACAGTTTTGGTTGGTTATCCTGGAATAAAAAAAAAATAAAAAAAGCATAAAAAAACCCAACTGACACTACCTAGATACCTAGGTAGATTGACCGTATGCATAGTAGTAGTGAAAGTTGTATTTGTTATAAACTGACAGACATTATGTAGCACCCGTGTTCCCACCACCTTATCCTCATCCTCATTCTCTACTTATACCCAAAAGTCTTACGGAAGAAAAGCTGGAATAACAACCTACTAACTCTCATGCAAGAGCCATCATGATGTTCATATTTCCTCCTTTGCTCTTAACCTTACCTGAGTTTTCTAGGGTCACCTTTAACTTCTAACCCCCTATTTTGCCTTATCCTATACAGCTATCTTTCCCATAACAAATAAAAAGAGAACAGGGAGAGAATAAGCAGAGAGTAGCTAGATGAAGCAATGCTCCAATCTAGAAACTGAACACTGCCGTACTAACTACCTAGTAACCAACACCCAGCCACCCCCTACTATCCAACAGCATGATAACTCAATAAGGGGTAGCAATACATAGTAACTCACAATAATCCACGAGAGCCTTCTATTATTCCTTTCAATGCCTGATATTCATTCACTCATATCTACCTACTTATCACTATCGCCGGAAATAGGGGTAGGTAACCAGCCGATCAAGCCCAAAACTCAATCTTAAAATTAGCCGATTTCTTTCTTTATTTAACACACGCACTTATTATTCACAACTACCAGAAAAATTACTAGAAACAGGATAAAATTTGGGTTTGTTTGTTTATTTCTTTTTTTTCATTCATTCACGTGCTAAGTAACAGCGCCTTGGCCATTGCTAGCACTAGCACCCAGCTTCCATCCATCATCTATTATCAACGAAGAAGCTACAGTTGGTATATTTGAGCCAAACTCCCGTTTATGCAATTACAGAGTATCTCCGTCGATATAAGTACCTACATAAGGTAGGTACCTAGGCAGGCATTTTATTTACCGATCCTAGATGTCGTCGCCTAAACCATCTAGATCACCTAGAATTTTTCAAGAGACCCTGCAAATACTTCGAGAAAGACTTCTTGTCCGTTGAAGTGGTCATGGCCCGTAGAAAGTCATTTCCATCGATTCCAAGGCCGGGGAAAAGTGTGGCTTGAAGATGGTGCAAGAATGCCTCCCCTGTCTTGAGGTACACGGCTTGCTCTAATCCAGCGATTTCATGGAGGAGCTGCTTAGCCTGGGCATCTGCAGACGGGTTGAGTCGCGGGTCGCGGAGGACCTCCCAGCATACCGAGTGAAATCGGTCGATCAAGAATTGATCAAAACCCGGAATCACAGGCGATGAAGATCCACTCGGAGCTGAGGGGTTTGCAGAGATATTCGCTACATCTGGACCACCCCAGACACCAGCCATCTTCGCAAGCTGTACAAAGGACAGTCGGCTTGCGGGAAGGCTGCCAGAGCCAGGGCCAATATCCCTGGCCAAGGTTAAAATCGAGTTGACTACCGACTCAAAGAAGCCCTGGTTTGCCTCCGAAACAAGGACCCCGGCAAGATCGTTATTTAGAATGACACCGATGAACGTCAAATACTCGCGACGGAGTTCGGCCAGTTGGATTTCATCGTCGGTGCCATTGATTGGTTCCGAGAGGCCACCGAATACCCTCTGCAACAACGGTGTTAAGAGTTGGTTAAGTACTTCGTAGATTTCCGTTTTGAAGCCATAGACAACTTGATCGAGAAGGCGAAGAAACATTGCCATCTCGTCCTTCGATGAACTTCTGGATAGAAGGCCGTCGATCCACTGAGGGAGTTGCGGGAGTACGGCAGATCCAAGAACGCCAAGTAGACGAGAAAAGGCCGACCGACAAGCGGTGCGGATCTCAGATGAGTTGCTGAGTTCACGAAGTGCAATAAGAATGCCCTCGGCAGCGCGAGCAAACTCATCAGATAGAGCTTTTGGCGGTGGTGATCGTTGATTCGCCGAATTCGCCCCGGGTGTCCAGTCCGAAAACCCATGTGCTAGCGTACCCAGAGCCAGGATGATGTGATGAATCTGAAGTATGGCTAGCGCATCACCGGCCTTGGCTCTGGGAAGGTGTTGCTCCATGTCCGCAAATAAGGGGTCCATGACCGAGCGAGCATAGAGTGCTTGTTTTTCGGCAGGGGTTGCAGCAGTAGACGAAATGCAGCCAATTGCCTCGAATAGGTACAATTGGCTCGAGAAGATTGCATCTGCAGAATTATCGGTCTGGTCAGATGACATGTCATCGTCGGCATCATCTCCTGGCACTTCCGCCTTGATTGGAAGAAGATCCCCAATAGACTGGATCACGGTTTCGGCTACATTTCCCACTTGCGCCCTCAGGTGCTTGACAAAACGATGGAAAAGATACCATGAACGGGTCCGAATCCTAACGTGATCATGGTGTACAAGACGGACAAAATTCTCCAGGACCTGGCCGATGAAGGAAGGTTGAGTCTCAAAGAAGGCACAATAACGGACACATATTTCCATATAATGTAGTAAAATCGCTGGATGTGGATAATTTGCGATTCCTGTTTACATTGTTAGTATAGTAATAGGGTATTAAGGGGCAAGGAGAGCGAATATGAGAAGGAGGGGAAGGGAGGCCTACCTGATTGTACCATCTTAGCCATCATTGCCATCAGTCTTTCGGATGCAACTGGGGAAGGTTGGTTTTTAGTTCCCAGGCCTTGATTTGGCATCGCAAGCTCTCCAAACAAATACATCTCATGCAAAGCCAAGTCAACATCTCTCCAGTCCATATTAGACCCTTGCTCATCTAGCTTCTGGAGAGTGTTGGCAACGAGGTTGGTAAGAACTTCGACGTAGAGATTCTGGTCTACAACTGCTACAGTTTTCTGAAGCACTTGTAGTCTCTTCCGCAACTCCTGGAACTCCGCCTCATCTGTTTGCTCGTCCTCATTTCCCCAAGACGATGTCTCATCATACCGCATCTTCATGATTATAGCATTGAGAATTGGTGGCAATGTTTCGGAAAAGGAGGAAGGCAACTCGGATAGTTTGCGGAAATATGCCAAAACATCCGTCAGAGAAGGGATGACGGTAGAACAGATCTCATCGTACTCGTCCGAGAAGAATCGTAACAGCAAGGGTATAAAATCGTGAAGGAGCTGGTTTGACTTGGCCCTGGTAGCATCATCGGTAGATCGATCTTCTAAAACTCGAACAATATCAGACGTGACAGTGTTGACTAATTTGGCGACAGCTTCTCCTAGATCAGTATCATATCGAGGAGTGCCCTGGAACTCGTGTAGAGGCGGGCTGGAAATGAGCTGAGCAATGATGTCTCGCAGATTGAGGAATGATATCATCTCAGTCTTGTCAGCTGGTCGCATCTTTTTTCCAACAATCTCGGTGAAGGCGTCGACGGCAGCGTCTCGGACTCGGTCCTCGCCGGACGAGTCATTGGAGCGCCCAACTAAGGGGAGGATCAAGTTCAGCATACCCTCGTTGATGATAAGGGATATGTCAACCCAGCTAACCCATTTGCCAATAATTTTGAGTGTCATCTCGACAATGGAGTCATTCTGATTCCCGTACTGAGCAAGAAGATCTTGCCAAGACTGGGCTACCTTTCCAACATCACGCTCTCGCAACAAATCTTTGAGCTCAGTATGGCTGCGGACCTGACTATCCTGGCGCACAAGCATGACGTCGGCGATTTCGTCATGGATGGAGCTGAGTAGTCGTAGATAAAGAATGACACCGACGACATTGTCGGGTTGGTTACTCCCGGGGGAGATAGTCAAGGCCAAGAAATCATCGATGAAGGATTCCCAACCCTGCTTATACAAAGAAACAAAAAGCAAAGTCAAGGTCTGAGTGAGTTTGTTCTGCAAAGAACCGGAGTCGAGTTTGGGTTGTTGGTTGCTACTGTAGGTAGATCGAACGTAGTTGAGCAGAGCATCGCGGAGGCTGAGGAGGCTCTGGGTGTCTAAGGATTGTGCATGGATGGCACTATTGACGATCTCGAGGCTGACGAGCCGTACTACTTCGGACGAGGTGGGTATTCTGGTAAAGAGATTCACACAAAACTGCCAGGCTTGAGGGTCGGAGCGTAGTTGGTGGAGGTAGTCAAAGGCTTGACTTTTGAGGGCTTGGTCGGAGGCGGGATTCCATGCAATCTCGATGGCTTTCTCGATCTATGTGGGGTCATTTGTTAATTATATGACCGAGGTAGGTATATTGTGTCAAGTGAGTAGAATTTTGCGACGTACCTGAGATTCCATCCTGGCAAGATGCTGGAACCCAAGGCCTTCAACGATGCCCGGGACAATATCAAGTGATCAATAGTTATCTTAGGAGAGCAAAGCTATGATGATGATGTGCGTATATTCATGCAGCATGCTGCTTTATCATAGGTAGTTGAAATAAGGGAGGCCGGACTAGAGCGATAGAGCTTTAAGAAAAAATTGATATATTGTAATGTTTTTTTCTGTAGACGAGAATAGTATCGTTCTAGAGCGATAAAATACCTACCTAGGTAGATACCGATTGTAGCTTTGTAGGCTGATGTACAAGTACATATACCTACCCAATATAGGTGTGGTATATGTAGGTGAAGATTCAAAGAGCCGTAGCCGTGGATGGTGTAAGGCTGGTTGGGTAAATGGTTGGTTATTGATTATCAACCTTTTAGCTGTAACTACATGTAGTAGATCTTTTGATTAAGCTAAGGTGGGTAGTTGGAGGTTAGGTATTGGATTCAATAATTCTGGTATGATATTGAAGTTTAGAGCATCATGAAGCTGAACATTGAAGTCAAATAAACAGTCATGTAGTACATGCACGTGTATGAATTTGTCGAGTTTAATGATAATTGATGGATGTTCAAGTCTCGAATTGTGCCTGCCCGCATCCCACCTCATTCCCATCTCCCCACCTACTCGATTTAGGACTTAGCGTAAAAAATCATTTCAAACACGTCAACCCTTCAGGCATTTATCAGTTATCGGGCAGGCGGTGAGACATCTTGGTTGCAACCTTGACAACGATAACCTTAGATGTGCTTATGCAGCTATCAGTTATCAGTTCAGTTATCAGTTATCATATTCAATCTTCATACCAGGTATGGAACTTAACCTAATACCTAGTACGTACATAATATGTATATGTAACTTCAATTTCAATGTGTAAAAATTGATTCTTCAACAACATAATATATATTATGTGTTTGAATGTTTCACGAATCTATTTGCCAATGGCAATCCATCTCCCGAGACACATGAGACACAAACTCGATTTGGTATGCGGGAAGACTAGACCGTCGACTAGGCGTGACCGTGTTGATTTTACACCGTCGGTTATTGGGGGCATTGACTCGACCATACGATGGTGGCTATGACTGTTTGTTGGATATGCTGACCCTCGTGTAAGCACTACTGATAACTCGCGGTCAGTTTTACCATTAGACGCGCCCATGGACAATGCCCAAGGCACAATGTCGTGATGGGCCCCATCAGATCCGTATCTGAATTGTTCGGCAATCGCCCGTTCTAGGAGTGATGGCTATGACAATCAAGTCTCGTGTGTAGGTTAAATCGTCCCTGTTCGGAATATAACTCGCGCCAGAGACTGGCTGCCATAACCATTTCTCGACCGGGCAAGAACTGTCAGACAAGAACAATACGAATCGTAGATGCTGAAACAGTCCGCAAATCGACACACAATGGCCTTGAAGGCTCATATAACACTTTGAGCATCGTGTTGATTTCGACGAGGCTTCAATCGATCGTATACACCTGCGGTCTCTCGAGCCGGGACACATCTAGGCCTTGAACGCACAATGGTATCCCTTTCTTCATGCCATCGGCACCAGACGGTGTTTGTTGTTGTCGTTAAGTTTGCCGTGCTATACCAGGGTCGAGCAATGGTGTAAGATTAGCAAAGAATGTTTGTCGTCGCCTCCCTAAGCAACATCGATCATATCCAATTTTTGCTGACCTCCTTAGGGTCTCATTCTCGATCTGATGGTCCAGGCTTTCACCTACTCCTGACGGGAATAGAGTCGATCATGTCGCCACTGTATAGATCTTGGCATGCCTTTGAGATGGGAGCCACATGGCATAAATGTAAGGAATTGTCGGACAAAAAGGAAAGCATTGCCAAGGACTGGGTAGAATACCTGGTATTTGACAGGGGGAAGAAGGTGAGATGATTAATAGCCCGAGATTAAATTCTGACAGTTTAATGAGCTTCAGTTCCTTTTCCTGACTACAGCGTCTACCTAGTAGATAGTAGACAGCTAACCTCCAGGGCTAAGTTTAGTATGTTGATACTAGGTAGTCCGTAGACCACAGACTAATACATGGGGTGGCTGCTAGATATCTACTAGGTAGGTAGACAAGCATGCTACTAGGTAGAGTAGTATGCTCTTCCGAGGAATCGGGAGCAATGGCATCTAATTAAGGAAATTTGCCATATGACAGTAATAGAACTTGTAATATTGAGCAGCAAGAACTGGAATCGATTGTTCTTGGTGTCTCTTGGAATAGACATGTTAAATAGGGAACACGCGGCATATTGTACCTAATTACATGAAACCTGCCAGGTAAGCAAGCCCTCGAGGAGATCTTTTCTGGCGCCAACTGAAGGATATAAGATTGGATGATTGCAGATCAGTGATTATGCAGCTTCATGACGACACTTTGCATCCAGATTCCTACCTACCTGAAAATTCTTGTCACAATATCCTTGCGATGCAATTGGACCTTCGATCCTGTCACAAAAACAACCTAATAACCGCTTACCTGCCAATAGAGATACCTATGTATCTTATATACTACGTAGAAACGAGTGGCTTAGGGAGTAAAGTAGACTCTACATATAGCCTATGATATAGGTAATACACAGGCGGCGCTAGAGAGCATGTCTCCGAGACAAACTGAGAGCACGCGATGAAAGCCTCACATATGGAACCTTAAAGTATTAACGCCTCCTCCTTTTTGAGAGACATCTAGTAATACTCCATCTGCGAAGATCAACCGATCCCCTACATACTTAGTACCACCTAGGTAGGTTTAGTTCAGCACAGTAGTGTGCGTTTCGGAACGACGACCAAGCATCTACGTAGACGGTAACGTGCTGTGCGAAATCTTCCTAAGGGGAGCACCACTTCACTAACAGCCTTGGCATAGCACTTTGACCCGTTTTCTATCTCGGTTGGTTGTTTCTCGGTATATGTAGGTAAACTACTAATTACTACTTTACCTACCTAGGCAAAAGAGGCATCATAAGCTAGCTAGCAAGAAAAAGAAAAGAAGAAGAAAAAAGGATTGGTGGCCGGGAGGATCGTCAGGGAGAAGAAGGGGGAAAACCACATGTGCACATTGGAGGCATGTTTGCTGCTGCTGCGCCTTTTTACCCCTCTAGGAACGTCGCAATGGGACTAATCGCCAAAAACAGTATGCAAAAAGGAAAAAAATAATAAAAATATCAAATGAGTTCCCTCTCGGCCTCATTAAAATCCTTGACACCAATGAATGAATCCCCCTCTCCAATGATAGGCATCGCCGAGCTTAGAAGTTAGGCGGAGTTAAGGAGAGTGTAAGGTATTAATATCCAGTAACTGGGTAGGTAATTAGGAAGCTGGAGGTTAGCATAGTAAGGTGGACATCCAATCGCCAAGTTGCCTCCCTCCCGAGCCGGCGCTTCGACTCCTATCATACATACGGCTAGACGGATCCAATCTATGGATTTATTTCTACACGCCTAAAATGACTGCTTGCCTCCAGCAAATAACTACACTAGGTTACCTATGTAAGGTAAGTTAGGCAACATTGAAAAGACCTTCATTTGTCATTGGGTAGTGGTAGGAATACGTGGGTTTCTACATACACAGGGAGCACGAACATGCTGTTCCTGCATTAGTGCACATCTGCAACGCTGGACCTTGCATTGGCGTGGGTAGATTTGCCGCCACAAGGTGACCGAAGCATGAATGTAGAACTGCAATAATAATAATAATTACATTGATGATGAATACATGTTAAAAAAGACATAGTACTAGGCAGAAGAGGAAGATTTTACCCCTGAAAGAAAACTACCACACATTAGTTAACCGAGGAGCCAGCGACGCGCCGCGGGGGAAAAAGCCCACATGCGACGATAATGGCTTTTATCCCCTTAGTTACAAAATTGCAGGTGTCTTTTTTTACATTAACCCGAAATTTCATATGTTATTGCTTCTGTTGACGTTGGATGATACAAGTAGCTATTATGTACCCATCCAAAACATCGTGATATGAAGCCTCTCTCCCCTCTGATTTTATTTCATCTCCTCATCCCCGTCCGAAATCGTAAGAGCCGTTAATAACATTAATAATTATTTCCTCCTCCTGTAATTTTTTTGTGTGTTTCTTACTCGTGCCCTACACACGTACATACACGTACATACAGTACTGCTGCCAAGTCGCCCCATCTTAACATTCAAGTGCCAGTCCTTGGATGCTCAATCTCCATAGGATGTCATCATCTCACACAATCAATGCTTGTTTGCCCTTGGGGTGGGGCCCTTCGCGGAAAAGCCAATCTCATCCTTTGGACTGCGTTTTTCGGTGCTATGCACCTGGCTGAGGTCCGCTGTATCTTAGGAAATCCTAGCTCGTGGTTTCGAAAGTGGGCGAAGATCGTCGCGTTTTGCGGAGTAAAAAGTATCTAAGGGAAACCCTTGTCAAGGAACAAGAGAGTCAACAGTCCGACACTTTTACTTACAGATTCAAACTCACGAATCAGCTAACTCTGTAGGCACGTAACCGTCGCTTTCATTATACTATGTACGTACTAAGTAAGGAGGTAGGTAGGTCAGTTACATATCGTTGGTAGCTTCCAGCCGCTGAGACCTTGTCGGCTGTACAACGCCAGGCCGTTCTACGACATGCAATACATACATTAGATCTGTACATACAGTCAGCTGAGCAAGCCAATAATGGAGCAAACTGGACAGTTACATAGATTACATAGTTACTGGGTATGGAGGTACATATGGTATGTACAAACTACATTACCTAGGTATGTAGATTCTATCTAAAGAGTCCAACGTTTCTTTGGATCCCAGTCGGGTCCCTCACAAAGGGCAACGAGCACTTTGAAAGCATGTCAAGGAAAAACAGGCCCGTTGCCAAATTAGCTAGTGAGTAAGGTCAAGTGGATCAGATTTGCATTGCATTTTCGGCATACCCCAGTTCGCTCCTAAACCCACAACCTCCACCGCCGATGTGCTTCGAGGAGTTGAAGGGGAGAGAGAGGGGGGGGGGGAGGCGAGAGGCGAGGAGAGAACCTACACCCCCCCCCCTGGCGCCGCACTAGTCCAAAGGCCCTAGGCGATTCCTCTTCAGTTTAATTTCCCAGGCTGCGAGGATCCTCCCCTATACGGAAACTCTTTGTGCTCGTCAGGGCTATTAATACAGGAACCGCCTCCATCGTATCCAACCTTTTCTCTCTTTTTTCTCCTCCAGCCCAACAAGCCATCACCGCTATTCCAGTCCACTTTGACACTTTGACTTCGGTCGTCCATTCTTTCACAGCATTTTTAAAAAGCTTGCAGCTTCTCACCTTCTTTTTTCGCTTCAAAAAACGAGAACCAACTTGTGTTTAAAGTTACATCTAACAAACCCCCAAACTACATTCAAAATGCGTTTCGCTGGAGCCGTTATCTTCGCTGGTGCCGCCATGGCCGGAAGCACCATCTACGAGACTGACTACAAGACCATCACGTCTTGCGGTCCTACTGTCACTGACTGCCCGGCCCGATCCACCTCGGTCGAGTCTCCCACCGGCCCTGGCGGTTACCCCGTTCTTTCCACCCCCGTTGTCTCGACCCCGGTCATCTCTACCACCACCACCGAGGCTCCCGTCGGCAGCACCTCCGTCGTCTCTAGCAGCAGCATTGTCAGCAGCTCTACCTTCGGCAACAGCACCATCCCCGGCTACCCTACCGGCGGTCTCTCTACCTCGGTCGAGACCCCCACTGCCAGTGTTTCCACCGCCGTTGCCACCCCCAGCTCTGCTCTGCCCCCTTACCCTACTCTGAGCACCAAGACTGGCGAGGCTCCCCCCTCGTACCCTACCACCGTCATCCCCTTCACCTACACCACCTGTGTACCTACCACCTCCGTCAGCTACTCGACCGTCACGGTGACTCCCTCCGTCCCCGTTGGTACCGGTTCCACCCCCAGCTACCCCACCAGTGGCTCTCCTTCGTAAGTTTATGACCTACCTGATATCTGATGCTATGACAACCAATCGTATACTAACCTTTGAATCAGCAACCCCCCTGCCGTCCCCTCTTCTCCCTCTGGCAGCCCGCCGATCCCCACTGCCGGTGCTTCCACCATGGCCAGCTCCGGCCTCCTAGCCGCCGCTGCCGGCGTTGCCGCTCTTCTCTTCGCTTAAGCGAGCCCAAGTTCTTTTTCTTTTTTCTCAATTTTTCTTGGTCCATTTCTCTGTTGAAATGAGTTTCCAGAGCCACGAATAACCATACCTATTTTGGGGCGATGGGGGGTTTTGGGGGGGAAACAAGGACGGAACAGTATGAGGCGTGTGGGTGTTTGTTGTTGTGAATAACATCAACCACTGTTTTGGGAAGAGAGAGAGAGAGAGATTAAAGAAACGGGGGTTCGGCTTGCGCCGATTTAACGTGTAACTTAATCCTTAATTGTATTTTATGGGGCCCCCCTTCGGATGAGGCCTTCACGAACTTCCAAAAGCTACAGCTATAACTTCCATCTGAAGGTCCTATATTTGCAATTATTTTTGATCTGTTTTGTTTTTTCTTTTTCTTTGTTGATACCTATTGATTGATTTGTTCCTTCGCTTCTTACCAACAACTATGGATACATAATGAATATATGTATCCCACTTACCTCGTTTGTATTAGTGTCAGCGTAGTGGTGTACGTAAGAGAGTATGATCCCGCAATCGTGATATGATGATATGATGTGGCCAACCGCAATGGAGACACGGGAACGTGTAAACTGGTTCGGATGGGTGTCCAGAGTAAGTTAGCCAGACCCTCCCGAACCCCCAAAAAAAGGAGTGTCCACTCTTGTGTTTCGGGTTACTGTCGATCTTCTGAACTTCTTTCCCACTCTACCCCTGACGCTTAATTTCCGATCCCTGTGGAGGATGGCCAGGGGGAGGTGGCCAATCAGGCGATCGCATCGGCCAAACCTAATGTACATCCCCCGGCGAGATTAGCTAAAGATCCATGAAATCCACCATTTTGGAAACTGATTCGCTGGGTTGGGGAGGCGGCTGTGTGGCTTTTACATTCATCCTTACATTTTAACCTCTATTACCTTTTAATTCTTCATATGTACTACTTACTACATAGTACATATTACTACATAATACCTTACTACTAGTAGTACTTAATAGGTGTAGTACCATTAATAACCATCCTGTTAGCCCTGGAGTTTAGTTTCCAACCTCCGACTCCGAGTATCCCAAATCGGCAGTTGACGATCAATGCTGATGCTGATGCTATTAACCTACGCGTCAACTTTCCCACTACCCACGAACTAACTAAACGCCATCCTGTCGATTGCATTTTTTGGTTCAGACGGAGGACGTCGATGTTTCGAAACTTTTGAAACGAATTGTGGGATTAGGTAGGTAAACGTACCTTACTACACAGCATGACGATGGCATCATGGCGGTGCGGTTTGTTTGATGCCCGACCATACTTTGTATGTGGCTGGCACATTGCAGGGCGAAACACTATGAACCTCGTTTCGCATTATGAATGAGTTATGAGAGGTTTGCATTGAGTAGCATGAATGCTTTATCCAGGGTCCTCATTGATTAATTATACTAACCTTAGACTCTTATATCGATTTTATAGTCTTGTCGTTAGTTGGGTTAGTATGCGTCTATTGCACCCTAGCCTTCTTCGCTACCGTCATTCTTTGATGTGTATTTCCTGCTTCATATCCAAGTCGAAGACCCCTCGTACTCGGGCCCAATGAACTACTCATCTACGATGCTTCAGTTCCCAGGCCATCGCCCTGTCTTTCTATGCCTGGTTTCTCCTCACGTATACATGGGGGCATCTAACCGTGCCTGGGATTCAATCCACTTTAGATAAGAGCCATATAGCCATCATAGCTTGTAAGTGAACCGCTGTCATGTTTGGCGCAGTCATCTCATAGAGATACTTACATCTCGTAGGTAGCCAGCTGTAGGCGTAAGTGCAGTAGATGCTGCTGAGAGAACACCTCATCATATTTAGGCCATGCATATGTATTCTCACACAGGTCTGAGATAAATATCCTCAGCATTGGTACCTAGTGACTCTCCCTCCCTACCTCTGTGAGCCAAACACCAAAAGACCTGATTAATGTAGGTAAATTTGAAGGCATCGGAACTTTCGGAAATGGGAGCAGTCGCTAGCTATCCCTGAAAGTGCGTACAGCGATGACAACCCATCCGCATAAACCGCCGAGTGAGCTAACGCGCCTGTCCTTCCAGCAGTGTAGGTACCTAACTATCTTCATCTCGGCGGTGAAATGTATTGTCATAGGCCCCGCGGCACTCGGAGACATGAAAGATGATAGACGAGACTGGCAGTCTGGCGTCGGAGAAAAGCAACAGCGTCACCATAAGCACCTCGATGACGGTGTCCACGAGTTCATTAAGCATATCAGACGCTGTCGCCCCCGAGATATACATCCACGGCGTCTAATGACCCGTTATAGGATGATGGACTTTGCAAAATCCCAGATTATTAATGGTTCTTCAGTGTAAGAATACCTGTACTAAGAGCTTCCCCCTAGTAGCCCCTTTTTATACTAGGTAAGTATGTATGTAGGTGTATGTACCGTCGCGGGAACCCCCTATTCGCGAGAATCATTCTGAACTTCATCCAATAAATCCAGTCATCCCAATAATAGAAATTGGGAGAAATTGTTACAAGATCAAGAATTACTCTCCATCTTGTAATAATTCTCTCAATTTCTTAGATATCTAGTAAGTGGGTAGGTAGGTACACAGTCAACCAACCCACCAACCCATACCCCTTAACCCCTTTATGAAGATCAGAGCAGCAAGAGGTGACAAAATACAGATAAATATTTTTCCTACGCAGATATAAATCATACCACTACCATACCGACCTTTTTTTTTTTTTTTTTGTGAGAAACCAACGCACAAACACATTCAGTTGCCCAGGTATATAGGTACCTACTTACGACTAACTTCCTCCCTAACCCCTTTAGCCCCCTTTTTACTCAAGCACCTAGGTAGGTAGATATGCGATACGCAAGAGCAGAGAGTTCCTCCCTTTTTCAAGCACCTATCTATTTATTTGAAGCCCAATTCTTAATCTTATGCTTCCGTTTCCATAAGGTTTTAGCTAGGTAGGTACGTAGGTAGATAGGTATATATATCACAAGATTTGCCCCGGTCCGGTGTCCCAGTTCCAAACGCCCGCCATGCGAAAACATATACCTAAGCAAATAAACCAGCTGAACGATTGTTGTGGGCGCAAAAGATGCAATGTGCCGAATTATATGTAGGTATCTAAATACCAAGTGTATACCCGAACCCGTCGTAACGACCGTAACCATGCCGTGATCGAATATTCCCCAATCCCTACTCCCTTCTTTCTTCCGTCCTCCCTCGGTCCCCGCCTTGTCCCGTCGCCTCTCCCCCCTTTTTCTGTTCCTCCTTTTCCTTTTCCTCAACCTTCTCCTTCTCCCCCTCCCCCGCCCCATTCCCCCCCTCACCCTCACCCTCACCCTCCCCAGACTTCGCCCTCATCTGCTCCAACACCCTCGCCGCCTCCGCCGCAAACCTACACCTCAGCCTGATCGCCTCGCCGTACTTGTAGAACAAGAACGGGAAGGGCAGACACGCGACAGCGAGAAAGGCGGGGACGGAAGACGCCCAGTGGATGCCGAGGCCGTCGTACATGGCGGAGGTGAAGAGGGGGAATGCGGCGCCGAAGAGGGAGCGCAGGACCGAGTTTGCCGCGAGGACGGAGGCGGCGTATATGACGTCTGTTTTTGTGGGATTGGCTTTAGCTATAGTATAGTTACGGTGATTTTTTTTTAGGAGGGATAGGGGGGGTGGATGGGTAGGCAGGTTAGGAGCAGACATACACGAGTCGATCAGATAATTCAGCAGCGTCAGGAACACCAGCACCAGCCCCGCGGCGAAGAACGCCGACGCAACAATGCACACGATCCAGTGCACCTCGGGCCCGTTGGTCCACGCGAACCAGAACAGGCCCACGGGCAGCAGCACGGAGCCGATCAGGGCGGGGGGCAGCCGGGCCTCGGGGGGCGCGAAGCCGTGGTGCGCGTCGGCGATCCTCCCGTACCGCCCGTTATCGTAGCCGCTGTAGGCGACGGCGCTCAGCATGCCGACGGCGACGCCGAGGAAGGCCAGGCCGCCGATCCCCGGCGACCAGCCCCGGTACTGCTGGAAGACGATCGGGAAGGCGGCGAACATCATGTACAGCGTTCCGCTGGGGCAGGTTAGCCGTTTCACGGAAGACTGGAAAGGTGTGGAATGCTGCGGTAAAAGGGGTGGGCACGTACTAAATAATCGCCATGTAGAGCGACGTGAGCGCGACGATCGGCTCGCGGAACAGCAGTATCCACGGCCGGGAAAGCGCAACCTTGAACTCCTGGCGCACCGTCTTCTTCGGCTTTCCGGCGTCGAGCTTGGACACGTACTCCTTGCCGGTGATCTGGGACAGCTTCTCCGCGCGTCTGCGGAGGAGGATCGGCGCGTACGTCTCGGGAACGAGGAGCGTGATGGATATCCAGATGAGGCCTGTGAAGGCGGCCGAAAGACCTTGGAGCTGCGGAATAAATAAATAGTCGTCGTTAGCAAATATTCTTGGGGCGTTTCTTATTTCAGAGGGGGGAGGGGGGCTGTTGGACACATACCCACTTCCACCCGGCTGCGGAACCGAGGAAGCCACCCACGATCGGCCCAATCGAGGGACCTAGGAAAGGAGCCTGTAGAATGAAACATTAATATTTGCAAAGAAAAAAGTCTCGCGCAAATGTCTCCTAGTCCAGGTTCAGGTTGGGGTTGGGTATATATACATACAGTAGAGAAAAAGGCGGTGGCTAAACCTCTCTCCTTAGCCGGGAACATGTCGGCGATGACTCCGCCCGCATTGGTCAAAGGCGAACTTCCGAACGTCCCAGCAATGAAGCGGAGCACGATGAGCGTTTGTATATTTTGTGACCCCGCCGCGCCGGCATTGAAGATTGTTAATGTGAGGTACTGTACAAGGCGCTTAGATCAGTACCTGGCTGGTTACATGTATGCGTAGGCGGTATATAAGACAGGGCAGGATACAATGTCTCGGGAAGTGTACGAGAACCTTAGATTACTGTGTTGACTTACCGTGATGAAGAACAATATCTGTCTGCCGTACAATTCAGACAGCGGAGCCCACATCAGCGGTCTTGCAAACGAAGTTAGCACGGCGTAATGGTGAGTGCGCAACAACAGAGGGAAGGGCTATTTTTCTTACCCCAAAGCGAACCCAGCGACGAAAAGAGAGATACCAAGCGTCGCGACTTCTTGGCTGATGTTGAAGGCGTTGATAACCTCAGCAATGCCCCCCGAATAGGCCGTCGAGACAAACGTGACGGCGAGAATGGAAGTCGCTTGCAAGGCGGTGATACCCCATTTCTTGACCTTGGAGAAGATCATGGGATTCTTAGGATCATCGGGGATAAACTCGACTATGAACGGGTCGTCGTGTGTTCCACTGCCTCGATACTTCCATGCCAGTACTGCGGCAGTGACACCGGGCTGGTTGAACTGGCGTTGGAAGTAGCTTAGCTCCTTGCGGGCTTTCTGGGATTCCATGTCGCGGTCCGGTTCCGTTACGGTGATGGACGAGTCCGAAGATGCAGGGTCGGGAGACTCCTGCGGCGGCATGACTTGAGACTGGTAGATGGAGAGCCGTACGAAATTTTGAAGTGGATATTTTGTGATCTCAGTCACTTTGTACCAATTCCACGATGGGAGGAGCTATGGTGGGAAGCAAAATACCTCGGCAGGGTAGTAAAAGAAAATTTATGAACAATGATAGAAACGGGCAGTGCCACGATGGGCTTTCATGTTATATGCCTGAGTATATGCCTGAGGGTCCACCTACCTAGGTATATGGATGTATACTTACTGAGGACCTTAGGCGCTCACTCACTCAACTAGTATTTACTAACAGATATGATATTTGTATGTGCTTATAATACATTGTCAGTTGGTAAATTTGCACGCGGGAAACCGTATGCCGGGGTTCCTTTGTCTCGGTATCGGATCCCAGCAAGACTAGTCAATGTTGACATCCTCACAATAGCAAACTTGTGTGTCTGACACTGTTTGTAGGCGCTTCCACCTCCACACCCACACCTTTCTTAATACGTATAGGTGGCGGCCTATAAGCATGGCATTTTATACAGTCTGCCTCGGAACATGCTTGTTATGTGCAAGGGCTTCCGACGTCATCAAATGGCTTTTTGGAGTTTGTATGTTTGGGGCGTAACATGTACATACCTAGCACAGAGTATTGATGTTGTTGGTGGAAAGGGTTGGAATGGATAGAGGATTGGACGGATAGGTATGTACATATGTGCTACACACATGGCATTACTAGGTACCTACTAGGTAGGGTATATGCATGTAGCAGTATCCATTTTCCATTTCCACAACATAAGCTTTTAAAGAGTAGCCTATTGTATTGTACTATGTACCTATGTAATTATGCTTATTTTTCAAAAATACCCTGTCTAATGAAACCTTTAATCCTGGGCCGATCGGTTCACCAACTGCTCATGGGTGTCGGGATCTAATACTACCAAAAAGGGCGATCCAGTTCCTCGGGAACAGTGGGTCAATCTCTAATACTGTCACGCTATCGAGCCGATCCATCGAATGAGATCCCAGTTAAATGTGGGGGGACCTCGGGATAAAGTTAAAAAGAGTGGATTTCCATCGACGGTTCCACATCCTTTGATTCACTAAACTCCATGAACGGATCAGGATTCAACACTTGGTTGCGGCTCACCGTGATACATGAATTTCAGTGTTGGCGTGGCTAGGTACATACATAATATGTCATGACCCTCAATGCTTACATATGTATACTATGTAAGATGCTATCTGATAGTATGAGCTTCACCTACCATTTCCCCGAACCATCATGTAAACGGCGAATAGAGCCCGGCGATTGAAACCTGCATAGTAGTGTTATTTGTGTGTGTGCCCAATCCACACCCCCCTTATCTATTTATGTCAAATACATGTAAGAAGCCATACATGCACTAGTAATATAGTTCGGCAGGGCTTAGTCGCGAAAAGGGCGAAGCCGAGCTAGCATTTATGTGATGTGCTGACTTATCAGAATCAAGTGGCTGGCTGGCTGGCTGGCTGGTTGGTGGCTGCATACCCATGAATTTGACCTGAAAGCAATCTGGAACTTTTGTTTCCTTTATTCAAGGTAAAAAAGATGAAAAGAGAGGTAACCTAGAGCCCGAATACACTTTGTCGAGCCAGTGCTCCTTATGACCGACACCGAGAGTTCACGTACATAGGTAAGAATTAGAAGCTAAGATGTACGCTTTTATGAGTCAATTCACTACTGCTATCCCCCTTTACAGATGGATTACGTTATACGTATGGTATAAAATATGGAAACAGAAAGGTTGATGCTCACTTATCACGTATATAATTACTAGAGGCCGATCGAATGGGATGCCGGTGATTCATTCTACATGTAGTTATTCTCATCTTACTATGTAGGTATCTATACTCTCCCCTCATTGGCCAATCTCAATTCTACTACGTAGTCCCATGTGGGCTATTTCCACCTATAGTTAACGGAGATTTCGGAATTACTACCAACTAAGCGCCTAGTGTCCCACCGTAGCTAGCTTATCGATTAGAGCTCTTTTTTATTTGCCTTTTTTTTTTCTTTTTCTTTATTTTTTTTCTTTAGCTACAGCAAATCCCCTGAACATGTGATGACCATCGACCATGTCCCTGCGATAATAAATAATGTCTCTCTACCATGAGACAGCTGATATTCTCTCAGCCACCGTCGGCGGCAACCTCAAGACCCGCATCTTCAGCAAAAAGGACCTCAAATCCCCCCAGCAGGTGGTTTACGCCCTCGCGGTAGAGACCTGTAAGTGGAGCCCCGTGCTCAAGGAGGTCATAGAAAAGTCGGAGTTGCTACGGCATGAGCGCAAGGTGAGTGAGTATACATAGTCACGCACATGCACATCCTAAAAGGCACAAGGAGTAGCTAATGACTTAGCACCGCATAGCTCACTCCTCTCCTGGCTCTCCTGCTAGTCCATGACTTCCTCCTCTCCAAGAAGGGCATAGCCCTGCCCGCCACCCACGGCCTCCGATCCGCCGTGGAGCGGCACAAGGCGCGCCTGACCGCCGAGTTCACCCGCGCCCGGCTGCGGCGACAAGCCGGGACCGTCGAGTCTTTGCGCGAACAGGTGACAGCCAAGTTCCTCGGCGGCGCCGCCGGGTACCCGCGCTGGGTGCGCGTGAACGCGCTCAAGACGAGCATCGAGGAGCAGCTCGCCACCACCTTCGCCGCCTTCACGCGCGTGCTCTCCGTCAAGCACGTCACCACCACCCCCGCCGCGTGCGTCTACGTCGACGACCACATCCCGAACCTCCTCGCCATCTCGCCCGGCTTCGAGATCACCAAGACCGAGGCGTACGTCTCCGGCGCCGTCATCCTGCAGGACAAGGCCTCGTGTTTCCCGGCGTACCTCCTGGACCCCCGCGCCGAGGACGGCGACGTGATCGACTCGTGCGCGGCGCCGGGGAACAAGACGACACACCTCGCTGCGATCGTGCACTCCCGGATTCCCGAGGGAGAGGAGGGGAAGTGCGCGCAGACGGTGTACGCGTTCGAGAAGGACGCGAAGCGCTCGCGCACGCTGGAGAAGATGGTCTCGGTGGCGGGGGCGAAGGATATCGTGCGCATGAGCTTTGGGCAGGATTTTCTGAGGGTCGATCCTAAGGCTGCGCTGTTCAAGGATGTTGGGTGTCTGTTGCTCGATCCTAGTTGTTCGGGTAGTGGAATCGTTGGCCGCGATGACATGCCCGCCATTGAGCTCCCTGATGCCCCGGGCGCGAAAACGGCAGCAAAGCAGCCCCCAGCAAAGCCCGACCGCAAGCGCAAACGGGAAAATCCCACTCCCACTCCCACCCCTAACACCACCGCTCAACAACCCATCCTCATCGACGACGACGGCCACGAAACCCTCCTCGCCTCCTCCTCGGACCTGCAAGCCCGCCTCGAAGCCCTCTCCTCCTTCCAGCTGCTCCTGCTGCAACACGCCTTCAAGTTCCCCGCCGCGAAAAAGATCACGTACTCGACGTGTTCGATTCACCGCGCGGAGAACGAGGAAGTGGTGCTGCGGGCGCTGAGGAGCGAGGTCGCGAGGGAGAGGGGGTGGCGCGTGTTGAGAAGGGAGGAGCAGGTTAGGGGGATGAGGGAGTGGCCGGTTCGGGGAGTTGGTGCTGGGGCGAGCGATGGTGGAGAGGATGATGATAAGGCTGTAGCGGACGCGTGTATCCGGTCGTACCAAGGCGACGGGCGGGGCGTCATGGGCTTTTTCGTCGCGGCGTTTGTGCGCGACGCGCAACCTATCCCTGCGGATAGCGATGGACCGTACGTTCGCGACGAGGATGGGCGGATCGTGAGGGATGTGTTGGGGATGCCGACGCTTAAGCCGGGGGTTACGACCGACTCTCGTGATCGTAGCACGCGGGAAGAAGTTTTGGAAGTGGAGGGGGATAAGGATGAGGACGACATGGAGGAGGAAGATGATAGTGACTCGAGTAGTGATTCTAGTGATGATGATGATGATGATGGATGGGGTGGCTTTGCTGATTAGGTAGTAGGATTAACTATTATGTACCTACAATGACTATACCCAATACCTACTACCCTTGAGGCTTGAGCGCATGGCATATATCATAAAAATTGAAACCTACCTGCTTGATCTAAGAGATATTCAACGACTTATAATCGAGAAACTTGACTCTTCGAAAATACCTTGAGCATGAGAATGCCACTATTCTCTTTTCTTCTGTACATAAACGTTTCTAGCTGGCATAGGTGGTGGTATTACCTCACTTAGTACCTTTTGCATAGGACGACGAGCATCGCTTTGATGAGGAAGAGGTTATGTGCGGAAGGGGTATATATATATACCGTATGCATTCACGGTCTTCTCTTCCTGCGGGCCTGCGGACGGCTAGCATATACCTACGGATGCACCTCAACAGTCAGCTTCAGTCTGAATTTACAGTGGAATAAAGTTAAATTATTTTTATGGCCAACGGCCGCCGACGTTAAAGTAAAGCGCACAGAGACCAAAAGAAATCCCATCTCAAAGAAAAAAAAAAAAAAAAAGAGAAAAAAAAGAAAGAAGACATTAACTAATTAGCTATGCACCCAACTAACACAGTTAGGTAGTGCATGCAGCATCATATATAGGTAAACAGAGGTAGCAAATGCAAAAAGTTAAGTTTCTATTGCGGTGAAGGTGGATCGAACACCTGACCTCCAGATTGATGGACTGTAAGTTGTGACTTCAGTCTGGCGCTCTCCCAGCTGAGCTATCCCCGCTTGGTTGAAAGTGGGAGTCCTGTTAGACGTTATATGCCTAACCTGCCACCTACCTGCCCAGTGCCTACCTAGCCCAGCCCAATCACCTCCAATACCTACCCTAGGTAGTTAAGTAAGCTACATGGCCTAGTGCGTGTGAGTGGTCTCGCCGGGATAAGTTCGGCTCCTACCAACTTTTTCCTTCTACGGGTCTTGCGATATTTTTCTACTGGCTAGCACCGATTTCACTAGTTAGCGGGTAGGTATGCGTAAGCAGATCATTGCAAACGTGACTGCGCCTAATTACTGTACTTACCCAACAAATATTTATTCTGGGACACGACCCTCGATTTGCGAAGGGAGATCGAATGCGACACTGCTAGCCTACTTGTAGGTAGATCGTCTGGCTTACTGTAAACTACCCAGATACATATGTAAGTAGGTAATTCATGTTTCGTATACTTCGTAAATCTAGCCGCACCATCACATCGCTCTTAGGTACTACGATTACTTCAGCATCAAGCCGTGCCAACCACACGTCGTCACTCCCAAAGACCATACCTAGGTATACAATCACATATCTCAAAAGAGAGAAAAAAAAAAAGGTAATTGAACATCATGCCCAAATAAATTGTATGTAAATATGATACACAACGAAGCGAAGCCAGACGGATCGGGTCTCCATGTAACCAAGCAACCAAGTAAGCACCTAGCGTACATAGTCCAGTACCCGCCCGTCTGGTATTCTCATACGCACGCCTCTTACACGAGACAATGTACGCACTCGAAGATGCAGAGAGAAAAAAAAATACGTAGTAGAAGGTATCGACATCGAAGAAGTGATAAACCCACCAACTACATATATGCCAGTTGTGCACGCACTTTTGGTATACTCCTTCCTTACACAAGCAAGCATCCTCGTCTTGCTATGTACTGTAGTTTCCAAAAAGATACTCACAATAGGTGTAAGAATTTGACACATAAAAAAAAAAGGAGGTAGGTGGGTGGGTTGGGAGGGGTGGCCCCAAAAACCCAATATCCAGATATATCGTGACCCTCTCCATCAGATTCATCCGTCCGAGGCTCTATCACACGTCTAACTAACCCTTCTCATGCGCCATGCAATCCCGATGAAAAAAATAAAAATCAAAATCGAACAAAATGCTTTTATGTGTGCGAACGTGGGTACACACACAAAGAATCGAATAGAAATAGGTGGTGCCTTTAGTTAGAGGCTAACTTTTGCTTGCCCCGTCTACCGGCGACCGCCATGGATGTGGCGCTGAGCGTGGGCGTGGTTGTGAGCGGGGGCACGGCGTCTGCGGGCAGGTTGGGCCGTGGCCTCGGGGTCTATGGTGACGGTGGATGTGACGTAAACGGTGTCAATGACCGTTGCCACGTTGGCGTCTGCGGCGACAGAGGTTACGGCAGCAGCGGCGGCAGTAACGACAGGGGAGCTAGCGGCTTCCTTGTTGTTGGAGACCTCGACAAAGGCGTTGCCGGTGGCGGATGCGGCGGCGCTGGTCTGCGTGGCGAGGGTGCTGGCGGTATACTATATGCGGTTAAGGTTAGTTATCATGACTCCTGAATAGCTTGGCAGCTTTTTGGTAAAAATTTTGGTTCCATCTTTAAGGTCTTCCGGTTCTGCTTCAGGAGAAAGGAAATCCACAGAGATATAAAGCCCAGATATTGGCTACAAATAAGAAAAAATAATTCGGAATGCTACTCACGCTCGTACTCTCAGCCTGAGATGCGGAGGATGAAGAGTCGGACGAGCCTGAACTGGAGTTGCCCTTGCCCCAACCGGTGACGGGGTTGTCGAGTGGGAGCGCCTTCAGGACCTCTGAGAGCTTGACCATGGTGCCGATGGCGGGCGCGATGGTGCAGTCGGTGACGGTGTTCAGCCCACCGGGAATATCAGGGCATTGGTCCATGCCGCTGGAGCCGGCATCGCAAGTGTCGATGATCGTCTGAAGCGTCTCGGTGTCCCAACCGGCAATGAAGTCGCCGTGGGAAGCGTAGCCGGTGGCGTCTCCGTTGGACAGAACAAATGGCTGGGTCTTGCCATCAGGGGTCCACCTATCCTTGAAATCGGGCGTGTTCCAGTACACTTCGTAGAAGATATGGGGTGTTTGAATCCAGCCTGATGGGCAAGTCTGCAGGCCATCCACGGTGGTCGGCCATGCCATGTTGTTCTTGTAGTCGTCGATTCCTACCTCGGGGTTGTAGCACGAGGGGAAGTGAATGTCCTGTCGTAAGGGGGAGCCGTACCCATCGCAGTTGTAGAGAGGGAAGCCAGCGCCTGCCTGCTCGTTGTGGGGGTCTTGCATACCCGCCATGGTACCATCCGAGTCTGCGGGATAAGAAGCCGGGCTATAGCTTGATCGGGGGCAAGTCCATTGGACAGGCTGAATATCGCCCTGGCTCGGGTCGAGATTGCTTCCACCACCAAACGAGGGGGGCGATCTGGTCTTGGTATCACCACTCAACATCTTCAAGCCCGCAGGGAATGCCTCGATGGTGCTGTTAGTTGGCTCGAAGCTGATATTAAGTTAGTTACAACTGTCGTTTTCAAACCTCACGTTTCTGTTATGGTAAAAGGGGGGGCATACAAGTAGTACACGTTCATGTAGAACAGGGGCACCTTCTCGAAGCTCTCTGGGTTCGCAGGATCTTGGAAGAAAAGGGTAGGAATCCAGTAGGCACTCTTGTCGTTCTTGATCTTTGCTGTAGTGCAGGAAGAGTCTAGCAAATCATTGCCCTGTGTGCTTATGCCGAAGTTGCTACCTCCCATGATGCTGTGATAATGGGTAGCTGCTGCTCCGGGGTTGACAACGGGGTCCATAGGTCCTTCCGTCAAGAAACCATCTCCATTGAAGCGAAGGACGGCGAATGTTCGTTCCGTCTTGACAGCTACTGCCAGAGGGGCCACGGAGGCCAGAGCACTGGCGGTTGAGAACTTCATGTCTAAATCGGTCTGGTGTTTATTCTCTTATGCCCCGGAAACGTATGCTGTGTGATGAGCAAGCAATTGGAGCTGCTAGAGCTATTGCCTTAAGAGAGTGTAGGTAGGTTTCTAACACCGGTTTACGCTTCGCGTATTGTTGCTGACAAGTCTCGACTCAAGCGTCGATACGGGTGACTTATGAAGAAAGAAGGGACAAACAAAGACTTGTTTGGAGGTAATGAATGAACTCAGCCGGCGGAGCAGTAACAGGTCAATAACTGACAAGAAATGAATGAACGGTTCAAGACCTTGGCGTAACGGGAGTGAGTGTAGGTGAGGTGAAGAGGTGGGGAGAGAAGAAGAAGAACAAATAGATGCCCAGGACCCCCGGGTACTAAGTACTGGGAAGTTTGTATATTAATTAGTGGAACATGTCGTTCAGGCCATGGTTTATGGCCATGGCAGCTGCATGGGCGCCTCGTACGCGGCTCGACGAGGGGGGGATGCCCAGCCCGCCCGGCCAGAAGAAAAGAAGGACCACGAATAGCCCGGTACCTATGCGGGTGGAATCATGAATCGTGCAGGGGCCGGAGAAGAAGTTGGACGTCACGGTGGGGGAAAAAGGGGTTGGCAGGTCTAGTTGGGCTGAATGGTAAGGTATGATAGGCCAGTATTCATGCCACGCTAATCGAGGAATGGCTGGAGCAAAGCCATTCGTCAACTGAATATGCAGGGGAACGGTAGAAGACAAGTAATAATCCTACCTTTGAGCAAGGAAAAGAAAAGCTGTACTTCGTATGTAGGTAAGGAAAAGTTGGAGACATAAAAAGTTGAAAATATTCTTGGATGTGGGATACTTGGTCAGAATGAGTAAGACTGGCGGTGATTCCTCTCGGACCTACATAGACTTGAGTATACAAATATCATGACTCGGCCATCCTCTTGGAGATGCTTGATCCTCTGTGCATATTTCTGTCCTGGCTCACTTTCTTCACTTTCGTCGTTGGATACCTAGCACCGAATAACTACAGATTCTAATAATATTTCAGGATCGACTGCGTAAGCGTACACTAGTACTGTAAGTTGAAAAGCCGGATCGATCGAAGTGGATAAGTTGGCTAGGTCTCCATGTGGAAGAGTAGGAAGAAGAACCAAAATAAAAAAAGTTTCGGTTTGTTTCCTACCACTGTTCGGATTTTCCTAGTGTACTGTAGTTTTGTAGTTTTACTACTATGCCGTATGTAAAAATCTAGAACGTCGACCACCTTTTCGAGCCAGATTTGAAATTCACTACATAGTACATAGTAAAGTAGGTTAGGAATGTTTGGATGACGACCACTGCGCACTCTGGGACGATCTTTTACCCCTTTAATCAAAAAGGGGCGGAACATGTCAGGTACGGTGCAGTTGCTCAACTTGCTGCAGTAAATAGTACATAGTACATTGCCGTTAACTTTTCAAGGTTTGAAACACGCCACTAGGGCCACACAGCTTTTATGGTGTGAAGCCCCGAATTCCTGTTTTTTTCTGATTGGTCCCCGATCCCGGATCGGATCGCCATTGGTCAATTTCTTTCGGCGGGAGCATAATCGATTCGTAATGGCTTGCCGACTTCCATTTTTACCGATCCCCACCCAACCCCACCCCACCTGCAAGAATTTAAAGGAAACTTTTTAGTTTGTTCTAATGCCAAATCTTAACAGGTTAAAGCGTTACCTGCCTACAGGCCCTACACTGACCCTACAGTGCCTAGGGTACCTATTTCATCGTGTTAGAAATAAGAATATTATAAGAAAAGGAGATCATTAATGCTCCCCCTTGCCTCCAAGAAGCCAGATCACAGCTACTCGTATTGTACAATATGTATTATACAATGGCTTTATGGTGATACTTCCTCAATACAGTATATGACAAGAACCGAGACAAGAATCCAATATCTTTTGGAATGTTCTACCTCGGATGGACACTGGATAAAATCTTAACTCAAAGGATATTGTGTTGAACAATACCATTCATTAACGAAGGCTTGGCAAGGCGACGGGAAGCGATGTTACACCGGTAATAGTTTACCGTCCACACATACTATGTATGTGCATGCCTAGGCAAGGACAGATGGATGTTACGGGAACTCTTGGAAGGACTCGTGCCACGGTTCACGGCCATGGCTAGGCCAGGTACACATTGCTCAGGGGGTGGAGTTGGGATTGAGCTGAACAGGTCAAACCGCCTCACCCTACCAAACCCTAGCCATCAGCATAGCAAGAGGCGGCCTTTCCGCTCCGCCGTTGCGCGCGGCTGTAGAGTCGCTGTGTTGATACCTAAGTGATCTAACCTGCAATAGTTATCAACTGATTTCGTCAACTGCATACATACATGTAAACCTACATATCGGTAGAATATTTCCTTGGCGCGAAGACGCAATTACCTACATGCACACACTTTAAATTCATACATAGGAGGCTCCTTACTTCAGCGGTAAGTAGATACCTAACCTACTGTATTGTATTGTACAATACACACGTACATCCATGCCTGTCAATATAAGCATAAACGTGTTCACAACCCTGAAATCTACAGTAACTACATACTATGTATTAGCGCTTCACCGATCAAAGGGTCCTTTTCCCGCCCTTACATACTATAACTATACCCAGCAACACATCTTTCTATCAATAGCAGTCTTTTTGCGTATACTCGGTAATTATATTGAACACCGCCTCGCACTAATACGAACCTTATGTGCGATTAGCTCATTGGCAGGAAATCCCATTGTAGCACTGCTACCCTACATAGGTAGTGTAGTCTATGTGCCCTGTTACCTAACCTGAAAATCCTGATGAGCCCTATCAACGTGGTAGGCATGACAAATGAAATACCCAGTAAATTAAAAGCCTAGCCGACTATTCTTGGTGCTCGTACTCCACTCCGCTCCGTAACCTGCTAAGGTTAGGTTTAGTATCCTACCTTTATGTGGTTGGACCCTTTGAGATCCGGTCTCCACGCTATCACCTACCACCTAACTAGGTATCACCTACCATACCTACTAACTATGCCCTACTATATCTACTATACATAAGGCAAACTAGCAGCCCAATCTTTCATCCACCAGACTCTCAATTCACGGAGTTCGAATAAGGCATTGTGGCGGAGTGGTCTAACGCGCAAGACTAGAAATCTTGTTCCTTCGGGAGCGTCTGTTCGAATCAGGCCAATGTCGCGTACTAAAATCCGTTTATCTTTTTTTTGTTTTTTTTTTTTCCTTTTTGCTTTTTTCATCCTTACCTAGGTATTCAGCCTTTACAATCAATCAATCAATCCATCAATCATTGCGATAGTTACTGTAGAAATGAATTCAACAAGATGGAGATTTACTTTTTCTTCAAGTAGCCCGTAACTGCATTTGCATTAACATTTTCCAGTATGTACTAACCTAGGTAAGTTTCATTCGAGACTACATAGGTAGGTATGCACAAGTTGCAGGTAGTTATCGTGACAAGTGTAACATTAGCCTACCTAAGCAGACTTTGAATTCTAGAATATACAGAATTCTATCAAATGGTATCATTTCCCTTTAAACACAAGACATACATTATCATCGACCTCGTCTCAGTATTCGAAACGCCTTCCCAATGTAAACTCCCAACCCAAGTATTTTAACTACGACACCTATGCCATCTAATCGCATAGCAATGCCCCTACGCCTCACTGACCTTCTCCGCCCTGGGTGTCCCCAAAATCGACAACATCGACCTCTCCCCCTCCTCACGCACGCCCATCAGCTGGTCCTCCTCCACCCACCCCGCCTCCAGCGCGAATCGTACAACGTCACTAGCGCTGCCGAAGCCGGGCACGCTATCAGCGGCGTCGGGGTCGAGGTGCGTCCACAGCTCCTTAGTAGCGCGCTTGAAGGCCGCGAGGTCCTTCTTCAAGCCCCTGTAGTGCGTCACCATCCACGTGTAGATGTACGCGAGCCACAGGACGTTGGTGTAGGGCTCGTGGCGGGCCCAGGTGATGGGGCCGTCGACGCCTTCCTCGTAGGTCATCTTATGGCTTGTCGGGGGCAGGCAGACGCGGTCCGCGCGCAGGAGGAACGACCGCATGCGCCGGTACACCTCGCACTGCGGGGCGTGCTCGCTCGTGAAGATGCTGAGGTCGCGCTCTAGGTCGTAGGCGATGGGTAGGGTTCCTTCGACGTCGTAGTCCGCGTGGGCGCGCGAGAGGCCGTAGTCGAGAATGGTAATCTCGAGGCCGGAGAACCCAAAGCGGCTGGGTCGATCTCGTGCTGATACGGGGATAGGCTCTCCCGCCTTCCGGATGCATAGGTTGCCCTCGTGCAAGTCACGGTGCTAGCATGGTAATTAGCTGAATGCGCTTTGATAGAAAGTGTAGGTATGAATATTTAGTTTGCTCACCTCAAACTCTATGTGAACCTCGGCTCGCGCCAGTGCAATCGCTACGTGGAAAAAAATATCCCATAGCTGGTCCGTGGACTTGAGCTCGAAGTCCTCCAGCGCCGTGCCCGCATCACCTAGCTCCACCACTAAAAACTTCGTACTATTTAGATATCGGCTCGGCGACGGGTAAAACTGCAGACGGTCGGGATCTTGCCGCTTCAGCTTCTTGTGGAAGGCTTGGTGTGTCTCGAGCAATTCCTTGCAGGCCTTTCCCTGCACTATGTACCGTTCCTTATACACGACGAAGCCGGGTATATCAGCCAACAGCTCTGAGATCTTCAGCTCTCCTAGCAGGTCTGATTCGGAGTGGGGTTCTTCGTCAACCAGGCCAGACTTCTGTTGCGTCTTGGTTTGCGCCTTGATCGGAGACTCCATGCGAATCACCTTGATGATGCTTGTGCCGCGCTCATTGGTCACGCGATAAACCTCTGCGTAGGAGGCCTCTGCTATCTTGACGATCTTATCGCCAGATGGACATATCTCGGACCATGATAGCACTTGCAACTCGCTTTTTGTTTCTACTGCTTCGGTAACTTCTAGGGATGGTGGCTGTATCGGAACTGGCTTATGAGGTGTCGGAAGTTTAGGTGGTTTCAGTTGGGTTGGAACTGGAAGGGGAGTAATAGGAGGAGAAGCAGGTTGTAGTTTTCGTCGGGGCGAACGCCGGGGTGATTGTTGAGGTGAATGATGGGACGATTGTCGAGGTGAGATTGGCGGCGGAACATTCTCATCGCCTATTGAAATTGACGAGACTTTATCAGCCAATTCATTGACCGTGTCCTTTGGCTCATCGCGGCGTGTTGCTTTCTTTGGTGGTGGGTTTCGCACAGGAGTCTGTGGAAGTTCAACGAACAAGCGATCGCCTTTTGGCTTATTTGATTGCTTGCCGTATTTGCGTAAAGTAGTCGCCTTCGCCATCGTGTCACTCGTGTTATTTTATCAATTGTTGTAATTATAAACTCAGGAGTGCTTGCTCAATTATATTCTTTAATTAATGGTAAGTTAAAAAGTTCATGTCGACGATTAACTATTGACTTGAAATAAAAAGTGTTCACCGGACAACCAGATTACGTACATTACTAACTACTAGGTACGCCGTAGTGCACAGTACGTACCAGTTCGCTCCGAGGTCCGACGAGTAAGTAGTAGCCACGAACACTAAAGCCACTGTGGAGACATGTAGGGGACACCCGCCTTTTTACACAGTAAAGACAGAAAAATTAGGTAATTTGATTGGACAATTGGATGGTCACAGCGATTGCAACCCTACCTAGGAGGACCTAGGGATGGTAGCTTAAACTTTAGATGTCGAGCTCCAAATTATCTTTAATCTTTCCCCGTTTCTCGCCTCACATCTCCGTCTCCGTCTTCCGTCTCTCAACTTTCTTTTCAAAGCTCGTCGCGCATAACAATCTTACCGCGAGAGTTCCGCAATTATGGCGGATTTTTTAAAGAACATCGTTGGAGGAACCAAGGCTGCTGATACTCCAGTTCCTTCTTCTGATTCTGGTGAGTGAACCCTCTTTTGTATTCCGAAGTTGTCTTCGTCATTGCGCGAAAGAAATTCGAGTTTCGTTTGAAAATAAAATCCCGAAGAATTGCGAATGATTTAGCCTATATATCATATATACCTCAGTTACTATATATATCCCTCTATCTCAAGATCTTGTAGCTTTAAAGCTTCAACTTCAATTTTTTTTTCACCAATGTAGGAGGCATCTTCTTGTTAACACGTAGACCTTATCTAGACTTTGCCGATTTCGCCGACGCGCCTGCGCCTGCGCCAGCTGCTTTCGAATCCACCGCTGGCGGTGCTACCCTTGGTGGCCCTGTACCTACTGGGGTTCCCTACACGAAGTGGTATAATATTCATGAGCGCTATGGTTTGAGCGATTTCAAGGCCGAGGGCGTCATCTTGGCCGTCATCGCGGTCGTCTTCACTCTCCATTTCATCGGCACCAAGCTTAACCGAGCGAAGGCGAGAGCATGGATCAAGGCGCATGCCCCGGTCCTGACTAGCGAGTTTGCTGTCGTTGGTTTCGGTGGGACATCGAAGCCTGACCAAGACCCTGAGAAGTTGATGAAGGCGAAGAGTCTGTTCGAGTACGCAACCTATGCGACTGGCCGACAGAATGTCGCATTCCTGGACGCTAAGATTTCTCTAAAGAAGCGCTTCAACCCGATCATGACCTTCATCGAGACGGCCATGGGCTTCTTCTTTGACAGCTTCGGTACCCCCGAAGACTCGATCGAGGTCATCATCTACCCCTTCGATGGCAAGGAGGCGCAGATCGTACCGGCTATGCCCGGTGCTGCTGAGCTACGAGCCAAGGACTCCAAGAGCTCTTTCGATGGGTTTGTCTGGGCTATTGTCAACAAGGACAGGATGAAGCAGCTTCGCGAAGAGCGATATGACCTGTCCATCACCTTCACCAAGGACCACGCCAAGCTACCTCTCTGGGCAACCGTCATGAGCGAGAGCGCCGAGGTCACCGAAACCCTCCTGACCAACGAGCTTGCCGCGGCCATCAAGCAGGCTGGTGAACTATTTGACTACATCATCGTCACCGACCAGCCCGTCATCAAGCCCACCACCATGGACGAGACTATCCCCCGCAAGCGCCTCTGCCTGCGGTACCGTCTCCCTTCCTCCAACAGCTACGACGACCTCGTTCCGCTCCTGTCCTACTTCGTGCGCATCCCCGACCACCTCGCCTCCTCAGCCCACTTCCGCCCCGAGGTCCTGCGCAAGATCCGCACCGTCCGCGACGAGAACGTCAAGCACATCCAGAAAGCGGCCGAGGAAGAGAAGGCCGAGGAGCGGCAGGCGGAGCGCGACAGGGCCAAGAAGGCCAAGCGCGACGCCGAGCTAAACGCCCTCGACGCCAAGGCCCAGAAGAAGTTCCTCGAGCGCGAGCGCGAGAAGGAGCTCCGCAAGTCGGCGAAGAAACAGACTGTGCGCGCGTAGTATGTTTTCCCGCGCCCAAATGACGGATTTTATTCCCCGCCGAGGCGAATGTCTTTCTACTCGATATACGTACATCTATCTACATCTACATCTACATCTACATCTAGGGAGGGTGGAATCGGCCAAAGGGAAATTTTTAAAGGGGAGGTTGGGGGGGGGACAATGATGTACGCAATAAGATGGAAAACGTTGTGGCATAAGGCGAGGGCGATGAACAACGAAAACAACAACAACAACAACGACAACGACAACGACAACGACGAATCCAATCGAAAACGTGTCATCTGTAGGTAGGTATGTAAGTAATGTACAGTATATAGGACCAGGTAGGTAGGTATATGAAGGCAGAGAAGGCCGACTAGGTTAGCTGCCTGATGATTAAAATAATAATGCGTGTACACGTTTGTTTTATACGTTTGTATGTATGTATGTATGTATGTATGTATGTATGTATGTATGTATGTATGTATGTATATATGGGAGTGATTGAGTGAGTGAGTGAGTGAGTGGATGAACTGTTTGTTGTAAACCCAACATAGTAAGTAGGTAGGTAGAGATACACGTAGGTAGATATGACCTTCACTTGGCTTAGGTCAAACATGGATGTCATAGTATACCTCCCTACCTACATATTGCGTATATCCTCTCACCCTTCCTTACCTTCACCATGTACCAAACCATGATACCTAATGTAATCAATACCAATATTTTCAAACCACGCCTACCTACCTACCTACCTTACCTACCTACCTCTTAAACCCCGGTTCTACTACAACCATACTTCCTCCTCCTCCTTCAGACCCAGAGCCAAGGCCAGTAGTAGTGGCGGTAGCTGTCTTTTATTCTGCTTCGGCAGCAAGGATGTCCTCCACGCGCTTGACTTTGTCTTGTGCTGTTTGCGCCTTGTCTGTTCTGTTGGAGGGAGGGGGGGTAAAGTCAGCAGGTTAGGTGAGTGAGTAAGTAAGTAAGTAGGTGGGATGGATATATATGTGGGTTAGATAGGTGGTTTGGATTTCTCTCGCCCTCCTTTTTTTTTTTCATATGTGCGTGTGAGAGAGAGAGAGAAAGAAGGAGGGGTGGTGGTGAGTGCAGAAGGGAAAGGTAGGACGGGCATGAGCTATTAGGAAAAGGGAAAGATGGGAGAGAGGGGAGAGGGGAGAGATTATGTAAAAAGGGGCAAAGGGGGAAAAAGAGGGAAGAAAAAGGCCGACATACCTCGTCCCAACCCGCATCGACGACTGCACTCTAAGGACGCCCTTGGCATGCACGAGGCTGTGGGCTTGTCCGATGACTCGCATCACGTCGTCCCAGGACCCCTCTGGTGTGATATAAGTGTGAGTAAGTGCCAAGGCGAGTAAGTAGGTAAGTAAGTAGTAGAGGACGTAGCAACTCACCGACCGTGGTCCCCGCCGAGTGCATCGTGTACGTCAGCCCGCTGACCTGGAGGAGCTTCTGCACGGCGGCGACCTCCTCTGCTACCGAGACGTTGCCTGTGCCGACCTATATTTTCGTATACAGCATCAGTATCGATATCTATTACATATATGTATGTGTATACTTGGGTGTGTAAGTGGTTCAGGTAGGAGTATATGGAACTTGAATAGAGGAAGAAAACCTAAAAAGGAAAGGAAAGGAAAGGAAAGGAAAGGAAAGGAAAAGGTAAGAAAGAAAGGGCCAGCTCACAGGAATCAAGCAAAAGTCGGCATAGCACCGTGCAGGCGTCGCAAATTCCGTGACCTCCATATCTATATCCGTATCCGTATCTGTATCTGTATCTATAGCTGTGTACAGCGATTTCCCTACGGAGCTGGAGAACCGAATAGAGGATGATGGGATAATATAATTGTGACGTTGTCGAGGAAGCAAAGAGTAGTAGTTGCAGTAGTAGCGTGATAATCTGATCCCGAGGTTCACAGGTCGGATTGTGTTCATACTATTCCCGTGGTTTCATTTAATGAATGAGAACTTGTGTTATAAGGAGTCTTGTATGGAATTGAGTTGAGGTTAATTAATATATGAGCTAATAAAGCACCCCGCCAACTACATATAGTAGCCAACGCATAATTACCTAAGATATAGAGCTTCTATAATCTACCTATGATCTACCTATAATCTAGCACGAACAAGAAGACACAGGCAAAGAGAAATAATATATTCCTCACGTAATGCGAACTCATACAAACATACAAATATACATGACTTCTATCGTTCTCTCGTAATCATCCCCCTTGCTTATGACTTTGAATGAATGCCTATAATACAACATACAACAAAGATTGACACAAAACATTGAACTCTTCAGATCTATCTAAACTTGCATCGATCGCATATGCTGCCGCTGGTATGGTATCACTAATATGATAAAGATAGAAATTTCCACAATGAAAAAAACATACCACGATAAGAAATGCCATGCTAAAGCACATAAACAATAACAACCCTTTGTCTAGAATCCAAACTCGGGTAGATCTCGATATCGTCGACTTTGGACACATTCAAGTATCAAAAAGGTAGATAGGTTGGTAAGCTTGCTAGTAAAGAGGCCCAAGCAAGCATCTGACGAACATGGCCATGGTGATGGATATAAATACAATCGCCTGTCACATGACTAGGCAATCGGAAAGGACCCTGAGTATAATGACGAATTCATTAGTTATCCAGGTCAGGTCTACACCAATCTTAGCCTTTCAAACTCTCTCTTCGTCTTCGCACAGGAGACAACCCACCTACCTACCGACCTGCCAAGCTTACCTGACCAGACTTGAAACATTGGTGGTCTAGTAGGAGGGTTGAGATAGGGGGACGGTAAACCAAAAAAAAGAAATCAGACTAACCATCTGCTGGATTCCCATTCCACAATCCACCGACAACACAGCTTCAGTCGCTCCCGTACGCTCGAAGTGCCCAACATTTTGTGCTTTTCCTCGTCTTTGATCGGCAATATGCTAGCCAGCCACCAAGGGAATATCGCCGGGTCCGTCGGACATTCTCCGTAGATAGCGAGGACTCGGGCCGTTAGCCACGCCACGCTCTGTTGCCGCATCCTCCTGACAAAGACCACACCCATATCAACTAGCTCTCGAGTTGACAGGGTTTCCAGATCCTCTAGCACCAGGGGTCCTGGCCGGGACCCGGCGTGGGGGTTTCTCGTATAATTCTGGGTCCCTTCCACGGATATATGCCGTTCTCTTCGAGCCCGCATTGTCTCGGATGCCTCCATAGACTCTTCCTCCGCCACACTAATGTCGTTTATTTTCTCAATGTTGCCGACCACGTACCCATCTAGCCAGCCATGACGAGTCACCCGGAACCGAGAGACGCCCACCGTCTCCAAGAGACTCCGCCCATCAGGAAAGAATTCAATGTTTACGATACGAAGTAGCGTGCCGAGTTCCATAAAGTTGGGCGCACCGGGTTCGCGTGTTCTCGACGGCAACACCATCCCAAAGGTCCGATCACCCTCCATAGCTCGTCGAATCATCAGGCGGTACCGTGGTTCAAAAACATGGAGGAAGGTGGGCATACGGGGAAAAGCCAACGTGCAGACGAAGAGCGCGATATCATACCCGCCATTGTTAGCTTGTTGCTCCAACCTATACGCTTGGGACCGGAGTGCGACGAGGTCTGCCCAGAATGCATTGATCGTCTTACAAAGCCGCTGGTTCGAGGGGTAGGACTGCCGGTTAACCTGGGCCTGTACTGACATAGGGCGCCTACAAAGTGGACAAAGATCTGAGTGGTCTAGGATACGATGGAGACAGCTTCTACAGAAAGTGTGCCCACAAGTCGTCGTTAAAGGATCCAAGAATAATGCATAACAGACCTGACAATCCATTTCTGTCCTCGTCGATTCCTTTATCCGATTTAACACGGCCGTATCGATCTGCTCGACCTCGTCCTCTCCCACGCCAAAGGAAGCATAGGACACCTCGCAGCCATAATCTAATCTGCCAAGCTCGACCAGTGTGTAGGTTGCGACGATGCGGCCCCCTTTTAACAAGCTGGGCCCAGACACCTTCTTGGTGAGTGACGGAACACCGGCGACTTCCCATTTATCGTGAACTGTAATTTGCGTTAGGAATTTGGAAAGGTCTACTCTATTTCGGTCTGTCTCGATGGTGGATTTAAATATGGCCAACGCCTTATTCAATGTGACATCAAGAGCGCAATCTTGGACGGCATGCTCTTTTTTGCAGTCCTCAAACGGACATTTGAACCCATGACGTCGATTAGCTGTGGCAGGATAGGAGATGTTGGTTCGAACATGCGTCTGAGGCACGCATTGCTTGCAAAGACTATGTCCACATGGCAGTGTAGTTGGCTCCTCGAGAACTCGGGAGCACACCTCACACTGCACGAGCCTTATGATTTCTCTCACATCATTGGTCGCATCTAAGCACTTTTCGGAGGCAGTTGAAGGGTGCTCAGTCCCTGCCGGGTTGGAAGCCACCGCGTCCCCTTTCTCAGACCGCGATCTAGAGTGTGTGTTGTTAGAGGGATTTGATGGAGGTATATTTTGCGAGGCCGGATTGGTCTGTGTCGAGGACATGAAGACCTCTGTATTCGAACTGGAATACCAAGGGAAGGTTGATGTGATATCTTCGGGAAGTAGCTCTAAGACGATGATATCTCTTTCCGTCTGTTGAGATATATAAAGGGGTTCTTCTAGGACTATATTTTGTGCTTTGGCCTGGCTACCTGAAGCACACACCGCTTTATAGAAATGAAAATCCAGTAGGGAGGAGGCTGGATTAGGAAAATGGGAACAGTTGAGAGTGTTTATCAACAAGAGACCTAACGTGTGCTGGCCTTATGTGGTCGTACGGCGGTAAGTCGACTAATCGTCAAGGTTATAGGGGGGATTTTTATACAGAATTCATGAATAACAATTATACAACATAAGCTGTCGTGATATCTCTTTCTTGACTGACTGACACAGAAACATGTATCTTCTGATATTCCAAGTCAAATAGATACAAGTGGACTTCCCTTGTAACATACAGTTGTAGATATATAGTAATGGAGAGTGAGGGGGTTGTATGGAATATGGGAATCTAGGAGTCTAGATGTCTGGTAGGGGACGGACGCCTAAAAGCGCGCGACAGGGAACGGAAGTTATGGGAACAGAGGTATATAATAGTCTACACCATGTTGGGTATTAAAAGATATAGAAGTCATCATACATTTAACTGGATTGATGTAGAAGCATGTCGGCCAAGACCAAGTTAAGTAAAGTAGATGATGGGAAGATGTTATGTATAGGTAGGTATGTGTGTATAAGAGGTGTAATGGGTGGTATGTACCTTGGTAGATAGTGAAATGTTAAGAAGACGTGAGAAGAAGGAAAAAAGTGCTGACGTCGTAGGGGTACTTGTAGGGTCCCTAAAGAGAAGATTTGTTGATCTGATTGGCTAATTTGGACAACTGATGATCTTGACGAGACACCGTCAAGCCACTTATAAAATAAAAAATGAGTGGTGATACATGTATCCTCCAGGGCTCCAGGGGATGGGGGGCTGTAGAGTTGTAGAGTTGTTCAACTTTTTGTGTGCATAAGGTATTGTACCCCGTACTGCCGTACACTTAAAAAGACGGTATTCAACTATTTAAGCCTATAAGGGAAAGGCTCGGCGTTTCATTGTGGGGTAACTTACAGTCTATGTACTACTAGTAGTATCCTGCAGGACCCTTGACTCCTTGAGTTGTCTCAACATCCATAAGAACATCATTAATAACTAAAAATCAATGAACTCAAGTATATATATATAAATATATATATATGTATATATACTTATGCCAAGTACATAGTATCATGTTGTAACTTGTAGCGTTTCCTGTTGCAAGTTCCCATGTTGAAACATGAAGACATCAAGACTTGAAGTGCACAGGTGCATTAAAAGGTGGAGAGGATTTCAAATATTATTTTTTTATTTTTCTAGTGCTCATGTAACTACCTAGGTAGGTACATATATGTATTAACTATTGAGAATGACAACTTCAAGTTCCGCTAATGAATGTCTAGTAGTTGCATATAGCGTCTTAGTAAGTACTATGTACATAATATTAACCAACAGCCCTAGGACTTATATATCTCCTACTGTACGTGTGCATCTCTAACTAATCAACTTCTATATATTTGCCTCAATGCTTGACAACTGCTATACTCTTAGGTATGTAGGCACATATGTTTCTAGAAGCTCTCCTATATCTAACTATATGTACCATCAAAAAAGATATACACAACAAATCTTAACCCGTAGATAGATAAGAGAGGACAACCCCCCCAAGTTCGGCAGTGATCGGACATTATAGTCGTACGACTCGTATTATACATAAACCTCTAACGTAGTAGATGACGAACTACCGTAACTACCGTACCGATCTGCTAACAGCCATGGTTAGATTTTTTTATTTACTACACTATTGACCTACTATGTAGAACCAAAGTACGTACGTACGTACATACCATCCATATATGTACATGCGCCGACGTTACATTAAACATGCCATGCTGACTTGTTAGAACTCGTTGTTGTCACGCCCACCCAGCTCCAGTAAGTAGATACTCAGTCAGTCAGTCAGCTATGTCGGAATAAGTACCTACCTACACCTATGTAATAGTATTTCAGCACCACATATGCTTCTCCCCCCCCCCCCCCCCCCCTTCTCCGGTCGATGACAGCACGAACTGGCCGATCCGGATGCGAGACGGTTACGCCCGGAAATCGACGCTACCAAGGTCCAGCACACCTTGTCTTGTCCATCTAAATTGTACTTAACTACCTCCAGCTGTTATCAAAATTGTGTGTTTGATATTCCCAATAAAAACTACCCAGGTACGAATAATTTTCAGCCTTCCAGGTTTTGAGAGATGTTCCGGGAGCCCGGGAAAGCGTTGTTCTTCCTTATCCACTAACCCCCATCCCAACCCATCCCAAGCCCTTTCCCCTTCCCCTTCCCCTCCAAACCATTGAAGATCTGCCTTACGTTCCGAGAAGCAGGATACGGATACGGTGTACGTAATTACTTTATGTAGTAACTATGTATAGGTCGGTACCTATAGGTATATACCTAACCTAGGTATGTATGCATAGTTGTATGCATAGTTGTATGCATACACTATTTCCATCCATCCTTGCACGCACGTCTTGGGACGAACAAGAAGAAACGTGGCGCTCAAACAAACGCGTTGCAAGTTCCTTGACCGCACAGCCGTATAAAGCAAAGAGAGCAGACTATCAACCTCCAAGCTTCCTGCATGGCAAGTATTTTTTTTTATTTTTTTTTTATTTTTTCTTTGGCTTTCCGAACCGAGAGCTTTGTCCAAAGCTGCTGCTGCTTGCTGCTCACCTAACCCAGCCCCGGCACCGTCGGCGGCTCCATTCATCCCATCAGCCTCTCTGGGTTTAGCCCGCCCTACCCACCAACCATAATACCATATACTACTATATCCAGCCATTCGAGTTCGTTCATGCCTACCCAAAACAGCTTCGTCCGAGTAAAATGTATGACGCTAACATATTTTTGTGAACCATTTTGATTTTGATCCCCAGGACTTTGATGACCTACTTGCCTATCTTGTTATCCGTCTATTATTTGATATATTTGATAGGGGGATCGCTCTTTCGTGACCCTGTGACCTTGTGACCTTGTCGTGAAGTCAATTACCATGCCGGACTTCCCGTAACACAATCAAATATAATCAAACACATAGTAGATACTCGGCCCTGAGCTAGTAATCCGGACCGTGCTCACGAAGTTGAAGTGCGTCCATTCATCATCAACCTTATCCCCTATCGCAGCTTCACAGCTTCATACTTGCTTCATCTTCTCTCCCCCCGTGTCTAGTACCTACATATCTACCTGGGCTTCTTATCACCGAGTAATAGCCTACCTAGGGAACTAGGCACACTTAGCCCATTCCGATTCCGTACCAAAGTCACAAGCAACGATAGTTAAGAGTACCCGATGATCCCCCTCCCCAACGTTCAGATCTTGTTTTCATAAAACATGGGAAACTCCCATCTTTCTTTTTATTGATTCATACATATCTTTTAATACCTGTTTGTCGCTGTAAACCAAACTCCCCTTAACCCTTTTCCGCTGTGGTAGAGATAGAGATATCATCCAAGAGCAACACCAATACACGTATATCTATACCCAAATTCGAGATATACATTCAATCATAAGCCACCCGCTTTTCTTCTCCCACTTTTCGAAATGCTTATCGACGCTCCGCCCATCGTCCCTTTGCGGCGGCGCCCCGGTTCAACGCGAGCCAGCGGCCAATGTTTCCAAAGCACACACAGCAGCAGAACAGAACACTCATGACCCATATGTTCATCGCTACCGTCTCTTGGCTAAGCGTTAGACCGCCGAACGAAACCGTTGGCTCATGCTGGAAACCAGGAAAATGCGCATCGGTCGTTGATACATTATACTGCTGACTAGAGATTCCGGACGTGGACGAGTTCGCCGGGGTAGGCACCATGTCTGGTACTAAACCCATGAGTATGATCGACCCAGTAATTCCGACGGTTGTCGATAGGATGAACCCGGGAAGAGAACGGTCAATGAGGAACCAGAGCACGGGATTAACAAGCGCCAGTGTTGTAGAGACTTGAAGCGTAGAGTCCCAGGGGAGTTTTCGCTGTTCATGTTATTAGCAAGGCTCGGTTCAAAATATCACCAACGTCAGAAGGTGAGAAGATCGGCAAAAACCTACGATAGCAAAAGCAATTCCAACAAAAGTTCCTATACCCCTGATGGCTAGCGCCCAGTCCGTAGACGTGGCGGCCTCTTTGCATACATGATCTGGGCCCATGCCGTGCTTAGCAGCACACTCGAGGACTTCGTCGTTGCTACCAAATGCCCGCTCCCAGACGCCGTCGAACCACGGCAGCAGATAACCCATCATAACTCCGGCAACCCCCCAAAAAGTCATGTATCTCCAGTCATATCCACCGTCAGCGGCCTTAATCATGCCGTCCATCTGGAATGCCTTCGTGGTCTGTTGCTTATCCCGGATCTGGGCGACTAGCATCCCGTAGAGCACGCCCAGGCTGAACAAGAGAAGGCCTCGCGAACCCATGTAAAAAATGCGCTGTAAAGTAGACAGCGGTTCTAGACGTGTAGGCGGATGAAGGGAGGACCGCCTCCTTATTGGCTGTGCCCTCTCCTTGTGAAGATTGTAGTACGGTTCTTCTGCGCTTATGTTCCTAGCAGGTGTCTCGGCTCCAGTCCCCCAAGGCGTACTATCGTCCGTTGGGTTGACCCTATCTTTCCCATATATTGTGGGCGAGTAGATTCCCATCAGCGTTGAGCCCGTCATGTTAAGCACGGACTGTGTACGACTGATGGGGGTGTAATCGGGAGAAGGGGCACTGTTTCTTGGATCGAGTAGGCGACTGTTTATAGTGTCGAGATTCAGCGAGAGACCGTGTTGTGAGCCAGTGGAGGGAAGATGATTCTCGTCATTGTCGTGAGGTGGTGTGGGTTGCTTGCGGTTCAGTTCAAAGGGTCGGCGAGGGACAGGACGTAATAAGGGCGGCCCGTCGTTTGCTTGTGAGCCGGACATGATGCAAATTAAGAAGCGAAGCGGGTATAATAGCGAACTTGGGGGCGCTTTATAAAACAGTATTCGACAAACCGGATGGTGCGAGAAATGTGTCTGAGAGCTAGTTTATGAAGGTACGAGAGGATCGCAATGTGAAGCTAGGAAGCTAGGTAGGTATGTATAAGGGAACGAGGTAGGTGAACAGAGTTGGCGGGTGCCAAAGGAGGAGGATAATAAGCCAACTAAATGTGTGCCGCGTGGCCAAAATATTGCTTGGAATAAGGCCAATTGGCTGACCGGGGTCAAGTAGTATCGGAACTCTATCGAAAGGGAGGGCGAGGATCGTGACCGGATCTGGATTCCCCAAACTTTGTGTATTCCGATCCGATCTGGTAGCGGACCGAAGAGATATGTATGTACAATGGTAAAGGTAAGCAAAGATGCTTAACACAGTAGATGATGTGATGTTATATATGGAGGAAGTAAGTTAAACCTATAGGTAGTAAATTCTAGGCAATTGACAAGATATAAGGTCTAGGCATGTATAGGCAAACGAAGACAATGTCTTTATTATTGTAGTAGCAGTCGGGAGTTGGGAGTTGATATCTGAGGGGTGTTCAATGTTGAGAAGAAGGAAAGAGAAACGTTGAACTAAAAAGCTGTTTTAGTACTACTAATATAACTAATGAAGGAAGGAAGAAGGTACAGTACATAGCCCTGGAGGAGCTTGGGGAATGTAAAGAGCTTAAGATTCGAAGCTAGGCAGCTTCGGACAGCGGCAACTATAACATGTGCCCGCGCCTATACCTTCCTCACATGCAAATTGGAATTGCAAAATGATTGATCCCCGCGCGCTTACATATAAAATGCATTACTATGTCTATGTATGCACATACATACCTATGTAGTTATACCTCTAATACTCCGCTTAAAGCCGAGCATTCAACATTTGATTTACACAATTTTCCTCTTTCCTCTTTTCACTTTTCTCTCTTTTGCCCAAGTTGACAAGTGAGCCATGAAGTCATACCTACACTATCCTACCTAGGTATAAAAATCAAGCCTCTTCATTCCTCAATTACAATCATGTCCAGTATCCATCCCTCCACATATTACCTGGACCCTTATGGATTATGCAGACAGCTACCTACATGCCTAGGCACATAGTAGTCTTCATTCATCTTGGCCACACAAATCATTAGCCTATTTTGTATTGTACATTGGCCAACTGTCGTCCCCCGCTCCTCGTGGCGAGGTGACGATAGTAGGTAGCATAATTACCTGCCTACCTGCTTTGCAAAGAAAAAAAAAGGGTTTGCTTCGCTGCTGACCATCAGAAACTCGCCTAGTGGATTACATGCCTACAACTCCCATGCAGCTTAGGGCCTAGGGCCTAGGCAGAGTCACAGCTACACAGCTATGTACTGTACCTAGACCTACCTACTGTACCTCGAAGGCATGTAGGAATCAGAATCAGTAGGATAAACATTGGGGAAACCTAGGTAGACGGCCTTACTCCGTAGCAATACGTGTGTAAGCTAACCTCATTCCGGACAAGTATGAGCCCGCTCCCTACCTCCCGTGTCTAGTTACCGATCTACAATAACTATCATGTTGAATGTCGAATTCTCACCACGAGGATGGTCTTCTCGAAACCACCTACCTAAACGCGTACTCAAACTGCCTAACCTGATAGGTAGGTAGCTACCAAACATTGAAGCCGTACCGTATGAAAAAGAACGAAACAAAAGTCCACCAAAGATAGCAAGGACGTGGGAATGGTGGAATTTGAAACAGTCCATCCAGCTCGGGCTTTTTTTAGGAGTCACATGCTCCGTCCATCGTGACATTACCTACAGTACCTACATTTAATAAAAACAACTTGCTCGGCTTCTCGTATAGGGTGCTGACCACAGCGACACAAAAAAAAACCCCCCCCAAACCATTAAGCATCAATCATCAAGCATCAAATTAATCCAACTGGTTGGCTAGCCGGATCTGCCGCTAATATACCCCACAGTCCAAGTCGTCCCCCCCCCTCCCCTCCTTTTTGGTGACACCATCGTGCATTTTCTCTACCTGTACCTCGCGAATCCCTACTTTCGAAATTCGACTACATAGTTAAAACTTGACCCCCCTCCCCGGGGCTTCTTATGTCGCTATCCGCCGTCGTACTGTGGAGTCATTAGATCACTTTGTAGCTAGGGTAGCTGCTTACATAGTATAGTAAATAGGTAGGTAGGTAGGTAGGTAGCCAGGTGTAGGGAAAATGGGAAAAGCCTATGTGCATATATCATATGTATGTATGTACTACAATGCCTAGGTAGGATGTAGGTATGTAGGTACAGTAGGTGTGTTCTACGTCTCGCCATTGATCACGTACCTACATACATACATACATACCTACATGCCTACATGCCTTCCATCCGACAACTCGCAGTCATGTATGTATAACGAACGCCCTACAACCCACCCCCTTCAACGACGTCGCACAACAGCATCAACAACAGCAACAAAATCCAGGTTTCCAAAAGCCATCCTCCCAAAAACCACCATCGTCGATCAATCACGAGAGACAACGTCCATGTAGGGAGGGAGTCCCAACTAGGCATTGTTGTTAATAGTTAGTTACACGACACGTGCCCCATGGCGATCGTCAGCCATTGAGTTTAGGTCACATGCAGGACTGACTTTACATACCTACATACTAGTAACTAAAGTCAGATGGGCTTTTCGCGGAAGTAACCGCGTCTTGATTCGTTAAACTATTGGCGGTTTGCTTGCAGCGTTTCATTACTAGGTTAGGTAGGTAGGTACTTATTCGGGGTCTTTTTCTTCGACTCCTTTGGAAACCGGGATATACACGCTATGTAGGTAACTAACTACATACCTAGGCAGGCAGGTAGGTAGGTAGATAGGCAGGTAGGTACGTAAGTGTGTTGGTACCTATTTGATATGCACGCCACTCACTATACACTACTTCACAATTAATCCTCATCCTCCTCTGCCTCAGCCTCAGTATCCTCCTTCTCCTCCTCGCTGTCCTCTGCGTCATCTGGTCGGGGTATCATCTCGAATGCCTCCACACACGTTATCCTATTTTGCGTCTCGTAAGTGCCGAGCAGCTTGCCCACCGTCTTCTTAGCCGCATCTGCTTTGCTGGACACCTGGAGATCAGCGATGGCGAGCTTGAAAATACGGGCTTTGCCGTCGCTACTGCCGGCAGCAATTATCAAGTTGTCCGCGACCTTGACTGTAGCGAAATCCTTAATTCGTCCTATGACTCCGGCTTCCTTCCCGCCAATCTGCGCCACCAACTTTGCGGCTGGTAATGGAGCCTTCCCCTTGCCTTCCGTAGACGACTCACTGGGAGTAAGGTCTTCACTCTTGGTAGAGAAAAACATGATCTTCCCATCCTCTGTCGAGACTGCTAGGAGGGATGAGTCGGTTTCCGAGTCTATCGCAATGTAGCAGATTTCGTGTATCTTTCTCCTCGGCTCCGGCATGACTCTGCACTTGGGCGTGCTGTCCATGCCAAAGACCAGAGCGTCTCGGTCGAACCCAACGCAATACTCGTCGCCGTCCTCGGTACTGCCCCAGACCACTCTCCTCCCCTCTCCTGACGAATGCTTCCCTTCTCCAGCTTCCTGGAGCATTTCTCTGCTGAAATTGAGCACCCCAGCCTTTTTGGCCGTCATCAGATTCCAAAGTCGCATCGACCTCTCCCCTCTGCTCACGCTAATCATGACCTTCATGCTCGGGTGAACAGCGAAGTCGTTGACACCAGCCGGGGTCGCACCTAATGCCGCCGTATCGCCGCTCGGCCGACCGAGGGGCTTCGGTATGGGGGCTTTAATAGTCGACAGTAGAGACCAATCCCTCGTCCTGGTGACGGCAATAGTAGAATCTTCGGAGGCGGAGATGAGTTTTGACTTTGTAGGAAAAGCTAGTCTCGTAATCGTAGAGGAGTGGTGCAGGAGGGTGCCCAGCTCCCGATTCTTAGAATTCTCGAGGATCTTGCGGGGTGCGACAGAGGATAGGGCGTCTTGGTGTTTGCGGCTGGGCGGGTGCGCCGAGATGTTGTAGACATTGATCCGCTCGTCGCTGCTGCCCGAGGCCAGCATGACCCTCTGTAGCCTGCCTGGCGCTGGAGCTGAGGGGGGCGACAATGCTAGGCATCGTATCGAAGAGCTATGCGCATTGAAGAGGAAGGTGTCTGCGAAATCTACCTCGTCGTCCGACGATATCGTGGCGGTGAATCCGTGAAGAATCCTATCGTAAGACCCAGTGACAACCTGTATAGTCAATGGAGGAGAGCCTTTCGCCTTTGCTACTGCTGTTGTTTTTGTTGTTTTTGTTGTTTTTGTTGCTTTTGTTGTTGCTACTGCTGATTGTGGTGTCGATGCTTTGGCCTTCTTCGCCTTGGCCGATCCCAATGCCGTAGCTCCTCCGTTGACAGCACCGTCCGTCCGCTTGCGTTTAACCATTTGAAATAACTGGTTCTTAAGCTAGTGGTTTCTTTTGTTTTTATCCTTCTTCAAGTGCTTGAAAATTAGAAAGAGTCAAAAGGTGTTTGTTGTAGGATTAGTTCGACCGAAACCAAACCTTGAAAAGATTAACTTGAGATGGGCAGCGCAGCAAAGCAAGCAAAAACGCTTGCAACGATAACTAGTTAGCACTTGGAAAAAAAAATTTAAAATGGAGATTCCTGTAGGACCCCTCTGATATATACTTATCTCCAAGAATCTAGGCGTTTACTGCATAGCCACATGGCTTTAATGAATGTGCCTTGGACGAAGAAAGACTACTATGCAAGATACGAGATGGGATAAGCAATCCAAGCTACTGATAGGCCGTTGAGGAGCCAATTCATCAATCCCAACACCAACATATCACAGTATTGACTTAAGTGAAAAACTTGGTAATTATTTGTATGTATTTTTTTTATTCATACGCAACGTCGCTTAACGCTATCTCCGCACCAGCCCAGTACCTATCTAGGTATGCTAAAGGCTTGGTGAGCAAACTCATTGACCTTCGCTGACACTGCTATGCGCTCCTCAACCATTACCTAGCAGTCTTACCTCGTCCTGATTCGACCGAGGTAGGATAGTCGCAGTCGCCGTTTATGTGATGGTGTCAGAACTGATCAGCCTTGACGATGCGTCGCCAACCTTTGCTCAAAATGATGCTCATAAGGATAGACGTGGAGAGTGTAGACATCTGTTTTGGCCCTGTGTCACTCCAAATTTGTAGAAATATGGAGGATTCAGCCGTACGACGATTAAATGACCATTTCATTGAGGCCAAGTTCATATGACTTGGTTGGCCCGGACGCAAATAGCCTCGATAGTCATACTATATCCCTAAGACCTTTAATCACCATCATTCATAGCCTACCAACCCTCGCTGATGGAGCCTCAGCCTTAATGCGTAGGTAAGGTATCTTGGTATGGTAGGTGCCCACTATGAGTCACGCCCGGGTTCATCAGTCAACATCCGATTGAATATTATAGATTGTATGGACAGCGTACGCCGGGACGTATAGACTCGTGACTATGCATGACCACGTCGCCCGAATCATCATGCAAGCCAAAACTTACACACAGACGATACCTCCTTGTCCAGACCTAATCGTCTAAAACCCTTTTACTTTGGAGCTGAAGGAGTCGGCGTTGCGCTTCCGCTGGAATTCCGCTGATGTTGTTGTTGTTGCGGTCCTTGTTGCGACTGTGCCTGCTGGGCTTGCGCCGCGGCCGCAGCCGCCGCTTGTTGCTGTTGTTGAGCCCGGAGAAGTTGGGCGTACTGGTGCGGGCCGTTGGCGGCGGCAGCATGTCCAGTGCCTCCAGCTGCGGCGCTCATAGCAGATTGTGCAAGGTTGTGGCTATTGTGGTTTCTATTTAATAATTGCCTCGCCATCTCGCGGACCATATCTTGTGGGGTATTGGGGTGTTGTTGTCTGATCTGGCTCTCGATATGCTGAAGTTGAGAGACATATGTTTGATGTGTAGGTTGAGGTATCGGCGCGCTTGGTCGCGGCGATCCGGCTTGGGATGTCATGGTGAGAGCTGGGCCTGGAGGTGTCGACATACCCGACCCATTCGCGGCATTAAACGAAGCTATCATCGCTTGTGTCTGGGCGTTATTCAAGAAACTCTTCTGGTTCATCCCGTTCAACGCAGTAGCTCGCATCGCAGGCGGCGAACCCTGTAAGGGCACAGATCCTGGAGGACTTTGATGGGATTGTTGCTGCTGCTGATGCTGTTGCTGATGCTGTTGTTGTTGTTGCTGCTGCTGTTGCTGCTGTTGCTGCTGATGTTGCTGCTGCTGCTGCCGTATCTGCACTGACCGACGCTGTTGCTCGGAAATCTGCTGCGCTTGCATCAGTAGTTGGATATCTGGTTGCGTGGTGGGCATCGCCATGCGTGACTGGCCATTGACGGAAGGCATTTGCACTTGGCTGGCACCATTCATCGACATCGACATAGGGGGGACAAGTCCACCGCCCATATGAGTAGGAGTCCCTGCAGCATTTGGGGTGTGCATCGGCATACGCGGACGTCCTTGGCCGTTTATTGGTATCTGGCTAGGAGCATTGACGCGGGCCATACCCGCGTGAGGATGGGAGGCTGCCATTTGAGCATTGTTCTGCGAGAGCTGGGCCGCATTCTGGGCAGCTGCTAGTTGCCCTTGCTGTGCTCTTTGCAATGCAGCCTATGTTAACTCGTTAGTATGTTTGTGTTTTTGGATTCGAATTTGAGGGGGTCAAAAAAGGGGTATCCCTACTCTGCGCTGTGCTTCATGACGTTGTTGTTGGGCCATCCTCTCTGCCAGCCTCTCGGCCATCGCCTGATCTCGTTCAAATCGCATGATGCTATACTCCCTTGGTGTCTTCGTCGGGGCCCTTGGCTGTGGCGCTTCGTTCGTTTTCCTCATAGCTGCAAGAGACGCAGCATGTTGTTGCTTCTGTATGGCGGTCTCACGCTTCTTTGCAAGTTTCCTCATCGCATCGATCATGGTAAGGTGCTTCTGGTTACGCCGTCGCTCAACCTTCAATGGCACATTATAACGCCGCTTGGGGATAGGTGCAACAGGGGTATTATTCCCAGCCTGTTGCTGCTGCGCCGCCTGTTGCTGTTGTATTGCATTTTGGTGCTGCCGAATAACCTGCTGCGATGCCTCGATTCTGCCCTGCCACAGTTTAAAATACTGAGTTTTCTGCATGTCGTGAGGGAGACCTTCGAGCATGACCCATCGTTCGAAGCATTCCCACGGCGTCCGTCTCTCAGCCCCAGAGCTGAACATAGACTTCGAAGAAAGTATACTACAGATCAAAGACCAGTTGTACGAATACTCCCGAACCAAGCTTTTCAACTCGTCATCCTCGGACTGAATCCATTGCGAAGGACTACGAGATTCGTAAAATGACTGGAAGGGCATGGTATGCTCGTTTGGTGGGCGGAATTGGTGACCGGCATGCAATCTATCTCTGATACTCTTGTTTTCGGGTCTGAAAAGTGCAACTTCAGGATTTTGCGGTTCGAGTCGGGGTTGACTGCCACTATAATTCTCAAAGATGACCTCTTCATCCTCGTCGTCCTCTTGTATATAGCGATAGCGACTCCGTTTGCGCGGTGGCTCCATCGGAGCCAACTCCATCCGACCCTCCACATACTTACTCACCGGGAGAGCAGGTCGCCTCCATGTCGCGTCGGGGTCGTATTCTGGCGCAGTAAGATCCGACTTCGGAACTTCCAACGGTGATCCATACATAGGTAACTCATCGAGAAGGCGGTCCGCAGTTGCAGACTGGTGAAGTGCAAAGATTACGTCGTCGCTCTCTAAAGCAAATATTGCAGAGGGCGCTATCGTGTCGGGGAGTGAGTCTTGTAGCTCATCATCCGGCTCCAATGGCGAATCAAAATCGGCACACTGGATAAGATCCGGTGTTGGTTGATTATCCAAATTCTGAGGTGCATCATCCATGGAAACTTGTCTATCATCCGAAGGAGAGACGGCATTGACCTGCATGGCTTTGCGAATCTCCGGCGAAGCGGAAACCCACTCAGCACAGGCATAGGCAAGATTCCGAGCAGCTGCCATTTTCCACTTTCGCTCTTCACGAAAGTCAGTTCGCATCCATTTCATTTCCTGTAGTAAGACGTCCCAATGACATGGTTGGCGGGTGGGCTCGGGACAGCGCTTTGGCTGGCGCAGAGACCATTTGTTATGATGCTGCAACTGATAAACCCTTTTAAGGACTTTGCAAGCCTGATTTTCAAATATCTGTGTGTAAGAGTCGGGTGTGGACAGGGTCTTATGGGCCTGATGTAAGATCTGGTCCAGAGGCTTCATCCATTTCGAATTCGTAGCAAATGCCTGCACGAAGAGGGGTGTGAAGTAGTCATCGCTGGCCATTGACCCATTCTGTGCCTGTGGGCGGTTCTGGGTGAGAGAATTGTCTGAATTCATTGCGTGCTTAGCTTGATTTCCGAACACAACTGTTGTTGATCGCTGCTTCTTTTTCGAATTGGCCTTCTGTAGAAGACCCCGAGGTGTATGATTTGATTCCATAGACGGTTTCTGGTCAGTCATGCTGGAAGCCTCCGGATCCCTTGATGGTTTCAACGGCTCGCCTAGGATTTCGGCCACTGGCTTCTGTCGAGCGACTCCTGAGGGACTACTCGTTCTTTTGCGTTCGGGAGGAGGCGCTTGAATTGGAATAATTGGTGTGGGCGAATTCTGGGTTTCTTGACCATGGCTTTGAGGCTCAACTTTGATAGATTCGCTGACGATGGCCGAACTTTCTTCCCTGGTAGCTTCGACTTTATATCCATTCCCATCAGCACTATCGTTATTATTGAAGACGACAGGGTTTGTTGGTTTAGAGGGAGTCTGGTGCAAATCCCCGCGCATATTCGCCGTTGGGAGACTACGGAAAGCATCACTGGGAGGCTGCGGTGAAGGATTCGAAGAAGGCAAAGGCAAAGGCAAAGAAGGCAAAGAATGTAAAGACTGTGGAGGCTGTAAAGGTTCTGGAGGACGAAACGAATTCGTAGATGTATGAATATCATTTGTGCCTTGATCGACTGCAATTGCCTTCGGCTCTTCAGGTATCGGAGCGCATACGGAAGATGATGGTGTCTTAGGTGGCTCAACTGAGTTGATGATTGCGCCCGCTTCCCTGATGTCATTCTTTGCTTTCATTGTTGCATTATTCGAATCTGGTACCGCCGTTTGGACTTTAGCCTGCTCCAGCTTGCTTTGGGACATTCCAGCCACAACTGGCCCAGAAGGCCTCAAATTCTGTGAATTTTGTTCCAACAAGCCCAAGTTGTTTTTCATTCCCACTGCGTTTGCCTCCGCGCTACCTGCAAATGCCACTCCTTCACGGCCCGGGCTTGTGTTGATAGGGGCACTAGAGACTGCTGGATTGGTTATCGTTTGAATAGATGCGTTGGTGGATGGTATAGCATCCACTGGATGAATATCGTTTGGTTGAGCAGCTGGCTGTAATGTAGTTGTTCGCTCGTGAGGCTTCTGGTTTAGAATTATATCCACATCCATCGGATCGCCGCCGCTGAAAGATTGAGGATGCCTATCTGCTGGTTTAGGATCTTGATGCTGCTGCGGTCTGCTAGTGTTGATTTCGGGGATTTCTGATTGAGGCGGTTTCGACGGAGTTGCATGGGAGCTCGTCGGGGTTGAGGAGGTACCGTTCTGCCCAGTATTCTTGGGTGGATTCTCTACCTTTGCAACAGGTGGAAACCTCGGCTGGGATCGATCGCTTGTTGTGGCAGTGATATCTGGTCTTGCTGCTTGCTGATCGACGGGTAACGTAGGCCATCTTGGTTGAGTCTGCTGTTTAAAAACAGGCCCAGGTCCAGGCCCAGGCCCGAGACCGGGTCCTGAGTTTGGTAGCGCCTTAATCGTATTATTCTGTCCATCGTTATATCCTGGCCGCGATGGCACCGACGACACAGATGGCGCTGGCGACGAGGTAGAAGGTGGCTGCACAATAATCGGTTGTACGCTGGCATCGATATCCTTCCTATTAAGAGTAGTAGAATGTGTGTTTTCGCCCGAGGGAATGAAGGTTTCACTTGGTCTAGGTACAGAAGGATATTCGGATCGTGCTCGTGGTCGCGTTGGAATATTTAACTCGTTTAATTTCTTGCCTCTGTTTAATTTGTTATTAACATGACTGTTATTGCTAGTCAAATGATGTTTCGTGAATTGAAACGCGTTGGATTAGTAGGGAGAGGGTGATTGGACATACAGTAAAAGGTCACACCCGTCAAGAAAACGAGACTCGGCAGCGTTGGCCGGAGGCGCGTCGGGGTCAACGAAGCTGCGCTGAGGGAGGCCATTCGGACTAGTAGCGACAGCATATAACACACAAAGCTTCCTCTTTCTCGACCGTGCGATTGCACTATATAGTTTTTTCATATCATAAGTATCGGAAAAAATAGGACTATTCAATCAGGATATTTACTTACCTGCATTCTGCCCGCTTGGATTGCAGAAGCTTGGTGCGGTCGCCGGGCACGACCTCAGTCATAGCATCGACCACCGCGACATCCGTTTTTCATGAAAACGAATGTCTCTCCAGGGTTAATGAGATATCTGGAGATGAAAGTAGTATTTTAAATTGATGAAAGTGATGGCGTCGTGGTGTATTAATTGAATTTTCTCCTGGTGGTTATGAGTAGAAAGTCCATTTATTAAATTTTTTCCTTCTCTTTTTTGGCGTTTGGGGTCGACGTCGCAATGCACTACAATCTACAGTTACAGAAGGGATAGAAGGGTCAAGTTCAATTGTTTAGTGGATATAGGGACATATTGATAGACCTGAAGGGCTTTGATAGAGACATGATAGGGATATGATAGGCCTAAAAAATTTAGAAGCTTCGACACCTAAGTGATGGCCCGCCCGGGGATCATGGAAGGGACCAGGTTCTACATAGTAACCTTGGAACATACATACATTAGGTATGTAGGACTCACTGTGCTGTTGCCACTTCCGGGTTAACTGCACTGCTTGTATGTAGGTATGCAGGTAATGCAGGTATCTACAAGTACCTCTAGTTAATCTCTGTGCAGCTTTGAAGGACCCTAGGGCGAATACTCTTGCCTGTAGGTAGAGAATTGAATTTTACAATGTAGTATTGTTGTTAGTCGCGACTGAGGATTTTGCGGTACGGAAATACATAGTTACATGCACAAGAATGCAAATTTTGTAGGTACAAATGGAAATCATGGAAACACCCAGTGTTCATTTGCAGAATTGCCCCTCCTTCCATTTTTCCAATCAGAACAGATACTTATCGGGTCTCGGCTTCAACTGAACTAACTCAGAAATACATAATACATCAATGATATATACAGTATTATACATAGTAAAGTCAGAATAATTAAAAACCTCGGACCCGGCTTATTCACCGACTGATTTCTATGCAAATTTCAAGCGGTCTAGATGGTGCTCTCTTAGAAGAGCATAAATTAATACATAATGGAATTCCAGAGCACCAGTGAAGCTGAGTTGAACTAGTAATACCTAGGTACTAAAAGTACATCGGACTCCAGAGTCGGCACGGGATACTATCGTAAAATGCTAAGCCACACAGTCACTAGCCACATAAGCACAGCCTAGTCATGTGGGCCCTGTTCAAGGTTCAACACTAATAATTCTAGGTTGACGTCGCATTTCAAAGCTTCCAAGTTGAAACTCCCTTTGACTTTACGTCGCATTTCAACTCCCAAATCCTTCATTTATCCTTCACCATCTTCTTTTTCACAAACATGACTGAACCAGCTCCGAGGATAGCTATCAAGTTTGGCACATCCTCCTCGTCATCGAAGCCAACCAACGGAGCAAAGAAACACCAGGCTCTTCCACATCCACCATCTACACTAGGCAAGCGTGTTCGGCCACGCCATGCGCTTAACAACGACTCAGATTCTGGCAGCGACGACGAAACCCAGAACGGCAAACACCAAGTAGTGACAACCATTGGTGAGGATTGGATTGGGTCTGATGCGAAGAGACGGAGCGTGAAAACAGATAAGGCTACGGGAGCCAAAACGCCCTACGTAATCACTGGTCACACGAATCGCGACTGGAAAGCGGAGTTAAAAGGAAAGAAAGTCGTCAAAGATGGATCGCCACACCGAAAGGGGACGCCATCTCACGATTTCGTAGAAACGGAGCCAGCCGATAAGGACAAGCAAGTCAAATGGGGCTTAATGGTGACCAAGAAAACGACACAGGCCAACACTGAAGAAACAGATGAGATACGATTAAACGAACAGCAATCTACTTCAATCGAAACTGCGACGAATCCTGAAGATAGCAAACATGATGGTCCCCAAAATCGTGATATTGAAGAAGGTGATGCCATGGATGCCCTGCTCGGCAAGAAAAGGAAGTCTGCAAAAGAATTGGTTATCGAGGACACATCAAAACGCAACATGTCTGTTGCCCAATCCGAACAAGACGCCTACCGCCGCAGAATGGAGGAAGCTGCAAATGTTTCCACGATAGAAGAGTATGACCAAATTCCTGAAGGGGAATTTGGGGCGGCTATGTTGCGCGGCATGGGCTGGAACGGCGTGGAGCACGGTTCGAAGCCTAAAGAAGTCAAGAAACGATCGCATTTGATGGGGCTTGGTTCAAAGGAGGACGAGGAAATTAAAAAGGGAGAATTAGCCCGAAAAAATGGGCATCGTGAGCGAAAGCCCCGACTCAACGAGTATCGTAGGGAGAAAGATAAGGAGAGGCGGGATCGTGATGAGCGCCGCGGCGACAGCTACAAATCAGAACGTGAACGCGAACGACAAAGCCACAGCCATAGTCATAGCCACCGTGATAGGGATCGGAACAACCATAGACTTCCTGAGCGAAGCCACAGACACTGAGAAGTAGCAGTCATTACTTTTCTACCCCCCTCGAAAAGATGTAAATCGTGGCTTTTGGTCATACTCTTACCCTACAAATGCCCTCACTACGTCGCCGATTCCAAAGGCCCTTAACGATCATATCATCACGGCCCAGTTTTCTTCCTCCAAGATGTTGGATGTTCGGGGTGGATTCTTGAGTGCATACTAGGAGAGGTAAACCAAAATCACCCACGGCCCTGATACCCAATAATATAACTTGGAATAGGAGGCTATTAAATCAAGAATTGGGTCAAGAAGCTAAATAGCCACCTAACTACCTAGTCGCCGTCAGGCATCCTGCTTAGCCTGTTTAATAGAGGACACAGTAGTAGGTACATATCCAATGATAAATACACTCACAAAACTAAACACCTAATATGTACGAGAGTGGCGCTGACGTTGAACCATTAGACATCGCGAAATTCGGGATAACTGATTATAGTCACTTGTGTTCTGTTGGCCGAAGTCCAAAATAAACGTACCTAAAACTAACCACAGGTACAGCTACATAATAAGAGGAATTTTCTCTTCCCCCCCATATTTTAACTAGCTTCAATTTTGAGGACGACGGCTTGCACGCAGACTGCGCGCTCACCTCAAGCCATAGTTGATCTATTCAAGACTGGGTAATGATTCAGAGAACAAGCTAATACTAACTAGTCATGTATTGTTTGCTTGTGTCAATCATTCTCTCGGCTGTTATGGGTGTGAAGCAAGCATGTGAGACTACTATTGGGTTTACCCCTTTTCTAGATAATTACCTAGAAGGTATTAATGTCCTAAGCGTGCTTAACGCTGCTTTGAAGAGCTCGTGCGCTACAACTAGTCTGCTAATGTAGTATCGACCAGCGGACACTGGAGTGACTGGACAGGATAATTTTGATGCCAAGTTACCACTTGAGAGGTGGGTATGTACGTATATCGGCCTCTACTATGAGCTACCTGCATCGTACAGGTGTTCATGTAATTTCCCAGCTGCGAAGAATGTATATTCTCTAGCTAGGTATAGTTATAGTATTATTTGAAGATATTGTTGAGATATCAAGGTAATGGTAATTAGATAAATGTAGGTTCTTAACTGTTCTAATCTTGCTCACCGTTTGAGGGTTGAGTTACCAGGTATTGAGGCCAGGTATGAGGCCAGGTATGAGGCCAGGTAAATAGGCTTAGGTAAGAAGAAAAGCAGGGTCTAAACCTCGATAAAAGAACATTCTTAGTGCGTACTACTAGCACCTACCTAGTAGCTTGCTAGGGAGCTGCTAGGGATTTGCTAGGGATGGTAGATTAAGTAGGTGGGGGTTTCACGTTTGAAGCTCTAGTGCAAGAATATACTCCACTATTATTACAACGGAACGGCAACCGACGTGGCCCTAGCTTAGATATCCAGCCACTCAGAGGTATCAATTCGCATAGGGGTTATGCAATTTTGGGGAATTAGAGGCAAGGCGGTCTGTGAAAGTGGGTAACTCTTCCTTGCAAGAATCTCCCCCCCCCGAGGCTTACGACAGATTAAAAAAAAAAAAACGACCTCGATGGTTTTCCCACAAATTCTCTTACCTCACATACTGAAACCTACAAAAGACAAAAAAGACATTCTATCTCCAAGTCTGCTAGAGCCAGCACCCATTGGCTTTGCAGCTTCAAGATGTCGAAACCTCTAAGTGTCAATGGGAGCGAGTCTGAGTTCGAGTTCGTCGAAACTCCAAAAGCTCCTACTCCTACTTTTGAGAAGTTTGAGGAATGCGGTGTGCGAACTACCTCGGTATGTGTTTATGTCTTTGTACACGTTTTACTTACCACACCAGCTTTCATTACCTACCTACTAGGTAGATAGATTGCTTGCTCAAACTTCTCGAATTCACCAATATTGAGTATATCTGAATATATCGACTGACAACTATCTTTTACAGTACCCGTCCATTAAGAATGGCCCTCTCCCAGCAGACTCGGCGGGCTCTGAGAGCTTCTCCAATCTCCTGCTCTTTTCCTTACTCGGTGGCGTCCCGCTCTGGATGTCCTGGAAAGTTGGAGGCGGACTAAAGACAGCCATATTCTTTGCCTTGTTCACCAGTATTCCTATTCTAGCTGGTTTCTGGCTTACCGTCTCTTCTATAAGCCCTCGAAAGAACGAGAAGGCTAAATATCCCGGACGACCGGTTGAGCACTACCTTACCTTCAAGAAGCAATCCGATAAGCTCAAGTATCATGGCAGAAACAAGATCCCTTTGGAGACCTTCTATGAGATGTATTTTGACGGAGATGTCGACTTCAACGGCGACTGTCTCGAGGTTCTAGAATACAGACACGACTGGGCGAGCTTCCGCTTCACGTGGGGTCTCTGCAAGTACTTCCTCTTTGGCATGATGCCGGAGGTTATCATGCATTCACGAAGCCAGGGTAAGAATCTACAATGATTCCTATTTAAAGAGGACTTTTAGCTGACTTTACCAAAGACGAGGAACAGGTCCGTGAACATTACGACCGTGGTGATGACTTCTACGGCTGGTTCTTGGGCCCCCGTATGATTTACACTACTGGTGTCATTTCGGATATCAACAGCGAAGAAACTCTAGAACAGCTCCAGGATAACAAAATGGCCATTGTTTGCGAAAAGATCAACCTACAAGAGGGCGAGAGGCTGCTGGACATTGGTTGTGGTTGGGGTACCCTAGCACGCTTTGCCAGTGTCAACTACGGCGCTCACGCTACTGGTATTACTCTTGGCCGCAACCAAACTGCCTGGGGCAACAAGGCTCTCCGCGATGTTGGCATTCCCGAGGAACAAAGCAAGATTCTGTGCATGGACTACCGAGATATCCCTGTGCCGGAAGGCAAATACCACAAGATCACCTGTCTGGAGATGGCTGAGCATGTCGGTGTGCGCAAGTACGGTACCTTCTTGAAGCAGGTTTACGACATGTTGGATGATGATGGTGTTTTCTTCCTGCAAATCGCTGGTCTCCGAAAGCCTTGGCAATACGACGATCTTATCTGGGGTTTATTCATGAACAAATACATTTTCCCTGGCGCTGACGCTTCAACACCCCTCGACTTCTTCGTTGGCGGTCTAGAAGGTGCTGGCTTTGAAGTTAAGGGAATCGACACCATTGGTGTGCACTATTCCGCGACTATGTGGCGGTGGTACAGGAACTGGCTAGCCAACCGTGAGAAGGTCGAGGCTAAGTATGGAAAGCGATGGTTCCGCGTAAGTTTCCAACGCTTGATTATATGGAGATGGAGCTTGCATTTGCTAACAAACAATAGATCTGGGAATACTTCCTGGCCATCTCTACTATTGCTTCGCGACAGGGAACTGCCACCTGCTACCAGATTGTTCTGGTCAAGAACATCAACTCGACCCACCGCATTGAAGGTGTGCAGACTCAGTTCGCCTTGACCGGTGCCCTCAAGAAGGCTATGGCGAAGGTGGATCTCAAGGCATGGGCTAAGACTAATGCCGACCACTTTCCTACCTCGACGGCACAGTAAGGTAGGAGAAGGCGAATAACGAGAGTCTATCACACTAGGCTATTACTAGGCCAGTCTCCCAGGTAATAGCAAAGCAGTACCAACTCATCTGCGAGCAGATTTGATGCTACAACTTTGCACGGCATGGATGATGAGGGTATCGGTGGAGATGCTAGTAGTGGCTTGACACAGGCGCGAATATGGACAGAAATACAAAGATATGTGTCGAATAATGGAGGGCCTGGAGGTGAAAAGGGGGCGAGGACATGATGCTGTTAATATTGAGGGAGGGTACCTCGAATGTGTGAATGAGTGGACGACAAGTGAGTGGGCATAATGACTGAGTTACGTAGTTAACGTAGTTAATGTTGATACTTGTCTTGTTATCCATGAATTACCTACTGGTAGCCGCTTCATTGGTATGATGTACTCTATCTGATGAGAATTTCAGGGTTGTTCTACTTAAGTGCATTGCAACATTGAGTTTAGTATGTACATACTAGTATGATACTACAGGTGAGTGTGTTTAACGTTATGCATAAATACCTAGGTGCAGATTAGTGTGTGAGGCTAGGTGCAGTGTAGATTAGGCACATGCAAGTATGAGAGGTGAGAGGCAGCCATTGAGTTTTGTCTCTACTTTTAAACCTTGTACTGGCAGTCAGTGTCAGTCACCAGTGGCAGTTGAAATGCACCGCTCAATCAATTGAATACCCAAGGGGTACAACAGTACATATGGTACCTAAGCTCGGGGCATCGGGCCCAAGCCATAATTGGACGAGATTTGAAGTCCCAAGGTTGGCAAGGTTGGCTGGTACAACCAAATTAATGCCAAGCCACTCCTTGTCCCATTCTACTTGATTTCCTTACTCGAGCTGCTTCGTCATCTGCAACCAACTTTCTGATCTTTTTCTTTAACAACAACCTACAAACATTATCGTCGAAGAAGCACATCTTGGTCCACTTGGACCTATGTATCTTTGCACTTAGCGACTTAATTCTCCATACTCATACTTGATTTGCTTTTGCTTTTTCTTTCTTTTTCTTCATACTCTGATTTGCTGTCGCCATGTATTCCAACTCCAATTCGTTCATGGGCGGCAATAGTTTTCGTCCTGGTCAACAGCAATATGGCAATACTTACGGGATGGGGGCCGGTGTTCCAGGTCAACAGCCTCAACCTCAACAGCCTCCTCCAGGACAGCAGCAGCCAGGCCCCTTCGTACCACAGCCGACAGGTTTCGGTCAAGCTCCCCTCCAGCAGCAGTATACAGGCTACCCAGGTGCTCAGAATCTACAACCACAGCAAACCGGTATGCCGCAACATAACCCAGCACTCGTAAATCTCCAATCCCAGATGACTGGGTTCCCAGGCCAAGCCCCTCCACAGCAGAGCTATCAGACAGGCGCTCCTCCTCCAGTGCCACAAATCCCCTCACAATTCCAGAGTCAATACAATCAGCAGCAGTCGCAAAACTCCTTTTTGTCGCCAAATACGCAAGCCCCCCCTGCTTCTGCGCCGGCTCCAGCACCGGCTCAACCAATCCAGGCTCAGCCAACAGGCTTCAGCGCAATGGCTGCTTCTTTCAAGACTGGCGGTGCTGAAACTCAACCTACAGGGCGAAGGGCACAAAAGCCTACAAACAAGATCCCGAACATCCGCTTATCCTTCATTACGGCCCAAGATCAGTCCAAGTTCGAGACGTTGTTTAAGTCGGCTGTTGGTGATGGAATGACAATGTCTGGAGAGAAGGCTCGGGATTTGCTATTAAGATCAAGATTGGATGGGGATTCGTTGTCGCATATCTGGTATGGCGCCTCATCCTCGCTTCTTTCCAGTCAATCATCTAACCTTTTACCACAGGACACTCGCGGACACCACTCGATCAGGCGAGTTGCACTTCCCAGAATTTGCATTAGCCATGTATCTCTGCAATTTGAAGATGGTAGGCAAAACTCTTCCTGGAGGTCTGCCAGAGAATATCAAGAACGAAGTTTCGAGCATGGTCGATATCATCAACTTCAGTATCGCAGAAGAAGCCGGAAGCTCCGCGAATGCTCCCAACACAGCGGATTTCACTAGACAGAGTACTGCGACTCCACCGACGATACAACATCCCCAACCTGTACAATCCAACTCCCAGCTGCTACAGGCGCAGTTAACTGGGTTTCCCGGCCAAGCAATGCAGCCTCAACCGACTGGATTTCCCGTAGGTATGATCAACTCACAACCAACTGGATACAATGGGCCAAGACCGCCCATGCCACCCATGCCTACGGGCTTCCCTGGAGGATTGTCACCCGCAGGCATGGCTCCTCTCAATGCGCAGCCGACCGGACAACCTGGACAATGGGGTCTCGTAAATGCTCCTGCAACTGGGCTTCCTAACATTGACGCACTACACGCCCGAATGATGCCGCAAGCAGGTCGCGAGCAACAGAATTACACTACCGCTGGGTTATCTGGCAACGCGGTGATTCCCTGGGCTATCACAAAGGACGAGAAGACTCGGTATGATCAACTGTTCCGAGCGTGGGATGGCCTAGGCAAAGGCTTTATTATGGGAGACCAGGCCATCGAAATCTTTGGCCAGAGCGGTCTTGAGAAAATTGACCTCGAGCGAATTTGGACACTTGCAGACAACGGAAATAAGGGAAAGCTTAACTTGGATGAGTTTGCGGTAGCTATGCATCTCATTTACAGAAAGCTAAACGGCTATCCTGTTCCCAATGTTCTCCCTCCCGAGCTCGTTCCGCCCTCCACTCGCAATTTCACCGAGTCCCTCGGCACGATTAAGTCCATGTTAAACCAGGAGTCGGATTTCCGCAAGACGTCAGGGGCTTCATTGCTTCCTCAAAAGACAGGTGTTAGCTACCTAAAGAGTCATTCGTTCAGGGGTACCGCCGCAGGAAGGAAAGATGCGACCGTATTCAAGAATAACGACGATGACGTTGGATACAGATCGAGTGCGCGACGCAGGATCGGTAACCATTCGCCTCGGCCAGAATCTCCGTCGTCCGTGACATCCAATGACGAGCTTTCTCTCGACCAGTTGAGAAAGAAGATTCGTGAAAAGCAGGTTCTCCTAGATGCAATGGACTTCAAGGACGAAGCGGCCAACGAAGAGGATGATATTCTTGATAGGCGCGATCGCCGGGAAGCTGAAGAGCTTTATCGTCGCATTAGACGCATACAAGATGATATCGACGCGCACCCGGATGCGGCTCTTGCAAGCGGCGATTCCGACGCCGAAAGGAGAGCTCTAAAGCGCCAGCTACAAAATCTGACTGATAAAATCCCAGAACTAGCTTCTCAAGTTAGAAAAACCGAAAAGGCCATTGCCGACGCGAAACTTGAACTTTTCCGACTCAGAGATGCCAAGGCTCATCCTGGTAGCGCCTCGAACATTATCGGTACCGGGCCAGGTGGTTCAATCACCGAATCCGACCGCCTCAAGGCTAGGGCTAAAGCTATGATGCAGCAAAGGACCGCTGCACTTACAGGCAAGAAGGTGGACATCGGTAACGACGACGACGACGCACAGAAGCGAATGGAAGAAGAGAACCTCAAGATACGAACTGAGAAAGAGAACAATGAGCGCATGGTTCGTGACGTGGAAGACAGCGTCCGCGAGTTCTCGCGGGGTATCGAAGATAACCTCAAGGAAGGTAGCCAAACTTCAGCCAACGAACACGAAAAAAGGAGATGGGAAGATGCTCTTGGTGTTGAAGATGAGGTTCGGGATTTTATCTTCGACTTGCAGCGTTCGAGTCGGGCGACCCGGATCAGAGCACAGGACCGCCAAGGCGGGCGAGCGTCCACAGCCGAACCTGTGAAAGCAGAGGCTCCCCCAGTTCGGGTTGATAGTCCCTCGGCAACTCGTACTGCAACGCCTCCAGTCAGCCGGTCCCCCGCGCCTGGCGGCGGGTCATACGCATCATATAAAACTCCTGAAGAGAGAGCAGCGTTCATCAAGCAACAGGCTGAACAACGTATGGCTGAACGTCTAGCGGCTCTTGGGATTAAGACACCCTCTAAGCCTGGAGAGACTGCCGCCCAGCGAGTGGAACGCGAAAAAGCAGAAAGGGCGGCTAAACTCCGCCAAGCTGAAGAGGAAGATGCACGACGCGAAGCTGAGCGACAGGCGCGCATTGCTGAGGAGCAAGGTGTTCCTCCTCCTGTAGCCAAGAAACCACCTCCACCACCTTCCAGGAAGGGTGCCAAGAATGAAGATGCCCGGAAAGCTGATGAAGAAGGAGATGCTAAGAAGGCCGAAGAAGAGCGCCTATCGAAAGAGCACGAGGCACAACAGCGGGCGACCCAACAGATGGAGTAAGTACATCGCTTAAGTCTTTATCCCTTAACTTCTATTCGCAGATTACTAACCTTTGGAAACAGAGATGAGGCCAGACAACAGGAAGATGAACTTGCTCAGGAGCGTAATGCTGCATCTGCGCGTCTCAAGGCCTTGGAAGAACAAGTGCGCCAAGGCAAGCTCAAGAAAGAAGAGGAGAAAAAGAAGAAGAAGGCTGCTGTAGCCGAAGCAAAGGAGAAGGAGGCGAAATTGGCTGCTCAACGAGCTGAGATTGAAGCTGCTCGCCAACGAGAACTCGAGCTTCAGCGACAACTGGCAGCCATGGAGGACGAAGATTCCTCGGATGATGATGAAGGGCCACAGCAAATCACTCCTCAGGCATCCACTCCCACTATTGGTAGCAGTCAGCTAGGTAGCCAGGAGCTAGAGCGGAAGGCCACGCCGCCACCCCCTGCCCCTGCAGTCTCCGTGGTGTCTCCTCCTGCCATCGCCAGTCCGCCATCCGAGACGGAGAGCCGCAACCCCTACCGCCGTATGCTATCACAGTCTTCAGAGCCTTCGGTATCTTCGCCTCCTGCTCCGCCAACTGCTCCCACTCCGTCCGCACCACCGCCTCCCCAACCAGAGGTTTCTACGAACCCCTTCTTCCGTATAACCCAGGAATCTAAAGCGCCCCCAGCTTCTAGAAAGCGACCCGACACGGACGACGAATGGGGTTCCGGAAATGAAGAAGACTCGGACTCGGACTCGGACGATGACCGCCCTGCTGCTGGTGCTGCGCAGTTGGCATCGCTACTCTTTGGTTCCATGGGACCCCCTCGACCTCTATCAGCCGCAGGGGACAAATCTACTGTCGCATCACCAGCTGTGTCTTCCGCTCCATTTAGCCCTCCCCCTGTTGCGCCAATTGGAGAAGCAGCTGGATCTCCAGCAGCTCCCCCGCCACCCCCGCCAATGCCAGAAGGAAGCGCGATCAGCGGTGCGCCGCCGCCGCCGCCGCCTCCAATGCCAGGCTTCGGAGCTCCAGGAGGACCCCCTCCTCCTCCACCGCCGATCCCTGGTCTAGCTCCCCCTCCGCCACCACCGCCACCGGCTGGAGGTGATATGCCACCTGCTCCATCTGGCGGTGGCAAGCCGTCCGGATTCCTAAGCGAGATCCACATGGGCAAGGCTTTGAAGAAGACGCAGACGAAGGACAAGAGCGCTGCAAGTGTGGCGGGCCGAGTCTTGGATTAGGGTAAGAGAATTAAGCGGCCCTTCACTAAAGACGCTACCTGAAATCACGATCACGCACACGTTGTAGAGTTGGGGATGGGGTTGATTAGATTGTATGATTGAGTGTTATCTTATACGCAAGATGTCTTCCATTGGCTTGTAGCCTTAGCTTGCAGCACATTACCATCAACTCTGCTTACGAGTATGGGTAGAAAGATCGATTTCGCATGTTGAATAATAGTATATTGAATAACAGTATACTCTTTGTAACCTGTAGCCAGTGCGTTTTGATTCTACAATGCTACGAGAATTATTCGGACACGAGATGTGTTCTATTTATAGGATACTCATTACCCCCTAAACAGGTAGGTATCTACCTACATAATACATTATCACTTGTACATCTAAGTGGGCGCCGTCCACGATATATTGAGTTGAGCATTACTAAACAATAACACAATTATCACAAGGATCGTCGTCTACATTCTTTTAGGTTCGGAATTAGTCTTCTATTTCCGCCCTGACCCACTACTGTACCTTACAAAGTCCCTAGGCACCTGCATAGGCGACGTCAGATCAGACGACACACAACTTAAACTGTTATGCGTGCCAAGCCGTGAAATAAGGGTAGCAGCTAATCGACTTGGGAAACCCCCTGGATCATCGGATACTGGGTGATGGGATTTTATATTTGTCAGCGGGCCCTTTTGTTTTGGTTTCTTTTTGAAATATCTTTTAATAATCAGGTATGTACTAACCTAGGTATAAGAGTGGCATACATATAAGGCTTCGATGCGGGGGGCGAAGAGTTCGCTATGTTGGTGAACCTCCCAGAGCTATTAGGTACCTAGGGTAGGCAACATCTCAGACACTAAACACCTAGCCTAGGTTAGAGACTTGAAGAAGTCCTAGAATATACCTATATATATATATATATATATTACACCTGCCTAGGATATCCCCCCCCCCCCAAAAAAAAAACAGTGCCTAGGTACCTTATCAGCCACCATGACGGACCCATCAACCCCCCCATCCGTCCTCATCATCGGCGCCGGCGAGCTCGGCACCGCCGTCCTCGAGGCGCTGGCCAAGCACCCCAAGCGCAACGGCGGCAGGATCGCTGTTTTGCTACGCCCGCCTACCACCACCACCATCACTGATGACCCGGCGAACAAAAAAGCAAAGGTAGTAGAACACATACACTCGCTAGACGCCACCCTCGAAACAGCCGACGTGGCAACGGCTTCCGTCGCGGACCTCGCCGCCGTGTTCGCTCGCTACGACGTCGTGGTCGCGTGCGCTGGGTTCGGGTTGCCTGCTGGCACGCAGGTGAAGGTTACGCGGGCGGCGCTGCTGGCTGCGTCGGCGGGGAAGAGGATGCGGTACATCCCGTGGCAATGGGGCATCGACTACGACGTCGTCGGCCAAGGCAGCGCGCAGGATCTGTTCGACGAGCAGCTGCAGGTGCGACAACTCTTGCGGTCCCAGTCACAGCTAGGCTGGACGATCGCATCGACGGGCTTGTTCATGAGCTTCCTCTTCTTGCCGGCCTTCGGGGTCGTGGATATAAAGGGGGAAACGGTTAGGGCGTTGGGGGGCTGGGATAGGAAGATTACGCTTACGGCTGCGCGGGATATCGGGAGGATGGCGGCGGTGGTTGTTTATGAGCCCCGCGGCGAGGAGGAGGAGGAGGGGGTGGTTTATGTGGCGGGGGATACGGTCACGTATGCGCGGGTTGCGGAGTTGGTGGAGGGGAGGTTTGGGGGGGAGTGGAAGAGAGAGGTTTGGACTGAGGAAGGGTTAAAGGAGAGGCTAAAGGAGAATCCGGAGGATGGGATGCTCAAGTATGCGAGTGTGTGGGCGAAAGGGGATGGTGTGGCGTGGGAGATGGAGGAGACGCTGAATAGGAGGCGCGGGGTCGAGATGATGGGGTTGGAGGGATATTTGAGGGAGATGGCGATGGGTGATGTTGAATAGAGAGTTCCGAGAGCCTCGATAAAAGCTTCACAACTGTTAGACATGGACTTACATGAAGTTGAGATTCAGGGGTTATATTCATAGGTATAACAGGTTCTCCGACCTCAGCCCTAGATCATCACTGATGCGCTCCTAGGAACTTCCAATCTCGAATACCTATGAGCCAAGGTCATGCGTACACGTAGTCTTTGAAATCTGCACTTCCCCTATCACTATGGCCCTGCGGCACGGTGATGCGGTATCATTTACTTTCGCGCACAGCGCCGCAAAGACACGTCGCTAGCCCTGTCGAGGTTTCTTCCTTTTCATACCTACATGATACCGTGACTAAGGAGATTCATCTCTTGATATTGATCAATTCTCACATCCCTGTGAGAATCATTCGCAAGATGCGGCACCTACCTACGTGAATGTTCCATAGGATACCTACTGGTATTCCGTAAGGCGTAGCATACATGGTACAACGCATGTGGATAAGGAAACTAACTTGGCTAATGGGTTATGAGAGGATCCTGGTGAGTATGGCTCACCTCTATACAGATAAATATTAGTTGGGCTCCCCGTTGTTAATACCTAGGGAGAGGTAGGCTACGGTTACGATATATCGCGATCTCAACTGAAGTCCTTCTTTCCGCATCGCTCCATCCCGTCTATCTACCCACCCACACCATCATCATCACCTCCACCATGCGACTCTCATCCTTCACCTCCATCCTCGCCCTCGCCGGCGCCCACTTAGCCTCCGCTAGCATATCAACAGCCACGGCCACAGCAACGAAGACGGCTGTAGTAGTCGTAGTCGGCACCAGGGTGATCGAGTACCCACCGACTACCGTGCCGAAGGAGACAGTCCACACGGCGGAATGGGAGATGATATCAGAATCTGAATGGCCTACGGCACCTGCGTGTTCGAAGACGGGGGTCTGCTATGGCAAGGAGGTCGAGTGTTCGGGGACCAAGACGCTGCTCCAGAGGTATGGTGATTCGATGTCTTGCCACAAACCTTGATCTATTGCTTTTTTTTTTTTTTTGCTAATGAGAACGATTACGGATATAGTTGTGGTATTCAATGCACTCAAACAGCTGCTCCGACAACCTGGACTTGTTAGGGGTAGGTACCCAGTAGCCTATGCTTTCTTTGGCTTAAGGGTACAACGGCATACAAATATAAAACCACTTATTAGTCTCTCGATATAAAGCATCAAGTACGGATCTGAATGGAGTGGAACTAAAAGTACTCTGCATATGAATAGCTCGGCTCGGTTATCTGGTTTACCGTAGCTATTCCTGGCTTGTGTGATGTACGGAATAGTGACACATCTGGATCTAGATGCACATCTTGGCAATTCTTCACTGGCGCATCATGAATAACTACAGCATTGCTATCCACGTCTTCTCTTCCAGTGTCTAACTACCTAGGTACACATGTGTAAGCGCATCCGTATGGTTAACAGGTTAATATGTGCCCCTACCTAGCAGAGTTCATCAACCGCTCTTGAAATAGACACATACACTTATAGTCTCCGAGCCCCATCAACTCCCAGACATCGCGTGCGTGTAGTGCTAGCACTACAGTAGGGTTGCGACAAAACACCATGGCGATCCCACGGCTTGGCTCGATCTGAGGCCCTTGGCGGCAAGTCTTGGCAGATGCTGCAGCAAGATTCATAACCGGATCTCATAGTGAAAGGGCAGCATCAGATCCTAGATTAGAGTAATTTTTTTAGATGCTTGATCAGATCTTTTGAGATGAGGGGGTTTCGTTTGTTTCTGGGGTAGAAAATGTGTGTCAGATGCCTAGGCTGGTAGTCAGTAACTATCGGTATCTACATGTTCATCCGAGATCTCGAATCTCATAACTATCATAAGAAACAACCTACTCCCCCATCTCGACATACTATCTTCTATTTTTTTTTTTCGTCAGCTGGTCTTCTTCATCCTAATTTACATTATAATATATATAGTTATTTTTTTTTAAGAAAGTGCACAGGTGCACTATATCTTCTCTCCTTTGGCTACCTACACAACATCTCACCTCCACAACTAACTATCTACCAGCTCGAAACCCCAGCCGTCTATATACCTACATCACCCAGCATACACCCAAGACAAACACATCACATCAAACACCTATTTCCAAGATAAGAAAAGAAAGACACAATGAAGTCCGCCCTCGCCCTCCTCCTCACCACCCTCGCGGTCCTCGCCGCCGCCGCCCCTCTAAACATCAACCTGGGCGCCTACTCGCCTGCCCTGGTAGTCGGCGATGGAGCCATCGGGTTCCACGGCGAAGAAGCAGAAGGAGGAGGAGCGGCTGCCGCGGAAGGTGCAGCAGCGGCTTAAATCAAAATCTCTTCTGGGTTGAAAACCCGAAAAACCAAAGAGACGACTCGAAGCACAAAAATTTACGAAAAAAAAAAATAAATAAATAAAACAACGAAACGGGCCGGGCGGTTTATGGATATGTGGTTACCCCGTTGCTATGCTATGCAGCTAGCAGTCCGTTTATACAGAACACGACGATGTCCCTAGCGCAGGATATTGTTGGTGTCGTGGGGGTTGTTCAGACATCACGGGAGGAGCAGATGCGAGGATTTCGGTAGTAATACCTATTTATCTATATGAGGAAAGCTATGTAAGATGAAGGAATCCAAGAGGGACAAGATCGTGTGTGTGGGGGGGGAAGCTTGTCGAGCACAAGAGATAATGCCAAGCGATGCCGAGAAAAGGAGAGTCGAGATCGTTTCACCACTGCTACCACCACCACTGCGTTTCGTCTCAGCCTGTTTAAATCTCTCTCTCTCCGTTTAAAGTCTTCAGATATAATAAATGGCCCTTCTAGGAAACTAAAAATAAATTGCTTCTTCATACTCTAGTGAATCGTTTCAAGTCTGCTTTTCCATCTCTAGATTTCTAGCTTCGTCCTTCTCGCCTCCCGCCATCAATAGGGGTCGAGTATCATTTGAGTGTTATTAGATGCCAAATTTAGCACATGCAGCTGTACATATAGATAACATGTCGTATCGCTGTAACTATTCAATCAGATTTAGGCTATATTAGATATATATCTAGGTAGAGGTGAACGACGTTCACCTAGGTATCAATGTTTCTTCTTCTTCTTCTTATCCTCCATATAACAAACCTCCACATCTACTAGGTATCTATCCGAACGTCGCTCTACATAAATGGTATCTTAGATCCTCGTCGATCTCGAATAATAAAAAAGGGGGTTAAAACTCGAGTTAACGCCAACATCCCTATTTTTACCCCCATGCTGACGCTAATATATCCAAAAAAAAAGGTCCCGTGGTGCCTAATAATAATATACCTGGGAGTTAGACAGTCAACCTGCCTAGGTAATCACTGGGATGCATTCCCCTCGCTCTCCTCCGTATGGTGCACATCCCCCGCCTTATGCGCCACAGGGTGCGTCAGGACGCCAGCCTCGGGATCGACAACTGCCTCGCCTCTAGCGGCAGCTTGCACGAGCTCCGGCTTCTCGGCCTTCAGCCTCTCGAACGTCTTCTCGGCGTCCCAGACCCAGGGCGTGGGCGCCGCGAACAGGAGATCCATCTCCTCCAGCGTGCGGCGGGCGGTTTCCGGGTAAAGCGCCCAGACGATGGGGATGGCGAGGATGTTGCACGCGCCGAAGATGTGGAGGGTTGCGGATCCGATGTCTGTTGGGCTTTAGTTAGGAACGTCCATATATAGTAAACAGGAAGAGTGGGTAAAATGAGAATAACGGCCACGGCTTACTTTGGAACATAATAGGGCACAAAAGACTCAACCACGCATTGCCAATAGACCACCCCACAACACCCCAAGCATTACCTTTAGCGCGGACCTGAAGCGGGAATATCTCGGCGGGATACAGCCACGGCACCGTCAACCACGTCGCGCCGAACACGGAGGTGAAGATGAAGACGAAGGAAGCCGCCGCCGCTCCGTAGGAATTGGCCTTGCTGATTTCGCCGTTGGCAGTTGCTTCTTGGCCCAGCTGGGAAAAGGCTCCGGCGAGGAACATGGCGACGCCTTGGCCGAAAGCGCCCCAGTAGAGTGTCCATCGGCGACCGATGCGGTCGAGGGTGAAGACGCAGATGAGGGTCGCGAACATGTAGAAGATGTCTGTGGTTCAAAGTTGGCAACTGATATTTCGCAGTTAAGAAGTTGAAAGGGGGGGGGGGAGACTTACTGTTCAAACCACTGATCCACTGGCTCTTAAACGTATCGAACCCAGCAATGCGGAAGATCGTAGGCGCGTAAATCGTAACTCCCGCAATCCCTACCCACTCCTGGATAATCTGCAGCCAAATAACCAGCTGCACGCGGCGGCCCGTGTGCAGCTCTCCAGAACCGATGCCAAACAGCATGTCGACGTACGAGTTCCCCTTGCTCTCATTCGTCTCGAGCTTGACAATGTTGCTGATATCACTCAGCTCCGCCTCGGCCCTCTCGCGGTCCTCGCCGGTGGACCCGCGCAGGCGGTGGAGAATGAAGCGGGCCTCCTCGACGCGGCCCTCCTTGACGAGCCAGCGGGGGGACTCGGGGAAGAACCAGACGGCGGCGAGGAGCACGAGCAGCGGAATTATCTGAAACGCGATGGGAAAGCGCCAACGGATGGGCGAGTTGCCGTTGTCGATGAAGGACAAGCCGAACTCGAGCCAGTAGGCGACGACAACGCCGAAGATGTTCAGCGTGAACTCTATCGCGATGAATTGCCCGCGGGAGGTGTGCTCTGCGGTTTCCGTTGCCCTGCGCGAGTTAGTATATCACATGATTAGATTCGGCCCTGTGCCACGCCCGTAGCAAACGAGTTGACAATGGGGTCAGCAATTTGACTCACCACACGGGAACAATCGCATTAAGAATCCCAGTCCCGATACCATTAACAGCGCGCGCGCAAATCATCCAGTTGTGGTTCATAGCCGAGCACTGCAGACTCGCGCCGATGATAGCCCACACCGCTCCGAGCGCGATGGTCTTGATCCTGCCGATCTTGTCGCCGATCCAGCCGCCGCCGAGGCAGCCAAACAGGGTGCCGAGGTAGTACACGGAGACGATGCCGCCCTGCAGCAGGCTGTCGGTGATGATGGGCTCCTCGGTGACGGGGTCGACGTGGCCGAAGCCCATCAGGTCGATGTAGTCCTTGGCGTTGTTGACGCCGCCCATCATGCCTTGGTCGTAGCCGAAGAAGAAGATGGACTGTAGAAGGTCAGTTGGCTTTTTTTGTCTTTTTCTTTTTTCTTTTTTCTTTTTTTGGGGGGGGCGTGGGAAAGGTGATGGAAGACAATGCGGGATTTGGGGCGCATTGAATTAGGGTAACACATACCAGCGCAGCGATGCAATTGACCGCGATGAGAAGCTGGCGCTTCTCGAGGAAGTTGGCGACATTGAAGCCGGGAAGTCTCTCCATCTTGTCTTGGCCCTTCTTCACATAAGCATACTTTGCGCAAAGTGTCTCTGTCTCGAATCTTGTCGGCGACAAGGATGATCGAGGTTTTCTCTTTCCAATCTCTCGATAGGGAGGGAAGAAGGGGAGGGAGGGAGAGAAAAGGAAGTGAAGAAAGGAAAGAGAAAGGAGTGATCTACACCTATATATACTAATGTAATATATACCTATATACCTATAGGTATTAGTACCTAACCCAGTAGTTGGTTAAGTTCAATGTTCAATGCTCACATTTTACCACGATCCTTACCCACGATCCTTCTCACCTTGCCTTGCCTTGCCGGTGTCTAACAAAGGCTTAACCACTCTGACGTAGTGACCTCCATAGCTAACCCCAGTAGTCCAGGAATTGTCTCCGGCTTTCGTCGTGTCTCGTGTCCGACATCGAACCGAGGGGTGGCAATAAGGTGCGTACTTTACCCATTACATGCAGGTTTAAGTAATAAGCATTGGGACGGGACCGTCAAAGAATGCAAGGTTGAGATGGGCTAAGCTCTGGAATGCCGTGAAACCCCGCAGGTATAGCATAGTACATCTACTAGGTATGTAGTTAACAAGAAGACAGACAGGGTCAGAGTTGGGGAAAACGAGGGGAAAAGACGTCCACGTCCCCCCGCTCCCCCCACGGACCTCTTCATACCTAACCTAGTAGTAGGCTAACCTAGTACAATACCTTAAACCATGTACGGGTCCTACCCCTTTTCTTTCTTTCTTTCTTTCTTTCTTTCTTTCCTTTCAACATTGATGAAATAAAATCTCACATAATAGTTAAATCTCAATCTTAAAGACTACCCTCGGGTTACTCAGTTAAGTTAGAGGCAATCCATTCGCTGATAACTAACTTATAGCCGCTCCAATCAAAGCGTGAGAATAAGCCGGGGAAATCTTATAGGGGCTTTTAGTATGTAGGTTGCCTAAAAGTAGTGCCTACTGAAGCCCTAACCCAGGTTAGAGGGTTCCAAGATTATTACTGCGCAGGTGATTTTCATATAGTTAGTTATTCATACCTATGGCTACCTACCTGAGCACATGGTAACTAACAAAACATAATCAAGACAGTAGTACAGCACAGCATGCGAGCAAAGTCAAGGGCTCCAGGGCTGGCTGGGGCTTAACCATGACGGACCACTAGACAGTTTAGACAACATGATGCCATTAGCTTAATAATTTCTCTCCTGAAATGTGAAGGAAACGAGACCAAGCAGGCCATCCGAGGTCGGGCAAAAGGAGCGAGAGTCACATGATGCATACCTACCTACCTAGGCACCTACATACCCCCTTAACGACATCAACAAAACCACGACAACTTTCGTGAAATATCCATACACCAAAAGGTGAATGCCTAATCGCTCATTACATGTCATGTCTCTTGTTTATATCACCAGTTATAGGTACCTAACAAAACAAAACGCTTCTAGTAAAACCCCGACAATTTATGATTTGGTTGGTACCTAATTAGTTTTAAGAGCTACAGACTAATAATAATATGACTAATAATAAGAATGAGCAGGAGCATGAGCATGAGACTGAAAACAAGAACGAGAATACAAATTAATATCTATAACTATTTCTTCCTTCTTAGCACCGCTCGCTCCTTCGCTCACTCGCCCCGCAAGTGTAGTTTACCCAGGTAGGTAGGTACGTAAGGTATTAGGTGTAAGTTGTAAGTTGTAAGTTGTAAGTTGTAAGTTGTAAGTTGTAAGTCCGCTCAATCATCACTGGATCATCCCCCCTTTCCCCCCTAACCCCAACACCATCTCCACCCCTCCTCACCCTCAGCTACACGTCTCCAACCCTAACCCTCCATCTCCATCTCCCCCTCCGCCTCCGTCCAAGTCCTCGACGGGTCGCGGTACCAGTTCTCCGGCGGATCGCCAAGACACTCTCCGAGCGTGACGGCACGGTACCCGCGGTCCTCGAGCGTCCAGAGCATGTGCGGCACGAGCACTTTCGCAGTCCACTCGCGGATGTCGTGGCACAGCACCACGTACGACCCGTTGCCGCGGCCGTCGACCGCGTCGTCGAACGTGCGCGCCGCCGCCTCGATCTCGGCCTCCGAGTTGTGCGAGTAGTCCTTCGTGTCCACGTTGTACAGCACGACGTGGTAGCCGAGCGCGCCCAGGTCCCGCTGCAGGCCCGGGTCGCGCCACTCCGCGAACGGCGGCCGCATGTACGTCGGGAACATGTTGATGATGCCGTTGAGCGCCACCTCGTTGTACAGCACCTCGTTGAACCGCTCCTCCGAGCTGAGGTTCGCCAGGTGCTGGTGCGTCCACGTGTGCGACCCGACCTGGTGCCCCTCGAACACCATCCGCCGCAGCATCTCCGCGTACATCGAGCCCCCCTCCTCGTCGATCCGCCGCCCTAGCATCTTGTTGTATCCCGTCACGAAGAAGGTCGCCTTGGCATCGTGCTTGGCTAGCTCGTCCAAGATGCGGTCCGTCCAGTACCACGGGCCGTCGTCAAAGGTCAGCGCCACCTGGCCGGGGTAGAGGCAAGTCCGTATCACCCCGTGGCCCCCGTACGGCACAATGCCGTGGTGGGGGCGCGGCGTGTCGTAAAAGGGCCGGCCCGCAGGTATGTCACTTTGTATAGGGTTAGCCGGGTTAGTACCTAGGTAGGCAGAGGTCCATGATGTGATATGAAAACGACAAACGCGGCGTGAGACCTACCCGAGCTTTCCCCTACCGGCAATCCGGGACACCTTACGCATCCCTGTCACGGTAGCATTCGGGGGGTTCTTAGGCTTGGGGTTCCAATGTTTACCTCCGTCACTAATCTCGCATGCAATCAAGACCAGGGCAGCGATGAGCATCACGATGGGAATGGCAATCAGGGTCTTGAGCATGTTGATCCCTAGCTTCTCCCATTCCGTCAACTTTCTCCGCTGCCTCTGTCGCGGCAGCAGCGGCATTCTTCGCTCCGACATCTTGAATGAATGCTTACTTGCTCGAAGCGTGCGAGCAAATAATAGGGCTCAAAAAGGATATAACTTCTCGTGTCAAATACCAGGAAACGTGAAAGTATACAAATCAGGTGACGAGAGAGGATCAACACTAGATAATTGCTAGTTAAGATATTGAGTGACTTCAAGGACTTCAGAAGATTATTGTGAGTGTATGCGTGTATTTATGTGTCTCTGTGTTGGGAAAGCCGCCATATGTCCAAGCTAGAATTCATGGCAGGCATTGACCATTTCATACTGTAGGTAGGTAGGTATCTGGCAGGTGCACAGTCTAAACTGCAACACTATGATTTACTATAGCAACTTCTCTAGGTAAACTGGCTCAATTATTCTCTTCAGGATGGTGTGGTCTGATGTATTGAACACTCTTTCCAGTTTTGCCTTTCCATTCCCCTCCCCTTACCTTCCCCCCCCTTTTCTCACTATTCCAACTAACACTACCCGAATTTTGTTGAAACTGATAGCTGTAGCTTGGAAAGGTACCGCAGAACTCGCGGAATTTCAAAAAAAAAAAAAAAGGGGGGGGGGGGGGGGGCTTAACCTTCGTGGCGGTTACTTTGAAGTACCTAGGTATATAAAATCCAACCATTGATTAGAGACATCGGACCACATACCCACAGACAGGCCATATGTCCAAGATAAAGTCCTAACCTTAGCTATTCTTTGAATAAGCCCTTCTGGATAACGTTTATATAATTTCATAGGTAGGTTATACCCCTGAAGCTAACGTAGTAAGCGGGAGGGCCGAGTCAAGGTTAGCTACGTATACAGCTCTCACTAGGGAAACTACCAGATACATCACATACAGCGTAGAGAAATCCATAGTGAAAATATTAATATTAAATTACTCCTCGGCCACAAGGGGCATAGAGGTTAAACGAGTATACCAAGGGAGTCTATTCCAAGACCCCCATCAATCTGTATACCCCATACCACAAGCGTGATAGCTCGAATCAGATGACTTTTCCATTTTCCCCAGTTATGCGCTGCAAGTTGGACACCAGCTAGGAGGCCTAGGTATACAAAAAACATTGATATCTACCTATGATAGGTATCTTTCTAACAAACCATCCATATAATAATCAAAGTAAATGCCAGCTTGCATCTGTTTTTACATGTGGAAACCGCCATCATGTATTTTCCCCCGTAATTATCGCCCCCACAAACGTTCCAAACCGGCTATGTCCTGGATATATGGGAAGAAAGAAAAGTAGAAGTGTAAGAAGAAACCACGCATGTGAATCCCAAGAGAGGATAAAAACCAAATGCAATTTCTTTTTGGAACGAAATCAAAAAATAGCAAGACTTTTAATCCTCTTCGGTCTGTGTTGCATTGCTAACAAACCCGTGTGGTATATGAGGCATGTGAGGCATATGAGTTATATGGGTCGGGTGGATGGGAACAGATCGTGGTACTTGCTGCATCTCGGGTGGTTGTTCTATCCAGGGCTCCTGTGCCACAGCAAAGTCTTGGGGGTGGTGAGTAGAATGAATGGGAGGATGCTGGCCGGTTTCTGGCTGTCTGTAGTTTTGTTGTAGGATCTCGCTGTCAGCTCTGGGGAGTGTGAGCCTACTTCCAGCAGGGGCCGTGAATGGCGTCATGTAGACTTCGGGATCCATCTGGTTCTCCTCATCAGGTACCAAGGTACCAACAATCTTCTCATTGTTGAGGACTGCCTCCTCGAAACGATCGTGTTGCGCTTGCGCATCGGCTTCTTCGGCTTCACCCGTCTCCGTTTCTTCGATGACCTTGCGAGTCTTACCCCAACCAAAGTTGTCCATGTAGATGATAGCGTAGAGTGTCACGCTAATGTTGAGGAAGGGGCCCAGCAAAGTAAACATGGCTAGACCGACGAGGAACTGACGCCGTTGGAGGGAGGTCTTTGTCAACCAGAAGACCAGGCTAAGGTAGTACAAGAGTGGAATAATCATGACCGAAGCAAAAACCATGATAAGCCAAAATGGTTGATCTGTCAGAAGTTAGTTATCGTGCATTTTTTTTTTTCATTGAGATAGGTACCATTGATGGTCAAGGTCGAAAAAGGGGGACAGGAAAATACTTACGCAAAAATGCAAAGATCATACAAGCCAAACTCGCAATAACGAAGAAGTTCAGTACCCAAGTCAGCACATTAGAAAGTGCTACGATCCGCTCCCACAGGTTGAATTTGTAGTTGGATTTCAGCAACAGCATGAGATCATTGCTCGTCGCGCCGAGCGTCCAGCGTCGACGTTGACTGAGGAAGACAGACATATTCCTTGGCACGTCAGTATAGGCATTGGCCCTTAATGCTTGTCGTGTTTTGGCATGAGGATAAGTCATCAGCATCAAGCAGACGTGATTGCGGTCCTCGGAAGCTGTAGCTCGGATACGTGTGATGATACCGTCGGTTGGCTTCGGGTGATAACCAAATTCCTGGATGAGAATGAAGTCGCCGCACGTCTCGTCGCAAACACGAAGCAATTGACAGCAGCCTGGTAGGCATGAGACTTTCTTGGTGACGAGACTCTGATGGAGACGTCTCAATCCTTGTGCGATCGTGTATTCTGCCGACTGGTATATGGCCATCATGTTCCATTTGCTCTGCGAGAAGTCTACCGCAACGTAACCACAGACACCGACAGTATCAGGATAATGAGATTCTTCCAATAGATTGGTGATGCAATCATGTGCAAATACTGTATCAGCATCCATTCCGATTAAGAGCTCGACATGATTCATTCCTGCGTCCTTAACGAGGAAGTTCGTCATAGCCAAGAAAAATTCGGGTCGGAAGATAACTTTGGGGTGGTTGTGCCGGAGATTGAAATTGTGGACGAACGATCGAATGACAATCAAGCTGTCTCGCTTGCCTTGATTCTGCTGCTTGACGATGTTGAAGTATGGGATACCCTTGTATATTCCTCTCGTGATTTCGACGTCCATAGATTGTCCATCCCATGCAACATAGGCAGCGCGGATGATTCGTCGCTCGAACCTATGAACAAATATATCCTGGTTGAGATAGTCGCCAGTCGTCTTCTCCATTCCAGGTCCTCGTACCTTGCCATCGCAGATGACCATGATTGCCTTCTTATGATGGCCAATGTTGATTTGGTTGACAAGAGAGTCTAGCGACTTAGAACACTCCTCGTAGGTCTCGTTATAGCAAGGCATAAGTAAAACCATCTCCTCTGGATTCTCAGGCAAGATCTTTTTAGGCGGGAAGATCAGGTTCTTGATCGACCACACAATAATATCGAAGATCATGACGCTGTTTAAAACGAGAGGCAAGGAGATGAATGGAAGGTAGATATAGTAGTACTTGGACCAGTACCAGCTGGAAAAGATCAACATAAAGCTGGGGGTAAGGTTGTTAGTAATCGATACGTTACAAGAGGCGGGCATATTACTAACTTTGCAACGAATATGCAACCTATTGCTATGTATTTATGCCTGGCGACCTTGCTTTTGCCCTTCGCTATGAGTTTCGGGTCGATAGCATCAGCAGCAAACTTTGAGGTGGTTTCATTGACAGTCAGTGGAGGGAAGCTGGCGAGATCCGCTAATGAATGAACCTCGGAGGGTGGAGTCGATGGGGATGATCCAGGGGACGGCGGCAATGTAGACGGTACGGAGTCTGACTGCATGGGGGGTGAAATGCCGGGAGGGACATAATGATTCAAGGTGCGTCGTGGCGACCGTGCAGGTACCCCTATTTCATCGCTGTTCGTATTTTTTTCATTCTGATAATTATTCGGAGGCGGCAAGCCTGAACGACTTGATGCTCGAGACTGGGCATGACTGTCTGAGAAGGGATCTTCTACGGATGAATGCGATTCCTCGCGTGCTATTGGACTATCATTTGCCTACATATAACGATTAGTGATTATTTGTGAAGAAGCGAAGAAGCTCACTTACCCTTGCAGAGTCATCGGCGTGAGCCATTGATCGCCCCCCTTGGGTTTGCTATGATGTGCTAAGAAGGAACTCATACCGAAGACAGGAACGTGCTAGAGAAGAAAAAAGGAAAAAAAGAAACGAAAAGGATCCTGCGATTGCAGGCTTAAGATGTGACTATCCAAATGACAGGAACGCAAGAATGAGAAAAAAACAAACTTGAAGGGTGTAGAACTTGTCAAAGGTGACAGACTGACTTCACCTTGTTTTGACTTGACTCTAAAGACTGACTAAGAAAGTCTAGGATAGAAAGAAGTGAGGGAAGCTAGAGTTTGTCTTAAAGTAAGCAGTCACCAAGTGTATAACCGTATACACTGCTTGTATATACTTCCTTTAAATAAGGATGTGGTGGCAAGGGGCCAAGAAGGAGAAACCGAAGCGGGAGGAAATAGCGCCGAGATTGGTTGGTGTGTAAATATCTTAATGACAAGCAGTACAGTATCCCGGCAGGATGGTCAACTGGGGCCGGCGGGAATCGAAAAAATAATTCCAAAAAGGAATTCCCGTGAGCCGTCGGGGAGGTAATTCGCAAAACATGCTGGGTATTGTGCTAGAAGCTCCCTACGCCATCAAAACATCATCCGTATAAGACCGAGGTTTCAGGGGTTTTACACCAAGGCCCCAGAGATTCAGGGAAGCACACTAACTACAAGCCCTACCAGCGAGATACACACGCAGGCTACGTATGTGCCAGTAAACATAGTCTCTCTAAGCACGGGATTGAGTTCCCGAATGGACTTAAAGTTGCAGATTCAGACGACGGCTTGGCATAGTCCGGTCTATGCAGCGACGTTTGACAGTAGGTTGCCATGATGTCGGAGACGAAAACCCAGAGTATGGAGCCACAGGAGCATCATTTATGTCTGCCCGAGTCAGGTAGCGAAATAATAAGCGATCAAGATCCACAGTAGCTTAGTAGCTCAAGTCCACAGCATAGGAGTTTGCAGAGAGCGTTCGCAAAGCCCACAGCGATGAATAATGCTAGCGTCGTCTTATGCAACCTATCATATCAGCTCGGCGTAGCCATAGGTGAGAGACTATCGACTTCAGACTCCACGCGGGGCTCCGTGGCAACATAATTAGTGCCGTGACGCGCTGACTACAGGCTCTCTAGCTTTAGCCGGTAAATATGATTACAAACCTAGTAGACACATTATGAATGTGTTAGTTGTTCCCCTGGATGCTTAGAGGGATCTCGTAACTGAGGTGCCTGTTGTGGCCAGGGTCCGGCAAAACTCTGACGCATTCTCAGGAACAAGAACGGGTGGCTGCAAGCCTAGCAGCAAGTCTAATATTCGACTCGGAATATTCGAGTTGTGGGGAGCCAATAAGCAGCTAAGAACACAGAGCTGGCCGTATGCAACACTCGCAGATCATCTGCGGAGAGACGGGAGTCGATGCCTACCCATGTCATATCAATCTATTCCTACAACCAGCTTGGCAGCCTTGCTAGCGAGCTGGAATGGACCCTAGAATGTCATTGGTAATATCATGAAAAACGATCAAGATATTCATCATAGCACAACTGACTCGCGGGGTGGGGCTCTTACATACTGGAACTAGTAGGTAAATATGCCTCAATATTAGCACATTATTTCACGTGTCTGTAAGAAGCGAAACCTTGCATGAGACTTGGGCGGACTCAAAAATAAGAACTCGTATCCACCAAATAGGATGGCGATGAGGAGTTTTCGTTGTGTTAGGTCGGAGCCAAATTCAGCCACTCGCCTATATAGACTACTGTTCCTTGATCAATAGTAAGATAGTAGAGTGAAAAGAAGGATATACTGTGTCCGAGTCAGTCTGTCAGTTACCAAGAACTTATATTTCAACCCTAGCCAGCTTGAATAATTCTTATAATTTACCTTTCTTCATCTGCTGCACTTTTCCTTAAGATTTCCTCCTAATATACTGGCCCCAAATTCAAAATTCCCAATTTCAGACGTGTCCAGAGAGGACATATTTTTTTCGACAAAACTTTGTTCGCATTTTTTTGATAAGTAGTGTTTGTTTGGTTGCCAGAGACGCGCGATGCATCCCCTTCTCGTAGACGATATTATTCAGGAAGTGCGGACGGCTTTCCCAGTCCGTGACCTATCGCTGGCTATGGATACCTTGACCCATGTGGAAAGGCCAAACCAGCAGCTTTCGCCGCCTAGCACTCCCCATACGAGCAACTTCGCAGAAGGAGAGGGCCTACAAAATTTCAAGTTAGCTACCCATGGCCAGGTTGAAGAGGACGAACAACCTCTGGTGGCCATAATGGGGTGTGGCTATGTGGGGACACAACTTATCAGTTGCTTCTCGCGCAAATACGACGTACTAGGCTTTGACGTCTCCAAGGAGCAACTTCATAAGTTACGGGAGGAATATGGAGAAGAAAGCCGAGCTAGCTTCAGTCTTGATCCTCGGGACCTCACAAAAGCCACCCATTTCCTAATTTCCGTGCCGACGCTTCTCAAGGCTGACAAAACGATCGACACCTCCTACGTCAAAAGCGCGTTGATGAACGTTCGAAGATATGCCCGAGCAGGTTCGACTGTGGTGATCGAAAGCTCAGTCGCTATAGGGATGACGAGACAACTGCTTGGGCCCTTAGCTAAAGAAAGGGGGTTCTTTGCTGGGATGTCTCCCGAGGTATGTTGCCAAATATGAGATGAAGCGCCACACACTAGGCCTTTTCACTAACCGTCTTCCAGAGAGTTGATCCCGGCCGAACCGAGCCGCCGATGAAAACAATTCCGAAAGTTTTATCTGGCCTAGACGATGTCGTCCCAGGATCTCTTGACGCCATCACGCGTTTGTACTCAGGCGTGTTTGACACCATCGTTCCCGTTTCCACGCCAGAGACAGCAGAAATGACGAAATTATACGAGAATTGCCAAAGAATGGTAGCCATCACATACGCAAACGAGATGGCGGATGCTTGCATCGGTCACAATATTGACCCCTACGAAGTGTGTAAGGCGGCAGCAACAAAACCGTTTGGTTATACGCCGTACACACCCGGCCTTGGCGTCGGTGGGCACTGCATCCCAGTTAATCCATACTACCTCCTGGCTAACAGCTCATTTCCTCTGTTGAAGATGGCAACCGAGACCATGTGGCAACGGCCGGAGCGTATTGGTCGCCGAGCGTTGGATGCGCTCTTCCATGAGAAATCACAACAGGTCACCGATGGACAAGTTCGACCTGTTCAAAGAAGACCAAGTCAAGCGGCTCGTGTTCTTGTTGGCCATGATGGTCTATACATCAGTACTGATCCAGTGCTTGAGCAACCTGAACAAGAGCATCATGTCGAGAAGATGCCCCAGGTTACAGGGACGAATCTTGCATCACGCGACGGTGTTATACGACCCCGAGTGCTTGTTGTCGGAGTGGGATTCAAGGCGGGCCAATCACACCTTAGCAATTCCCCAGGACTCAAGCTTATCCAGACTCTTGCCGACTCAGGCCGAGTTGATGTTATGTTTGCAGACTCACTAGTCGGGCAATACGCTATCCCTCACATCCCTCGGCTTAACATGGACGAGTGGAATAAAGAAAGCCTCGAAGAATTTGATATGATCATTGTCGCATTCAAGCAAACGGGTATGGACTTCAAGGTCCTAGAGGAGGTGAAGAATGTCAAAATTGAGATGTGGTGCCCCTAAGCGGCGATATTCTCACTTTCCATGATTGAAGACATTTTCAGATCAATTCGAGGGATGATGTTCGAACCGAATGAGTAGGATCATCTCCTACTCATCTCACGCTGAGGAATTGCAAACAACTGCAAAATCTCGATAGCAGAACACAAATGTTGTTGGTACTTTGGAGCAATTGGAATTGGATTAAGAAAAAAAAGAAGCCAAATTAATCGTTACAAATCTATGTACCTAACCTAGGTATGTGGCAAGGATAGGCCACAGTTTGATGCATGTGTGTGTACCTAAGCGGGCGTGTAATTAGGGATATTTTCATAGAGAACACCTTTCAATGTTCTCATTCCTTTCATAGCATTAATTACATATTCTTTAGTAGAATATAATGATGGAGTAGTACTATGTATGTAGGTACCTAGGTAACCGTTACTACCGCGACACACATTTTGAGTATTAGTAATCTTGTGCAACATCACCTTCATCTTTTCCAGACTTGATTTTCGACTTGGACTTTCTAATTTTTCATCTTCTACATATCAATCCAACATGATACAACCATGTCATGGCTGCCAACAATAACTGGAGTCGCAAATATACATCTACTAATGCATTGCTCGGAATCAGACACAATCATGCTCGTGTCTTGTAACATTTTCGGGGGGGAGGGCAGTAAGCAACAAGCAGCATACAGTGCCGGTATATAGTTGGTATACACCTGCTGTCATCTCTATTGTCACACATTAAGTCAGTAACGATAATTTATTACGAAATACGGTACGACATTTCGGTCTCATGTTGATATCGATCGGATTACTCAATATCAAGCTCGCCAGCTCACAAAGGGGGCGGCACATGCATATTCACCTTAAGTACATTAGGGAGTACATTAGGAGAACCTTAAATCGGGGAAAATCGCGATACATTTGTCATGAAGTCCTACTGCATATGCCATATGCTGGTCTACATGGATTGCTTTGTGGCACTTACCTGCTGGCAGCTGCATAGTAGGGATCTTTAGTGGCCTACCTAACATTCAGTGTACGCCAGGGAGCTCAGCTTTAGGGTAATTGCTAATGGATTGAATCCCTAATGCAGTATCCATCCCTTCTAACTGCCCAATACACCAATCTATCTAGTTGGGGATATAATCCAAAATCTAAGACCATTTGTATACACCAGCTTGGTATAGCATCAACATACCTAGGCACCTAGTATTCACTTGACTCCTATTTTTCAAATCTCATAAATTTGCCTTTCTGATCATTCTCTCTTTCACCTAAGAGCTTTCTCTTTCCTTCTCTCACTCGGTAAAGTCCCTCGTTAATGATTGAAAAAAAAAACGCCCAAAACCCCCTCAAAAAACAAGCAACATTATACGTAAATTCCTTACTATCAGCTCCGTAGTGGCAGCAGTGTGTGTCCTCAAGCTTTTCATCATGTCATCTAGTCAACCCCTCATCAATGCCGCTTACTACCCTTCGTGGCGCATCTACAAGGGCTTTGCGCCTTCTTATCTCCCACTCGACTGTATCAACCAAGTTTTATATGCCTTTGTCCGACTAAACGATGACGGCACCCTTAAATACCTGGATGAATTTGCCGACTGCACCAAGGAAGCTGACGGGGAGAAAGGCTGTCTACGCGCTTTGGCAAAACTAAAGCGCCAGAAGCCAGGTCTCAAGACACTGGTCTCGGTTGGTGGCGGCAGCGGCAGCCAAGAGTTTTCCGGCATAGCCGCAGACCCCAAACGACGCGTCGCGTTCGCGAAGTCCTGTAAGCAATTCGTCGAGCATTGGCACCTCGACGGTGTCGATATTGACTGGGAGCACCCGACCACGCCCGAGGAGGGCACCAACTACATCAAAATGCTCCGCACCTTGCGAGAGGTCTTACCCTCGCCGCGGTTTCTAATCACCACAGCTCTCCCCACCGGTGAATACTGTCTCAAGAACATTGACGTGTGCGCCGCAGCGAGACTCCTAGATAGCCTTAACCTAATGGCCTACGACTTCAACGGCCCCTGGACCGACGTCTCGGGTCACCACGCCCAGCTGCTACCCCAACCAGGCGCCCAAGATGCCGTATACCCAGCTCTGCGTAACTCGTGTCACCGTGGCGTCAATTACCTCACGTCTCGAGGCTTTCCGGCGCACAAGATCATTATTGGTGTTCCCGTCTATGCCCGGTCATTTGTAGGGGCCCGCGGTATCGGCCAGCCATTCAAGGGAGCTGCAGAAACAGACTACAACGAGCTACCGCGCGAGTGGATCCAATCTGCATCAGTCGATCACAACGTAGCGGCCGCAAGCTACGTCGACCACTCCGCGGGCGGCAAGGGGTTCGTCAGCTTCGATGTCCCCGAGACGGTCAGGCTCAAAGCCGAGTACGTCAAGAAGATGGGACTCGGCGGGCTGTTCTACTGGACGGGCGTCGGCGATATGCAGGGGCCCGAGAGCTTGGTCCGGGCAGGTCACGAAGCGTTGATCAGTGGCTAGGCGTCGGATCACATGAGTAACCTGCTCGGACACTACCATGGCAGTTCGTACCAGTCGGAGACGTCCCTTGGAGATCCATAGCCTGTAGTTATAGAGTGGATTATGTAAGTAGGGAAAGGGGATAGGGGTGAGGTATACAGTTCACGTGCTAGAGTAAAAGATTCTAGGTACTGTGTCGACACTGTCACCTTTTAGCAACCCCTGAAAGGGGACACTGGCTCAAAATATGAAGATGGCCACCACCACCAAAAGAAAAAGCTATTATGAGACCAGATCTCCCCACGCTATGGACTAAGGTGCACTTAATAAGGGCATTATGCCACCGTCTAATCTTCATGAGTTAGGTACTAAGCACTAGGCTAGGTAAGTTAGGTCTTACATAGTAAGAAGTCATGTAACTTTAAGGGGCACGAATTCTTTCTACAATTTGTAGAGCTCAACAGGCTCAACTAGCGACCAATAATTATGATCAGTAAGCAAATAGGATACAACCCTAAAGAGGATGTAATATCAAGATGCTAACGCAAAAACACCACCGAACCTAACCTAACCTAGTCCGTACCAATTCCTTTTCATCCCTTTTCATCTCCTCTGTCCTTGAACCTTCTTCGTACCTAGGTAACCGCCAACAAATGTGCAGCAAGTACAGTACGCATTCCAAGTCCAAGCTCATCTCGCCTATTAAGTAGTTCGTCCTCAAATGCCTTGACAAAACATTAATTTCCTTTCGTGCCAAGAGAAAGTTCCAAGAAAGAAAAAAGGGGGAAGTTCACCCCCCCGTTGATGAGGGGCATGGCTCGTGCTGAATGGTGTTGAATGGTGCTGGTGAAGACTAGGGAGTATCTTGTCTTGATACCATTGCGATGATCCGATCTGATGATTTCGGCTAGTTAGTGAAGATAAACTCTCAAAAAACTTGGTATGTAGGTAGGGGGGTGTGAGTACCTAGGTAAGAAGCAACAACCTACCCATTCTCATTCTTCACTTGCGCTCCCCACCCTTCGCCAGGTCCTCGAGCAGCTTCAAGTTCAAGCCGCTGGCAGGAAAGCTGCAGTCGAATCTCTCCTGCTCATCGCCGGCACCACTGCCCTTGTCCTTCCCCTCGTTCTTAACCCCATCCTTGCCCTTAACACTGTCCTTAGCTTTCTCCCTGCCATTACCGCCACCAACCTTCCTAGGCTCAACAATATACAGCGGCGGCGCCGCGTGCGAGGGGACAGAGCAGTCCGCGACGACGCGGCGCTGCGCAACCCAGTTCCCGTCGGGCCCGCTGCGCTGAGCCCCGGCGCCCGTGTACGGCTGCGTGTACGGCTTCCAGTTGCTGCTGCTGTTGGTGGCGGTGGCGGGGACGGCGATGGGTTGTTCCGAGGGGGGCTTGTACTTGTCGGGTTTCGACATCTTGTCGCTGGAGGAGGATGGCGAGGGGGATGTGGAAGAGTTCTGGGATTCGTAGTCGGAGTCAGCAAATGTGTGGACTAGGTGGACGTATCGCACGCTGGTGGGGTGCTGGGCTTTGTGGTAGATGGTGAAGAGGCAGTAGGTTCGGGGATCGTAGGTAGGCATGAGTGATGAGTGGATTTGAAGATAACGGATGGTGTATAGAGTACGCAGGTAGAGGAGTGGCAAATTGGAATATTTCCAGTCAGTGGGAATCTTTCAGAGATAAGGGATACAATTTGGTGGTTCAAGGTCGTGTTTACTTAAGGGAAAGGTAAACAGATAGATGGGGGTGAGGATGAGGAGGTATGATTCCGTGTGGGCTATGCTTGAACGCAAGAGTATAAGAGGGTAAGGTTTAGCGCTCCAGTGTTGGAAGGAGGCCCTGGGGCGTGGTTGCGGGTTGCCACATAGACGAATATCATACAGTGTTCCTTAGGGATGTCAACTTAAAATCGGACTTACCCTGCCATTCCCCTTCTTCTTGAAGAGCTCTTGAAGGAAGCCCGAATACTTGGCCATCGTGAGGATTCCTAAAATATTGAATGTTGCTGGGATGGAATAAAGCAGAAAGGCGTTTTATAGGTCGTAATTATAGTTAGGATGATTGACAACGGCACTGAGGTTACTCAGGCAACTATTCAGAAAGTTCATCTAGGGCGCAAAGGTTGAGGCATCATCGACCATTATGGCGTTGAGAGCATATGTTGTAACTGTTGCGAGGTGCCTAACCGGTGTACGTTTTGATCATGTTAAGTACTTAAGCACCTGGACGTAGGTACCTCAGGACACCAGACGAGGCGGTTTCCAACCTGCGTTCTAGAGTAGGTTGTAGCCAAGCCGTTACACCCTTAGGAAGGAATGAGAAGGGGGGGATCGTGACTTTTGTGGGGGTGGACTTTAACGCATCAACTATATTCACGCAGCCAAAGAATAAGGGAACAACATAATAGAGTTATATTGCACAGTATGAGTTACCTTTAGCACCCAAAATATTCATCGCTAACACGCGATAGGAGCCTCTATATGCACCCAGATATCTGAGGCAGTCTATTTGCGAGGGGAACATTACTTGCTCAAGCCAAAAATGTGCCAAATATACTGCATCGTTTCTACGCACCTTTTAGTGCACCTAACTCCTCAATTTGACTTTAGATGTTAATTTGTAGACTAAACAAGTGATAGGTATCCAGGGCAACCTATGTCTTTACGGGAAGATGGGTGCACGGATGAACTGTCTTGATACAAGTAACATCCGTATCCTGCTGAGAAGAAAGGTTGGCCATGGTAGCTTCTTTAATACTTGTATCACAGGTCTTAACTTAGATTAGAGTAAATTACTGAAAGATACTATATCACGCTGAATACGTCCCCTGAGTTGTCACACTTAGAGGCTCAAGGAGGGGTCTCGGTACGCCAAATTGTGGAATATTCGCGTGATGGTAGGTGGTTTACCATTGTCATGATACGTAGGTGACTTAACCTATACCTCTTCATTGAGCTGTAAGTATAGCACAAGAAACGAACCCTAAGTACCCTTTACCGGAATGAGGTTGACGTTGAAATTAATGGGCATCACGTGACGGGGTATCGCAGTTTATCCACGGCTTGGATCATGACCCCCGAGCCGAACTCGTGAATCATCGCACTGCTCATCCCCAAGTTTATAGATATCATTAGGAGTAGAGACAGAACACGGACCAAACAACTAGTCGTACATATTGATAACTGGTGATCTAGATGCAATTAAGATCAAAAAGGGGTCGATAGCACTGAGACACCTCGATAATGTAACATCTCTATTAGAAGGTCTTCTTGCTCTACTAGTACGGCGCTCTGATTGTGTAGCCGCCCTGGACGAAGAAGCCAAGGGCACAAGCCAAAGATAGCACGGAAAGTGTTAGATTCAGCTCAATCACAGACCAGACCCAAATGCAGCCCAAGGGAGGTGACCGCTTCATAACAGCAATATAGCCATATTTATTTGATATGTGAATCAAATAGCAGCCCGCAACAATGCTGGCGGTAAAGAAAATAGCTTGCCGAAGGGGAGCCTGGAATCTAAGGGGCAGCCCAGGCACAAAGGCTGGGGATGAGGCGTGTGGATGCAGCACATATACAAGCAAAAGGAAGACTGTATGGTGCATATAGAACTTAGCTTGAGTTATCCTTGGTGAGGTATATGGTAGTAAAAGCTTACCGGCAAAAGCTTGCATTGCCCTTGTTATAATCTGGGGCCATATGATGTACATGGCATATTGGTGCTGGACGAGCACATCTAGCGTGAAATGCAACATGGCCAAACTGACGCTCCAGAGAATGGCATCCAAGATTTTATCAGCGGTCGGGGATAGGAGCTCTTCCTCCTCACCCTCATCCTCATCGTCACCATCCTCATCGCCACTATCATCATCTTCACTTAGATTCTCTCTTCTTTTGTTCCTCTTTTCTTTCCTTTCGGCTTCTTTGAAGAGATTTCGTTCTTGAGCAAACTGCAGCAATGTTTTTTCGCTGGGACCGGAAAGGTCGGGATATGCCAGTTTGATCTCGCTCGCCGCCTTTTTTCCCCTGCGGGTTTGCACCATGATGAAGTGTGCCAATGGGGGTTGTTTGAGAAAAGTCAAATTCAGGACATATAATATTGACGTTGACGTTGACGTTGACGTTGAAATGGTCGCGTGTTCATCACGATGTCGAAGATGTACAGCTGTACCTTTTGCACATGTTAAAAATACATTACGTACCACATGGCAGTGGGTGGTGCTGGGCTGCTAGGGTAGTGCCCGTAATGGGAGCTTGAAGCTCCAATGGTTGAGCTACGTAATCCTAGCTGGAAAAAAAGGAAAGTAACCAATCAACATGCACATCTCAAACACTGCTTACATGCATGACCACGTTTAATTTATGTGACAATTGAAATATCCATAACTAGTTATCATCACTTCACATTTCATATACTAGTTATACCTACTGCTCGGCCCAACATCTAAGATCAATCGTCACAGGAAAGGGTCAGGGGATCACGACAAACTCCCCAAAATGGCCATCCTATCCCTCTCGAACCTAGCCGTCCTCGCCGTCATCCTGCCCCTCCTATACATCTACACGGCCGCCGTCGCGCAGACCCGGCTCCCCATGCTGCGCAACAAGCGCGTGTGCCTCTTGATCGCGCACCCGGACGACGAGGCCATGTTCTTCGCGCCCACTGTGCTCGCGCTGACCCGCCCCGAGGCGGGGAACCACCTCAAGATCCTGTGTCTCAGCTCCGGCAACGCCGACGGGCTGGGCGAGATCCGCAGGAAGGAGTTGGTGAAGAGCGGCATGCTGCTTGGCTTGCGCAGTGAGGAGGACGTGCATGTGCTTGACAGCCCGTAAGTTGCTCGCCTGCTACCTGAAATAACTCCTTTCATCGCTAACACCGCCCACACACAGAGACTTCCCCGACTCCATGACCACAACCTGGGACGCCTCCAAGATCTCTGCCCTCCTCACCAGCACCTTCGCGCCGCAAAACCTCACCCAACAACCACCACAACCAGCATCCAAGCGCTCCTCCTCCTCCTCCTCCAACACCACCGCCCCCACCGCCACCATCGACGCCCTCATAACCTTCGACTCCCGCGGCGTCTCCTCGCACCCAAACCACATATCCCTCTACCACGGCGCCCGCTTCTTCACCTCCTCCCTCGTGCGCTCTTACCCGGGCTGGGCATCCCCCGTCGACCTGTACACTTTAACCACCGTGAACTTCCTGCGCAAGTACACCGGCTTCCTAGACGTGCTGGCCACAATCCTCTCTATCGCTTTCGTGCGGGGCGACAACCAGGTCGCGGGCCACACGCGGAGCGAGAGGGGGAACCCGGGGGCGCTGGTGAGCATGGTGGGGCTTGGGGGAGGGGGCAGGGAGAGCTACGGGGCGGGGAGGAGGGCGATGACGGAGGCGCATCGGAGCCAGATGGTTTGGTTTAGGTGGGGGTGGATTGCGCTGAGTCGGTACATGTATATGAATGATTTGAGGTTGGAGAAGGTGAAGACGTGATGATAAGGTTCTTTTGAACGGGTGTTTAGAAGCAAAAGGGGATGTGGGTTAATGGTGACGAATATCATATTGCATCTATACCAAGAACATATTACCAAGAAATTGTGTTCAGTAGATTTACGCCCCTTGCCATAAAAGATTCACAGGCTTGGGGGTCGTGTATATATACCTAAGGTTAGGCATGTACACGTACCTATATATTAGGTGCTATGTAGTTACCACTCATGCCTCTACCAAAATATATAAGTTAGTAGTCAGAAGCCAGCTGCTACTAAACCTAATAGTCATCGTCGTCGTCATCATCAAAATCAACCACACCTTCTGAACCATCTTTTGTCTCATCAGTATCAACATCAACATTCTGCGGCCCATCTTCCGGCTCATTTAGCATCGCCTCTAGCCGCCTCCTAGCCACGGGAGACGGCGAGTTCAGAAGTGCCAAAATATTCCTCGTGTCGTGGGAACTGCCCTGCTGTCCCAGCGAGTGACTCGACTGCACGGCGAGCCTCCTGCCCCTCACCCTGCGCTGCACCCACCGCATGTTCTCGTACATCGGTACGTACATCGGATAGTAGCTCACCGAGACCCTCGGGTACTCGTGCGCGGGATCGACCAGGGAAGCGTATCCGGTAGAAGTCCTGTATCTCGTTGGATTCGGGACGAAGCGGCGGAATTCGCGGACGAAATTCGGTATGACCACGGTCACGAGGGGGTTATCGAGGCTGAAGCTGCGCACGTTCGCGAGGAACCCGCGACACCAGGTGTAGATGTCGTACCACATCTTTTCCTTCCTGAGCTTGGCCTGCTCGTATCGATGGAGGATTTCCTGGACCTGTACTCCGTCACGCTTCATCTGCACATACTCCAGCGTGGCGGCTTGGTACTCTTTCACCTGGTCGTCGTAGAACTCGATGGCTATCCTCATGTACGGGAGAAAATTGCCAAATCCATTTCGCCCTAGAAGATTTCGGATAAGAATATTGTATTGGTCGAAGCCAGGCTGTATGTTATGTGGGGGGGATATCATAGCATTCCAGATTAGTTCTATCGTGTTGCTGTTGGGTATTTTAGAAGGCATCCCGGCGTATTTCCACGCCGTAGACGCTGGTGGTGAACTCATGATATACGTCCATTCCAGCATGTCCTGCCACATGTTGATGGGAATCGGTATGCGGTATGTTTGCGACAAATGGTCAACCACCTTGAAGGCGGTGGCAATCTCTCCATTGGAACAATAAGTCTCCACAGCAGCTTGCATGAGACGTATCGTGGGCTGAACACGGTAAGAAGGGTCAAGGTGTTGCTTGTTTTCTACCACATCCTCGTAATCCGCTGACTCGTCATCGTATGTCGGTAAATCTAGCTGAACCCCAAAGTAATCCCTTAATATTTTAGAATTGATGAACCTCAGTGACCCGACCCGTGCAAAGCCAATCATGCAAGCACATAACAGAGCCTCGTTTACTGGAATACCGTCAGTAATTATCCTATTAAACAGTCTTGTCGGCGCGCCTTTTTTCCTCATCATTCGCATGGTATCTTCAGCATGCTCGATGGTTTTGTTGAGTCCAAAGAACAGTTTACGGCGTCGAAGGTTGAATCTTAGTCGATCTAATTGATTAACACGAAACCAGTTCAGTGTAAGTCGAGATCTATGAAGATTCCGGGGCAAAACCATCCTCCTAACTTTATCATAGCCGGTATATAGGGGTCTCGTGAGGAAGCGAGCACATATGAATTCGGTAAATATATCGGTCTGTCTCCATCCCTTAGCTTCAGTGCGAGGCATCTCATCCCACAGCCATTTGGCGCCATTGGGATCAGATGCGGCACCAGCACACCTGAATAGATAAATATACTCCTCCGCTAGTAAAACTCGACCCGAAGCTTTCAATGCGGACACGAGAACCATCAAACGTCCAAGTAATTGAGAATAAAGCTCCCGAACTCCCCAAGGATCAATAATCGATCCCATGTTTAGGGTTTGATACATTCCAAAGGGTACATAAGTGGGATTGGTTGGATCAGCATGTATAGCAATATACAAAGGATCCAACGAGCGGAGAAACTCAGTGAAGGTTGTTCGAGGTAAATAAGCAATCGTTTCTTGTAGTTCTTCCTCGTCCATATGAACTATCTGTGCTAGATGAATGAGCAGCCGTCGAGTCTCCCTGCGTTGCAGTGCCTCCAGGGCTCTTTGAAATGGATTCCGGGGGCGGTCATTATTAGATTGTTCCGCGTTTTGTGTATCATTCAAGTCAGGGCTTTTACTCGCAAGAGCATGATAATGGCCATCTTGGATTCGAGGTTTAGATGCGGGAGGATCTTTAATAAGATCGTAAAAGAGACTGAGTTCCTGTTCTGTGATGAGATTGGAAGAATTGGTTGTTGCGAATCTAGGTGAGAAATGATGAAAAGCCCTCGATCGTGAGAGACTTTCTTGGCTACATCTAGAGTGTCGATGTAAACGTAGACTTATGATTCTCGAACATGTTCCCCTTGGTGGAGTATTGAGAAGGACTGAGTGTCTACTGAGGGCCACAGTAGAGTTGGCAGAGAACATCTTGGAGCTGGTTAAGGAATATCATGTACGAAGTACTATAACCAGCAACACCTTCCTGCCTCTTAGGTGCCTGGTTATTAATAACCTAGGCCAGGCCTACGCGATTTGCGGGGAAGCTTTATTTTAGATCCCGTCCATGTTCTAAATTCTGGGGTAATCCAGACTAGTACTGGAGCATGTAGTGGGCCACGAAGAATCAAGTCACGATGGATCCAGAATAACGTTGAACATTGATTTTTGAACATTGAAGGATAAAAGATTGTAGAGGTGGTCAAAGCTTGGTCCAGCGTTACATAATGAACGTCTATGGTGGGGCAGTATGATTAAGTAAGCTTGATGCTGATTTAGCTTCACTAACAATTTAGTATCGACCGTAACAAATTGATTCCATCTTTAACATTCACTCTCAACAAAGATCACGAATCCGTTCAATCTGAAATCATTCATTTTTTTTCTACCCCGGCTCATCAACTACAACGCCAAACACTGTCTACTGACGAAAAACTCAAAAGCACACACCGGCATCTCAAATCAGATTCAGTAGATCCCCATTTCCAATGGCTGGGGGTGAAGAAGGTCCAGCTGGTGGCTCAGTGTCCGAGCCTCTGGATCTCGTGCGCCTACTCCTAGATGAGGTAGTATTCGTCAAGTTACGAGGTGATCGAGAATTAAAAGGCCGCCTTCATGTAAGATTATGATATATACATACCTACACAACTCAATACCCTCCAACTTAGTAGCGCGAATGCTAACCTACCAAAGGCATATGACAGCCATATGAACCTAGTCCTTGGCGATGTTGTCGAGACTATATATATAGTGGACGAGGATGACGAAGAAGAGGAAATAAGAGTAAACTTGCCCTTCATAAGTCACAGCTCTATCAGCTAACTCTATGCTTTAGACAACAACCAAGAAGTCCGAAATGCTGTTTGTGCGAGGTATACAGTCTTTCCCTCTTCCTGCCCTTCATACCGTGTTTGCGCCTAACATCAAAATTAGGAGACAGTGTTGTCCTAGTCTCTCCTCAGAATTCGTCATAAGTTATGAATGCTGAATTCATTCCGGCCGTGACCCAAGCTCCTTCGGTCTCGAAGTTTCGCTCCAGCCCGTTTCAGCACGCCAACGACCCTGTCCATCCGTGTTTAATCACGCGGGCCTGGACTTGGACTTAGATCTCGCAGCATGGGATTCTTTTAGACGAGTAGACCCTCTCTTAAAGTAAAGAGAGGCTACTTATAGGAAGCTTATAGAGAAGCTTCCAGCTCTTTTTAACGAGAATGCATTTGGGTTGATGCAGGACTTTCCACGTTTTTGCACCTTGGCCTGCCTACCTACCTACCTAGTACCCTAGGTAGATATACTGATGATAGATCAAAAGATCACCATGGCTATGGCCACATACGCCTTGTGTCAACTTCTGCTTGTCACATTCATCCAATGCAATATTTCCATGCTCCAGGAACCATTTATATGTGTATGCCATGCGTCTCAGTTTCATATCAATCTAACCTAGGTACATATACGATGTTGTCGAGGCCCCCCACACCTCCCCTATCATAGCCAACCATCAGATAGGTCATCCATTCCTTAGATACTAACCCATGTAGGCACATATCTAGTATATATTTACTCAGACCCCGGATATGTATTATGCATGTAATTCCCGGGACACCAACTTATCACCAAAGCTTCTTATCTTCTCCTGCCTATAATGGTTGACTATTATCTCCAACATCAACATATGCTGGGTAGTTAACCCTTGTCCTATCACACATTAGGTAGCTTAAGCATCAGCCCGTCAACATGGCGAATCATTCAAATCTCCATCTTTTTCACTTCAACAAGTTTAAATATAATCTTTTGCGCCGTTTGAGGCGGTAATTTCCATGGACATCTCTTATCACATCAAGTAGATGTCCAACCAAACCCCCCCCCCCCCCCCCCCCCTCTTACGAATCCCTTCAATCTATCATGCTCTGTTAAAGTCTTTCGTGCCGGGTCATACTTAAATCATAACTACCACCTGTGTTTAAGGCAAAAAATAAATAAAAAATAGAGTGAGTCTCATCATGGAAAACAAAAAGGGGAGTAAAGATGGGCAAACGCCCAAGGTGGCTGATGTCGATGCGGCGCTCGACTATCTCAACCGCGAAACCGCTACCGTGATGACGGAAATCAACGAGAAAGCACTTGTCAGAAAGCTTGATTTGACGATTGTGCCTCTCATGTGTCAGTACATCATAGATCATCGCTGTTCTAACCAGAAAGTATCTAACGGCTATCAAGGGGCTTGCTACAATCTTCAATATCTTGATAAAACGTTGAGTATGTCTACCTCCTTTTCCTCATTTCGAGACGCTGGTAGGCTTATCATAATGCCTATCTAGTCAACTATGCCAATGTTATGGGGCTTCAAGAAGATACTGGCATTACTGGAAATCAGTTCTCTCTTTTAGCTACTCTTTTCTATGTAACATACCTAGCATTCGAGTTCCCAACGGGATATCTCATGCAGAGACTTCCAACTGCGAAGTACCTTGGAGCCAATGTGATATTTTGGGTAAGTAACACCACCAGAAACTCGAATTGGTAAAGGTAGCAGATAAGAGGACCCCTTAAGTCCCATGCTATTTCCAATAATGACACATTATTGTACCTATACACACGACAGTTTGGTCTAGAGGGTTGTGTATGCTCAGGAAGTAGCTAATCAGGTCATACAGGGCTTAATGGTAACTCTCAACTCTGCCGCGAAGAACTGGGCCGCCCTCGCAACTCTTCGAGCTCTGCTAGGCTGCTTTGAGGCAGCAGTGGCACCGGCACTTATCCTGGTGACGAGCATGTGGTACAAGCGATCCGAACAGCCCGCACGAGTTGGCTTTTGGTATGTCGGAACCGGCACGGGCACGATCATTGGGGCCTTGACATCGTTCGGGTTCCAGCACTACGAGTCAGATATCTTCACACCGTGGCAAATCATGTTTCTCCTCTTCGGGCTCGTCACTATCGCCGTAGGAGTCCTCACTGTGATCTTCCTCCCCGATAGTCCAATGAGTTCCCGCCTCACCCGCGAGGAGAAGATATGGGCTATCGAACGTCTACGGGAGAACCAGACGGGCATCGAGAACAAGCACTTCAAGTTGTACCAGGTCCGGGATTGCTTTACTGACCCCCAGACTTGGCTCATTGCCTTGATTACCATTACATCGAACATACCAAATGGCGCCGTTAGCAGCTACCAAGCGACTATCATCAAGGGCTTCGGGTACACTTCCAAGGAAACCGCCTTGTTGTCCATCCCGTCCGGCGTAGTCAGCTGCACAGCCGTTATTTCAGCAGGACTCTGCGGGGCCAAGTTCGACGCCCGCGGACCGATCATCATTATTATCCTCCTCATAGGCGGCATCCTAGGCGGCAGCCTCCTCGCCTTCTCATCCCCGACCGACAAAGGCGCGCTGCTGGCGGGGAACTACCTTACCAACGTGATCGGCGCCTCGCTCCCGCTCATCTACTCCTACTCGGCGGCCAACTACGCGGGGCACACGAAGAAAGTAACGATGAACGCCACGGTGCTGATATCCTTCTGCCTCGGCAACATCATCGGCCCGCTCACGTTCCGCGACGCGGACAAGCCGCGATACCTGCCCGCGAAGATCGTGATCGTGGCGTCGACGGCGGTGTCGCTGGTTACGACGGCGGTCCTGATGGCTTATTATAGGTGGGAGAATAGGAGGCGGGATAAGGTGCACGGTGGGATTGCGCATAGAGAGAATAGCGAGTTCTTTGACTTGACGGATCGTGAGAATAAGGAGTTTAGGGTAAGTTTCAAGGTTTATTACCTGTAATATTTCCTTCTTCTTGACATTGTGAAATCTTGCTAATTTTCGTAGTATCGGTGGTAGAAAACTATTCGACGATATCACATTGAGCACCTGAATATACCTACTAGGCACCTAAAGAACGTATCTAAAGCCCTTCTTGTCCAATTCAGTAACATCCTGCATGCCTCGCTCAATCGCTTCTTTCTCTCGCTCTGCCGATAACCCCGAGCCATATACAGCAGCTTCCCGGTCCCGTTTCCTATTTACAGACCACATATATAGGTACAGTACGATAACCATCAACGTCTCGACTGAGTACCCGATGAGAATGCTATATTGAGTGCTTAGTGTCAGCCTTCGGGCTCTGGAATATCACCACATTAGGTATACAACTCACGCGATGTAGGCCGAGGTATAGAACGGTGCCTCCGTCTCGATGAAGGTCTGCGGCCCTATAATATTCCCAATGTAACACCCCACGTAGACAAAAGCGCCCGTGAGCTGCTTCTTCGTGTACCCGGCCACGTTGCCGCTCACGATTGACATAAACTATATGTTTCCGTTAAAAACACTTGCTACCTAGGTGTTAATTAGTAGGTAGATTAAATGCCATACGCTATAATGGGCCGCGCTCGGTATCTGCGCGCCGATAGACATGACGAACAGGATCCACGTCTTAGGATCTCGGAGACACTGCCACATCTGATAGGCCTTAAAGTGGTGGTTCTTTACGCCCTGTCTGTTTGTAGCCACCCGCTCCACGGCAACGATCCTCTCCCTCTCGTTGAGGAACCGCGCGGTGGAGGGGAGGTCCGGCATGAAGGCTAGGAAGAGGATGCCCCAGGCTAGGCTTATTGCACCGAATATTAGGAAGATGTATATCCATGCTGGCTGGCTAGATGTAATGTGACCGATCTGTTACATGTTAATATTAAAAGCACTCATATTGAACGTTTGAGAAGAGGGTTTATTCTAGGTCATCCCCCCCTTTCCTTTGGGGGTAGGGTATCCATCATGAAAGGAGATACGGAAGGTGACATAACAACGTACTGGGCGCCCATATGTTAGAAAATGCAGTTTTCCTCCAGGAATAAACGGGACAGTACTAACCAGCATAACCCAGAAGCCCGCCAAAAACGCTTCCCACCCCAAACATACTACAGTAGGCCGTCAGCCGCATGGGCTGTTCGCTCAGGCGTCACCACATCGAAATAATGAGGACGAAGCCGGGGTCTGGTCGATTTTCCGCCGCACCTAGCGTGCTTCCTAGGGGTCCAGGGCTGTGGTATATTGTCTCTAGTAGAGCGTATAGCAGATATGAAGGATAATAGGTACACACACCGTACTTCGTATGAGAGGAACGGATCTCTCAAGATGACAGTCCTACCCTCAGATCGAGTCTCCATTATGCTTTATTGTGGTGTTTCGTATCGGTATGCACATAAAGAATAAAGAACAAAGATACTAACCTCCAGGGCTGTTCTTTAATGCATATTATAGTGGACTTGCCCCCCCACAATGCACTACAAAACCAACTACAGTAGTACAGTCAGCACAAGCTTGCGGGTAACCGCTAACCAGGAGGTACTACTAGTACCTAGTAGTACATACCCCACCAGACACCCAACGCTCGGACCACTTCAATCCAAACCCAAAAAGATTCATCAATTGTGAAATAAATTCTTGTATGCAAAAACGTCCAATTTTATCCTTCAACATCGTCGCAAACTCCAGCCATGCCCCCGCGAATACCCTCCCGGCTGACAGCTCAATGCTGCAGGGCTCCAACTGAGCAGTCCAGCTCCTTATCGCTTGTGGGCTTATTCAGCGCTCTTTCCATCCAAACCCGAAGCGCATCCATCCTCGCCAGCTTGTCTGACAACCCCGGCGCCTACCAAAAACGAATTCGTGTCGGGCGAGGTGCGTCTGCAGGCAAGGGCAAGACGTCTGGAAGAGGTCACAAGGGTCAGAAGCAGCATGGACATGTACATCCGTGGTTCCAAGGTGGTCAGACACCTTTGGTCGTCCAGAGGGGAAAACTTGGATTCGAGAACTTGTACGGCCTAATGCCCATCGGTTTTTCATAATTGCACTTCCAAGCTAATTATCTGAATAGTCGCGCACCCATACTGTCCGAAGTCAACCTCGACAAGCTCCAGGAGTGGATTGATCACGGCCGCATCGACCCTACAGCAAAGATCACACCAAAGGAGCTGATACAATCCAATCTCGTGGGATCGATCAAGGACGGGATTAAGCTACTGGGAAGAGGAGGCGACACATTGAAGCAACCGATTGACATTACCGTCTCCCGCGCTTCATCCTCGGCGATCGATGCAGTGGAGAAAGCGGGCGGGAAGATCATGACCCGATACTACACGAAGCAGTCCATAACGCGGCTAGTGAACAACCGGAGTTTCCACACCGACAAGCCTTTGCCAACTGGGCCAGAGCACGTCGAGCCGGTTTTGGAGGAGATCCGCAAGAAAGGGTTCTCCTACAGACTACCGGACCCGACGTCGCGTTGGGATATGGAATACTATCGTGACCCCGCACACCGAGGCTATCTCAGTCACACATTAAAACCTGGCGAGTCTCCCAGTTTGTTCTTCAGGGTGCCACCGTCACAGATCCACAAGCGGGTGGGCAAGAAGGTGAAGGGGGCCAAGAAGGAAGAGACGAAGCTTTGGGAGAAGCTGTAGGGGTAGCTATAGGAGTAGCTGTACATATACATGGCCTCCGAGAAGTGTACCATGTCTATACCATTATTTAAATATCAAGACGTATGCCTACCTATTCGAATGATGAGTGTTGGCTTGGCACTATCCTTTCTATGGCGATCGAACTGATTCAACTTGGAAGGTTACGTAGTATGTATGTGGTTTACAGTGATAAAAGCACCTTGAATGTATGATCATACATGTAACTATGTACAATTGTACCTAGTAAATTTATGTAGGTGTTAGGTATTAGGTACCTTAGGTACTTGTGCTTATCCAGCTCCGCACTTCCTAGCGCCGATCCATTCAAAGTCCTGTCCCACCTTGTCCCACCTATGCTTCCCTGATGTTTCAGCACCTAGGGTAGGCGCATGCATTCGAAGCTGTTTAGCTGTTTAGCTGTTTAGCTGTTTAGGCCATTGATGGGAAAGCACGGCTATGGATTGATTATGTAGGGTCACTGGTGTAAGACTTCCTATTCGTGACCTTCTTGGTAGCTCACAAGTCAGAACCATAAACTTAAAAAATACTTTTGCAGTTGACTTTTCTTCCTCCCCAAGCTTCTTAACAACTCTTTGTGATTTTGAATTCCTATGTGCGACTCCATCCACTTGTAATTGTATCCTCAATTGTCGTATGGTTCATTTGGCCTAACTTCGCTATTACGAAATATATTACGACAACCTCGTAACTCATCCGAGGTCGTCCATCATTCTTCGATTTTTACCACTTTCTAATTCACCACTGCGGCAAGGCCTCTTGTCTACTGTCTAAACTATCGTCATGTCTCTTTTTGGCACATCCCCTCCAAACGAGCCGGCTTCCGAAAATCCAAGTGTCGCGCGATCTCGAAATTCGCTATTTGATGACGATGGACCTATGACTCGGTCGACCTCGGATACGCTATTTAACGACGACGAGTTCGGAGACAGTGGAAGAGCTTCACCCTGGGATCTACCGACACCGAGAAAACAACAGTCGCGTGCCGATCTCATTCGGAGGTTGCTAGACGGTGTCGAGGTGCCGGGTAGCTACATCGAGGCGTTTGATAACGCTGCGCAAGAAGATGGAGATAGTGGCAAAGTTACGTCTGCAGGCGTCGCTAAGACACTTGCTGCTGCCAGGCTAGGTGCCGACGACCAGGCGCAAATAATGGGAATACTGGCACCCGGGGGCAGCCTTGATCCCATTGGTCGCAACGAATTCAATGTGTTACTCGCTCTTATCGGCCTTGCGCAGGGTGGTGAATCAGTAAGCTTGGACGGAGTTGACGAACGAAGACGGAGTAAGTCAAGTTAATACCTCTCTCGTACTTTGAAATTTTGTTATTTTGAAATTGGTTCCCTTTTTAAACCGACTGGACATTTTTTGTTTATTTTCACCCCTTCATTTATTGCCGTACGTACTGGACGAATGGCATTGGTTGTCCAATGGGCTCTCTGGACTGGTTCGGCTTATCGTAGCTCGTTGCTGCGCTGCCCTGTGCATCATCTTGCGGGGACATTTACGTTATTCGCCGAGAAATTACTACTATCACTCCTCCTACATACTAATTAACATAACATCCATGGATATCTAATAAAACACATGACAACTAACAAACTACCTCATCGCAGACTTGCCACATACTAAATTATCATTGCCCGTCAAGAAGTCTATCATTCCCAATACTGCAGAACTTGCTGCAAAACCACCCCAACAACCAGAACCTCAACTCGCGCCATTTACCTCGCAATCACGACCTAGAAACGCATCCATGGATGGTCCTGAAGACGATCCTTGGAGCTCTTCCGACCTCCATAGGAATCACAATCACGCCGAGTCGCCCAAAGCTAACGGTACCAAACATGCCATCAGCCCGACCGTAAATGGCAATGGATACGGGGTTTCTCCTGCTCCCGATATGCACTCTCGTACGACCTCAAACTTTACTACCTCCGCCCCAGCATCAGTCGATGGCCCAGCCTCTCAACCTAGTGGCTCCGTTTCTTCGCACCCTGGCGGATGGGGATATTTTGATGGAAATAATGCAGGAGGTTTCGGCGAGGGGCCTGCCCATAACCCGGCGAGCCCCTTTGGCAACGCGGGTAACGGAGATGGTCGCGACCCGGGTGCGAACCCAAATCTGGGCCACTCCCGGACCATTAGTGGTGGTCGGATTGGCAGCGCAGTGGAGGAAAATATCGTGGTCACGTTAATGCCGGAGAAGGAAGGCGTGTTTCTCTTTCAACACCACAATTACGAGGTTGCAAGCTCGCGCCGAGGGAGCAAAGTCATCCGGAGATACAGCGATTTTGTTTGGTTACTCGACTGCCTGCATAAGAGGTACCCTTTCCGATCGCTACCTCTGCTACCACCCAAGCGAGTTGCTGTCAATGGCAACCACCTCTCCAACGACGGCGCTTTCATCGAGAAACGTAGACGTGGTCTGGCTAGATTTTTAAACACCTTGATCCGACATCCCATCCTTGGCCAGGAACAGCTAGTGATAATGTTTCTCACTGTTCCGACGGTATGTGCTTAAAGATGCTTACGTTATTATTATTCAACGCTGACATTATTATAGGAACTTGCGGTATGGCGCAAACAAGCCGCGATCTCCGTAGTGGACGAGTTTACAGGACGGCCACTTCCACCTGGTCTAGAAGAATCCCTCCCGCCCACACTTGAGGGGCTTTTTGAGCGCACAAGACAGGGAGTTAAACGATCCGCTGATCTATATATTTCGACCTGTAACATCATGGACCGCCTTGCCAAGCGGACCGAAGGTGTAGCAGCTGATCATGGGCGTATGGCTATGTCGCTTACGTCACTCACGGAAACGAGCGCGGATACATACGCAACCGACACGAACGATGTACCTCTCCTGAACGACGGCCTAGTCGCCATGAGCAAGCATTTGCAAACGACGCAGAGCTTATTAGAAGATGAGAGCAAGGCGTGGGATGCAGGGGTATTGGAGGACCTAAAGAGACAACGGGATGCACTTGTTAGCATTAGAGATTTGTTTGAGCGGAGAGAGAGACTGGACAAGGACAACATCCCGTACTTGGAACGGAGGATCCAGAATAACGAAACGAAGCTTGCCGGCCTACGAGCTAAGGCAGATGGGTTGATCCGGCCAGGAGAGATTGAGAAAGTTGTTGAGGCTATCATCAAGGTTCGTGCTCTTAAACCCTTACAAATCTCAAGTTGATGACACTGATTCTAACATGTGTGACAGGACAAGGAGGCGATTGTTAATCAGCACAATCGGTCTATTTTCGTCAAGGAATGTCTCCGCGACGAGCTGATTTATTTTCAGCAAACGCAGTTCCACGTGAGCCGGTGGAATCAGGACTGGGCACAGGAGCGTGTCAAGTACTCGGAGATGCTAGCCGACAACTGGCGCCGGCTGCTAGACCAACTTGAGGGCATGCCGCTCGGCGACTAGGGTTCTCAGCAAGCATCGAAGATGGCCAAGCCTATTATTCTAGAGCTAAATGTGCGAAATGTTGAGCCAGATGAAGAGACGGGGGGATGGCTGGTGGTGGAAGACGAGTCATTGCATCCTGGGGTTTGAAATGCACGTGTGGTTGTCCCCTGAACCTTTTCACGATTTTGGAGGGATGTGGTAGAGTGTATTCAACTCCTGGAGTTGGCGAGATCGCATATTGTATTCCTTCTTTTATATTCCAAGTTTTTTTACAAGGGGAGGAGCATAATCCTGAGAAGGGGGGACGCGGCTGTCACGATACCCTTCTTTCGTTTCCGTAAACACGATTATTGGTAATTTCTTTTTGTGGCAGTAGAGCTGTCAAGTAGGGAGGTAGGGAGGTAGGTAGGTAGGCATTGCTATGAGTAGGAGGAGGAGGAGGAATTAAAAAGGAAGAGGAAGAGAAAGGGAGACTGTCGGTGAGGTTGGGAATAGAGGAAGCAATCACCTATTTCCAAGTTGAATTAATGGCATATGAGGTACTAATCCACTAACATACGTTACTACTTAGTTGGAATTACATGATCAGGTGCTGAGGTGTGTTGCCGCAGTGTTGCGAGTCTTGTGAGTTGGTGAGTATCAATGTATTTAACATACATAGTAGGTGCCGGTGGTGCCCAAAGTTCAAAGTGGCTTCCTTGAACTTAGTATTCACCACTTAGAATGGCTTGATAGGCATGTGCATGGCACTGCATGCATATAGGAAGGTGCAGTGTATGTAAAAGTTAGCCCCACCATAAATAATCATTGTCATCTAACGCAACCAACGCAATTTCATCTTTTTAATTGTTCCTTCTACGAAGTACATACTACTAGTAGTATTACCTATACACTTCATACAGGTATATGAGTTGGTAATCATTTCTTTCGAACCCAAACATTTACCTTGGCCGCTTTACTTCCTTCTGATGTAAAAGAAAGCAACAATTAAACAATCCATTTTCCTTTTTGTCCAAATACCACACATAACATTCTCTAACTCGTTGACCGATTTATCGCCCTTTGCGCCCCTCTCGGCGTTATCACCCCGCCTCTACAACTCACCATTCAACATTCAGCCCACCAACCCACCAGTCCACCAGTCCACCCCGAGCCGAAATCACTAGACCCGAAAGTCTTCGCATTGCACCGCGCGAATACATATCAAACCTACGGCCCATAGAGATACTACTGGATTACGCAAATAGCTTCAGCCCACCCACCTCCGAGAGGACTCAAGCTCTAGGTCTTGGAGAGAGACTGGAGCCCGTTGACCCCTTAGGTATCATCACCAACCGATCAGACCTATAATATCCAGTATGCCGCCGCTATCTACCGCTCATAAGGCGGCAGTTACTAGCTTCGTCTCTATTACAGGATCAAATGATAGGATTGCTCAGAGGGTATGTCTTACTCTCGTTGTGATAGCCATCTCCCACGCCCTCTACCCTCAGCCCTCAACGATACGCACTAAGGATCACATGTCTACCCTGATCGAATACACCGTGCACAGAATGTCATCAAGAAGCGATTTCGTTCTAACAAAAGTCTACAGTATTTGAAGAACACCGGATATAGATTAAACGAAGCCATCGATGTGTAAGTAGGCCTACTCTTACGAGCCTCACATCCTATTACTTTACGCACTTCGCATCTATAAGCTCCACTTACATGCCCTTTGTCTGCTCCCTCGAATCTGTGTAGCTAATAACTATATTTAGATACTTCCAGACGAATAGCAATACTTCGGCGAACACAATCAGAGACACCCAATTAGCGAAACTATTCGATAGCCTTCGCAGTACGTGAGCCCAGCCACAGCCTCTGACGGGGTTCTTTATATTAATATGATATTAATATGATAAGCAGATGCTCAGGAGGATCCCCCAGACGCACTCGGCGCGGACTCATCCATGTTATATTTACAGTCTATCGGTGTTGATCTTGAGGGAGCATCGCTGTTCCTTGCTATGGAACTTGTGCAAGCTCCTACCATAGGCGAAATAACTAGGGAGGGTTTTGTCAAGGGCTGGAAAAATGCAGGAGTGTAGGTGTTCTAATTTGCATTTGCACGCCTAGTAAGGGTATAATCGTGGGTGTTGCAAGCTGACAAGCAACAGGGTGGAGCCTCGAATCGACGCGCAAAGAAACCACTTCAAGCAACTTACCAACGAATTGTCAAGCAATCCGAGTCTATTCCGAAAGGTCTACCGCTATGCCTTTGTGGTCGGGAGAGAAGGAGATCAGCGAGCCCTATCTCTAGACAATGCAATCCTTTACTGGGAAATGTTATTCAAGAAACCAGGTCAGGTCTGGGTCGGCAGCACGGGACGTATCGACTGGTTATCCGAGTGGATTGCCTTCTTGCGAGAGAAGTGGACTCGTTCAGTCAGTCGCGACATGTGGAATCAGACACTAGAATTCGCATTCAAGAGCATAGAAGACGAGACTTTAGGATTTTGGAGTCAGGACGGAGCATGGCCAGGAGTCATCGACGACTTTGTCGCGTGGTATAAGCACAAGTCAGAAATGGACGTCGACGCTTAGCAAGCTAGGCCTCGGTCGCCCTCGCCCTCGCCTAATGCTAAAAGAAGTCGCATTAGCGTAACATCTTTAATGAAGGGATTAGGAGAGAAATAAAGGGGTATATTTCGCTGAACTTCTCAAAACTTGCAGAGATTCGGGAGATGCAGTGCGAAACGGGACGGCTAATAGCTTCCAACGGAAAGATGATGATTGCGGCCACTGCGCTGCCGCCGTCGCTAGCAAAAGAAGCAAAATAACGATGTGACGTTACAATGACTTTGACTCCAAACGTCTATAAACTTGAACTGAACTGCCTGGTCTACAGATATCACAGAAGAGAATGGAGATGAAAGAGGAAACAGGCAGGGAATACAGATAGGCAGAAAGAAAGAAAGAAAGGGGTTCCGTTACTAAAGGTATTTGCATAATTAAGATACCTCGTTCTTTTAAATCAAGTGTTTCCAGCTGGATAATATTTTAAGGCTTTGAATGCGTGTTTACGTGGATCAGTATGTATGGTGATTTGTGGTGTGCAGGCCGTGAGATATCTAACTATGTAACTACCTACACGATAAAAGTTATCCGGACGCAAATGACATGAGTCGAAGGAGAGATGTTGACATAGTAAGTACTGTTAGAACTTGGAAGACATATGTAATCCTACCTACATACCGAGGTGTGCATAAGGTATGTATGTATGTACATAGGTAGGCACCGTACGTGTTGGTTTGGTGCATGTATGTGATGTTATTCTTGTTCTTGTTCATATGCTGTGATGTGATGATGTTATATTTAGATGTACAGATCAGCTACCTAACCTACTTACTTCTTTATGTAGGTCAGACTACTCGGTATTGATAGTTTATATATGTCTGTCTGTCTAGGTTAGGTATTTCCACCCCCCCTCCCCCCTTTTTTTTTCTTCTTTCCCCTTTTTCCCCCTTTTCATGCACCGATTTTATAGTGAATTTTTTTTTTTCCTTCCTTCACCACTGCTGTTTGAAGTACCTAAGTGAAGAGGGGTGAAAAATTGCGAAGATAAAGGGGAGGAGGGGGGTAGGTTAGTGGTTGGGATAAGGGAGGGGGGGGGCCATTCTTCCTTCTTTCATATTGTTCTCCCTCCCCCCCTTTTTTTTTCTTTCATGGAAGAAGCAGGGACTTATATATATATACACCTCCTCCTCCTCCTTTTCCTTGCCAGCATAATCAATCCGAGACGAAGAAGGAAGTGCCATATCGTAGCCGTCGTCGTCATCGCTTGTGGCAAGCGTAAGATGCTCCTCGCGTACCCATACCAAGTACATGAGTAGATCGGCGTACCCAATATCCCCTCCCCCCTTTCCCTTACCCACTCTTCCCCCCACCCCTAACCCGTCCAGGAAGGGCTCCCAAACCTCGAGCTCGTCGTGAGCTTCCCGTCCCCCAACTTGACCGCCGCGTGCCGAATCATGCGGGGGTCGAGCGCCAGCATGTTGCGCACGGCCTGCTGCGTCTGCACGCTGGAGTCGAAGCGCATGGCGAAGTAGTGGCCCGTGTGGTGGCGCATCTGGTGCACGCTTACTGCTCTCGGTAGCAAAAAGACGCCCCAGTTGTCGACGCCGCGGATCACGCCGCGCTGTTGGAGGACGAGTTGGCCGGCTGTTAGGACGATTCTGTTTTTTTTTTTGCTGTTAGTTAGTTGCTTAGTCGGGGTAAGTAGGGAGGAGGGAAGAGGGAAGGTGAGTTGCTTGGTCTGGGTTTATTTGTAGGGGAGGATAGGTGGGTAGCTTGGTTGGTAGGAGGTATTATTGGAATCTCGCAGTCGCTGATATTGCGGATGAGGTAGAGGTAAGGGCATACTCTTTCACCTCGGCCAAGTTGCCGGGTCGAACCTATTTCCTGGTTGTTAGTTTACACAATTCGCTTCCCCATATCATGAAATAGAAGAAGCTCGAGTGGGAGCTGAGGGAAGAAACTCACGATTCCGATCAATTCGTACAGCATCTTGATCTTATGTGAACGGAGCTCCTTCGCTCACATGGAGCGCAGGCTAAAAGCAAATACGGGTGTTGGTATGTAATCGAGTGTTTGTCAATTGAATCGCCCAGTTCCCCCTGTAGACGGACGAATCGATTTATCTCGGGTTGGCCTTTGATTTCGAGGGTAGAATTGGAAGGGGGATGAGGTATCGCAATTTGATCGTCTGGATATTTTGGAATTTGACGGCAGAGAAATGCGATTCGCGATAAATCGATAGTTATCGGGGGGGAATTTAGTGGGGGTCGGAATAACGTCGGTGATCTTTTTATTACTAAGTCATTGTTCCACCTAAGCCTATGTACCTAGTACTTGGTACTAGGTACCAACGTCATCATCTCTACAGTGTCTACAGCCTCTACACATTTCATAGTATAAGAATATACTCTTAGACAATTCAAATCTACAAGTGTTTTGAGCATACAACTTTATTCAACTTGTGTATCCCTCTAAAGTCACTGAGAACCCTCGCTGTCTGTGATATCCGATATCTCCCTCGTCTCTTATAGGAATAATGTCGTTCGTGGTCTAGAAACACCGGATCTCTCGGAGTGGCAGGTCTAACATAATCCTTTCGTGAGTCTACGGTATGCCTTTGAGATACACCAGTCGACCTCATTGTGATCACCTTCCCAACCACAGCCAAGAATATCATTACCAATGATACCGACACTATACCTGTAGTATGTGTCCTATTTCTTGCTTGGTCACATGAAATTGACCATGATATTTTCGAGCTTGCCAATATCCTCGATGGCGCATCGTCGATTCTTGGGACCATTCATCAAGCTCCAGTTAGCGGGTGTGAATGGCCCGTCCTCATTCTCTCACTTTCCAGATTTTTCGGAGGCAAGCAGTCTGTCCCTCCACACTTTCTGACAGTCCTGGACGTGGGTAAGGTACTCACTGAGGTCGATCTTCTCAGATCGTCGTGTTGTCAGGGGTCGGAGCTCCGTGTCTAGTCGGTTGTAAATCTGTGCCAGGTGTTGCATCGGAGGGTCCATGCGACAGGAGCGGTGGGAGTGGCAGTATCGGACCAGTTCCATGGCCCATGACTCCAGCGAGGTGCCTTTTCTTGTCTGGTGTTAGCTGTATTTGTATTATGAGTTTGGATATAATTCAGAGACATTGATCTCTGCTGGGTTTTAAAATTTGTCAATACTAGGATAAAGTCCATCGTGATCTGATAATATGTCCACGGTGTGGTAAGGATTGACTGCATCGAGATCATTCGATCTTCTCAGACAGTAACCCTGGGTAGCCCGGCGTTATCGAGCGTCCTTTCCAATCTCTCGGAGTTCTTTCACCCCCTGCGCCTCTTCCATCGCCTGCTTAACCTCTCGGAGGGGTGGATGGGTGGCTTGAAGTTGGTCCCTTGCCTCACGCAAGTCGGCCTCGGCTTTGCGGATACGGTCAAGCAGGCGCTCTTATCTGACCTGGTACTGTTCCATCTGCTCTCTTTCTTGTTCAAACTGTTTTCTGTGTATGGGTAGTGCCTGACGATCATTAATGTGACAGGCCACAGTCCATCGTATGAGGAAGCCAAGTAGGTTGATGGTATCTTGGCATGGCGAGGCGACGATGAGAAAGTCAAGGGGGGCACAACTTCTTTTTCCGGAGATGGAACAACACTGGCCACGGGAAAAGTGCCCGACACGACTAGCTGCGGTTGCTCAATGGCTACACTCTGAGCTGTCTGAGTGCCTGCTTCCACCTTCGTGGGAGGCGTCAGGCAACGAGCAAGCCACTGTCATTTCGACATGACAGTGTCGCAAACGCTAACACCGAGACCAATGCAATAATGGCAAAGGCGAGGGAATAGGCGAAGCGCTGCGATAGCCGTGTGAGTAATTGTTGGGGTGGCCAGCGTGACCATCTCGGCGAGAGTCAGAAAGAAGAAGGCCAAAACCAAAGCTGCGTGGATGGACTCGCAAAAGGCTCGAGTCAAGTTTAGGTTCGGTGCCCAAACTCCTCTCTTCACCTATACATCCTCTGTTGCACCATAGACAAGGTATTACTTAGCCCCAATGATATCGGTAGGAAATACGTGGCGAAGTCCTTTTGACACGCTGGGTACTGAGATGGGCTTTGTGCTGGAAGATAATGGGTCAGATCTGGACGGACCCAGCCCTGGTAAATAGCCTCGCCGAGGACACCAAATGTCCGCGGTGAGTGAGAAAGGTTGTTGTATTAAGGAAGAATAAGTATAGGAACAAGACACAATGGATCGCCAACGAAGGCTTGGGTATTGGATTGTCCCGTGGAAGCAAGACGTCCATTCTGATCAATAGGCGAGCTTCAATGTACAGAGACAGAGATACTACCTTTCATTCAATCCTGCATGGTAGCAGAGCCACCTGGGGAGATCTGATAGTTCATCGACAGCAGGCTTCGCAGCTTGGAAGGATGGGGGACTCCGGACATGATGTTTCAGCCGTCTTTCTCTTGGACGGTATGAATATGATGCCTTTCAGATGGCTGTAGGTTTTGCGCCCACATCAGCTAGGAAGATTTGCCTGGCCATTCAGATGACAACTTCGATGTGGGGTATCTTCGGCCTCTTGTTCCTAAGATTTCGTGTCGAGGTATTGGTGGGATATACTGCTGTCTTTGATTAACCCTCGCCACTTCTGCAGTCATTCATAGCAAGGATGACGGTAGAATAGTAACTTGATTTGGAATCAATCCGCCTCAACGAGGGTTTGCATAGGGTAATAACAGAATAACCCCATGTGCGTAGAGCGTGCCCGTAGAGAAATCATACCTGTTGATAATATGTGTGATGATTTGCCCTCTGGTGGGTGACTGTGGACGGAAGCGTAAACCTGTTCAAACTGGTACTGCTCTTGACGAGTATGATAAATTGGCATAGGCCTTTCGATAGATGCCTAGGTAAGAGAATGTGACTTCAGGGCTGGGGAAAGATACTAGATAGAAGCAGAAAAGGCGTGGGCATGTTGATTTGTGGATATATATGCCTTAGGTACCCTAGGCGGGCACCTAATGCCCGAAGCCATTTTTATGGCTTGCGAGAAGGAAAAAGAGCAAAAGCTCGGTAGAAAGGAAGTCCTACCTACCCTACCTAAGACAGGTATTTACCTAAGTGTAAGCAGTAGTCTAGGTACCCTAGGTAGAAATTATGCGAGAGGATATTCCCTCCAGGTCGAGGAGCATCCGCTTTGGCCCGAAGTGGTGTTTGTTGTCATGAGTTGCCCTGCGCAGCTCCTACACGCAGGAAGAGGGCATCACCAGTCGTCTTGCACCAGTGTCGGTTACATGGCAGAGTAGCCCGTCTCGGAGCTCGTGTCTGTACCAGCCTGGGATTAGACTCGAAAAAAATATATACATATAATATGGTGATTTGAGGCTGAAGAGTGATAGATTATGGAATTGGGCACGCCTCAAGTCTTCTCTTCTCTAAGATACATATCTGTTTTAGATATCTAATGAGAAGGCGCTATGAAGAAAAGTAGTAGGGGCGTTTGTAGACTGTAGGAGTAGGTACTAGGTAGTTACTTCGTCCCACGTGTTTCACGACGGTTCAGATGAATGTTTAATGTTAAACCTGAACTCTATGTGAACTGTATGTGCCTGGGGTATTGGGGTATGTAACGGTGCGATATCGAGGCCATTGGAAGGTATGTATATACGTACTGTAACCTACATAACTCCCTACATATAGTTATACACCGTTACTTGAATATCCATCTAAACCGTGTCGTACACCTACATGCATACGTCGTGCATGCAAGCCCGCTTCCTGCCGTCTTGGCTTGCTTCTATCCCGAAAAAATAATAAAAAGTTCAAGTTGCAATCCACCCGACCAGGGGGTCAGACCGTCAAAGAAGGAAAGGGCTGCATATTTACCTAGATAGGTACCTTGCTCGCCAGCCACGACGAGATGGATCGGCCGCTACTGTACGGAATCGCGTACGCATCACAGATCCCACAGGGGAACAGACAAGGGTGGGCATATGTATTATGTATTGTATTGTACATTACATGCGCTTTGCCAAAGTGTCGGTAACGTGTGTGGGGCCTTTTCATCTCTTCTTCTTTTCTTTTCTTTTCTTTTTTTTCTTCTTAATTTTGCTTCTTTCCTTTAGTTACTATGTTAGTTACTATGTAGGTAGGCATACCTGTTTATAACTTATATTTGCCTACAACCTCCTTTTATCTTGAGTTGCATCGATACCGAGGTATAGTAGGTAAACACAATGTTTTCACAAATTAGTTTGAAGACGTAAGTCAAAGCGGTAGGTTAGAGAGATAGATAGATTGGTATATTATCCATCCAACTACCCAGTACTTATTACAATCAATCGGCTTCCAGTACAATCCGTAAATGCAATCAATCCGTTTGACCTGCGCCATCGCCCTCATTCCTCCTTACCGTAGCGCCCCTGTCTATAAAGGACATGCATAAGTAGTAAGTAGTGACTAATGTACAATCTTACCGATGGGGAAAAAAAAGTAGGTAATCATGTAAAAGGGGTAAGTAACGGGGAGAGGGTGTCATCTTTATCCCCTATCCCTTCATGCAACCGTATGGGGAGGATGAAATAGTCTGCATCCCAGCGATGGTATCATCTATCCTCCTCTCCTGCACTCACATCCCCTTGAAATGCTGTATAGGGTCTTCTTCTCTTATTAGCCACAGCCGTATTCTGCTGTCCCACCCTACCACCCTTTTGCCCATCCGTTCATCCGGCCCATTTTTCCATCCTGTGAATTGACAGACCTATGCTTAAAATGTCCTAAGAAAACCCGAAAAAGAAAAAGAAACCGAAAAACAGCGATGACAAGCCTTCCGAACCCCTTGCGGTAGAACCTTTAGAGTATGCCCTTGCAAGCCTTATATGCTTACAGGACAGCGCGTATTATTTCTAAGTAGAGTTGAAAAGGAAATGTGATAGGTGATTATATTTCGGAGGGAGGAGGGTTCAAGTTTCCGAGTCCTCGTCAGGCAGCGTCAACGACTCCATCGTCTCCCATAGCTTCTCGACTTGCAGGCTACAGATACGTTAGTTAGAAACAGACCATGCTGACACCATGAAAACTATTTTGAGACGGGCCACTTACCGAGTGCTCTTGGCAAGTTTGATCCCCTTCTTCTTCGCAAATGAGAGGAAGCGCTTCTTAGTTCGCTCTCGCTTGAAGTACGCCAGAGTGTTGCCGCGCTTCTCGTCGGTGATGTACACAATTATCTTTTGGCTGTCTGGCGCATACTTTATTTCAATGATTTCCTCCAAAGACAAATCAAAGTTGATCGGCTTTTGGTAGAAGCCCCAGGTAACCTTTGGATGTACATCTCGCAACACCTGGTGCTCGAACAGGTTCTTCTCCTGTTTCCAGGTCCAGTACTGCGTCACCTCCGGACTGGTGGTCAGAGCTCGCGTCTTAATTTGGTATACGCGCCAGTCAAGATGCATGATTCGGCCTGCGGAGAAAGAGTCTGTCGATGTCCAGCCGCTGTGTTCGAGGTCATCATCCTCGGGCTCCTCCACAGTAAGCACGGGCTCTATTCGTTGACGTTTCTGCAAGCGAGGTGTTACCGGTTCCAAGGGCTCGGACTGTGGCTGCTCAAGCCCCCTTTGCATATCATCTATGCTTGGCGTATCGTCAGGGTCTACCTGGCCGATAGATCGCCGGGCTTTGCGTCGTATTGAACCAGACTCCTGCTTAATTTCCTGGTTTGCCTCTTGCTTAGCCTCCTGCTTAAACTTCTTGGCCGCGGCCTTTTCTGGGTCCTTGTTCAGTTTGTATCCCGACGGCCTTCCGATGTTTCCAAATCCATGCTTCTCTCTCAGATATTTAAGCGAGGCATCGTGATACAAGTCGTGCATAGTCTTGGATAGGTTGAACTTATCTCCCTGAGCTTCCGCAATATCATACATGCGTTGGCGTAGCCACTCGAGTGAAGTCACTTCGAGGTCAAATTTCTTCAGCTCCTCGTGTACGTTGACCAATCGAAACATGGTGTCGTAATTGACGAGCGTCTTGTAGAATTTACCCATCATGTCCTTGCCCACGAATTGGTAGGGATGCCATGATTCATCTTTTATAAAGTCAATAACAGATTGGCCTCGGTTAACTTGGCGATTGGCGAGGAAGATGGTATGGCGTGGGGATTCATTCGATCGTCTAAGTTGATCCAGCTTCTCCTTCCATTTGTCGAGTTGGGGCTGGATAATCGCCTCTAACGGCTCCCACTCGGGATCCCAATACGGGTGGTTGTGGTCGATTCGCTCGAGAGGAATGCCAGCATACATGGCTGGTTCGGTAATAACGTGGCCATCGTCTTTGAAGACCAACTTATCACGAGTGATCTCTTGGCCAGCACTAATAGGTAGTGTCGGATTTTCCGTCAGGGGGACAGAACCCTTCGCACTCGGCAATGATTTTCGGCTGGGCGGAGACTTGGTCTTAGAAGTGCCAGAGTCAGAGCCGGCTACAATAATAGAGTCAGCCAAAAGGAAAAATAAGAAAAAAATAAGGAGTCCGAGATAGGATAAGTAAACTCACGTGTCTTTCCATTTAGCGATCGGCCCGATGAAGGAAAGCTAGGAAGACTATGTCGTTGCTTGGGCTTTAGAAGCCTATCTTTAGTTCGACTCGCTGCGTAACCCTCAGTGGTATTAGGATCCATCTCGCTTCCTACCCCGTTCGGACCCGGGCCTGGCCGAGCACGGTTACCACTGCGCAAGGGCATGGCTCTACCATTAATAGAGTCGGACTCATCCACAGGATTATGGTAAATGCTGCTTAGAAGATTGCCCGGATCTGCTGGAGGCTCTTCGTCCTCTTCTCGGCGGCTGCGTCTCTTAGAGCCGTTGATGCTAGTCCAACCAACTCCATTAGCTTGAGAAGTGGCTGTGTCGCGGTTGCTTTGGCGGCGGCTGCTGCTGCTACTCTTCGGTCGAGCATTTTCTTTGGATACGGCATTATCGCGCGAGCGGACGAACCATTCTTGCTGAGCATGATCTTCTTCTCGACGTTTCTTCGCCATACGGATACTCTCATCTTCAAAGTCTTGAGCCACCCGTTCCTGTCGCTCCTCGTAGTGTTCAATGCTCACGATTACGTTTTGAAGGTCTTGCTCAAGACGGGCCTTCTTGTCGTAACAGTCCACGAGGCGCCTCCTAAGTTCGTCTTGGTGCATGGCATACTCTTTGTTTCGGGCGGCATCATCCTTCTCCCTAGACGATGCGATGTTTCGCCAATATTCCTTCTCCATATCCATCCAATCCTCTTCAGTAGTAGGTTCCTTCTTAGTAGCCATGAGGTCGTCCCCACACTTATCCAACGTTCATGGACTAGAGAGTACTGGTTAATATGCAAATTATAATCTCAACAGAACCGCGAAACTATTCGATTATTTGAATTCGAATTTTGAACATTTCATGTGGAGTGAGATGCGGTGTGAAGTAAAAGAAACCCCCTACCTACTAGGTGGGAGGCATGCATTGATGTAAGGGGTCAGAAGTAGTATGCGTAAGGAGCTTGATTGTGAAGAACCGAACAAAAATAGATATATACCTACCTATGTAGGTATATAATCAACAAATCATGTAGAAAGGGGAAATATGCGAGATATAGTAATGAGGCATCTGGAATATGGTAGGGTAGACTAGGATTTGTTGTGTATTTACGGTGATGCTGGTCGCATCATGGTAACATGTACAGGCAAGGGTGTACTAGCAAAGGGAAGAAATATATTTTACTTACCAGCCTTAAGTGGAACTCTTCAGGCCCCAAGAATGGGGTGTAGGGTGTATTATATTTGCGGTCACGTTGATTGGGTTGGTTGGCTCATATGTAAATAGAATAAATGAGGTATTGATGTTGGTGGTTGGGAAGTTGGAAGATGTGAGGATAGTTAGGTCGTTGAAAGGTGAAGGAGGGTGAAGAAGAAGTTTGAAATATACGAAGTATTTGAATACTGTATGAATTGGGATCCAGGTTGAAGATGAAAGGTAGGTAGGTACCTAAGGATGCATGGAGTTGAGTATGTAGAATGTAAGGTAGCAAGGTAAAAATGTACATATATCAAATTAATGATGTTAGTTAATACTATTACTACCTAGGTAGATATGTAATAGAGGAAGTCGCGTTGCGCGTTTGGGTCGACGTGATGAGATGCACCTAGAAAGAAATTAGATACATGTACATAGGAAGGTACCTAGGTTGATTTTGACGATGCATTTTGGTATGGAAGGTTAGTAGTAGTGTTAATAGAGGTGGTGGTGTTGGTGGTAGGTGACGAAAAGGAAATAAGGAATACGTCGTGTTGCCTTGCTGTGTAAAGGCGAGCCCATCCATATAAGGGTAAATTGTAATGATCGTGATGATACTAGTGACAGGCGCAAGATAAGTAACCTTGGAAGTATATTAAACCCGATATGCAGCATGTAACATGCAACTGGTGTATGATATATGGAATTGGTGTATGGATACGTGTTCGATGAGATATATAAAACAAAAAAAAAACATGAAAATCATAAAAAATACTTTGCAATACTTGCAATACTTACCTATAGAAGCATCCGTAAGATGGCGCGCTAGGTTTAGATAGAAATAATATGTAGGGAATTATTGATGACCGGCTTTAAAGGAGTGACTAACTATTAGGCACCTTTGGTAGGTAGTAGGTAGGCAATCAGATCATCCACACCCACAAGTGCCTTCAATATTTAATGCTCTATATTTCTCCCTTTTCCCGCTTCGGACGGTATCCGGGAATCCGTATGCTTCCAAGGTTGCCACCGACAAAATGTGTACCTGCCGTTGATGAGAACGCTCGTACTCGTCTCTGACAGGCTCGATCCCGGAATGCGCAAGTTCTTGAAAGTGAGAGAATAAGTAAACAGTGCCAAATGGACAACAACTTGAGCCTATTTATGATAGGAAAGGCAAAGAAAAGAAACTGGAGAACGAAAAGGGGTAAGGACCGTAAGGTGCAACATAAGGTAAAGGTACTTTGAGATAGATGGATCTCTTGAGATTTCTAGATACGAGAGCAATACGTTGCGAGGGAGGGCAATAACCTAGCCTATAGGAACGTACTATATTTGGATGGATCACCAAAGTTAGAGAGCAAGGCTATAATGTAGTCTACCCTAGGTAGGCACGTGGAAAACCTGGGAGGGATATATAGATGTGAAATGGTATGGTATAAATGATATATAGGATAACATGTGTATGTGTTTGTAAGTGTTTGTATGTAGGTACAATAGGTACATGCACACATACATGCCAACTACATATGTAGTATGTACTACAATAGGTATGATATGTAGATATGATATGTAGGCAGATATTAGGTAGGGAGGTAGTATCATGTAGCTAGCACGGTATGCTATAGTCGCATGACAGCTTGAATTAATAAGGACAAGAAAGTTACATACATACCTTTCGGGTTTATACTGATTCGTGCTAGTAAGGATGGATCTGACGCTGGTACCGAAAAAGAGGGACAATAGTTATGTTTGATTAAGTATTCGTATGATAGACGAATGGCATACTATTAGTCGCTCGATCCAATCCAATAGTCAAAATCCGATGCTGGTCGATCTACCCAAGTTTGGGTCCAGTCTTGAACAGGCCTGTTGATGCGGCTCCCACTTACAGGGCCCCGTAAGAACTTCGGGAAGATGGCGAGTTTCGGCTGGGGTTGTCTGCTGGATACCGGAAGACGTTGATGACGATTATACCCGGCCTTATAAAAGAGGTGCCCCCTTTTTATGTTTCGTCTGCTTTACGAGCTGTATAGCTTTTGTGCTGCGCCTACGTTAGGCTTCGTGTGCATTACAAGAAGGATGGACCGGATGCTGGGAACGGAACTGAGAGCTATGTATGTAGATGCTAGTTGTTGATGCGCGTTGGAGCTACGCGACGGGGGCTTAAAGATGATGGGCTTGGTAAAGTGCAACTTGGAAAATGGAAAAGAGCATTAAATAATTATAGGTACTAGGCATATAGGTAGGTATGTATGTATGTAGTGACGACGAGTTGGCGAAAGTTGGTAAACTTTGGGTAAGATATTATCCATAAGTTATTTAAGTACATGAGTAATACTGTATGCACTTAAGGGTAGAATAGTCCAGTTCATATGCAGTCTTGGAGTTTTGAATTTAGACTTGGCCATACGTGATCCATAATGTAGATAGGCAGTATATAGACAGTAGAGTAAAGTAGAGACGAATGAGACTCACGCGTGATTGTATTGGTATTGTGTTATGTTGTGTTGTGCTGGATCATATACCGACGCACTACATGTAGGTGAGCTGTGTAGATGTACGCTCGCGTGGGTGACTGAAATTGAAAATTGAAATCGGAAATCGAAAATCGACAAAAAACGGAAAATCCTGTAAGATGTGTAAGAATGGTGGGATGGGATTTTAATATATTAGAATTAATGTAATGTATACATGCGATCATTGATGCTATTGATATGTATGTACCTAGCATATAAGGAGGGAGGGAGATGTGTATTATTTCATATATCTAATATGGATATACCCTAGGTTAGCGTACTAGGTAGTTAGGTACATGTAGGTTTGCATGCCTAGAACATTTTGAGCTTGATAGCTCCTTTTCTTCTTACCTTCTATCTTCCCTTCTTTCCTTTTTTAAATCAGGCAGATAGGGTGGAGGGCCTAGGCAAGTTAGTGCTACGATCCAGTATGTAAGTGATAGTGCCATAGTGGGTAATACCTACCTATAAATGTACATAGCGTAGTAGTACACACTTTAAATCCAGGTACGGAAGGAACATGAGGTAGTTATTCAACTGTTATTGTACAAGGTAGGTAATATCATAATAGGTATGTGTATGTATATCTACATTTACACTATGTCACTGGTATTACACGGTTTACCCATGATGTAAAGTATATCTACCTCATTATAGGTAGCTACGTATATGTATACCATATGCTGCTATCTTGAGGGCCCGGCGTTGATTAAATGTTTCCATTTCGGGACTGCGATTCCATTTTACATATTACAAAACGACACTAACGAGCCATTCGTAATAAGTGCTAACGTGTATTCCTAACGGCAAAACAAGGATGCTAGGCCATTCACCTTTCACATACGTCTCTTATTAGTTCATCCTATTATTGAACAAAATTTGACAAATTTCTTGTTCTTGTTCATGTTGTTTTCTTTTCCTGTTCTGCTTTCCTTCCCCTATATGGAAGGAAGTAAGAGGTATATACATAATGTAAGTAAGGGAAAAAGGGATGGGAGGCGATAGGCGGCGACGTGCACTAATACTACGCCCAATTATTATTGGTGCGGTATGACGCTACATATTTCTCTGACGTTTTAGGTAGAGGTTACCCCCATGCATTATTAGACTCGGGCCACAGGTGTGCAATGTGCATACTAGGTACTACTACCAGGTTACTTACATACATCTGTAGTACCTAGTAACTACATATACGGCATAGTATGTAGGCAGGAGACCAGACGTGCACCTTCAATGTTTAAACAAACATCAATACTAATGATGTACATACCTCAGCTTATTGACCTACCTAGTACGTACGTACATACATACATACATATGTACACACTTACATTATGATATGTACACATTAATTAGCTACAGGTACGGTATTATGTATAGTATCATTATCAATCCCAACCAGCCGAGGTAGTGTATTACGAGCATGACTGGGGAAGGAATGGTATGGGATCATTTGTTTGTTCCTCTGCATAGCCTACTAAGGTCTTATAGTACTTCGGCTTCTGCATACAGTAATTGGGTAGAAGTGTAGGTGCGATCTTGGGCTTAGGTGGATAGGAGGAGGTCTAGCTACACATGGATCTGGATATCTATCTACATACAAGTACACACATCAAATGTTGGCCGGACTAGAAAAAAAAATAGAAACGAAAAAGAAGTGTCTTACTAGTCCCAGAAGACAGGGGATAGATATATGATCATCACATCATGTCATCCATCCAAGTATTAATGTTGGTCGTTGTCAAATTGGAGATAACCAGCTAACCAGCTAACCTACTGTATCTAACCTAACCTACATATACCTAACCGGTTAGTAGGTGAGTAGGCGAGATGTAGTTAATGTAGGCGAGTAAAACGAGATGTGGAAAATAGTATTCCTATGTAGTTGGATCCAAAATTCAAGACTACAGTTATTACAGTACATATATACACATTGAGTAGGTAATATACTTATAAGCAGTGGTAGCTTAAGGTTACCTTGATTAACAGTGATTATAGCAGCTTAAGGCATTATAGTGTGATTAGTTAGTAAGGTTAATATATAAGGCTATAATTTAACTTATAAAGTAGATTAATAATTTAATTAAATCTAAATAATTTACCTTGTTTATATAATAATATTTTAACGTTTATAAAAAAAAAAGTAAATAATTTTGCGTTTTTAAATTAAACGCGTTATAAAATAAAATTACTTAGCCGATATTATAGTTAAAAATATAAAAGGTTTAAAAGTTTGCATTTTATAATTAAAATCGATAATAAAAAATATGATAAAAAAAGATAAAATAAAAAATAATATTAAAAAAAAAATATCCGATATAAAGTTTAAATAACGAGAATTTAAGTGAAAGTTTTATAACGATTTTTATTTATATAAACTTAATAATATATAACTTTAATTTAATGCTTTTTTTATTACATTATAATTAATCGGATTTAAGATTGGTATAATTATTATCGTAATAAACGAATTAAAAATTATAAATATAATTATCGGAAAATTATAAAAAAACTTAATATAATTAATATTTAATTTAAATAATGACTCGGTTATAATTAAATAAATTTAAATAATTTATTAATTATAAAGTAATTAAGTTAAAATATTATTATAAAAAAAGCTTTATAAATTTAAATATAATAATTAAAACCTTATTAATTACGTTATATAATTTATATATTTAATAAATCGTAATAATAATGTAAGTAACGTAATTATTAACATTTAATAATAAATACTTTTCTTAAAAGGCGTATAAAACGAAGTTAAAAAATAGATTATATAATAACGCACTTTTTTACGCGTAATAACGATTAAAATTTAAGCTTTTAAAAATAATTTTATTATAAAATATTAAAATTATATCCCATTTAAGAATAAATATAAAAGTAAAAATAAGAAAATAAATAATATACGACGTAAAAAAATATATAAACGTTATAATAAGAAAAGTTATTAAAAACGTAAATATCTTAAAAATAAGAATAATATAAATAATAAAAACGAGAATATTAATGTAAATTAAAATATTAATAATATTAGATATTTACTATAACTTTTTATAAAATATAAAAAATACGTCAAAAAATTAACCGGTAATAAGGTATATTAAATGAAAAACTTAATAACATTAAGCTAAAAAATGCGTTAAAATCTTAAAATAAGGTTAAAGTTAAAACAAGCGGTATATTAATAAGGCAATATATTAAGGTATAATTAAAGTTAAAGTAATAAAATAATTATAAAACGAGTAAATAATCGAGGGGCGATATATTAAAATATAATTAAAGCTAAAATAATTAAAACAAATTAATATAATAAAATATTAAAGGAAAATAAAACGGCCACATAAAACTAAGCTATTTAAAAACCAAGCTATTTAAAAATTAAAATATATGGATTTTAAGATTTAAGATTCGACGGCATAAATAGGAATAATATTATATTAACCTTAGGTTAAAAAAGCGTGTAAGTAATGGTAGTTTAAGGTTACTTTAATTAATAATGATTATAGCAGTTTAAGGTATTACAGTATAATTAATTAACAAGGCTAATATATAAGGCCACAATTTAACCTATAAAATAAACTAGCAATCTAATTAAACCTGAACAACTTGCCCTGCCCACAGTACTTACATATATGCATGATCTTAGAGAGTGGAGGGTGAGCACTAGATAATTATGTATTATGGATTATCGATTTAGCATCCCCATGGTCCATGGGGATGCTTATTAGGCTTATTAGCGTCTCTCTTACACAACAAAGTACGTGTAATCCACAGATCCCGTTTGGCACGGAGTAACTACATGACATGCGTCTCATGGAACAACATTAGAGTTGAAGGTGCGCAATTGGGTATTTAGATGATAGACGATGTAGGACAGGTAGGCACCTACTAACTACCTATGTAGTAGGTACCTATTCAATGCTTCGTCTCGTCTTGTCCCCACGCCACGGAGATCTCGGCCAAGGGGGGCTTTGCCCATCTTATAGGTATGTATCTATCGCTTGACGTTGAATAATAGGGGAGAGACCCCAATAATATTAACACCGTCACGCTATCACCCATAGTTATGGGCCATGGGATTCACGGTTGGGGGACGACATTAATCATTATTACCATTATTACCATTATTACCACCTAACATTAGGTTAGTCGACACATATATAGGTTATGTACATACATATGTAATGTAGAGGTAGATGTATGTAACTATGTAGGTAAGTTGGATATATGTATGTGTGCAAATATACGACGTACATTACATGTATCGTCATCAATGTATAACTGCCAACCAATGCGATCGGTAGCGGGTACATCTGAATGCTGCTCCCTATAGTTACTTTTTCATCTTATACACCTGCATGTATTGTACAAGCTGAGTTGGTCAAATGTTAAATTGCGCAGGTCATCGCTGTCAGATGTCGTTGTTTAGTTGGTGGCCTCGTAACTACATACCTACTAACTAACTTTTCCGTTATTCCTTACCTATCCTATGCTTCGGTCTCTCTCCCTTGGCCTCTCAGGATTTGGACTCAAAGCCACGGCGCATTGAGCATGGCAAATCCCAAGGTGATACGCATGACATACCTAACTACCTAACTACCTAACCTTTAGGTATGTATTACTCCCAACTGAAAGGGTTATGTATGTATCTCCCAGGGAAGGGATGCTGATGATATAAATAGAGGCTTAGTTCTTACGGATGCCGAAGCAGGCATCAATTATCATTCGTGAGATGTAACCTACATAACACTAACACTATATGTAGAGAGTTCAGCGCATACATATGTACTCCGTCCCTCCGTATCCGATCTAATCTATCAGACTTGGCGCAACTTATTACGGATCCGTACATATGAATATGTATATATATTCGTCTAACTATTTCCACGCTTGAGGATATCTGGAGTATTCACCTTCAACATTGAATTTTCATACACCATATGTGTAATCACTAACACACCATAAAGTGGCCGCCTATCTATAACTACATACAGACATATAATGTACATCACATCTTGATATATCTACATGGTACTACTAGTAGTACATACATACATACGTGTGCGAGGATATGTATTGGTGTCCTACCAGATGAGGCAGTATTAGATGACCACCCCTGTGCCAGGCCTTCCGATATCCGAACGTCTGCTGCTTTATGCACGAATGATCTTGCCAGTCTGGTATCCGAACCGAACAAACCAAAGTGCAATCATATTTCCACTAACCTTAAGCTACCAGGTCTACCGGGTATCTATATTTACTGTATCACTTTCCTGTTAGCACTGTGCACTGTATACTACATGTGCGAAGGATGCATTCCATCATGATCATTGCGAACAACAAATATTATAGTCGGCAGATACGTAATATTAATATCAATTGTTTGGTCCTAAATAGGTGAAAGCAAAAGACAACTTTGCCCCGATACAGATACATCTAACTTACCTAATTAATACGACTATGACAGTTGTAAGTAAATACCTACATATGTACCGTCCTTGGGTATGTGATGTAGTGCTACTAGGAATTGTGTTAGGATAATGGACAGCATGTGCAACTACTGTAAGATTGGTTGTTTTCTTTCTAGAGAGTCTTCCCCAATATACAAGACAAGTCTAGAGCTGTCGCCTTCTCTGTCGCCTTCTCTGTCGCCTTCTCCCATGCAACCTTCCCCGCCCCGGCCCCTACATCCATGCTATGGGGCACATGTTTACCAGTACTGAGGCTTGACGTAGTCGGCGAACGTCTTGGGCTCCACGTAGCCGTGATGGTCGTGGCCATGGCCGTGATGGTCATCCTGGGGTCCAATGTATTCCATCTTGTAAACGCTGCCGCATTCAGGGCACCGCTCGACCGGTCGCTCGCGAGACATCTGTTTGCATATTATTAATCAAAGGATTCATTTAGCTCGAATTCGCCAATATAGAGAAATCGCATTGGCATCGAATCCAAGAATGGGGGGAAACACATACGCCGAGCCAAGTAACAATATGGGAATCGGCCGGGAAGCCGGTGCAGCCGGCATATTGCTCATCGCCAGCAGACGGGACCATGATAGGGTTGTCGACAGTGCCTATAATATACTGTTAAAGATTCCATCCCACCATGCTCTCCTCAAAGACAGAGTAAGGTCGTACCTAGTCGCGAAGCATCCAGAGGTCGCATGTCGAAGACATCCACACCCTCCATCTTTCCGAGGATCTCCAATCGCTCCAGACCAGTCGACTGTTCGAGATCGGTAGGCACGGTACCGGGGGCGGCACCGGGTCCAATTAGGTCTTCTTCGGTCCTTACTTCTGTATCGTGTGGACGCAATGTCCAAAGTCAATAAAACTTGTTCTTGTTCATACGTATTTCCCATATAAAAATCCAACTGATATCGAGGAAGTCGCACCATTAAAAGTCTTGATCTTTCGTCCACCACTAGCAGCATGGGTCTCGACGTTCTTCGCTTCACCTAGAGGCTCCAAATCAGCATTGGTGATGGTGACAAAGTCGCATCGTACGATGCTGCATTTTTTTCGGGTCCTTACGGCGAATAGCCGAGACTGCAAAACTGCGTCTAACGACGGGAGAGACAGCGGCTCGACGGGCGACAGCCACAGCAGATCGTTGCAAAAACATGGTGGTCGGTCGCAATTGGAAGGATTATTGATGATAGAAAAGGTTTCGAGGTTTCGAGGTTTCGAGGTTCGGTAGGTTGTTTTGTTCCAATTTTTGATTTCCTCGTTTGGCGAGGTTTCGGTTAGTTAGTTGGGAGTTGGGAAGAAGGATTTGCGGATTTGCGAGTGGTTTTGATTTGACCATGTCAATTGCTCCTCCTCTGCTTTGCTCTTTCTGGCTCCTGCCCAATCGCCAAGTTCCCTTTTCCATTTAAAAGAGCGTAAGTAATCCCCACCTCCACAAGCTCCACTCTATTTACTTTAGTATCTAACTACTATCAATCCATGGATGTATTAGTCAACCAACTAATCACATGATCTTAGTGCTACTCTGCCGGTTTGACTTCTACTTAGATCTACAGTCAGACCTTATCGATTATTGGCTACTTTTCCTTACATCTACCACATTTACCACATTTACCATACATACATGTATCTCATACATATATCATATATGTTAGACACCCAAATAAGCCATTTCGTCGTATTCTTGCCTGTCAAATTTGATTTATTTCTGACTTCTGCATGTCTTTGTTGCAGCATTACTTCCTGCGAATCAGTCACATCCGCACAACTCACCCGATTATAAAAATGCCGACAGTCTAGACTCTACACCCTACACTCTAGACCACCCACTATGCCATTGGACTTATATTTCACTTACTATTAAAGGCACTTCTCGACGTGTCGAAGATGACTATGCAGGCCATATGGAAGTATCCCGACTTGTGCGTTGTCCCAACTTTGCTTTTACAAAAAACCGACTACACACCATGGTGCATATTCCCAGCGCCCCGTATATGTCAATGTCAGCCCTTCAATAGCACAATCCAAGATCGTGGAGATACACCGCCAATGGCCACTTGCATCGAAAGCCCAAGACGGTGAAGAGTTGTAACAGAATCTCTAACGAGCACGGCAATCTATTCGACATGGTGGCGTTACCGGCATCTAGAGCAACTTGCTGTTCGAAAATGTCTCACTTGCTGTAGCTATGACCCAGAGCAAGAATTTTCAGGTAAGTAGGTGAGCATTGCTCAAAGTCAATTGTGCCCATACAAGGCTTCTGAGATGCAGTACTCCCAAGCTACCTAGTGCAGGCCGGCCAGCACAACCACGCGCGCAATATGAAAACGGAATTCCCACTCTATTTTGTGAAGAATGTCATGCTATAGCTATGCCAGAGCTACCCGTCACAATCATCTCAAGACTGCGTTTTCTTCACCAGCTCGAAAGCCTCATATACCGCAAGCTCTTGCTCCTTGAATGTGTACTTGAACTTGACATCGCCGCACCTGTGAGCTCTAGCCTCTTCCTCGGTGACCCACAAGTACGCCTGATGCTCATTTGGATCGAGCGTAACTTCGTAATCTTCCACCTCGGTCAGAAAGGAGTATTTGCACATGCGTCGCTGCCGCCCGAGAAAGAATATAAGGGGTTCTCCCACGAGGGAAACAATAGACTTAGCACGTAGTCCACTCTCCTCCCATAGCTCGCGTGCTACGGCGTGTAACAAAGACTCGTCTTCGAAGTCGCACGCCCCGCCTGGTATCTCCCATAGCGACGGCAACGAGTCGTGCGCTGCTCGTTGCACAAGCAGCAGCTTGCCCTCCGGGTTGAAGACGAAGGCGCTGACGGCTACTCCTTCGAGTTTCGGGTGCGCTTCCAGATATTTCCCCATTGATAGTTGGAATGGGGCTAGGGAGGGTGCAACAGTGAAGGTCGTCGGCGCCATTTGGTTTTCTTGACAGAACAATGGTAGGCACTAAGTATCTAGCAGGTATGCTCTTTAGATAACTTGAAACCAAGCAGAATAGTCAGACCCGTCTTTTTCCGGCTACTCGTTCGTTAGCGTGATGTAGGCTAGACTGGGTAGGTAATAAGTAGGTAATATGATACATCCGTCTTATATGAGAAAGATGAATGACTTCAAATGTTGTTCTTGTCCTTGGTCTTTTGAAGTGGCAGCCTGGTCTTAAATATGCTCTCAAAAGGACCAGAGTATGACTGACTAGGTATGACTATGTTCTAACTTAGTGCCCCCCGTCCCCCCGGGAGCAGCCAAGGATCTGGGACTAGTGAACTGATCGCAGAGCAAAAAATGACCAGTCAAAAGCCGAGATTTGTCCTTCTAGAGCACGTAAGACGGACAAGGGGACAGCTGAGGCTGCATCACATGCCCGGGGGTGGTAAAAGACTGAAGCTCCGGTTGCTGGATTCTCCTTCCGGGACAACCCTAGAACTGGATCATGGTAGGTTATGTAAGTATTTACCAAGCAACCACCACCGCTTGTGTCTGAGTGAAACAGCCTTGGAAGCAACCTGATTGCCATGTGTCGTTTCCGATTTTTGAGGAAGACCAACAAACAGTACTAGCTTTGGTTACCTACGTAGGGTAGTTAGGTTACCAAGCTTCGTAGGTAAGAAGCAATCATCACGATCAGTAAGACGAGCCGGAGAATGTCTAATGTCTTTCGGCAGAGGGAGGCGCGGACTGGCTTACCCCATACCTATCACAACACGCGGAGATGCATTGTGTATCTGATGTATGCAGTTCGGCGATGCAGTCGGCAGGGTTGCTATGTATGTATGTAGGTGTAGGTGTAGGTGCTGTGTACTACAGAGTACATACATACCTAGGTTAGAGACTTACCAAGCCTTGGGTTGGTAAATACGAGCATTGATGAATGTGCATACTACTAGCACAGGCACCTATCAAAGTACACTGCATACATGGCTGCAGTGATGACATTGAAAAAGCCATATCCGATGTCCATACGTAGCAGAAACCGTTAAGCCACAACCGACCCGATAGGCAGTTAGTACTACATCGCATACTGCATTTTCATATGTAAGTAAGATCCGTTCGGGACTGACAGGGATTGCCGTCTAGGTAAAATCGGACCGTGACAAGATACCGGGACAATGCTACCAGAGACTATGTAGGTGTGTAGCAACTTGAAATGAAAATCGGATGTTTCAAAAACACACGAAGAACTCTATCAGTTTGAACTAATGCTGTGTCGGATAGACACCTAGGCATGTAACTACCTAACCTAGTACACTACTACATATGTAGGTAACACACCATTCAAACTCAATCAATTATCAATATCAGTAGGTAACTTAGGGTACCTATCCTGGGTACCTACCTAGGTATAACTAGTAACTACAGGGTAGTAAAATTATATGCCAGCGCTACTTCGTACATGTATTGTAAATACACAGGCGATAAGATAGGCAGTTGCTATTCAGAAGTTACACATCCTATACATGACTGACACATGACTGACACATGACACACGACACATCCATGGATGTAGGTTCAATGTTCATCAAATATCTACTATAACTACCTACATATGTAGGTACCTAACCTAGGGTACTTGTAGTGTAGTTACATGTATTGATGTAACTATCTCTACTACTTCAATGTTGGTAGGTACTACCCCCTTAGCCTACCATAATACTTACCCAACCTCCATTTTGAATTCAAGTACCACCCTAATACCCAAAGCACCCAACCCAACAGCATCCACCCCAACATTCAATAGTGTGTCTGCCCACCCTACTATTGATATACATGTAGGTAGTTCAAACTACTGTATTCATGGCATTGATGGTAATACATGCTTGACCTGCCTACCTGCCTCCCTATCTACTAGCTTCCAACTTACATAGTAGCCCTCTCACAAAAGCCGTTGAAATCCCCAACGATCATTCATCATATATCACCTGTTCTATTATAACCTTAGTGTCTACCTACGTTCTACAGAACGGCATAGCGACCCATCGAGCCGGGACTGTGTTGTCATCTGGGTTGAGGGGAACAACATGGCCACGCACGCCGCGTATCTCGCGTACAAACGGGATAGTCGACATTTACTATACTGGATAATACATGCTTCAAACAGCATTATCGAGTCGTTGGCATCTCGCGAGCATGCCACAGAAGAAGAAGATCCAGAGACCCAGACAATAAACACGACAGGTCAAGTTACTGTGGCGGGTTTCTTGTCTATGTCTAAGCTCATTGCAAAACATATTAATCCCATTCCTCCCATTATTTATCGTTTGTTACGCTCTGTCATTAAGGCCCGAACCGCAGCCTTATCGTTTTTTAAGGAGGTTGTTACTCTTAATCCGGACCCCGAGATCAAGAAGAGCAACGCCACCCACAAGCATTTTATTGATGCTTTGGCCCAAATCTTCAACATCCTTGGGGGTGACGTGTGGGTTTCGAGCCGAAAGTCTGAGGATGACCAGTCCGAAGATGAGAAGTACGAAGACAAGGACATCATTGATATTATATTCGCCAACAAGTTCTCCGTCCTAAACATTGAAGATCCTAAACAGGCTGAGGGTGAGGGCGATGATAATAACGACGAAGAGCCTGATCAAGAAGCACATGCTGTTACCCCCATCCAGGGTCAACGCCAGCCAAAGCCTGGAAAGGGGAAGAAGGGCAAGAAGGGCAAGAAAGGAAAGAAACCGAAGAAGACCCAGAAACCGGCAACAACTAAGCCTCCCAGCCTGGATGACACACCACTGGAAAGCTACCGTATCATCGAGGCTGAGGATGAACTCGTAACTGAGTATCTAATGGCGGCCTATGGACTCTGGACCGAATGGGCCGATCTTCGGTCCTATCTGCAACGCCTTTGGCACGAAGTGGCTTACAGCGACCTCAATAGTGCAGTGGCTGGTGAGCTCTCAAATTTGGCCATTGCGACGATTCGGCGAGCCGAATCGGCAATATTTGTCGATTTTCCTGGTCATGAGTCGTATGAAACAATCATACAAACTATCACACGTGGTGATATAGAAAAGGTCCAGGGCCAATTTACTGTTAGTCTCTATTTGAAGAGCTTGGACGGGGCACCGACTCAGACGATCCCGGAAACAGACATAGACATCAAAGAAGGACTATTAACCCACGCCTATCGGGATCTCCTCGACTTCGTGACGGACTTTCAGAAAACTCGCAGTGGGAAACCTACTGCTCCTATGATGGCCGAGATCCGCAATTGGAACCCTAAATTTAACCTCCAGCGTGCTAGTAAAGAGCAAAGACTCAAATGGCGTCGATCGTACACTATCAATTGGCTCTATGATCTTGTCAATGTGTTTTCTTCGATCGTTGTGCAGCGCAATACGCAGAGGGGAGAACGCCACGCGTATGAAAGCGTAGACTGGTCAATCCATGGACCGTGGAATCGTCACCGGAGATTATTTGGCCTGAACGAATTCGCCGGCTTTGTTACCGCTCTGGCAATGCAAAAGCCTGGTACAGATGTTCGGAATAAGATCCTCCCACATCATGTTTTCCACCTTCAGTGTATTGTTGATTCTCTGACAATTTCCCGTGGGTGGTCCCAAACCACCCTTCGAGGCCACATCTTAGAGCCTCCGGCGCCGGGATTTCGCCCTAGGCGAGATGTTGACTTATTTCTGGATCGTGAAAATGAGAGGATTGGTATGGGATTCCTAGAAGGGGTACAACATCTAAAGCAGATTATCCAATTTGACGGTGGGTCTGAAAGAGAGTCCAACCGTCATAGACGTCAATGCGATATACTCGAACTTCTGCAGGGAGAGTTCGTCAACTGGCTAGGAGAATCCAAGTATATGCATGGGCTAAACACAATACCCCCGTCTCGCTTCTCCGATACCGACTCTAATGGATTGTGGGAATATTCGCCATTTCTATGTGGAGTCGGCTTGATGGAAGGCCTAGAGCTCGAGTACGCATGTAATATGATGATATGGGATGAGAGGCCCGAGCCCCTCCTGCTTGTACATCTACACAACATGCTCGTACAGAAAGGCTATATCACGGAGCCTGTTGGCCTGTATGTAGGCCTACAGAACATGCACCGTACCGCCTTTTTTGCGGATGGAAAAATACCAACATCTGATTTTGGCGAGGCCCTGACTAGACGAGTCAGCGAGACGGCAACACATCGCGCAACTACACAGCGCTCTTCAGTGCGCGCATCTTCTCGTGTTGGTGTAGATATACATGACATACTTAACCAAGATGCAAACCGTTTCTTTCAGGCTAAGCCAGTTCTTATCCTCTATCGCAAGGCGGACTGGATGATTGAACGAATTCCTGAAAAGGATATCATAGTGGGTTCCGGCTTAGCTATGCTGCGTCTTTCTCAAACCAAAATTGGGGTCGATCCAAAGACGGGTAAGAGGCAACTCGAAGATACAGATCTGGTTCGTCGCCATAAAGCGGCCGGCGTGAGCGATGAGGCCTTACTCGATATATCCTCATTATTCCGCAAGACAAAAGCTGCCGATGAGGATGTCGTGCCGGAGAAGCTCAGGGCACTTGTCCCGGAGGATTATACCGCTATTATGGGATCTGAGTTTAAGAAGAAAGCGAAGGGAAAGACGGAGCATCCGCCAGGAGAACACGGCAATGTCGACATGTCTGGACGCGAACTGCTGGGGTTACTACAGTGGGATGTTTTCCGCGAAGTTTGCGGGGATAGACCTTTGTTGGGCCTCAATTACGCCTATGTGATGGTGGTGTTCTTGGGCTACTTCATGAATGTGGAAAGTATGTTGAAGGAATCGAGGAACCCTCTGTATATGAGGGCATATGAATCCAACACGGATGGAAAATCAGCGAAGCGAGTGGCGCTAGTGATACAGGCGCTCAACGAACTGGACGACGAGTGCTTAAAGGTGATGGCTAAGGCGTTTGAGACGCCCAGGGCTGGATTGTGGAATCTAATTCACTGGGAAGAGTTAGAGGCGGTGGCAAGTCGAGTTGAAAGAATGAGCAAGGACAGCGCTCGGTACGAGCACTTCCAACATGACAGTTGTGGGGTCATGTAGAGAGAGATGGAAGTGATGGGTAGGAGAGACCTCATTTGCTTGAGCTTTAATATCATAGGGCCATATAGCTACTACATATAGGTACTAGGTAGATATGCAGATGGTAGGGTACCCTAGGTACGCATGTACGCATTAAGACGTGTTGATTTTGGTAAAATAATATTAATTACAAAGTCTGTTCCATTCGACGACCCCACGACGCCCATAGTTTAAAGCATGGTGGCTCATCTACGATCTCATATCGGTGGCGTCATGCTACATAATGTGTGCGTGTAGAAATGCATGTATTGTACAATACAATACCTACTTACAATAGTTATTGGTATCGTTATGGAGTTCATAGGTATAGGGTGTGGGGACCGCCAAATGTTGGTTCATGGCTGAGATAGCTGAGACAAAGTATCACTCCAGGGCTGAAAGTACTACGTACTACACATTTAGATACTAGAAATAGTAACTGGAAGTCATCGCATGCCTAATTAGGTACTACCAAAGTAGGTAGGTAGATATTTAGTATAATTGATGATTACCTATTATGTATCGTACCTATTATTAATAGCACTACCTAGAAGATGGCCGAAAAGATGCATACAGCTGGAGTCTGGAGATATTTAAGATCTTGGCGACTCCTTGTAGCTCGTGCCACCCCCTTGAACTATACTATATGAGGCATCCCTACCTACTGGGTTAAATACAGTATGTCCTTATTGGAGTCACGAGTGTGCCTAGCAGCTGGGCTTGTTAGAGGACTTCATGTTTTACATAATATCTACATCCTTCAATGTTATACTATATATAGACACTTAGTTAATAACTACCTGGTATGTTCATGAGTCTAGCTGCCGCTATGGCTCAAATTGAGTTACTGTTGCCCTACTTTCTGTGTCACCTTAAAGGTTTCCCACCTGAATTGTAAGGGTTGCTGAAAAAGTTAGTTACAATAGATTTGTAACAACAAGTTCGCGATGAAACGCTCCTGTTACTAAAAAACTGACCATTGGTCAAGGTTAGCACCTTATAACAAAGGTACAAGTACAATGCCTAGGCGTTAAGGCACGTTAAGGCACGTTAAGGCCCGTTATTGGTGATGCCGAGAGCCGCAAAATACAGGTTGAAATCCCCTGCTCCATTTACTAGGTAGTAAGTAGGTACAACATACATACCTAGGTTAGGTAGCTTAAAAGAAGTCTCGGCAATGGAACTGTCAGCTTGGAAGCTTGGGAATATCATGGCATTTTCCAATTGCCCTCCATCGCCGCCGCTCTTGTGATATTCCTTCTTCCTTCTTGATTTATTACTTTCCAGTTCTTTTTTCGCCGTAATTAGTCGTCTCTACGACTTTCCTTCTCTTCGCATTTTCCCTTTCTTGCATTGGTCTCTGACAAGGCCCATTTCCAGCATAGCACTGGGGTTTTCATCTTCTTTTTTTCTTCCCTTTCACTTAATATCTTCCTCCAAGCTGCCACGGCTGCCGCACACGCTACTGCGCTGATCGCTGCATAGCCTCCCTACCTATTTGGGAATCCTATAAGGATTTGTCTTTTTATCAATTCGTTTAGATCGACGGATAGAACGGGTAGACGGGGACGTGGATATACGAGCTAGCTGCTGGGCCAGCGACATACTGTATTATACATCTAGAGTGATCAGCCCTCCACCATATCCCCGACATCTTCACTTCACCTTTGGTTTTATGCTTCAGTTCCGGATACGGGATCGTCAAAAATTGATGCCGGGATACGTTCGGTGCCAATAACCAGACCTTACCTTGCCAGATATGGCATCTCGGTTGTTCTTCACCCTCTCTTTGGTGATAGGAGCTATTTGCCACGCCTCTGCTTTAGAACGCCGTGGCAATCACTATGTCAAGATACCTGTCGTGCATTCTACGAATAGCAAGATCTTTTCGGAGTTTGGGGACAAGCGGGCAATCACCACAGTGCCCCTAGCCAACCGGTCTGATGTAGCTTACTACGCTCAACGTTTGTGATCCCCCCTTTCGGACCGGCTCGAAGCTTTCGTTACTTACCAAGTCACTCTAGTGGATATCGGTACGCCGCCGCAACAAGTCTACGTGCAACTAGATACAGGCTCGTTCGAGCTTTGGGTAAACCCTGACTGCTCCGATCTTTCAGGCTCAGCAGATGTCAGATTCTGCCGAGCAGTTGGCCGTTATGAGCCTTCATCTTCATCTTCCGCGGCTCGTCTGACAGGCACCAAAACACTTCAGTACGGTATTGGTAGCGCCAGTATCCAGTATGTTTCGGATGTCATCGGCCTCTCTGGCACAGGTCAGTAACCTTCCTCGAGTTCGTTTCCGTCGAAATATGGGTTGCTAATTTCGATCAGACACGAAGTTGAGTAAGGTTCAGTTTGGTGTCGCCTTCGATACGGTTGATGAGTTTGCCGGCATTTTGGGCATTGGGCACGGAAACAACGTTACTATTCGGTACAACAACTTCATAGACGAGCTGGAAAGACAAGGTGCGACAGAGACGAAGGCATTCAGTCTGGCTTTGGGCAGTAAGGATGAGCAAGAGGGGGTCGTCATCTTTGGCGGGCTAGACACTAGCAAGTTCACCGGAACCCTCCAGACGTTGCCAATAATTCCTGCGGAAGCATCCCCCGACAAGGTCCCGAGGTACTGGGTGAATATGACTTCCTTGAGTCTGACCCCTCCGAGTGGCCAAACAAAGGTGTATGAGAACACCCCGATGACGGTTTTCCTGGACAGCGGCGCCACTCTCACCCTTCTACCGACAGATTTGGCTAATGCGATCGCGGTGGACTTTGGAGCTGATCCCACGACTGCCGATGGGGTCTATCCTGTCAACTGCTCTCTTAACGACGTTCCAGGCACCCTCGATTTTGCTTTTGATGGTGTGACGATACATGTGCCCTACAATGAGTTGGTTAGAGAACTTCAGACGACGTTCGGCACGCAGTGTTATCTAGGCATTAGCCCAAGTGACTCCTTTGTTCTGCTGGGCGACACAATGCTCCGCTCTGCCTATGGTGAGTCTAACATCTACTCTCCTTGTATCCTATGAAGAGAAATTGACAACCTTTCACTATAGCTGTTTTCGATCAAACGAATGACGCCATACATCTAGCTCAGTACGTCAACTGCGGCACGAAAGAGCTTGAGATCACGGATGGGATGGATATGTCGACTATCAAGGGGGATTGTGATGCGCCAAATTTCACAGCTACGCCGAAATCGAATGACGCCGCTACTACTACCACGACGGGGGTGACTGGAGCAACGGGAGTTAACTCGCCTACAGGTTCGAGTTCGGATGCAGGGGCATCAGCGGCACCTGAATCGTTGAGTTCAAAGAACCGGCTTGAGTGTTATATAGGGTTGGCCGCGGCTTCTTTCTGGGCAGCAGCAGTGCTTGCTTGATGATTATAATAATAAAATATGGATGATACCCCAATACATGTCTCTTTGGAATGAACTGATACTCCGGATACCAACAGGCCATCCGCTTATCTACCAAACATACCTACCTACGTTCCGCCATCACACCTGGTACATATGTTGTATCACCCTGCCACAGTGTTCGTGGGGCATATAGTTACACGCTTCCACTAAGCTCTATGTAGGTACCTACGTACGAATCTCGATTCAGCGTCGTTCCAGATTATCATCACATTTCCACACTCACACACAGATAAAGGCAAAGACACGAACAGGAAAGCTGATGTAAGTATTGATGTTGTTATGTTGATTAAAAAGCGTGTTATCAAATATCGAGTTATTAAATTGCGAGTTCAGATCCCTTCCAAACTACTAGCCAGTAAATCAGTAAATCAGTAAATCAAAAAAATAACATATCCATGAATCTTCTTCTTCAAGGTTTCCGTAAATTCATTCATTCTCCCCATTTTTGCCTATAGGAAGCAGCTTTCACCCAAATCAATAACAGAAACAGCGTTATAAATAATATCTCCAAGATGTGTGTGTGGTCCTTGTTTAAAACGGAAACGGCGTATATATATGTGTGTATGCGTGTATGTGTGTGTGCAAGCTTTAAAATTTCATAAGGTCTATGTGTATAGGTATAAGTAGGTAGTAGTAGGTAGGAGGGTGCAAGCAAAGTGCACACAAAAAAAAGTACGTGGTATCTTTAAAAAATCCTAAATACAGTAACAAAAGAAGGTAGGTTTAAACGTATTACGCCTGCGTATATAGGTTTTTTTTTGTTTTTTTTGTAATTTTTGGGCATATATCCCCTATATCCCTCCCTCATCTCGCGAGGAGAAAAAAAGGGGGGGATATAGTGGTTTGGTTGGAGAGAGCGGGTTCATTGAAACAAAGAAGAGTTTTTATGTTTTTCATGATTCTTCCTTCTCCCATCGCCCCCTGCCGGGCCACAAGCCCTCGAATACCTGCGCCATGACATCGCGGACCCGGCCGACCTGCTCCGCGCTCTCGGTCATCACGTCGTCGTTCAGGCACCACTGCCCGTACACCTTGCCCTTGCGGATGGTGCGCTCCAGGAGTTCGATCTCGGCCTGCTCCGCGTCCTTGATCATGACGAACTTCATCGCGTCCGTGTCGATCACGGTGTGCTGGTACTTCTTGAGCGCCTTGACGATGACCTCGCGGTCGTGCGGCTTCGACGCCTTGGGCGGCAGTAGAGGCTCGAGCCCCCGAGGTTGAGAGGCGAGCAGGAACTTGAGCAGGCAGTCGCCGCACTGCGGGTGCTGGTACGAGAGCCGCGAGAAGATGTTGGACGCGCTGAAGTCCGGGTTCGAGGAGGTCGAGTCCGACAGCGCCGACGCGAACGAGTCCCCGAAGCACTTGTCCACGCTGAAGTCGTGGCACTTGACGTTGCGGATCGTCTCGGGCCCGTCCAGCGACGTCCACAGCACGTTCACGTTCACCTTGGGGGGCTGCAGGCCGGCTTTTTGCAATATCTCCGGGAGCTTGTAGTACATGCGCTCGCGGATCGGGCTCTGCGCCGCGGGCTTCGAGGCGTCGTTGGTGGCCAGCTGTCGCCACCCCGGCTCGACGGACTCCAGCAGGTGCTGCCGCTCCGTCCAGTCCAGGTACCCGTCCGAGTTCTCGTCCGACCGCGACATGATGAACGACCACAGCAGCGCCTCGCGGAACCGCTCGATCGTGTAGTGGAACGACGCGTACCACGGGTAGATCTGGAAGCGGGACTCGCCTCGGAAACGCTCGCACGCGCCCTTGGCGGAGGGTTGGGGAAAGGACGCCATCGCCTCTTCCATCACCTTGCGGGAGACCGAGTGGCCGAAGTGCGCCTGCACGTGGCGGTTCCGCTCGCCGAACCGGTGGTTCAGCAGGTACGAGGTGTAGTAGACGAACGGCTTCTCGCCGAAGGAGGGGATCTGCCCTTTCCCGCCGAGCTGCTTGACGTTGTAGTGGTCGCTCTTAAACCCCATCGTGGGCCCGAAGAGCGGCGAGTAGAAGTCCGAGGCGGCGTGGGGCATGCCGAGGAACATGTCGTCGGACAGGGCGAAGAGGTGGTCGGTGGTGGAGGGGGTCATGAAGATCTGCGACTCGATGGAGAGCGAGTTGAAGGTGGGCAGGCACTCCTTCTCCTGCTCGCGGAAGAAGGACTCGTGGTTGAGCACCTGCACGTGGTCGTTCGTGTTCTCGTCGTCCTTGAGCCAGGTTGGGCGCTGCGGGTGCATGTGCTTCCCGCTCTTCTCGTACGAGGCGCCGCCGACCGAGTTGACGAGCAGCTGGATCTTGTTGATGAACCCCTTGGCGTAGACGTCGAGGCTGCGGAGGGAGTACCGGAGCTCGTCCCAGTCGCGGTACCGGTTGATGCTGTGCTGCGATATCCAGTTGCCTTCCTTGTCGTTGAGCGGTGACTCCAGCTCGAAGTTGCGGCGGACGTCCTTGAACGCCTCGTCGGACCCGTTGACCCAGTTGTAGACGAAGTCGATCTTGGGCTCGGCCAGCGGGCCATGCTTGTCGACGTCGAACTGGCCGAGGGAGAACCACTTGTCCTCCCAGCCTTCCAGCTCGACGTCCTGGGTCGCCTCCTCGAACGGTATCCGCATGACGTCGGGCAGCACGTGGTGGAGAGTCTTGTCCTCTTTTGTGGACTGGGTTTTTGTTCGGGCGTTCTCCTCGCCGCTCTGGGACATCATGACAGCGCCGCCGCCAACCCATTGAGATGACTTGCTGTCCAGGGCAGCATGCCGCATTAGCTGAAGGGTAGTATAACTCTGTCCCTCCGAATGTACCGCCTCCCACTTCCTATCGATCATGATCCATACTAATGTTACGATTCCAATTAAACATAATATCCTCCGTATCGGCCGTGACGTGAACGTCCCCTGTTCTATGGGGGAACTGGGGACTTTGATGAAAAGCCGCGGCAGTCTCGGCGACAGCATCATCACCCTAGAATATCCGATGGGACTTTGGCTCCGGCTCCGGTTTGGTATAGAGATGTGTTCACCTTTCCAGGCCATCATGAAAGGAAGAGATTTATTTTTGTAGAGATCCGCGGAACCCTCCTTCGACTTAAAAGTCGGATTTCCTTTCCTCTCTATCTCTCTCCTCTCTATCACTCTCTCTCCTCCTATCGGTGGCCGCTAGTTTCTTTTTCCTCTGTAACGCAACGCCCACACGCACGCCCTGAATAATAGCCTGAGATAGAAAAACCTAGAGGACCCCAACAACGAATAGCAGCACACCCGACGTTTCCCTTTCGGGTAGCTCAGTTTGGTATTCGGGGAAATAGAGATACAGAGATGGGGGAGAGGGGGGGGGGGGGGGGGATGGAAAAAAAATTCTATTTGGTATAACTGCAAAGATAGAAGAGAAAAAGAGTGGAATGACAACCAAGTTGTCGTAACGTAACGATCGTGAGTCGCGTGCTTTGTGTGTGATTCACATGCTCGGGCCGGATATTAACAGGGGACGTCACCGTGAGAGAAAAAAAAAGCCAATGTCAACGTCGAATAGTCGTGATCCAGTTGGCAAACTCAGATGATAACGTCTCTTCTCCTCCTCTTCTCACGTTTTTTGGTTGTGTGTATGTATGTAAAAGGTATGTAGTATGTACTAGGTAGGTATGTCTGGTACCGAACGAGAAAAGAGTTCTCATAAGTCGGTGGCCCTGGCCTATACAACAAGCATACAGAAAAGCATACCTTGGATCCTTGGATAGGGAAACGGATCATCCACACACGATCACTTGCTAGAACTGATTTGATATTAATCATGCCCACAGTGCCAAGTTCTGGAAGCGGTCGAATCGACGAATCATTTCAGGGACAAGAGTCTAAAAGACTCAAAGGAGTCAAGGGGACCTGCATTTTTTGGGTATGCAAGGTCCACGGTAAGTGACAAGAAGGTAGGTACTAACAGTACTACTTACACTTGGGGGTGGATGACGAAGATCTCATCCATTAGGCTATGGAGACTTTCGATGGAGAATTGCTGTTTACCTATTATTTTTTTATCCTTTTTCCCTTTTTTCAACATGGGGCCCAGCTTGCCAAGGTATTAGGCCGAGAGCGTTACCTTTCCTCTTCCCCAAAAACTGCAGCCCACGTCACAAGAAGGTAACGATAAGGGGAAACGCACGATTCATGGGTTCATTGGCATATTGCTGCATTGGGAAGCGCCCTTGACGACAAGAGGAGGAGGCCCTTGTCCCATCCCATCTCCAAGTTTGATATCTACGGTACTATGGTACATGTAACACCAAAATTCGCTCGAGTCATACATAAGTAGACGGACTCTGACGGAGACGCACTGGGGAGGCACGCGGTATGGCGAGGTTGGCTTGGTCTTTGCTCGGTGTAAAGTGGAATGAATAAAAAAAGGTCGGTAACTTACATAAAAATATTTGCCGTCCTGGCTTCCTGGCCCGTCCTGCGTTACCTTAGCACGAACTATTGCGATCTCCTTAGGCCTAAACTTGACTTGCGAGTGGAAGTGTGGATTTCGATTTATTCTGATGTGTTGTAGCTCGTTGCTGGCTAGTTGGTTAGGTAATGGGGTTACTTTCTCTACTAGTATCTACCGTAGGATTTCTGTTTTAGATCTCTTTTTCTCCTTCTCTCCTTCTCCTTCTTCTTCACCTTCTCTTCCTGGTAATTCCACACGTGCTATCTGAGACCTACTACTACATTATAGTCTACATAGTTCGCTGCAACTAAGACCTGCGTCTCGTTTGAGGTCGCGTGCTCGCGTGCTCTAGGGCGGTTTCTTCGATAGGAGTCGTCGTTGAAATTTGCTACTAGACTAACCTACTACGTTAGCCGGTAGATAGTTATAAGAGTAGTGTATAATGAACGGTATAATAGTTCATGGAGAAGAAGAAAAGGTGTGCAGCTAGGTTAGCTAGCTTCACGATAGGAAGGGATCAACAGGTCCAAATACCATCATAGTTAGCTTCCTGACCTAGGAAACCAGCTTCCTAGGTGGATAGCAGTCTATCTTAAAATCCATCTACAAATAAGCATACAGAAATAGACTGAAAAGTGATATCCAAAAGGCCGACTACCTATGTAGGGAGGTAGTCTGTGACAGAGCAGCGCCTTGGCATGTCATAATGCGGCTCTTGGCAAACCGGACATGCTAAGCCTTTTGAGAGATCGACTTGCAGATCCGGCACTCCCATCACTCGTGATTGGATGATCTTGGGGTCCTGCCGCCTTGGCTGAATCTTAAGTCTTCAGTGATCGCCCTATTCTTTTACCAGTTTGGTGGTTCTCATTTTCGGCGTGCCCTGAATTGCTAGTCCTCCTATCTCTCAACAGTCAACACAACTCGAGTGCCTAACCTAATGCTCATGCTCATACACCCCCATGTGACGTTCCGTTGTATGATGTTGAACGATCAGAGAATGTTGTAATAGGATTTTGATCCTTCTGCTACACTAATACTGTTGCACTCTTTTTTTCTTCTTCTTTCTTCCTGGTAGTTTGTGTGGCAAGACGCGCTTTAATCTCTGTTGTACACAGACTCTCTATCTCTCGCTCTCTCATTTCTATCCTTGGTATCACACACTGCTTTTGTTGTTGCGGCAATGCGGTAGTTGGAGCGAGCGAAGCCGTAGTGTTTCTTGGTTTGCCGCTCTTTCTTATCAGAGCAGTATTAACAATAATTACTTACATCATTGCATACATACATACATCATTACCATCTAGGATATACCCTTAGTAACTAACCCTAGGCTCATTTGAGAGAGCCCCTGTGCGGTGGCCCAGGTCATCTCACAAACGCAATCTTGGCTCATATCCTGGGAAACGTGCACGGCTCAAGATCCCGCCTTGCACTTGCATTACGATCATTACGTATGTGAAGCAAAGATAAAAAATAAAATCTTGCTTTTAGGAGGGGGGTTTTGCTAAAAAGGGGGGGTAGTGACACCCTCGTACTTTCGTACACTTCTGCCTTCTACCAAATCCATCCCGTCCCGTCCCACGAGAAAGTAGTTCAACGTTCAGGTCGCGTAACGTCGACTAAGCGAAGAGCGAGAGATATCACACATACATAAAAAGCCATGTATGTGGCGGGTCACTCGGCACGGGAGGACGAAGAAGCGCTCCTCCCTCAACAACTACCGCCGGGAGGGACGTCAGTCCGTACTACGGAGTGGTCCTCACAATGGAAAAACAGTCTACATTCACTTTCGTTTCGGGCGGTCTTCTGGCAAGGCCTTGCCTTCATGAGGCCAAGCTTCCTGCGGAAGCGAGCGCCGCCACCATCTTCTTCTTCTTCAGACTCGCCAGAGAAGGCTAACGCTCCTTTGAGAAAACCACACGCAACCGAATATCTAGACGGTGTTCGCGGTGTCGCGTCCCTCATTGTTTTCATCCTGCACTGGACCCACATCCCCTACCCGTCCGTCAACACGGGATGGGGATACAAGGACAACACGTCCTTCTGGCTGCTGCCTTTCATCCGGATCATATATTCGGGCGCTGCCATGGTTTCTATATTCTTCGTCGTCTCCGGTTTCGTCCTCTCCCACCGTTTCATCCAGCGGATGCAACGCCAAGAGTACACGGAGCTGTTCTCCGGTCTCACTTCGCTCACTTTCCGTCGGGCCATCCGACTCTTCCTCCCGGCCTTCGCATCTAGCTCCATGGCGTTCATCTGTGCGTCGCTTCGCATCGTCAACGTCCCGCGCAAGGTGGAGGGCAAGCCCTTTCATCACAGCCTAGGTGCCTACGTCGATTACCTCGATCGAGAATCAAACCCGTGGGACTGGGCCGCGGATTTCTCCGGCTTCTACAACCCGCAGCTGTGGTCTATCGCCGTGGAATTTAGGGGCTCCATGGTCGTCTTTCTCTTGATCATGGGATTGGCAAAGACGAGGACGGCCGTCCGCATAGCGGTCGAGACCTTACTCATGGCCCATTCCTTTGGGCACTGGCGCTGGGATATCGGCCTATTCATTGCCGGCATGCTTCTCGCCGAGCTCGAGGTTATCTTGCAGAAGCCGAAGAGCCCTTCGAAGAGGAGGATAGTCAACGCTTTGCTCATGCTTAGCATAGTACTCGGCCTTTTCCTTTGTGGATATCCCCGGGATCACAACACGCAGACCCCGGGATACATGTGGTCCAAGTACGTGTGGCCTTTTACTGCCTACCGTCGACGCTTCTGGTTAGCAGTTGGCGCGATACTAGTCGTTGGCCCCATGGTCTTCATGCCCTCCATCCAGTCCATATTCCTCACTCGACCGGCACGCTATCTGGGACGCATAAGCTTCGCACTCTACCTCGTTCATGGCCTCGGCAACCGAACAATCGGCAAGTGGCTGCTCAACGGCTGCTGGGATCACATTGGCAAGGAAGGGTACTGGCCGTACACCATCAGTTACATCGTCTCCACAGCCCTGTACTTCCCCATCGTCATATGGGCCTCCGACATGTTCTGGAGGGGAATCGATGTTCCGTCGACGAATTTTGCTAGGTGGTTTGAGAAGAAATGTGCTGCGTCGTCATCCATAACATCAGGGGGCGCGAGATAGACAGTCAGTTTGCATATTGCATATACCTATTTGATATGAATTGTATAATTTTTTTTTATTGTTTACCTATTGCTTCTTCATGGTCCATATTGCATTGCGCCATGCAGATGATAGGATGGAAGGGATTTGAATATTAGCCAGAAGATTACGAATCACATTTATTAGGCTAGGTACGTTGAAAAAGGTCTCCAAGGGGCGAGAACCTTTTGACGTCGTAAGCTTCTTTCCCAGCTTGGCCCAAAAAATCTATATACAGCATTTAATATAGTCTCGACCGTCAGGGGTCGTCTTGGATTAGCCGCATTACCTCACATGCCTAGAGCTCATGAGTTACGAATTAATATACCATCTGCTTTACCACCTGATATAATATACACCCGCAGGCTTTCAAGCCTCTTTCAAGCATCATGGAACACTTTATTAAATTCCACTCAACTCCAACTTCATCTAAACAACCTGGCATATCTCCTTCGTACCATTTGGAGATTCATAAGTAAAACTTGCGACAACTGCTACGTTACACTTGTTGGCGGTTTGATAGATATTAAAGATGCCGCCATTTCACATGGGATGGCGATCATCTAACCTCACGATTGAAGAAGCCTACCTACCTAACTAACCAGGCGCCCGTTTTGTCTTTTTGCTTTTGGGAATACCACCTTCTAAAGCATTTCAGGTCGTGAGACATCCATCATAGGTAGACACCTAGGTTAGGTTAGTAGGTTAATAACACCGAATTGAATTTACAGGCTTCCACTTCGAGGCTGTTGACCAGCGATCTAGCTACCTACCTACTTAGGTAAGAATTGACATCAATTGATGTCTGCAACATCCACGGAGATAAGCCGGCTTTGTATAAGGTTGGCTGCAACTGACATATCTCGTCACAACAAGGAGTGCATCTTATCTTCTTTCACCCTTGCGTGTTACTCCTGAAAGTAAATCATATCGTAACTTTGAACCTTCCAGCGTAAGCTTAGACTCGCATTTGAGGATTCCTTCGGAGCCCGAGCTGTGATATTGATATGGCTGCCTTCGGTGATTAGATGTCGCGCCAGGATGTGATTATCTCTAGACTGGAATAGCGTAGCAGTTGAAGGGAAGGATTTCGAAATCCGCTTCCTCTCTTCAATGCTTGAGAAAGGTTACTCGATATGTTTTGAATTGGTCGTAGTCAATGGTCTTTACGGGGGTATCGCCCTCGTTACCCAGGCATGACTGCTAACACTATGGGTTTAGTATACTCTGCTTAACTTCCATCGAAACTGGCATACCCATAGTCACTGATAATCGCGATGATCTTATTACTAGTTAATAGAACTATGAGGTGGGTTTAAAGCTTGGACGCCTTTCCAAAGATCCGACGCATAATAGCATTTAATGAGCATACGCGCCCTTCATGCTGGCCGCGCGGAGATGGATTCACTTGAAACGATGAACAACGAAGAGAACATTGACCTCATTAGTATAACTTAGGGCATGGACAATCGCGAATATTCGAGTGAGAAATGAACCATCCACTCCGTAGACCTTTGGGCTTTGAGGGTTGGCTGCTTAGATCAATGGCCCTTCTTATTGTCTAGGTTGATGTTTGATTTCTCATGCACCATGAGCTATCATTATGTTGCCATAATGAGGATTTCAACGTTGACGAAGCATTAAAGCGCTAGGTAGCCGCGTTTCTCGGAACAACTAAAGGGTTGAAGCTGTGTACAGAGAGTGATGTCATATACCGTTGAATGGATGCCGCTGTCATGAAAGGCTAGGGCCAACACAATGCCATCGCCAGGCCAAGATTTTCGAGTGATCGTTTGAAATATCAATTAATTATTAATCTTTGTGCTCATTTCTATTCAGTACCTACTATATAGGTAAGTATTATGGCAGCTGCTACAATAGGAGGCAGGTGTCTTGAGAACCTTGAAAACACACAGCCCAAGTGAGATCCCCCTTGGATCCCAGGCCAGATAGTATTCGGAGTGGAATGCTCACGAAGGTCGCGATGTCTTCCTTTTCCTCTTTCGCTTCTCTGAAAAGCCCCTTAAATCCCTCAGTGTTTGCAACTTAAGGGACTAAGCCCGTCGCTCCATCTTAGACCACCCATAATAGCCACCATACAAGCCAGCGCTGTCAGTACACTGATGCCTCCGTACCTATAGGCATGTCTTATTCTTAGGGCAGATAATTCGGCGACCCAGGTAGACACCGTAGTTAAGCACCCGCAGAAGCCGTCTTCGATGCCCTGCAACACTTGGCAGCTAATAACACCACCGACCGAGGCGTGGGCGAGGTCCCACGCCATGCCTAGGACCGCCGTGCCAAAGATGTTGACAGCGAAAGTACCAAGGGGGAAGGAGGGGAAGTACCCATTAAGGTATAGGGACGCATAAAACCGTCCCAGACACCCGAGAGGCGCGAACACCAGCGCGAAAGTTGCTCGGCCACGCCAGGTTTCTGCTGCTCCCTGGTTGCTGAACCTGTCGGGTGGAAGGATGGATAGGAGGATAGCTCCGATCCACGCGCCCCAAGCGAGGAAGACCGCAACGCGGTCGAGAATTCTGCGGGTGAAGGCGTAGGGTAGTGAAGGAGTAAAGGGTTCGAGGGCCAATGCGAGCTGGGCCCCGACAAAGAAGCCAGAGAGAGATAGAGATATGGTAGTTATGACGACCGCAAGGAGGGCCATAAAAGAATACCCTCCGTTTCGGGGAATAGACGTCCCATCCGCATCTGGCACGAGCATATCATTGGACAAAGCTAAGAAGATATCACGGATGAAGGAGGAAAACGAAGTAAAGGAACCGCAGAATCCAGTTGCGAGCCCGATGTACAGGGGTATGGTCTTCTTGGTGGTCATGTGAGCCTTCTTCGCAGCAGCAAGGTCAACGACGGTCCTCTCGGATCCAGACCTACCTGCCTCTTCATCAAGCCTATTATGCTCCTTTGCTCGAAGGAGCTGCAACTCGTACGTCGGCGTGCCCCATTCGAAACGGAAGAGCATGCGGTCTTCGGCCAGAAAGCCCAGGACGAGACTCCCTGCGAAGTTGGGCCACACGGAGCTGAAGGAGATAGGAGCTCCAGCGTAGAAGGTCAGAGCTTGAAGTCCGAGGCGAGCGAGAGTGCCGAGAAGGGCGAAGAGGATGAGATACGAGATGGTGTAGATCTCAGTTGCTAGCCTTGATACACCTCCGGGCTTTGGCTTCTCGGTCTCGGGCTGTTCACCCAAAGCGCGCGATGCCCTCCGCCGGGCCTCTTCATTACCAGAATACTCATGCTCGAGAGCTCTGTCCTCTTCTAAAGAAGGAGTGGGCCGTAGCTGACGCTCATCCCGGCTTGGGATAGGTGCTATTTCTTCCAACTCGGGTACGTTTGCATATGAATCCGGAATATTATATTCGGACTGTGATGCGGATGCACGATGAGGGGTCTTCCCGGTCTCTACATCTCGTCCGACATCTTGCGACGTATGCGTACGTGTGTGCGACTTGCCATCTTCCATGTCACCGTCGTGCGTCGCGATATAATTCCATGAGCGTTTTCGTGATAGTGGTTACAATTGACATCCCAAAAGATGTGACATTTGTGTTCAAAGGTTCCCCGGGTATAGATGCCTATCAAAGGTAGTATAGGCATTACTGCGTAGGTATTACAGGACCTATGCAGCTGTTGGCTTTAATTCTCCTCTTGGCGCGTATTTTCGGCCATTCCATGTAAAAGTTGTTTACGGAGAACATTGAGATTGGGATTGGGTATGACGGGAATAGTTAGTTAATGGCCACCGTATTAGACGCTACACGGCAGTTAGGTACAATAGGTACTTATGTAGGTGAGTCTTATCTAAGCGGCCGGTAATTGCGGGGAGTTAGGCCTCTAGAGTCGAGCTGCCCCGCGTCCGGAAACGAGCTGGAGCTCCTGAGTGCTGATAACGCTACTGTACAATACCTACCTCCTAGGTACTAGGTACGTTACCTACCTATTTTGAGGGAGTCACTACCCAATCATCCGCGTGCCAATGAACGCATGCCGCATATCAACAGCAAATGGGCACTCACACTGCAAGCTAACTGGGTAGATGCATGTAAGTTAAGTAGGTAAGTCAGAAGGAGCAAGGCAAAGCAAAGCGATGAGCGGCTTGTTCACCGTAGAACCGTCCTGCCTTCCTTAACTTTGAATCATATGGGCACTTACTTAATCTTCACCTACAATCGCTCAACTTCTTGTTATTCCTCCTCTTTTTCCGGTACTGCTACTGCTATTAATTTCCAAGTATCAAACCATATCGTATCATATCAGGAATAACGTCCTTGATTATCAGATAACCTAGTACGGCCGAAACGTGTTATAGTTACATATACATCGTTAATACAACATGTCTCTCCCTTCCAACGTCCATGTCTCCAAGCACCCGTGCCTGATGGCTAAGCTTAGCCGCCTCAGATCCAAAGGAACCGAGTCCCGCGAAGTCAAGACTTTAATAAACGATATCTCGGTGATCTTAGGGTGCGAAGCTCTAGCCTCTGCGTTGACGCCTGTTGAGGGCCCAAAGGTGGGTACCGAGATATATATCTATTATATGTTTAATCATTATATATTGACTTGGCATAGGGCGAGACCCCGATCGGGTTCGAATACACCACCACCACAGTGCACCCGCAAGCCCTGTCCATAGTGCCTATCCTTAGATCAGGACTAGGCATGGTAGAAGGTGTGTTATAGCCACCGTCTTGTCTAGTACTACCCAGTTGTAGTTGTAGCTGTAACTCTAACATCCTCTCAAAGCTATACAAACCCTCCTCCCCCAGCCCGTCCCCGTCCACCACCTGGGCCTATATCGCGAGCCCAGCACACTCGAGCCCGTCGAGTACTACAACAACCTCCCGCACCACGGCGCCTCCGCCGGTAGCACCGAGGGCAACCAAGTAGCCAGTCTTGCCATTATAGTAGACCCCGTCATCGCCACGGGCGGTACCTGCGCTGCCGCCATCCAGACACTTAAGGAGTGGGGGGTGAAGAAGATCCTGGTACTGTCCGTCATCGCCGCCGCGGAGGGCGTAACTCGCGCTGCTGAGGAGTGGCCCGAAGCTGTGGAGATTTGGGTTGCGGGCGTCGATGCTGAGCTGACGGGCAACGGCATGCTGAAACCTGGCGTAGGGGATGTGGGCGATCGATTGTTCTTAACGATAGGGAAGTAAAGAGCATATGATACAGCCCTGCCCCTGGAAGCCACGGAAGGGGGTTGGGGAATATTAAATTACTAGTGATAGACTACTCCTACTTGAATGCATTGGCATAAAAATAGAAATGGCACATTGGCTAGAATAGCTATTTAGAATATTGACCCAGTTGCTACCTGACCTTGAGTTTGCTTTGCTTTCTTCATATTAATCATTACATACATAGTACCTGGTACCTAGGCACTAAAAGTAAACGTACATGTATATCGTCACAGTGGCGCATATCTCTCTTCATCTATCATTGTACAGTTTTTCCAACAATCCTCAACCCATTGTCGCGAGACCACCCTAGGCACAGGGGAACGGCGGCTGATTATCGAGTGTACTTCTGCCGCCTTCTCTCTTTCACCTCTCTCGGTGCCGCCCATGATGACTACCTGGGTGATACTCCTATCGCTGAGGTCATCGGTCACCAGCCCGCCCCCATATCGAACCCAATTCTTTAGTTTAAGCGACGATACCGGGGCGACGTCGTCCGTAGCCGAAAAATACACAGTAGAGCCCCTAAATATGTAACTCCTCAAGCTACCGATATCGTGTCCATGGGCCGTCAGTTGCGTGAGGAACTCCTCCTTACTAAACGGCTCGCCTATGAGAACCTCCTTCGGCATCGAATTGAGCAGCTCCCTTAGCTCCTTCATGCTCAGGTCTCTGGCGTAGCTGTCGCCGAACTCGTCTACGGCCTCTTCGGCATGGCGTCTCGTGGGTTCGGTGGCATGGAACAAGTGGCCCGTCTCGAAGGGTATGAGGAAGTCCGTGTCGCGCTGCGCAAGGCAGTCTAGGATCCATTTCGGCCGGATGATGTCCACGTTGCCGGCCTTCATCAGGCTTGCTACCTTAACCACTTTTTTCTCGGCGATGAGCAACATATCCGTGCCCGGGCTAGCGCGCTGCGAGACCGTCCCGCCATTTTCCTTGATCAGCATCTCGAGCTGCGTCTTGGATTTCTTGACAGGCGCGGTGCAGTCCGTCAATACGCAGAACTCGAGGCCCTCAAACACCTTAGTCTTGGGCCCCTCGAAGAAAGCCGGCGCGGCGCTGTCCTGGCCAGCGATGACGATGTCACGCTTTGCGCGCTTGGAGGAGCGCTTGCGGCGGGCCTCCATGTCCATGGCCTTCTCGTCGTTCTCCTTCTCCGCGCGCGCCTTCATTTCGAGGAACCCCTGGAAGTCCAGCCCGGAGTCCCAGCTGCGGTCCGTCCGCATGCCCTTGAACCGCGGGAACCGCAGCGTCACGCCTTTCGCGAACTGGTCCGACGTCTCTGCGCTGGCCGCCTTGACGGAGATGACGAGGGACTCGCTCGGCCGGATCCACACGTCTGGCCGCACGGGCTGCTTGTCGTTGCTCGCCAGCTGGATGTATTGGGTCGGGGGGTTCTTCGGGTCCCAGGTCTTCCACTTGCCCTCCGTGAGTTGCCGGATCTCGGCGAGGTCTTCGGCGCGGAACCCGCCGCCCACTTTCACGAAGCTAAAGCATTTCTCTGGGTTCATGCCGGCTTTGATGTCGTTCTCCGTAACGCGCAAACCGCAGAGAAAGGAGGCTAGTGCACCGCCGCGGTGGCCGGCTCCGTAGTATCCGCCAATAATCAGGACATCCACGGACTCGCCGAAGCTGGTCATGTAGTCCGGCTTGACTTTGATCCAGTTGTCGTTGCGATCGGCTGGGCTGTATGCGGAGCGAGGGTTCTTCATGACTATCCCTTCAGAGGCATCCGAGACGATTTTCCGGAGCATTGGCTCGATTACGTCTGCCGATGTAGCTTTTTCGTATTTGTGTACCTCTAGCCGATATGGTACCCCAGGAACCGATTTTTCAAGTGCTTTTCGCCGATCTCGTAAGATGTACGGCGTGAGGGCTTTGTTGTTCAGGTATAGGATATCGAACACCCGAAATACTGGCCGAGGTGCATTGTCCTTATGCGGGTTTCGTTGCCCATCGATGGCCGCGGTTTTCAGTGTGCCGAATTTGAGTACTTTATCGAGTACTGGATCCCACACAATCATCTCGCCGTCTAAGATGATATTCTGTACATTGGGAGCAAAGGCATCTTTGAGATGTTGTGTTAGTGCGGAGTCACTATCTTCGAAGCTCTTGCCGTAGAGATAGGTGTAATCCTTGGCTTTCCTCGACCAGAAGCGGAATCTCGCACCACCCGGAACGCTGTTGTCTTTCTCCATATGCAACTGCATTCGCTCGCCGTCCAGCTTTTCTTCGATCCAAAACTCGTCGTCTCCTTCCTTCCGATTTCTGGAATTAAGCCTATCAACCATTTTCTGGAAGGAAGTGGACATCTGGTAGTGACAGAGCATGGGCTGGAAGCATTGCATTAACGTGACGTTGGTCTGGCCATCAGTAAGGCGGACTTTAGGGTCCCAAAGGTCCCAACACACTTGGCGAATATCTGAGGATACGCTGAACAAGTCTTGGGCGTCGGGATGCCATAGATCTAAAAAGGTTCTCTCTGTAGCTCCTACTTTCATATCCTTCAAGATGATACTTATGAGCCACTTCAGTTCTTCGGCGTTCATTCGCTGGTAAAAAATCTCAAAGATGGGCAGCTGTTCGCTCTCACCAGCGGAAGCGGCCAATTTGTCTAACATCTCGTTGACTTCGGCAATACGCATGTCTCCAGGATCTACGCGCATGGCCCTTTTGGACAAGACGTCGAAGCATCTTCCAGGGAAATCACCAGCGCGAGCAGAAGCCGAGGGACCTGGGAGTTTCCAACGAATGATGCTGGAACCATCGTCAGAGTTCCTGTCGATTCTCATCAACTTCACGAGCAATCTGGCAATGTTGCTCTCCTTTAGTCCGTACATGCCCCTGTAACGGTCTGAGCTGGGCAGAATTAAGCGCATGGCTGGGTAGAAGTCGTTTCCCACCTCGGATCGCCATTTGGAAATAAAGCGCTCGATGACGTTGCGTTTGTACTCCTGTGGAGAGAGCTTACTGGGCCCGCCGCGTCCAACTTTGCCGCGTGATACTTTTGGCTGAGACTGCTTCTTATTCTCGCTCAAAGGGTTGAAGAGTCCGTTGAATAATTCGGAGAATAGTTGTGTCCTCGAGTGATTCTTTGGTCGGTTAGGGTACCTTGACAATTGATTAGCTTCGTAATAGGTGAATTTTTGGTTATGACTTACTTCTTGTCTAAATCCTCTAATTTCTGCCCTCCTGTAACATATTGACGATATTCCTCATCCTCGGCGTCTGCATCGCGAGTCATATCGTGTCTCTGGCTCATGATTTTCAATTACATAGATGAAAAGGTGAAAGGGAAATTAATTGTTGGTAGGTACCTATACCTAAAGTACTCCAGGTAGTTTTTTAAAAAAAAAATACAATGGTATCTCAACCTCTCAACCCATTTCAATGTTTAATGTTCTTGAGATTTATAAAGTGTTTGTTCTATCATTGATCATTCTGAGTCTTCAACTGAACAGCCAAGGCATAGCAGCCTAGAATACGGAGTAAGTCAAAGCAAAACCGTATTAATTCATTTGTTACGGTGATTTACGTTAAACAAATTTACTTAGGTACTTAGTTAGTAGATAACTAGGTACGTACTGATTACCTAGTATTACATAACTACCCTAGTACCCTACTAGACATCGTAACGCATCCCACATTGATCGGTTTGATTTTTTTTTTATTTTTTTTTTAGCGTGGGGTCCCTGTGTAACTACTTTTGTACCCATAGATGTAATCAACGCGCTTCAACGCGACTTCAACAATTTTGAACTTTGACCACTTCAAGGTTCGATAGATGTAGTCACCGTACAAGGAGCACATACCATTTAGGTTTGGTACATACATGCTTGGTATCCACCTACTCGATACATTCAAACGAAATCAACATTGAATTAAGCAGGCATGTGCGTTTGTAGGATTACCCTTCCTACTAATCCGTATCGAGTCGATCAATGCTTCTCTTACTTTATTTTTATTTTTAACCCGAAATTTCAACTTGATCGACTCACGACTTCTTAACCAGTCTTGAACCTCCTGTATGACTACTGGCTGGTTCCGACTTCTGCCTTCAGGACCCCTCCGTTTCCGACACTCGTTTCCACATAGACATTTCCATGCCTTTGTATGTTTCGCGCCCTCTTCTCTTGACATCATGTTAGGCCGGGCTGTGAAGAAAAACCAGGCCGATGCGCCTTCAGCACGACCTGGAAAGACTGAACTCGCGAAGCAATTGTTCCCATCAAGCAGTCCTGCTGCTCACAATGGAGACCTCACACAGTGGGTATCCCACAAAGGACGTGCCAACCTGTTGTCAAATACCGTGTCGGGATCCTCGAAGGCAGCGGGTAACGACCCATTGCAACTTAGATCCAATAACCCCGAGCAACCTCGTCGCCCGCAATATAAGCCAATATCCTCCAATTCCTCAACCATTAATATGGCCAAACGCTCCGACAACTTCGCGTCTCTATACACCAATGCCGGCTCGTTCCAAGAAGATCCTGAGCCTGCCAATGGCACATCACAGGCTAAGGCGCCCTTATCTTCCTTTTATGCAGATGACGACTTCAGCGATGATAATACCTTAGAACTAGACATGGACTACCAGCTTCCTGCTTCTCTCCCTCCCCAACCTGCCGCGAAAAAGCCTCCTGCGAATCCCATACCTCAACCGCCTACCAGCCAAATGACCTGGCCTTCCTCGCCAAGAGACCATCTGTTTCCTCCCAAAAACTCGGAAAACAAATCGGCCAAACGTGAGTCTCCTGACGGAGTCTCGCGGCTTGGCCCACCCCCCGCGAAGAAGAGGAGCCTCCCTAGTAGCTGGAAACGGGAATATTCCGCAGTAGCTTATCAGGAACATGCGCCCGAGGAGACTAAGCAGGCGTCAGTTACTCCAGCCCCAAACAAGAAGGATATTACGTTGTGGGATACCACGGCTAGCGCTACTAAGGAGCGTCGAAAGCAACTCAAAAACCAAAATAAGAAATCAGAACCCGAACCAGGATTTTCCGCTGAGGAAATGGCTGCGACATCCAATTACATCAAACAAATGTCCAAGTCATCTGCAATATCCTTAAGTTCCGAGCAACAGCACGTAATTGACCTGGTTATGAAGAAGAAGCAAAGTGTATTCTTCACCGGTCCGGCAGGTACTGGAAAATCCGTGCTCATGAGAGCAATTATTGCCGAGTTGAAGAAAAAGTGGAAGCGTGATCCGGAACGCATCAATGTCACAGCTTCTACTGGCCTTGCTGCCTGCAACATCGGGGGTATGACGCTTCATAGCTTTGCCGGTATTGGCCTCGGAAAGGAGGACGTCCCGACGTTGGTCAAGAAGATTCGACGAAATGCGAAAGTAAAGAATAGATGGCTTCGAACGAGCGTTCTCGTCATCGATGAGGTTTCTATGGTTGATGGTGAGCTCTTTGATAAACTTTCGCGAATAGCAAGCACAATCCGAAACAACGGTCGTCCGTGGGGTGGGATTCAGTTGGTCATCACAGGTGACTTTTTCCAGTTGCCTCCTGTTCCCGACTCGGGCAAGAAGGATACCAAGTTCGCGTTTGAGGCCGGTACATGGAACACGTCTATCGACCATACTATAGGGTTGACCCAAGTCTTCCGTCAAAAGGATCCTCGTAAGTTTGATGTCACAAATTATCCGTTCTCTGTCTCGTCATCTAACTGCGTCATTAGACTTCGCGAACATGCTCAATGAAATGCGCCTCGGTAGAATAAGCGAAGACACAGTCAAGACGTTCCAAGGTCTGGCACGACCACTTCAATTTGACGACGATCTTGAAGTGACTGAACTGTATTATTGTCCATGCAAACCACATATAATAACCAAGCTAACATTTTGTTCCAGATTCCCTACTCGGCAAGAGGTCGAGAGGTCCAATGATTTTCGGCTACGCAATTTACCTGGTAAGATACAATTGTATGACGCCTACGATAGCGGCGAACCTCAGCAACGAGAGAGATTACTTGCGAACATGATGGCCCCCAAAACCATAAGTCTAAAAGTGGGAGCTCAGGTCATGTTGATCAAGAATTTGGACGACCAATTGGTCAATGGCTCGCTTGGGAAAGTTATCGATTTCAGGACGGAAGAAGAGTTCGAATATTACAGTAACCGCGTCAGCGAGGATGTCCCGGGTGATGAAGCACTTGAGGCGAGTGCCCGTCTGGCATCGAAAGTGAAGGCATTTATTCGCAACTCGGCGGCATCAAAAGCGGATTCGTCCTCTGGTATCAAGTACCCTCATGTTCGTTTTACTACGACAGATGGTACCCACCGATCCATACTCGTTACCGTGGAAGATTGGAAAGTCGAACTACCCACGGGCGAAGTACAGGCATCGCGCAAGCAATTACCCCTTATCCTGGCATGGGCACTCTCTATTCATAAAGCTCAGGGTCAGACTCTAGAGAGAGTCAAGGTCGATCTCGGCAAGGTGTTCGAGAAGGGCCAAGCGTATGTTGCGCTTAGTCGAGCGGTGAGCAAGCAAGGACTTCAGGTGCTGAATTTTGACAAGAGAAAAGTGATGGCACATCCCAGAGTTATCCAATTCTACAACAAACTGTACAGCGCGGAGTCAGCACTCAAAGCGAAGAAGCCTTCTACCATACAAGACTATGCTTTCAAAGACTCATCAACGCTGCCGAGAAAGAAAGACGTGGAGGCCATTAACCTAGTTGATGAAGAAGAGGAAGAAATGATGGCAGCACATGGGTTTTAGTTGTATCTTCACTTAATGACTGATTACTATCTGCTATAATGAGATGGCCAATAAGGCTTAAGGCTCATGATGATATGAGTATGATATATGTACCTAGTGCTATCATTATGTACAGTACTGAAATGCAATTAATCATTGCTGTACAAGTTGAATTGAACATTGAATGCAGACTCATTGCAGAGAGTGACAAAAGCGCTTCAATGTTGGCATGTGATAACTACTGGGTAGATCCTAGTATGTACCAGGTATTGTTGTCATGGTGGGTCGCGTTTGTTCATGGGTCCTAACTATATCGATAAGACCATGCTCTGACTAAGGTGGCTGAACGGAGACCAAAAAACCAAAGAACATCGAAACATTTGAACCAAAAAACAATCAGCGTCCTCAAGGTTTCTCTACCTTACGGTGAACTTTACAGCACGTCCATCCCTCGACAGTCGATATACCGTACCGAGTACCGAACTCTTAGACGATAAACGAGCATCATTGAACCGTGGAAAGTGTTTTCGGTCAATTTACCATTCGGCGCCAAGACATTCAGGTGCTTTAAAATACAGCTTCGAAATACTACAGAATCGCAACACCAAATCTTCACATCGAATTCGTATACCAAGTCGCCGCCACACAGACTGCCTACCTACCTACCTACCACCTACATATGTACCTAGCTAAGAAATTTGCTGGTACATGATTATACTGAGAGGTGATTAGATCAGTAATTGCGCCTATAGCCTACTTCGTAGGTAATCACCTCCATTATCACGGCCAAGATCAACCCCTTTGTAGCCAAGACAAGGGAATTCGCCAATTATATCATCTCTACCTGATTACTTCGATAGAGATCTGGGAATTTCGTGCTCTTTCTACTACACGTCTGTGGTTATGATCTGAGAATACCCTGTACCACCCGTACACCATACACCGTTGACCCATAACATTGAACATATACATACCGTATTAGTACCTTCTCCCTAAGGCATCTAAGGTATCCAGTGACGAATACATACCTACCTACATAATACTAGCTGCCCTAGCTGCCCTGGACATTACGAGTGATCGCTCCTTCACTGTGGAAACGCGGGTGGATCAGGTGCATGGGGTGCTTAAGTGCTTTTTTTTTGAGTGATAAGATACGTGCATTTTAAGTCCATCATTCGTTCGTTCAACTTAACATACATCCATTTCCGGCGAGTCTCGACACTATAGTCACCACAACAATTTCGTTTGGCGACTTTCAGAAATCATAGCCTCGCGATGATGGGTGAATCTGCTTCCCTATCCCAGTGGCTGGGTGGCCACTATGTTATTGTTCTGAAAGAGCCATTCGGCCAACGAATCCAAGGAATCTTGCAAGGTCTTGTCCCAGAGCAGCACCTAACCCTAGACCAAGGTATGTTGAATGGTTAAGTGTTGATATGACGTCTAAGTGTTGAGAGGACCTTTGGCTAATTGTAACCAGCCCTGCTGCTAGATACAAACCAGTTCCTCGGACAAGTTGACATTCGTGCAGACAATGTCACTGATATCATGCCAGTCCCTGGCCCTGCTGTCAAGCCTGCAGAATCATCATCACGTTTGACGACAGGACGTCCGATGCCTATGGCAGCGTTCCAAGATCCAGCTATCTTGAGTCTCACTCCTAAGTCGACTCCCAAGTCTGACGGCAATTCTGGCCCAGGCCCACGCTATCATCATGCGCAACCTAACACGGCAGAGAAACGAGACCCTGTCATACTCAATCCCGCTGATCGATTGACATACTCTTCTCCTGATGAGACTACTGACTCTGCCGTACCCGGCGGTCTTGACGCGCATGTGGCGCAATTGAAATTATCGCCCATCAACTCATCTAAGCTCGCCTTCGCTACAAGTGACCAAGAGAATCTCGAATCTCTCCCTTCCGCGACTCTCGACCCGGGTGCTCCAGGCCCAAGGAAGGAAAATGGCAAGAGTGCTCGAGGTCGTGGACGACGACGCAACAAGGTGGGTATCAGCAATGGTTCCCCAGCACCCACTGGCGGCAACAAAGGCGCAGGATGGAGGCAGACCCCCATGTTGCAATCCAGCGCATCTTTCCAGCCTTTTGCATCGCTCAAGAAAAGCCAGAAGAGGCGAGTTGACGCGAATGTCGCTAATGTTTGGGCCTCGGAAGACGTTACGGACGTCCAAGAAGCCGGTGACTTCGATTTTGAGGGTAGCCTTGCAAAGTTTGACAAGCGCAAAATCTTTGATGAGATGAAAGAGCAAGATCAGATTGACGAAGCAGAACGTTTGGTGTCTCACAACCGTCTCCCTCGACCAAAGCCTGGAACGGCTGGCGGCAAGAACCTCCACTACACCGAGAACGTTTTGGACTTGCCACAAGCTGCCTCAAGATCTAAGGTGGGTTCTGGTGACTACTGGAAAAGCGAGGCGGACGATGAAATCATCAATGGGGATGACCGTACAAGTGTCATTGAAGGCAGCGGCCGCACTTCTCGGCTTCGTGGAGAATCCCGCGTGTCCATGAGTCGACGTTCACAATCGCGCAAAGCTAGTACCACCGCGAGCGTCAGTGGATCTAGCCGAGTCAACTCTGCAGTACGTGCATGCCCCCCTTGCTTGTTCCTATTGTCTCTAACCTATGCCAACAGCCTGTTCCTTCTTCGAGCGGCCTATATGCCGTGCCTTCCAACCGCCGAATCGAGTCTATTCCTCATCTACAGATGCAGGCGGTTGAAAATGTGGCGCACCACGAATTCGGGTTCACTGAGGACCTCATGGCAGAAAATGCCGGTCGTGGCATTACGGAGGTGGCAATGCATGCGCTCGATGACCCCGCAGTCAAGCTTCTAGCTGCTACAGCATCGCCGCCTAACACTACTACGATTGTCGTCCTAGCGGGCAATAGCAAGTCGGGAGTTCGTGCCCTAGCAGCGGCCCGTCATCTTCGAAACCGCGGTATTAATGTTCTAGTCTGCGTGGTCGGCATCGAGCGCGAACGAGAGCTATTTGAGGACGTCAAAAAACAGGTTCGACTATTTCGCACCTTTGGAGGCGTCATCTTCACCAAATCAGAGCTTTTCGCCCATGTCAGTCCCGCAGCCAAGACCTTCAATGCCTCTCAGGGCTCCATAACCTTGATCATCGATGCGCTTTTAGGGCTTACGATGTCTTTCGAAGAACTTCGTAAGTCTGACCAAGCTACAACATATGAGTTGATGGAGTGGGCAAATCGAAACGAGGCATTTGTTATGGCGATCGACATCCCAAGCGGCGTCGAGCCTCAGACCGGTAGAGTCATGGTGATTGACGGAGCTAAGCTCTACGTACACCCGCGCTACGTGGTCGCCTTAGGTGCGCCAAAAGTGGGTTTGTTGAAGGCGCTTGAAATGGGCGACGATCAAGGAGATATCGTGATGGTGGAGGAGTGGAAGTTGTTCCTGGCAGACATTGGTCTCAGTCCTCTGGTCTGGCGCAAGGTGGCTACCAAGGTTCGTCGAGGTATCGAATTCGACAGCAAGTGGGTGCTCGAGCTTCGCTACAAGCCCCATGGAGAGGAGGAGGACTAAAACACCCATGGAGGTAACTCCTGTTCTGGTCAATGGGACAATAACACACCCACAGCATTTTCTCGTATTCCGAACGGATACTATGAATTACGGCTGTGAGGATGTAAAGGGTACCCAGGTGCTCAACCCACGAAGTCTACGACGCATAGCAGGAGGGGTTTTCTGCTTTCTTTCATTGGTGTTTTAATAGGGCGAAGTTGTGTACGGCACATGGTAAATGGGAGGCAATGAGGCCTTGAAATACCCACAGAGATCTTGCATTTTCGATGGCGTTGGTTGGACTGCGTACAGTTCACGCGTACTGGTGGTTCTCGGTGAAAGAACTGTAAGGATGGAGGCATGGCATCGGTATATTCTCAGATACCTGCTGGGTATCTAAGGATTTAAAGGCAAAAGCAATGATGCTTGTTTCATCAATAAGATGGGCCCCCCCTAATTTGTCAACAACAAAGTGATGAATTCATCAAGTGGCCATGGTACCTATATAGGTAGGCACATGAAGGTGTGCTTACTGCTCATTGTTCACTGTTGACTGCTCTGCTCACATGGGATCGTACCTGTATATAGGTATGATTTCCTACTTGAAGGTTGTATTGTATATACATGTAATAGATACCTGTTGTACCTTATGTAGGTATACTACAGTATTATTACTACTGCCCCATCATTAATGTGTACGTTCAAGTCGAAAATGCGCATTCAAGAATACATAATTCCGAGTTTGTTCGGAGTTAAGCACAGGCATATGAAGCATCCAGAATCTTATCCCTGCTACAATTATGTATGTCCTTGCTAGGTTCACTTTAGTAGCTCCCCACCTAAATAGGTATGTAGCCAATGAAATACCGTGATTTACTCAGCAAAAACAATGAATGCATCCATGGATTGCATTAGTTAACAAGGAGCTACCCATGTGCAATACCCAATACATGCATGTGTCCCCTATGTACCTAGTAGTCATTTGTCCTAGGTAACTAAGGTTAGTAGGATGTAGGGTTCAATGTCCAATGGCATCATTCCCGATGGCATGTTTTTGAAGAGTGTCATGTACTCGTACGAGAAGCTTCTGGACCAATATCTATGAGACTACAACAAAATCAGTAAGCAGTATCACAGCAACTATCCGATTGTACAATACTGCCGTACATTCCGTACAGATTCGGACTGGTGGTGTACTTCGGTATCTTCCCTAAAAAGCATCGCCCATCCCCGAAACTCTGCAAGTTAGCTTGTAGACCTCTCTTCAAGATGACACCCTCTACAGCTATAAAGCAGCAGCCGCAACGAAGCATCTTGGATAAACCTATACTCATAGCTATTCCCATCTTGATCGGTTTATTTCTCACTAGATCGCCTTTCTTCATGTCGGCTCCAGCCTTAGATCTTGCGGCCCCGAATGCGCAACCATGGGCCGATACGCCCATTGCGTTGGTTACAACGCCGCAGTATGAAACGAACAAGGTGAGCAACCACCTACCTACCTAGCCAAGGTTTCCTATGTAGGTGTATACTCCTTAATCGGATCATCGACTGACTCCCGGGGTTTCCCCACCATTACTCTAGACCGACCTCTTCACCACCGGCGCAACCCACATGGCGCTCCTCCACAACGCCATCCTCCGCGGTTTCAACTCCGTCTACCAACAGGCCCCGCACATCAAGCCCGCCGACATCCCCAACTTCATCGGATACAGCCTGACCTGGCACAAGTTCGTCGTCTCGCACCACGACGACGAGGAAGTGACGCTGTTCCCCAAGGTCGAGCAGGTGCTCCAGGACACCGCCATCTGGGAGGGCACGCACAAGGAGCACGAGGCGTTCCTCGGCGGGCTCGCCGAGTTCGCAAAGTACCTGCGGGCCGCGCAGGCGAAGCCCGACTCGTTCGACGGCGCCGAGCTCGCCCGCATCATGGACGGCTTCCGCGACAGCTTCGCCGACCACTTCCACAGCGAGATCCAGACCATCGCCGCGCTCGCCGACCACCCCAACGCACCAACTCTCGGAACCCCCGAGGCGGACCTCGCGGCCGAGACGTTCAAGGCGTGGGGCAAGAACACGGTGACGAAGGCCGGCACGCTCGATGTCGTTCCGTTTTTCCTGCTCAACTTGGACGGCACGGCTGAGGAGGGCAAGTGGGAGAATTGGCCCCCGATTCCGGCGCCGGTGAAATGGGGATTAGTTAATATTGCGGGCGCGTGGCATGCGAGGTGGTGGCAGTTTAGCTCTTGTGCGGGGGGGAAGCCGAGGAAGTTGTATGCGCTACAGTGAGGTGTTGGGGGGAGACTACTAAAGCGGGTGGATGAAGAGATATGATACCCTGATAATTTGATCATGCACACTGCACTTACCTGCTTGCTTAGAAGGATATACAGATCGAACACAGCGGGTGGGACTTCTAATGTAATAGTTCCTGTCGTTACCTTAAAGTCACAGGGAATCACGACCAGTTATGGAATGAAGGCTAGACTACCTAGGTAGATATCCCGTTGGGAATGAAGAAATATTTAGCTCAAATAACGTTTTAACTTCAATATATCTAAAAATGCTCTAGATAATTAGAGATAGTACACAAAATTCACAAGTGCGCCAGCGCCACCTCGTCTAAAGGTACCTACTCAAGTTCTTGCTAAAGGTTAATGGTTTCCATCACGATATCACCGTGCCACCGTTCCCCCCCTTTACGAAGAAATATCACGTCGAAAATCCCAGTGGTACAGTTTCGAGGCCATAGCACCCAGGCCAAAGAGCCTTCCCCACGGCAGCTTTACTCATAGCTTTATTAGATAAAAACAAGGTCGTGGCTATAGTAATGAGGAAGATCATGATAGCGGGTCAACTGCTTCAAGTGTTTCTATGATTGGTTCGCATACCTAGCGAACCAAGATCATCCTGCATATTCCGCGCGGGTATACTGGTTCTATATTTTAGAATTATCACCAATACACGGCAACTACCAATCAAATTCGATCAAAATGTGTATGCCAAGGAACCTTCGTGGCTCCTGTCATGAACCATCCAGCGTGTCCGAGTTGATATAGAAAAACAGAGTATTTAGCCCCCAATGGTACCCAGCTGAAACCTCAATGCCTGCATATAACTTCACCTATCGGTGTGAATAGAGGTTTACCCACAGCTACCTAGGCAAAGGTAGGTAGGCGTTTATGTATAGACTGGGGACCTAGGTGAAGGAGGTTCAGCTGGTTCAGTTGTTTCAAAGCCATGGCGGAAAGCCGAAATAGGTCCATGATAAAGATTTATATCACTATGTTCCTGCCATAAAGCTGGAGGTAGGCTTCGCACCATTCTGCTGCGACTGGTATTGGCGCAACTATGACACCACAACCAGAACAGCATTCGAAGGAACGATTCGGTTTAGACAATCCAAACAGGGTTGAACATGTCTGTGACCGAGGCGAGAGATATATCCATCATACTAGTGTTTACAAATCCCAGGATACACTTTACAGTCCATTCAATTGCAATCCCGAGGAAATTGTCCAAGAGATCGAAGAAGAGCTAGACGCAGCGAAAGTTCCCAGCGCCTTAGATGTAGACAAAGAGTACATCCCCAGGCGCATGCTTCGTAAAATTCTCACGCCCCGAAGAGTCCGAACTATTCTAAACCTTCCAAGCTTCGAAACCCGGAGAGACAAAGATGAGTTGACGACACTTATCTGCTTCGGGTCAACTGATTCGAAGCCAAGCTTGAAGCTACTGGGCGTTCTCATAGGCATGGGACATGGTAAGGTGTATGAGCTTTTGAAGTTCATGGAAGATGGAATGGATGATGGGTGTCTCCCACTAGAATTAGGACTCTCTAACCGGAGGGAAGCTTCCTGTCGAAAGCATGAGGGGAACCACGCTATTATTAACAGCCATAATGTTCGAAAAGAGGACAGAGATGTGTTTACTCGGTGGGCTCACAGCTTGACAGCACCCTACATTAGTGGCAACAAGAATAAGCATCTACACTATGTCCTTCACCATCGTGATGTCTTTCCGATGGAGCTCATTGCCAAAATGCAAAAGGACGATACATCAGAATCGAACTATGGGAGCTCGATAGGTTCTATACCGCAATATGGAGGGTTCAGTGAGGTGTACCAGGTCAAGATAGAAAAGAGTCATTGCAGGTTCGATGATGTCGGGGTAGGTTTTTAAAACAGCACGTATATCAACATAGGCTAAGCACCTTGCTAACCTTGTCACCTTTCTCAGATGCGTCATCCTGATGGATATTACGCGTTGAAGAAGTTGAATTCTCACAGCCGTGAAAATTTCAACCTAGAGCTTTCGTCTCTGTTATTCTCCATGGACAATGCCGCTACTCGGAGAGCGCGTTTGCATTTGATCCAGGTCCTGGCGACGTTCGAGGTACCGAATCCTACTGCATCGCGCACAAACTATTATCTCCTTTTCGACTGGGCTGAGGGAAACCTCAAGGACTTCTGGAAAAGAAATGAGAAGCTCCGTGGGGACATGAGCCACTGCGCGTGGATGTCTAAGCAATTCCATGAAATCTGTCTAGCGATGCAGTGTGTACACAACGATCGCGACCGGACTTTGAAGTATATAGGTAGCGACGCAAGTAAACTCACAAGAGGCCCGCCTAGCCGAAACTTTGAGGTCGATCTTTACGGGCGCCATGGCGATATCAAACCGGATAATTTCCTTTGGTTCCACCCTAAACGACCTGCTAGAGACCTCATAGTTCTGTCTGATTTTGGGTTGGCAAGACTGCATACCCAGGCGTCCCGGTCAAACCAAGACCCGGGAAATATCGCCCGAACAGCAACATACATAGCCCCCGAATTCGATTTGCCTGGTGGCATGATCTCGCGTGCGTCTGACATCTTCGGTCTCGGTTGTGTCTTCCTCGAACACGTCACGTGGTTCTTGAGAGGATTCGACAGCGTGGAGAACGAGTTCCCGGCTCGGAGGAACCAGAAGGACATTTACGGCTTTGAGGCAGATAAGTTCTTCGTCATCCATCCTGATGGACCCGAGGGCAAGCAGCGGGCCTTCTTAAACCCCGAAGTTAGGAAATGGATCGACGAGCTACAGCAGCACGAAGACTGTACCTGGTATCTTCACCAGCTCCTCGAAATAATCCAGGAGAAGATGCTAGAGCCTGATCGTAACAAACGGGTATCCATCAGTCTTCTCATCGAGGACATGAAATTGCTTCGAATTACCTGCGAGCGAAATGATAGCTTCTATTTGAAGACGACCAGCGAACCCTGGATACAGTCAAAAGCATCTGTACCTAGGTATTATAGCCTGCCAATCAACATCCCCCACCAAGAAAGCATCACTGCAGATGAACACGACACGGTTCCGATAGAAATTGATACGGGCCAGCGTTGATATTTCCCAATTACCTACGTACCTAGCACATGATTGCCAAAGCCAAAAGAAGCTCTTCCAGCTTATATTGTTCATCGTAAGCCCACACATTGCTTCTCGAACTTCATAGCCATGCTAATACTCTTAGGACTTGGTGCAAAGTGTTTCGAATTGCTTCAGGCCAAGCCTTTGTTTATCCATTATAATGGAAGCGGGCCATTTTCTATTTCAAGTGGGAGGAGACCAAGAAGGGCAACTCACATAGATGTGCGCCAGGTAAGAGAACATAACATGTGGGACGTAAACAATGCATGGGTATTGTACATACATACCTAACCTAACCAGGTACAATACATACATACCCTGAGCGTTCCATAAATATACGCTGAGGGCGGCTAATACCATGACAAGGCCAATCAGGTAAGCTGAAATATGCATGGAGGCAAATTCATTGAACCAACGCCGCGGCCTGTTGGAACTTGGTAGTCAATAAGGCGTTCTGGGAAGTATTTTCAGCCTGCAGAAGAAAAAAAACGGGCATGGAGAGTAATGCAGCCTCGAGGGCATCCGCTGGGTAGGTAAATATGACCCTTCTGTGATGCTGTTATCAATAGCTGTCCAACTTCGAATCTCGACGCTACGCCCCCAACTTTTTCTAGATAAATTAGGTGCAAACATTTGTCCGATGAAATGGATTGGCCCACGGAAGATGTAGTCTGGACTAACAACGACCTGAGGGCTTTCAATTTTGCGGAACGCCCTACCACAGTGCTCCAGAAGTTAGAATCTGATACAGTGAGTGTGGCAGCATATCGCTAACCTTTACATCGCTAACTGTATCACTTAGACCGTAACTAAAAATGAGCTTCTCAACGAGCAGGATTGGGAAGATTGGTTCACCAACGTAGGATCTGAATACTAGTACAATCTACGTATAACAATCTTCGCGTAAGGACTAACAGATGGCTGAGTATAGGCCCCAAACGAAAATTCAGGGGCAACGGAGCTTGGCGTCGTGTAAGAATAATAACATTCGGCCGATAAAAAGAATCGAGTTATTGACATGACTTTTCATTAGACTCTGTACGAGGGCCCCTCCTATCTTTGACGACAATGCGCCAGTCTCTCATGTTTCGGTTACAAGAGATACCTGGGAGAAGATTGTGAAGTCGTTTCATGTCCACCGAAGCGTCATACGATCAATAGCTAGACACGTTAGCTGCTTTTCGTCGATTTATCGAGACGAGGGCACGTCGACAAAGTCCAAGATATGTAAGTATATGTACTTCTAGCCTAGGTATATAATGTGGTGCTACGACTGATGCTGCACGATAGACTTTACCGCTCGAATGTCAAAATTACTCCCCGGAGATCTAGCATTATCAGTCACCTATATTCCAGGAACTAGTTCCACGTTTGCCGTCATATACGGATGCAATGAACATCAGAAGCAAGAAGTAGAGAAGCGCATTCGGTTAGCGGAAGACAAGACCAAGTATCCACTACTGATAATCGGAATTTTCGCCGAGCTCGAAAGGGAACGACTCGTAGAAAACGCCGAGGGACTCGTTGACGGATTTGCTCTGACCTCCAACCGCTTTGAGAACGAGGCATGGGACGCATCCGTACACATGAGCAATGAGAAAACTCAGGGGTATCTCAGGCTTTGTGCGCAGAGTCGAAACATTACAGATCAAATCCGAGCGGTGAAGCGGCAGACACTAAAACTTATGGGCGAGATAGATGAATTCAATGATTATTTTGCCTCGCATAAGGGTGAGGCCTACTCTGGCGGCGCGGATAATAGCAGTAAGAAAGCACGTCATTTTAGGAAAGCTGGAGCACAGATGAAGAAGAGACTACAAGACATTATTAACGAGTACGATGACAAGGTGGATGAATGCAACATGATCGTAGGAAACACTACGCTTGCCATGCAAACGGTAATTCTTCCCCTATTCCCAGATTCCTTGTCTCAACTTGAGTTAGTTCATTACACGGGTGCTCAACATCAACTTACTAGGTGTGGAACCAAATCGCGAGACACGACTCGGAACTGAATACTCGCATTGCGCAAACGAATACGGTAGTGTCGCTGGAGGCCAAGAAGGAAGGCACACAGATGAAGCTAATCGCACTATTAACGATGGTTTACCTCCCCTTTTCAAGTGTTGCGGTAAGTATCGACCTCCTACTAGGGCAATATCCGCAAATGCCAAGGTTCTAGCCTAATCTGTTGGCTAATATCGAGTAGGCCATATTTTCGATGGATTTATTCGACTGGGATCCCCCAGAAGGGAAACCAGTGGTATCTAAATTTTTCTGGGTATTCGCGGTGGTCGCAGTAGGGCTTACTGCTATTACTTTCTTCGCCTGGTATCAAATCACCTCTCGTCATGAACTAAAAGCTAGTCAGAAAGCTGCGAAACTGCATAACACCATAGTTTGATCTTGATGGCGTGTTACGAGATTACGAAGGTCACGATATGTTCTAGGTACCCAACAAGCATCTACATCTAACTATTTAATCATTGATTCAAGGTTGGCAACTTGAAATCACATAGAACTTGTATTTATAGATTCTACGAATGCTCAAGGCATCGCCATCATCAGCGTAAGCTTACTGAGCGACACCGTCATGTCACCAAATATCACATATATGCATTTGCTTTTCACGGGAATAGCAAAGCTACTGGAAGCAAATAGATATCATATATGTCCTATTATCTGACGTCATATTATCATTCTAGGTGTCTCGCAAGATCTACCCCCAATAGAATGATGTGGCAGGAGACGTGTGTTACTCGTACATACAAATAAAATAAAACTACCTGATAAAAGACCGACTTGGCTGATGTCCACGCTGCCCATCAGCTAAACAGGTTAACCAGCATGAAGAAATCAACGTCCCAAATGATATTAACATGAATCCTCTAGGTATCCCAAGCAATTGCCCCCTGTTTTGTATCGTACCTGAACTGGTACGTAGTTCAACCCGCATGCATCATTACCTATTCGCGTACCATCAAAATCAAAATCGTATCGGGTCATTCGTAAACAATATAATACCCAGTAGTTTAGGTGTCCCTACATAGATGATCTAAAATTAGGCGCTGTTCTCGGAGAGAGGATAGGGGTGATAGGGGGTGGGGTCACTTACAGTAGAGCCAGCGTCAAGTCGCCGTGGATGCGCGCTTTCAGTGTTACCTCGACCTCGCTGTGAGAATGAGTCAGTATTAGCTTCTAAGTGAAAGAGTCGAGTAGTTGAAACCGTGTCTAGATTACGTACAGGTTGAGATCGAGCCGCAGACGGAGCGTGTCCGATTTGCTATCCCCGCCGCCCTGCTGCTGCTGCTGCTGCTGCTGCATCTGCTGTTGTTGCTGTTGCTGCTGAAACATCTGCTGCTGCTGCCTTTGCTGAAGCATTTGCTGATCGTCTTGCGCTTGGAGGGGCTGGATGGAGCCGGGGCGGCGACGGTTGCGGCGGCGGTTGCGGGGTGGCCGCGAAGTCTCGGACATGTGGTCAGAGGCGTCGGAGGCGTCGGACTCCTGTACGGTCGTCTGCTGCCTCTTGGGCTGGTCTTCGGCGCCTGAGGACATTGTGGTTTATGCTTGATGTTTTTGATATGATTTATGTAAAGTTGGAGCTGTTGAGATGTTGAGAAAGTATCGTGATATATTGATAACTAGCTAGCTACTTAGGTAGGTTTCAGAGATGGGAAGAAGTAACAGATTATAAAGATGGTTCAGATCGATTCATCGGATGATCTGGAGCATCCATTCGTACTTATTTGTATCAGGAGGTCCAACCAGCAATGCTACAACATCAGGATTCCGAACCTAAATGTGACTTGCGTTTTCATCGACGATGAGAGCTTGAGATACAACGTCACCGGCCGATGTACCAATTATGCCACCTAATATGCGTACATAGGATTGGGTGTCGAATTCAAAAGGCTTAATAGCTGAAGGAGATAAACTTAGGAGGGCTAGGGTCGAATCCGGATTTCGGACACAACTTACATCATGAGGCGGTACGCGTGTGTCGGCACATCTTGGCTGATGTGTGGCTTGTGTCGAATCAGAGGCCGTTTCGTAAGCCCCATGCGGTAATTGACGTCGGATTCCCCACACTTTCCGATCCTCATGCCCACCATCGATATAGACCCACCCGATTCTCTTATAGGGGCGACAAAAGTCGAGACGTCAGAATAAGGGGTTCTATACAGACCTTTCTCCATGTGAGGCTTGTAATTGGAGAATGCGAAGTAAATTCAGCCACACAGGACTGGAATCATCGATGAGATCTAAGATGCAAGCATGCATGGAGATGTGATTCGAGTCCTGTGTCTCCTTAATATGGGTTGTAAGTACGTAACGGGTTTGCAGGTAAGAGGAGAACTGAACAAAGTCGATCATGCAGTCCCTTACACATGATTTCACGTATAAGTTTTACCTGCTTTGGAGTTGAGTAACCTTGATAATGATCAACATGTTACAGCGTGATCGTAGAAAAATCGTATATTATCACCGTCGCCCTAGAATATAGGCATAGCGCAAGGAAATGAGAAAGACCTCCGCCAGACAGTATGAGATCTGCCCATGATTCGTCATAGACAGGTAAGCTCCTAGGTAGAGACATCATATAAGAAATCAAACATCGACTCAGGGGTCGTTACCATGCCCGTCAATGTTGATAACCTATAACGTGTATTACGTGACTACAGACATCGCAGGTCTGGGCAACAACCAAGGCAGTACCGGCGAGTTTCGGGTATAATGACTGACTTATAGTTTGGTGCTAATAACCTATATCTAAATATTGTCATTCATCATATGTCTCTAGGAAAGACTAGGCAGGTAGACGCTGATAGGTTCACTAGATAGCTTCCATATTGTGCTTCGCCATGGAAAGAAACTAGGTACTGAGCGAGGTACCAAATATCAAGTATCTCGCAACACCCTTTATCTACTTGGCATAGTAGAGACTCAAGTGACAAGAACGAGTATTGGCATGAAAACGCCAATGATCGATGAACGTAGGTGATTGCGATGCCTAATAAGGCCACTGACTTTCTTCATGCCCTAATATGTTTCCATGTCGATTGATGTCAGTTTTATGTACGAATATGACATAAAAGCTTTTCTCAAAATTTCCGAACCCCTTTCATCGACTCCTAGGTACGTGGGAGGTCACTCGTCCTATGTACCCCTTTTCCTACCCCTGTCCTGATTTGCGCCTAGCTTAAGTATAATACAGTATACAGTATTGACCTCCTAGAAGTAATCGTGCACTTCTATCATACATCCATCCATCAAGTCTTTCCGTTGGCGAGGCTACTTCCTTATCGTTGACCAATTGTTAGATTATGTCCCACGGTTTGGAACTTTGGAACGAGTGACGGGATGTCTATAGGTGCCCTTGAGCTAGTAGGGTAACAGCTACTAGGCAGTGAAGTTCAACGATATCGATGCCTGACTTCCGTGTATATTGAGAGAAAGGGGCGATATTCCCACATATACACACATACAAGGGATGTACGCATTGTATGCCTCAGCACCCTGTCGCCAACAAGCAGATAGGTACGGCCTCTATAACCCATTGATACATGTCGCCGTCTATACAATCTTTCTCGACTGTTGCAGAGATATCGGACGTGACAAGGATCCGGGCCCTCTCCGGGAGAGCCCATTCTAGAGAGTGAAGCTCTCCAGAGCTCTCGACCCTGTACAATAGCAGCTACCTATAAACCACTCTTTATCTCTTTTCTTATGTAGAATCAATTTACTGTTCCATACGGAGATCGCCGACACCTTGGAGGTGGCAATGGCGGAAGGGGCTCTGCACATAGCCTCTAAGACTTGTGTTAGACAAGTGCCTTGTCATCGATGTAATTCCTTCGTCTAGTCCGAGGCCATGTTTGCTACCCGCAGCCCGCAGAGAGGCGAATGGCACTTCCGTTCATGTACCTATGCTACCGTGCTTGTAGGTTTCATTCGTCTTGAGATCACACTCTTCTCGAGGTCATCCAGAAGTCGGTATGCCAAGATATTGTTGGTCAATATTTCTTCTGTCGGCAACTTCCAAGGTTATGACCTTTGAGTGATCGCCTAAGGAGTCAGTTGCGTACATCTCAGCGGATCCTTTTACTCTCGCGGCCCGGTCCTTTGCAGAACGGGGCTAAATCAAGGTACAGGTTTGTAAAGGAATAAAGGAACAAATATAGTTCTACACAACACGTTTGCCATAGCCTACTACTTTTGTCACATGGTGATCAGCGGGTCTCTTCTGGATATGGTCACAAGACGTGTGAGGTCGAGACTGGAAAAACTGTGACCAATGATGTGTTAGTAACAAACTCGTACTAGTTAGTGACCCGCTGTAACCCGAATGTGGGCGTGCCGTTGCAGCGGTACACTTACTGTTTGCTAGCGCCTGAAATAAGCCCTAAGGTTAGTGCTTTCCAGGGTTCCAAGGGTCAACTCTCAAGGTCATTTCCTTTCCAACCTTCTTCAGCTCTTTCAACTTATTCTCTTTCAACTTATTCTCTTTCAACTTATTCTCTTTCAACTTATTCTCTTTCAACTTATTCTCTTTCAACTTATTCTCTTTCCACTTATTCAACTTCAACTTATTCAACTTCTTCCTATCAATATCAAATATTTGTGAAAAATGATCTCATAATATCTATCATAATTCTTCAACAAAATACCGCGACAACGCCATAGCAACTTATTATCCTTCTGCGATGTGAAAACTGGTTGTCACCCGGACTCACCCCGCTGAGTTCGGTTCCACGACCGCAATGCTCGCCTCATTCTCAAAAAAGTCTCCCACTTTCATCATTTATCTCGAAGGAGAATGGTCAATGGGTTGAACAATGAGTTGGCAGATAGTAGGTGTCTTATAGTACATAGGTATCCATGCACCTGCATATTACACATGTAGTATGCAGTGCATACAAGACTAAGACCCTTCTCATCCTTCTCCAATACATTAGTTAGGTATGTATTGTACAGCCATGATATGACTTGGGGTGCTTGCAACATCGCCAGGTTCCTACATACATATGTAGTATGCATCGTTGTCTACTATGTACTTACCACTTACCCACCTAGGTAAACCTGGGCTCTGGGCTCTGGGCTCTGGGCAGGTCTAACTTCAGGCTCTCAGCCATGTCATGGCACCCTCATGGCCTATAGGTACTATCCAGGGTGGCAGCCTAGGTTGTTCTGTCAAAATATCGATCTCTGCCTTTTCTATCCGGATATGTCTCGCGTTCACGCCGGCGATATATGTACCGTGAAGTCATTTCTGCCCGTCTGCTATTATCAATGGACGTCGCATACTTTAACCGGGGAATATTCATTCTATTCATGTATGCACATTATATCGGCCGCTTTATTCGACTCCGCTCGCTTGGTCCAAGTTTGGCAATCCTGGGCAACAGAGCACAACTTTGCGCTGAGTCCTGCATACCTACTACTAGTAGTACATGTAGGCTCTGGATTCTGCATACTGCTAGATCCTACCCTTATGGCGATCTCTTAAAGAGGGTTTTAAGCACGTCCTACAGACGGGAACCTACAGCTTGCCAACTCAAAAGGAACCATGAAGACGAATTAGGTTCTTGTCGCTTCAGTCTATATGCATTTGCCCTATCACAAATGTCCCCCTCACTGGCGTGGGTGTTGCATCCCCAAGTCTTCCGTCGTTGGCTGCTACCGAAGTGGGAGAGACGAATGAGAGCCTTGCCAACTTCCATGAGCGACCCCGCTATCGTCAGTTCTTCGGCTGTACATCTAATGTAGGTCTCTTGAGCGAGTGGTCGTCGGCCGACGCGAGACCCTTTTCCGCAGCGATCGCTAGTTACACATTGCGACCTTACTTTTAGTGTATGTAGGAGTAAGAGTAGCGACAGAAAATAAAATCGCTCTTGTCACCCAGCCTCCTCCCTTTAGGCAAGTTTCTCTCCATTGCTTTTTTGATCTTTACTCTGTTTCTTTCCTTTCACTGCGCCCATGGCGCACCGCGCTTCCATAACATCCTTCACATTCTCTCCCTTCATCTACCAGAGCACAAATTACCCGAGATGTTTATACCCCAAACGAGCCATGCAGCGGCTTCGGCCTTGAAATTTGGAGGAGACTCACCATCGGCGTACGAATTATCAAGACATCCCAAACCCCTGTTTCCCGTCAAGTCAATCTCGTCGACCATATGCCGACTCTTTGGTCGTGGCCTCGGCGCCGTCTCCACTACACTCGACCATACGTCGTCGAACTTACAAAAACGAGCGCCGAGCGTAAATACCACGATCGGTGTAGCAGTCGGTATTCTTCTGACTGTATTCCTGGTCGGCCTCTTTTGGTTTCTATACATGTACCGGGGCTCAATCCGTATCACCCAGAAGAGACACCGTCGTCGCAAGTCATCCGGCTCGAAGAACTCTAAGGAGGGCGGCAGTGATCCCCCCCCACCACCCGCATGACATGTAACACCCTTACTCTGAGGATGGATATTCCTAGAACATGGTTTGGAGTAGTTACAGTGGCACACAGCGGTTCCACTCTCACGAGAGTATAACGCGACAAACGTGTGCAAGCACAAAGAAGGCTTCGCACAATTAGGTACAGATCGGCTTTTACAGTAGCCCAAGGATGGAATTGGTGGGCTCTCGTTACGAATTATAGGCAATTGGGTTTGGGAATGGGAGTTTTTATTTATTCATAAATGTACAACATGAAAGCGACGTTTGTATATGGCATGGGTGGTGTTTGGAGGTCAATTGGCATTAAGGGCGACGAGTGTGTTGACGATACTATTCTAACGAATTTTCTACACGCTTCATTTTTATTTTTACGATCGCCCGTGGATGTTCCCACCACACTGGAAATCGGAGTATTATTAGCACGCTAAATAAATTCACTAACCTCCAGTAGATTAGTACCTAACAGGTACACATGTATGTTAGTTGGCGAGTGCGACAGCTACTTGATCCAGCGAGTCCAGAGCGCCTCCTTTCCCCATCATATTTCTTGATGATCGTTTTGATCGTCCATCTAGCGTTGGTGCCCAACAGAAAATAAGTGTTCATCCAGCCGCACTCAATGGCATCAGGCTTTTCTGGCCAGATTTAATATATGCCAACTCACCTTCCCAAGTTGCACCAGATCACTGCTTTTCCACCTATCACAACCATTCTTGGCCCATCGTCAACCTTCTTTCCCCTATCACAATACCATACTTCTCTGCCACGACCTGTGTTCGGTCGTACAACAGATAACCTACCTAACCTAGTAGCTTCTATGCATCAGGCACGGCTAGGTTAGGTCATTTCCCGATCTGGAGACCACCTTTTCTTTTCCTTCTCTTCTTTATTGATAGGATGATAGGCACATATCTTTGAAATTTGCCGAAAGCAATTCGTGGCGGAGACGCCGACCTGAATCGAAATCTTCCGTGTCCCTGTCCCCCTTTTTGACTAGCAACGCTATATGGCACCATGCCACTGGTGACAGTTTGCTTTTTTTTTATCCTTCGGTGTCACCATGGTATTGAGTGAAGCATCATGAATACCTACCTAACCTAGTAGGTTCCGGCTAATAGTCTACCCGAGTGAGACACGAGTTTAGTACCGTACCCAGGTAGTCAGTCTCAGGGGAGGAAGGGGGGTCCCTATTCGAGCTAGGGACTATGACACTTGGCTATCTAGTCAACTAGCAGGAGACAGGAAACTGACATCGTCGCGCATCGTGTTGTATCGCCAATGTAACCGACGACGCCTGTACTGTGCATGTCCTCAAACCCCTTACCCATCTAGGGTATTATGGAGAGCAGCACGATGATATCAGGAGAGTAGTGTAGCGGGCCTTGCATTGTTCGAGATCTTGACTCTCGCTATGAAGCGTCATACCACTAACCTAGGTAGGTACCCAGTAGGTAGTATTCCCTCTTGTCTTACTGGGCATAGAGATCATCCAGATATCAAACGAAACAGAGTAGCTTAGTGGCTGGTTACGTAGGTACTAAATCGCAAATACACCCCCTTTACTTATAGTCATCGTCAATGGCCACATTGATATTGGTATTCTGGGAGACATGAGATGCAATAAGCATCGACATGTGCATTAGCCTACCTACCCTACGTACCTACCTAAGTCATAAAAAACTTCCCGGAGGACTCTCGGCAAGGGGAACGATCCACCTTTCTAAGAGAGGAACACGTACCTATATTCGATATTAGTTTAGAAGACCCAGTGAACAGAGACTCCTCATCCATCCCATGGGTTAAAGATATGTCGATCATGGACAGGAACCAGAAATGAAATTCTCCGGCCTGGCAAAGAAAGCCACGTGGTCGTCCATGTCTGAAGGGACTCCGATGCGATGCGATGCGATGCATGAATTGGAAGCTTTCCTTATGGGATGGGATGGGGTAAGTGTAGTCACACGTTTTGATAAAAGGAGGGTTGCCCCTCGAGGATATCGTATCGTGGGTTGGCTTCTCTGGCAGTCCACTGTTAGATATTAGAGTTGACCGAGTTTCGACGAATTATAGGCAGCTTACCTTCGTCCCTACTCAGTCGTAATAACATAACGTATCGATATATGCACCTAAATAGGCGGTTTTCTAAGAAGCGTACCTATTTTCATCTGTGACGATGCCCTAGAAATAGTAGTAGCAAGACATGATGGATTCGCCGCGGGATTACGAAACTGCATACTAATACCGGCGCAAGTAGAACGGCAGCTCGGTATAGAATGATCGGTCATCGCTTTATTGAAGCTAAGTATTCCTATGCACCTTCTATAAGGGACTTGTGATAGCATGGCATGTTCATACGCCCACCCACCCTCTCATTCCCACATATCTACAGAGCACTCTTGAGACCCGCCATAACCTTCAGCGCACCCTCCCTCACCTTCCTCGTGATCTCCGCCGCGGGGAGCTCGTCCTTGATAAGCCCAACACCTGTTCCACTATAATAGAAGCAGTACCATGTTAGTGAATGCATTATCCATCTATCCCTAACAGACACTCAAAAACTACTTAGGTATTATATCGTCAGGATAAAAAAAAAGGAAAAACTTACGACCAGGTGACCATCCTAGACACATCGCCATTCTCCTTGGCGGCATTGAACCGTTTGGTGTTTTCGTCGAGCGGGACGCCGGCTAGCTGGTCCCGGTACGTGGGAGTAACGATCGCACGGCCGTCGTAGACGGAGGGCCAGCTTGTGTTGCCTTGGATGTGGTCGTGGAGTTGCGATCTACGGGAGTGAGACGTTCGTTAACACCTTCTGCTAAGTACACTAGGGAGGAAGGGGGCAAAGAGAAAAGGGGGGAGGGGAAGAGGAGAGAAACCCCAGGGGTTAGATAGACGACTCACTTCACCGTGTTCACACCCCCATCTGCAGTGGAGAGAATCGCCTTCCTCTTGAAGTCCTGCGCGTCGGACTCAACAGCCACCATGTACTACACCCCAAAAACTCATCGTCAGCCATACAGCCAGCTCCCTCGAGACATGGAAACTGGAGCTTACCCGCGTCCCCAACACCGCCCCCTCCGCCCCCAACGCCAACGCCGCCGCAACCCCCCTCCCATCCACAATGCCCCCCGCAGCCCACACCGCGACCTCCCTCCCCGCCAACGCATCCACGATCTCCGGCACCAAACTCACGATCCCGGCACCAACAGCGCTCTGATGCCCGCCCGCATCCACGCCCTGCGCCACCACGACGTCGGCGCCGTGCTGCGCGGCCCCGAGCGCGGCGGCGACAGAGCCGACTTGCACGACGAGCTTGGGGGTCCACTCCTCCTCCGACGATGATGACGACTTGAACCCCAGTCTTAGTGCTTTGAGAGTGTTAGGAAGCGTGTCCGGAGCACTGGGCGCCGGCGCGAAGAGCCAGATGGCAGCGGGCCGGTGCTTCAGCAGGATGGGCAGTGTGGTGTCGGCGAAGTGCGCCGCGGAGGGCGCGTACATGACGAAGGCGACGCCGATGGGGAGGGGTCTGTCACTGCCGCTGTTTTCCGGGTTGGACCCGAGGAGGAGCTCGCGCGCCTGCGTGAGCTGGTCGTCTAGTTTTCGGAGGACCGGGGACGAGGGGGTGAAGTCTCGGCCTCCTTGGATGAATCCTAGGGGTTAGGTATGTAAACGTTAGTGTATATATATATATCCCTTGCAAACCGTACGATGCTAGTTAATCGTCAAGCGATCTTGAGTAAAATAAAATAAAATAAAAAGTAATAAGCGCAACTAACCCAACCCTCCCGCCTTAGTTACCTCAGTCGCGAGCTTCGGGTTCGTGACAAAGTCCATCGGAGCACTGACGACCAGCGGGTATGAAGTGGTTGGGAACCACGACCTCATCCGCGAGGAGGTTGCCATAGTCGCTAATGTTCTGCGAGCCGCGACGTGCATCTATCTTGAATAGGTACCAAGCCAGTAAGTAGGTAGGTGGGTAGCTAGTGAGAGTTGTTTGTAATGGATGGTTTTGAGGTACGGGAAACACAAGATGGCGCCGATGTAATTTTACATAGGGAGGTATTCAGATGGATAGAACCCGAGTTCGACAAAGTATCGAGGTCTAGTGGTCCAGTCCAATCCAGTTCAGCCTCTTTTCTATCGTTGACTTTACCTCAGGGGCTGTTAGTAAGGTCGATGTTTACAGTCAAAACTGTCCGAAATACCCAAGATCCCTCCTGGCCGGCGTGCAAATGACTTTTGTCTCATACCTCGGTTGCCTAAATACGTTTTTATTTATTAACTACATAGTAAGATGAACTGGTTATACAATAATAGGTAATTACAATTACAATTACAATTACCTAAGTATTGCAGAGGACCTGCTTCAATGATGGCAGCATTTCCTAACCGCTTTAGAGTTACGAGATGAACAACTCCTCGGAGCTATAAGTATACTATGCGCCGTACTACGAGCTAGACTTCTCGTCTCCACTCTAATTCAACCCCGAGGTTTAACCCCAACGGCCAAATGGTAAAAGAAATCCCCGAAAGTAAGCGGCCAATCAGGAGGATGAAAACGACCTATATTCTCCTAATTGGGTAATACCCCACTTTCATTCCCCGCATCAAGCAACGGGTAATTCGGATTCAGGGTCCAAATGACATCATAGCATTTTAATAGGTACGATGCAAATCGATGCAAATCGATGCAAATCAAGGCAATTCACGACAAAACACGCAATATAAAATATAGGGTATCTTCCCAATTACTATTGGCTTCATTTTGGGCTTTGTTACCATTGCTGGTAGTCCATTTCTGTCCGTCTCTGTCCATTTCTATTTACATGTATGCTCAAGGCTACGTTGCTTCACTTGGTGTATCCCTTTACACACAAGTTTCCCGAAGCAAAACCCCTAGTTCTCAGTCGCCAGTATCTGTAACTAGCCTTTACTGCCTTGTACTGATATTTTCAATAAAATACACAGCCGAAAAGAAAGAGATGTCATAACCATACATCTCTAATCGGCGTTAAAATCTCGCTGGCGCCTTCGCCATTAAATACCAAACGCCGTTTACATGTGAGTTGTGCCGAAAAAAAAAAAGAACCACAATAATGTCCTTTCCCGTGAGGTGTCGAGATCATGTCGACTGTATGTATTGTCACCTTCCAACGCCGGTGCCTATGCAGTTGTTGTGTCGAAAGCAAAATATGAACAATAGATGTAGTGTCTGTGGTGAGATCTCAGAGAATGCTGCGAAAATCAAACGAGAAACGAAACATCGATTAATAAAGATGAGTTGGGGGTCGTTGGCCAGCGTATGCGGGTAAAAATTCCGGGACAATGCCAGATCGCAGGTCATTTCGGCGACCCAGTGGCTGGTAATGCATCTGGCTTGACCCTAAATGGTACTGAGATAGAGGAATAGACGGAGGGGGGTTAAGGAGGGTGTTCACACGGCGAACGGGCTTATAAGGGCTTGCACGTTGTTGTAGATAAACAAGAGGCGAATTGGAGATGGGTGTGTGAATTCCATACGCCTCGCCCAGTGGTGATGAGTTAAAAGGAGTCAGGTTTGTGGGGCTTGATCGTTTGGTAGGTGTGCCATAATTTGGTGCCATGACATAAGATGGGGTCTGCGGTCCACATGTCGCTAATACCGGTCCTTGCGAGGTCCATCCTGTCGTGGTAGGGAACACCGTCGACATCGCTCTCATTCCGTGGCCCAATGGGGGTAGAGATACCACCGGTTGGGCAGGATATGTCGGCTGGGGGTATGCGAGCGGGCTTACTGTCTGGCTGGTGTCTAAAGTTAGATGCGGCACCGGTAAACGCACTTTGTCTGTATTATCCTGGGGTCGATTTATTGGCATCATTGTAAGCGGCTGTCGTGGTACTCTCTTCGGAGCGGGCTCGACGATATCACTATCTTCCTGACTTCTTTCGAGACTCCTCTTTCTCACTAGAGGATGCCCAAGACTCGGTTTTGTTGCAAGAGGTGAAACTGATGGGGTCGAGTGGTAGGCGTTGCGTAGGAATCCCGCGTCGGGCGAGTAAGCGGCTGCAAGCGTAGACGGCATACCTTGACCGGTCGATGACAGGACGCCAGTTGGCGATGGTACTGGAGAAGTATACCTTCCATGGGACGGCGATGGGATGCTCATCGGCATGGGAGGATGAGCTTGCCGGCGTCTCTCTTCCGCCACCGCCCTCTCGTAGTATTCGTGGAAGCAAGCTAACTTATTGAGCCACTCGTCCCATTCATCCTTCGACGTCAATAGGCTATATCGCATGTTGCTGAGGAATTCTACTTCCATAATGTGGATTTCCTTCACGGAGATTGATGAGACTTCGGCCCAGGTGTGGTTCGTGTAGGTGTTATCATCCAAGACTACAATTTCTATTAGCAAGCCCGCAAACACAGACCATGATTGAGTTCCCTACATTTATTACCCAGCATAAGCGCCACAGTCAACAGCCGATATTCGCTACCAGGGCTACCATTGACCACTGGGTTCGCCTTCTTCAGTCGGTATACGAATAGGAGCGCCAACAGAACCACGTTTTGAGTAACCTGAGTCGTCGAAAGAATTTTGTTGACCCATTGTTTGTAGGCAGGGCAGGGTTCGGTATACTTGGATAATGGAGGGATTGGTTTCGATAATGGACGTTCCTTGATATGTTCCGCGTCATGAATCGTATCCATCGTCTCGAACCAGAAGAAGCATGTCATCTATCGGTATGTTAGCTACAAAATGCTGAATTGTCTAGGTTAATGCCTACCAGCGCAGCAAAATCGTCCAGATTTCCTCCATTTAGGCTAATACATTTAGGGAGCTGTAGACTATGTGTCACCAGGGTCGAATCCCTTCTGGACACAGTGCCTTCTGAATGAACGCTAAGGGTTCCAGTAGACGCAGGGGTGGTTGGTCTAGTTGAAGGCCGTGATGTTGGCTGCAGCTGTGGTTGTTGGGGTCCGATCGTCTGAACGGGTTGCTGTAGATGATATTGCGATTGGGTGGGCGGTTGCGTATGCTGGGTAGGTGGAAATGGGTTCACGACATCGCAGAAGGCTCCCCCGGCTCGACTCGTCATTACAGCATTGGGCTGCCTGGCTAGGGTGACATGATTGTTGTACGTGTTAGATAGCACGGAGTGTTGATATGTGGCATTCATGTTGCTGTCGGTAGGCGGAGTTCGAAGGCCCTTAAAATGGGTATCTTGCGGCTTGTCGAGACCTCGAGTTGGTGTATGGTGAGGGCGCAAAGGATACGATGCGCAATAGCTTGGGGAGGGGAGGTATGGGCGAAAGTTCGAAGGGAGGGCGACTGAAGACATGTGGGATCAAGTCGGGTTTTGGCGATTCTAGTAAAGGACAGAGAAGAGAAAGTGACAAAGAGACAGATTATGTACGAGATTCCTAATGAAGGTGTTGAGGGCCGTGGTGAATGAGCAAGGACTTGTACGTTGTAGTTGGGGGAAGCTGGTGAAGTAACGGGTTCCTGACTGCCGTGTCCCATTCACTTGGATGTTCGCTTTCTTCCACCACTGCTGGGTTGTGAATTGCCGTCGACAGATGTTGTTGGTACAGGCTGGTTTGTATTATTAGTTGTAGTGGGGGATGGGTCATCTCTGATGAGCCATGTCGAACAAGAAGAGATGTTCCGAGAAGGAGGAAGAAGGCAAACGTCAGGAAGTTTGTTAGGTCCTGGTTCCCAGAGAAGGAAGTAATTCTAGTAAGTGGGTTGCTGCAAGGTGAGAAGGCAGGTTGTTTAAGTTGTGTAAGTCAGCCGTGGAGAATAGGGAAGATGGACTCGATATTATTCCCACAACCGTTGACAGGACAAGGTGCTGCGGTACCACGGGCTGTACAGTACAGGGAGGATATGAAGGTAAGTACTAATTGAGTCTGTAGGTAGTTATGCCCTGCTTTCCCGAACTTGTCTCGTCTTGTTGGATATGGGATATGTAGTGTAGGTCCTTTTTACTTCTTTTCCGTATTCACGTCCGGCAGGGTCCCTCCTAGCGTTGTCGTATGTAACTAAGCTCGGCCCATGAACATGAAGTGCAGGATTGAATTGAAACTTGACTTGGGTATCATGAAGGTAATGAATAATAATATACAGTACAGAACAAATAAGTAAAAAAGTCACGAATGTTCCAGGCAACGTATGGCCTAAGCAGGGTATGTACGGATTATTATGAATGAAATGAATGAACGAAGGGCTTGCTTGTTTGTGTGTTGTATGTACAATACAATAAGACTTTTAGACGACGATACTGGAGCATGTATGCGGTGATTACCTTTTACGTATGCACTAATGGTATGTAGATGTAGGTACGGCATGGACGTACTATGTATGTACTGTGGTAGCTTGTAGCATCTGTGGTATTAATTGTGGTAATGGGATAGGCCGGATTGAGACTGGGCTGGAATGATTGGATTGTGTTGCCGTGCTACTTTTGTAGCTTCGTCGACGATGATTGGCGTGTTCCATCGACCCAAGTTCCATACTATGATACGGTACCTCGACACCTTTCCGGCCATGTGAGTGGCTAAGCTGACCGTGGACGGATTAGGGTGGATCGTAGACCGTAGGCCACTGGGCCGTGGGGCCGTGAATATGGTTCGAACATTAATGTTCAAGGGCCAAGGCCTGTTATTTTCCTACATTACATGCATACATAGTACATATACTACGTATGTATATACACTATGTATGTATGTATGTATGTATGTATGTATGTAGCTGTGCTGTGTAGTGTAGGTGGTATTTCGTGCTACCCTCTACGTAGTACCATAGTAGTGTGGATGAAAAAGAAGAGGGAGGCGTGGGTGCGTGCGTTTGCGTATGTATTGTAAGGCACGAGGCATGAGGCATGTACATAGACTACCTACATAGTAGTATGTACGAAGTAGTATGGATGGATTTGTTTAAGTGGGTTACGAACTATGGACTGTGGGACTGTGTGGTTTGGAGACAAGGCTTTTTTCGCGCCTGACCGATTGAACTGATGAAAGACGGACCCTACTAGGTTAGAGATGTGGTATGCAACTGACGAGGGTGGCCTGTGTGGGTATCAAGTAGGAAGCAGCAAGATGTTCGTTCGGTCATGACTACCTCTACCTGCCTTACCTGCCTGCCCTAGTACCTGCCTAACTGCCAGCCTGCCTACCTACATTACCTACCTACTAGGTTTCGGCAGGGGTGTGTTTTGAATAGCCAATTTCCTGGGGCAAAACTAAGAAAAATCAATTGTTCAATTGCTTTGAATCAATAAAACTTAGCCTTTGCCGGAGCTTTCCCATGGTGGGTAATTAATGCCTAGATACATATGTACCTAGCCGGAGGGTTGGTATTAAGCGTAGAGCAAGAGCAAGGGGTTGAGTGGGCATACATCTTATGTATGTACCTATAATATCTATGCAATCATTAACCAATGTCAGGTGCAATCACTTCCACTACATACATATGTACTTCGTATGTACAAAGTAGCTATGTCTGACAAACTGAGAATCGATCCTCGAAGATTGCCTACATACAGTCAGTAACATTTCCATGCCCTAGCAATATAATAGACATGTACTGTTTCCATATAGACTGTGTGAGAAATACGATGCATCATGGTCATCACCACATTGTGTTGTATGTATGTACATACACAACGTATGTGCCTAAGTGAGATAACTACGTACATATGAAAATTGAAGTGCACTGGCACAAAACTGTATTAAGAGAGTGTGACGGTGAAAGTGGGTTCGGCTTAAAAGGCTGGAATTAGGAATGAACTCATAAGAATAAGACCCACTCTTCGTATCCAGCTTTACTTCGTATAGTGATATTTCTATATTGAAGCTAACGCTAGTGTGATATACCTAGTATTATTCCGTAATAATCTAGATTTTCAACTACTATTTGGTGTCTATGTTAGGTATGTACATATATGAATATGTAACTTTGGCATTGTGTACGACTATAGAAATATTGGTAAGCGTTGATACGTGCGATGAAACTTCCTATGAACTGACGTACACTTCAATGCAATGAGTATTATGGAATATTACGCCATTCAATGTGAGTTGCGTTGACATTTACTAGGTACATTAATTGGTTCAAGTTATTTTTAATTACTCAAATTGCTTAGTTTGCGAAATAAGGCGGAAGGTAAAACTTGACAGTGGAATGAGGACTAAGGTGGAAGCTTCAATAAAAGACATTAAACTTGAAGTATTTAGAATAAGTTACATAGTACGTATGAACATTGAATTCGGAAAACGTAATAAAGGGGGCTGAGGACAGGGAAAGACCTATGTATGTCTATAAGGTACATAAGGTGGGGGTGAACGGAGAAAATTGAGATAGGCATAGGTAGCCTTAGGCCTTTAGCAGTAGCAGCTACCTAGTACAGCTGAGCATACATACAAACATAAACCCTGAAGCCTTCGTTAATGTAGGTACTTTAATAGGGCTCAAATGACAAAGGGCAATGGAATGTAGTTAAAGGCAAGAGGGGATTAATTGAATACATAGTAGTAAGTACCTACATAGTTACTATGTAGTACTAGGTATGGCTCTCCACTTTGTTGCTTGCGACATGATGGATGTTTTTTTTTCTTACTCTTCTTTCTCCTACTAACTACCTACCCTAGGATATGTAACTATCTCCACCCCCTCTTCAATGTTTTTATCCAATCACACTTCTTGCTTAGAGCCATTTTTAAGGATCTTGGTTTTTAATGATGCATCATACAGCCAAGTACTCCGTACCTCCGCTAATACCTCCGCTAAGACGCCGCTGGAATACTACCGGCATCGATGGATTCAATGGATTTCACCAATTTTTACACATTTAAACATTGCTGTGCCTATCCTGTATTATGGCATTCCGTAAACGAATGTGGCTGGAAAGTGGAAATCCTGCAAGTTGCATGGGGCAATCTTAATTGCTGCTTGCCCAAGCTTGCTTAGCTGATGATGGTTTCCGGAGAAACCTCATTGCCTACCACATGGAATCTATTCACAGCTTTATTAATGTTTAAATGTTATTGATGAACACCTCAAGTTAAAGAAGTATGTATGTAGGTGCTTAGATATCTCCATAGTACGCAAGCACTAAGTATGTACTAGGGAATCGGAGACAACCCTTAGACATCATTGAATCAGATGTTGAATGCTTCGTTTGAGAGTAGTGCACTTGATATGCAACTGACCTCCATGTCCCTATCAACCGCAACTATGTAGAGTATTCCAGATCGATCGTCAATCAAGATTCAAGCCTTGGGCTGTGCATGGGTCGCAGAGGACTCTTTGTACCTGGGTGTATGTACATAGCTAATTACATGTAACTATGTTGAGATAGAAAGAAATTCAATGTTGGACCAAGGGACTAAGGGTTGTGCCAAACGGAGTATTGAAGCAATACGGATCTTACTAACTAACCTAGCCAGTATACAGGGGGTCATTATTGCTCGGTTATCGATCCTAAACCCATACGTAGGTAAGTATGTACAATATATTTGTTGTAGTTATTAGTGACTTAGGACATTTACAGCTACATCATAATGCTGGTATCATCCAAACGTCCCTTACCGCTTGCTATTCAATGTTGCTCGTTTCCTCGTATGTATGTACAATAATACTATGTAGTCACAGTGGAATTATCGGTGGAGGTTATACCTATTAGGGAATTTTGTTGCATCTTTTTCGTTCAATCTATGAGAAGATACCCGGGTGTTATTGAATCACCATCAAACAGACTTTGCTCCTCAAAAGGACGTGATAAACCCCCACATGCACTTCAAATAAAGGGCAAAATGAAACAAGTCATTACTGGAGGTAACTAGGTAAGTACTTGCATCCATAGCGCTACATACATACGTATTAGTAGTAATCTCGTAATTCCCCATTTTCCGGTGGGATGGGATGGTTTGTCAAGTTAAAAGAAGACTCATAAACAGCAGCGGTGTTAAAATACACCATATTGTCTTAAATTTGTTTCTTTGTGTACTCTTACGTGCCACCACAACCTAACACATTTGTAGGTACGTATATACATTAACCTAGAGCTGGAGATGTATGATTCCACAATGAACCGGCGTTGCTTGCAAACAAAGCCGCTCTTTTTTTTTTTTCTTTTTTTTTTTTATATCAATGTCAAACCATTACGGAACAAGCCGTTCTAGATAGGTACACTTCGTACATGTAGGCACTCTGCAATTAAAGCAGCACTCCCGATGTAACTTGTTTAGGTGTAATATAATTGTGGTCTTGTGTTATTACATAGTATTATTTTTCCAAACTGGTCTAGAAACGGTTATGGTTTAGGTGTTGTCCGGGGAAGGAAAAGGACTTTTTACGTAGTAGTACTACTAGTATGTAGAAGAGGCATTTTGATGTGGTACCGACATCTTGGATATGCCAAGTCTGAAGTGGAAGCATGCAACAACTTCGTAGAAACTCCTCAGTAATCTGGATTTTAATGCTATTAGGATAAGTTTGTTTCACTAACACCACACCCACCTGAGCATGGGTACATGGATTCATTAAAAAATCTCCAACAGCCCCTTTTTCGCTGCTGGCATTCTGCATTTTGGAAACGAGTTGCATCCGATAATGTGGATGCCGAAAGTCGTCCTAGCATCAGCAGCACCAACTACGGTCTACCAATGCAGAATGCCACTAGGATCCGGAAGAGAGAGGGAAAAAGAATCAAACCTAGTTACCGCCGGCCTGCGCGGTGCAAAAGTCGAAAACTGGATAACTGCGCCTAGCCGCACGGGGACCCTCAGCTAATGACTTGGATAACAAAACGGCGGCGACAAATGGGAAGAGGCGTACGGTGTAGGAGGAATCATGAGTACCACGTAATGCTTACGGCCTCCTCATATTAGCGCTTGTCAGGTTTTTTGAGACCCGGACCGTCCTGGCGTGCGATGGATCATCCACCTAACCTAGTAGGTAACCAAAAAGTGGTGGTAGCCCACCCCATAACTCCCAGCTATTGTATGTACCCAGCTACGTGCCTAGAAAATGGTGACTTCCAGGGATTCCTAGGGATTCCCGGTGACTACTGGTGGTGGCATGGACGAGGCGGAGGTGCCTGTTTAGCAACTGACAAGCCTTGCTAGTCTAGTCCGTGTACGAAATGCGCGGCTTGCATGCCCAGCGATGAGAATGATATCGACGCCACCATTAGGATATTACATAGGTATCATTAGGATCACGGGGCAAGATGAGTCTCGACACTTGAGGAAAGAAACTTGTTTCAATACGCAAGTGTACAGATATGTAGTATGTAGGTATGCTACTATCATGTGTATGTATACCAATGTATGGTTAGGATTGCAAGACGTGTATCATTGATGTCGTGGACCTTTGTAACATGATTATTCGGTAAGGTCTTAAAAGTCCTATCTGCAATCTACCATCCATGGATGTGTGGATGTGTACCTACCTACAGTGCCTACAGACTGGCTACAGTGCCTACCTCATCATCATCGATCTTTGTAGGCACATATATAGGCAGGTGGATGATTAGATATGCATCTTCCTACCACCACCACCATCTTGCCATCCATTTCGCAAATTGATGTTGTTCAATGTCCGTCCGCATAGGACGGTGAAAGGGAAATCTCACACATGTCAATATCTTGATACCACCGCAAGCCTCAGCAAAACACATATCCATCAGCCACGTCCATTATTGGAACATTGCCAACGAGTTGCCCACATTTTCAAGGGAGCTATACACATAGTGCTCGGCTCATCCGCCAATGTATTAGAGCAGAATTCCGTTTTAAACCCTGATTGATGAAATGACTCGACAGAGAGAGCCTGCATGAGATGTCTTGGTGTCTGGGGAGGGTCGCAAGTCAATCGATCCCCAATCCAAGCAATACATAGTAAAATGATACGCCCGCATGACTGCCTTGACTGCCTTGACTGCCTTCGTCCCATCATCGGTTATCTCTTACATATTAGTCCGGCAGGGCGATCCGCCCAAAGCACATATTCAAACCGGCGTGCATCATGACCGATAAATTTCGTCAGCTCTTTGCAATCACTGGTCCGTGATCACGAAAAAAATAAAAAAAATAAAAATACTGCTATATCAGAAGGTTCTTGTACTCATATACGCAGTCAAACATCTTAATGGCCAACCATCACTGAGACGTTTGATGCAGTACTGCACTGCCTGTCTGCCGGCTTGTCTCTACGTTTACCGATATCCACTCAAGGATAAACAGACTTACAGTGTTCATATATGGGAATAGGTTTGTGCCATGAACCACAGCGGAGCGGAGATACACTGCGCCATGCACCGTAGACCGCCATCAACCAACTTACTTATACGGCGCCCGGGACCCCTTAGTTATCTTGAGAATGGTCAGATCGGCATGCGATCGATTTCTTCAACTCATCATCGCACATAGGTAACCTTTTTTTCAAGTAGAATCCAGAAGCCTAGTTATCCCCAACCAAATATCGCCAGGTCAACTAGCGCTTCAGCTTGCTGTGCAAAGGTCGTTATTTGTTGATTAGGATTCCGACCTACACTACATAACCTCTAGAAGCCCCTCTAGAAGTCCTTCTCACTCGCGTTGATTCGATGAAAGGTCTTCTCCGAAATGAATATCTATACTTATCATTGACGTATTGAGATGGACCCCGATCCCAGCACGATATAGTAGATAGCATGCATATCAACCTAACGCTACTCCTGCAGTGAGGTTGGCATGTCTCCATTCGATATTATCCTTACTCCCAATCCGTGACGATATATGAGGGTTCACGGGTTGAAACCGCTACGACTTCCGACTTCTGACCTTTAAAACTTTCTCTCACATGCGCACGAACCGAGTACGACATCGCCTCGTTAGGATAAGTTATATAACTTACATGCCTAGTTATGTATAACTACTAATCCACCACCCTGGTTCTCCGCTAGTTTCGTCCCGCGCTATAGGTATTTTCCCTGTGCTGCGTGGTGGTGAGCTCCACGGCCAAGGGGTGTATCTATCACGGCCACTCTGGTGGCCGTGAACACAGGGATCAAGCCTCCGTGCCGAGGACCTAAGTACCCAGTCGGTACGCCTTATTCCGTACATACATGTATTATGAGTCGTACGCGAGAGTGAGTAAGTACATACATACATACATAACCTACCTAAATACGTACGTTACCAGGTTACATAGTAGTGTCCCATTGGCTGCGAGTGTTTTGATTGGACACTCATACCCCTCGGAAGGCCTCCCCTTTTCTGACCGCATTTCTTCCCATGAGACTAGCTTGCTGCAATGCTCTCGTCTGATAGGATTATGTTCCCAACTACGATTATTACGGCGAGCTGCCGGTTACAGAGGTCGGTCTCCATCGGTGATCTTCGGCCGGCGCAGGAAGGCCGATACGGCCCTGAGACCTACCTCGTCAGATCCATACTCGGTACGAAAAGGGCAAGATCACTTCCCAAGTGGAGTAGCACAGGAATAGCTTGAGAGAAATCTTCCACTACATACTTATCGTAGTATCATTACCTACCTTATATTACTAGGAACTTAGTTAAGAGGTAGGCATATTTAACCACACCCGAACGATCATCACGAAGCAATACGCAATGCCATCATGGCGCAGGCATCTAGGCCCAGCTACCCTCTCCCATTAGAGTGTACCTAAAGTACGCATCGCCAATATAGGTATACTAAGTAGGTAGCTAACCCTCCAATCACGAGACAGACGCAAAGTCTTACATGACAAGTAAGTAACTAAGTGTGATATGTACTGCGGCTTTGGTAATTCTGCTCCGTGCGCTTACATCCCGGAGAGCCATCCCAGCCAAGCGTACAATAGTTACCTACAATAGTAACTTTTTACTATCATTAGCGCAAATCCAGGAAAAGCCATGGTTGTCTGATTGGCCGATTATCAAAGGCTTCAAAGGCTTCAAAGGCTTCAAAGGCTTCAAAGGCTTACATACATTGATAGTATGTATTATGTAGGACCAAGCATCCAAGGCTCGATATTTTAGCCGTCCTTATTCTGCCGAATGGAAGTAATAGGCAGGTACTAATATAGGTATGATATCTAACGTATGTTGAGCAAGGCTGCTAATAAAAGAGGCTGTACTATACGCTGTATCCAACGTCAGCTTGCTATGTATGTATGTATATGCATCAAACCCATGTTATACCAATGAAGGTATTGTAAGTCTTCCCGCCAGCGGAATCAAAAGCGCCTATTTTTACATGTTATACATAATCACATGAGCGGTACCCAACCAACACATCTGTCCTTACATACATACATGCCTCAACACACTAAATTACATGCACCTGTTCAAGAGAAACGCAGCAGCCAATGTGTTGACGTGCCACAATGCACAATGGGCATAAGAGGGATTTGTGGCTGGTACCGCAGACCGCAGGGACTTTGGCGGCATCAACGCAACATTGGACATTGCACACTTGACTGGCAGACTGGCACACACTACGAATCGAGAAACCCTGTTGCTGATTATTATCAATTCGAGCCGCCAATATCCTATTGGCTGGAGTACCTGCCCTCATCAAATGGTGGGAACATTGAATTTTAAGAGGGCCGGACTGGCATCATATGTTGCTCGTCTTCTCGGCGAACACTTATTACTATGTACAAGATCCTGGAGAGTAAAAATATTTGCAGTAGGTACATCGCCGCTTTGGAACCGACATGGAGCCAACTATGTAGTGTACCTAGACTCCATTGGCCTTATCTTTTGCGAAATGGGTGGTTCAATGATTCAACAATAGTGTGATGAAGTGTTTCGAAGGATGTTAGGGGCCAACAGCCTAAGTAAATACCTTCGTATGGATGCATCTAGTACATATATTAAACGCCGAGCGAAGTTTGTAGCGTCCAAGTCACACCATAGAGTTGATTTGATTCGCATGGAAACGTGGATTCCAGTTGGATTTTATAGTACTGCCACTTTTTCTTAAACGGATCTACTTACTTACCTACCTTGTAAGTGAATGATCTTGTTCGAATTATCCATAAATAATTGTGTGCTGCGTGGACAGAATCAAGGGAGGCCAAACCTGACATCAACTACTAAGGCGCACCTCGTAGTGATAAATGGTCTTAGACTAAAATTTCGAACCAAGCCTTGCATCGTGGAGGTTAATGAAGTTATGGTATATTTATAAGACATAAGACAAGACACCAAAAGCACAGGCTTACAAGGAAATATCACATTAAAATATCACATTAACTATAAGTTTCGACTATGATGGGCCTCGTACTTGAGCCAAGCCTCTTTTTCTCCTACAACGACGCTAGGGGCGTATTCAATGTACGTAGCCTTACGATCCTAAAGAGACCCGTTATATGCCAATGTTCAACTACTATGCAGGTATGCATTTTGCGCAATGCCCAAGGTAGGTTTAATCTACATAGATAGATGCCTAGACGTCGTGTTTTCCTATCTTCCGGGCAAGAAGAGGGATCTTTCGGGCAAGTTCAATGTTCAACCACCGGATTCGACCATCTTACACGCGCAAAGTTTCGTATTCAAGGCTCTCTGCGTCAAAGAATAATTATATTAGGTAGTGCGTAATCGAGCGAGCAACGGCCTTGGGTCTCTTCCTTGCATCACCTCGTTTCCGAACCGCACATCATTCGTTGGCTCATTTCCAACAGACAAGACAGGGTAGGGTAGGTAGGTAGGTATGGTATACAGCACACGCAGCAACCACGCACGAGCACACACACTCACCTAGAACTAGGTATTATGTAGAAGTCACATACGACTCATCTTTCTCTTATTAGATACCACCTAAGTCGATCTTCCTGCTGCTCTAGCTCCGACGGCGACGTACCTACTCACTCTGTCTAGGTAGGTTATGTATTCTAAGGAGTCATACGTTTCCCTCAGCCTAGCTTGGATCCCCGATCCCAGACACAAAATGACTTACTTAAAAATCTTGTCTGCTAGGGATCAGGGTAAGGGAATTTTTTTTAGCTTGACCTGCCACATTCGACGCGCGCTGAGCTCGATGGTTGGCTCACATTTACTTGGGAACCCCACCCCCTTCCCTTCCCTTCCCTCCCCCTGGCTGGACGCATCGCTTGCCTCCATCTACATAGTAACTACTACCTATGTAACTAGTGTATATACATACAATAACCATCTACATAACACTTAACGGCGTATAAAGTGATAATTTTGCCATGAACCTGGCTGGCGTGAGACCGCTTCCCTCGAAATAAACTTCATTCCGTGGTTCAATATGCGATAGTTTGCCTCGCTTTTCCTTAAACCCTTCTCCCTCCTCTCCCCCCCCCCCCCCCCCCTTCCCTCCCCTTTTTTTTCTCTTGCATCTCGTTAAGTTAGTGGTTGCGAATTGATAGTTGTTTGTCCTAGTGAGAGGAATTTGATGCCTGTCTCTTCAATACAGTAGTGGCGCTCCAGGGCGGACCTCCTGCTAACATCGTTCGCTGATCATTTTTCCAATTTGGTGTCCACTCCCGAACCGCCCAGCCCGAAGCTGGTCGTATGTCTGCTGAGCGGATCACAAAACGCTTTCCCCCCCCCCTACCCCTCCCCCTCGTCTGAAGGGCCCTTGAATCATGTTCCATTTTTATTTCAATTCTTTTAACTCCTTTTCACCACCCAGCATTAGCATCACAAGTGCTTCGTCATCTCAGCTCAGCCCAACATGTCATGTCCAATACCTGTAATTTTTTTGCAATACAATACTATCCCGTGCTAGCCCACGGCACACAGACCGGATATTGTTGGCCGGATACGGCGGGATAGGTTATGGGGAATAACGCGAGTATTTCCGCTAATATCGTCTCACACACATACACACATAACTACACACATAACTACACACATACACATCTAAATACTACATGGAGTCTGGATGGTTCTGTGACCGTCGTGACCGCCGTAATCCTGAAATAACTCGCATTGCCATCCAAGCACAGACGCAAGGCGTCGCGATATGATATCTACCTAGGGTAGGTAGGTATTGTCCTGTCTTGTGATACCTTACTGACATCCCGTATCAAATGAGATAAGTCGCAGCGAATCATACATACATAGTAGAACGTCCCTATATTAAACACTACAATAACCAAATGTCGGCATATTGAGAGATCACACTACTACATCCAACCTACCTACGCCCCAAATGATGTTTCTAATCTAATCAGGGCGTGCGACTCAAATCCACCATCCATCATCCATACTCCATCTTTCCTCTTCCTTTAATTCTGGCTGCCCCTTGTTTGAAAGAAGAAACTGGTTTAGCTCCAAAAATATAGCCTGGGGAGCTGAATCCGGCAATGCAATTCTCATGCCATCGTCATCCATCCTCGGCCCAAGGTTATCTATCTATCATAATCATCAAAAAAAGACGGTTCGAGTCCTATCCATCCATCCAGAGGGATAGAGAGATGCCTGTCGTTCTGTGTTCTCCCTGCACGCTTTCGAAGTTGCTTGCATAGGAAAGTAAGACGGTACCTTACGAGCCGACGTGTACCCCACTACACTTTGCCATCTCCGTGCTTAGGTTGGCAGGCAGGCAGGAAGTCAGTCAGATAATGTCGCCTCCTTCTTCTAAGATGATGTAGGCAAGACAAGACAAACAGCCAGCATGCCACTTTTCGCTATGGATTTCGTAAGGTTTGCCGTCTTCGTCTTTCGTCTTTCGCTTGTGGACGAGTAAGTAAGCTCCCTTCATCTTAGCTTATCCCGCAACCCTCCTTTTTTTTTTAGAGGTAGTGCCCCGGCTACGGCGGACGCGGAGAGAGGCGACGAGTAGGTACCATACCATACCATCATCCCTCTAGCGTATCCCACAATCACATTAGTTATAGTCAGCGCTTGTTGAAGGAAAGCCCTTCCCTTGGATCCGTTGCGGCAGCTACGATTATATAGCTTTCTTTTCCTTCACCGACACTAATAACTTACTCGACTCCACAATGCTCTCGCCCAACTACCTACACTATTCCAAATCACGGATTACGGACATGCGCGGGTACGTTTAGTTAGGTAGTGTATGCATAATTGCGCGCACGCACGTCGGGGCAAACTAGAAAGAAGGAACCTTGGTTGGAACCCACGACGAAAAATAGTTAAAGGGAACACCGAATGAATGATGCAAGCGCTGCTTTGCGAGTGAGGAATAAGTCAGGGTCGGCGCTGATTATTGTAGGTAGATTGCCATCTTCACGTATTCCATTCGCCTCTTTGACACCAACCCCATTTGGTCCACCCTCTTTGCCACCTTTCCCTCGTATCACCCAGGATATAGGCATGATAGGTATCAGGTATGGATGGCATTCACGTGGCCAGAAAAAACGAACGCGAGTACACGCATACAGTACAGTACACATATACAGTACATTGCCCCCTATACGGAGCCGTATATTCACTGTATTGTATGTACGTATGTGGGCGTGATCTGTTCTTGAGCGAAGCCTACCTTTTCCCTTCTTTTCACATGCGAGAATAGGTATCGTCCCTCTAGTGGCCAGATCTGGCATACGTACTCGTTACTGGGCTTTGTCCTACATTGCTCCTACAACTCACCGATCGTATTCCCACAATCTATTCGTCTCGAGATTGGCATTTGGCATACATAGTATGTTGGGGAGAGTAGGTATGTAGACGTAAGCCCAAGAGTTGGGAGGACTGCCATCGTAGTCGAGAGGTGGCTGGAGCTCGGTAAACTACACAGGTAGGTAGGTCTTTGTCTGAGTGATGGTATTGGAATCTACATACCTACCTAGCTAGACAGCTTCTTGAAGACGAACTATTCGATACCTTCCTGGCTTCTGCCTAGGGGGTACGTAAATGGTGAGCAATATGAGCTCGAATGTGCGTGTTCCCTCAATCCGTTGATTATGTTACAAGTCAATGAACGACATGCCCTAAAATGAATGTGCTTCTATTCTACCTACTCAAAACCAATGAGGAAGGTGTCGAGTCAAAAAGGCCTCGTTAAATCGTACCTAGGCGGTCATATCATGCTATGCATTCATAGTTACCCCGAATCCATCAGTCGAAGTACCTATCTACATATTAGGGTAGTATTTAAGACTGAGCAACACTCTTTGTCATTCCGGAAAGCTCCTGCTGGCGTGCATTACATTACAGTAAATATGTACGGCTGAGTATCAGATGCGCCTAGAATTTGACGTTGAGTGCCTAACATGTCTACTTGGCAGCGCACAGTAGTTAACTCAACATGAGCTTTTCTTGTACCTTTTCTTTGGGGCCGTGGACGTGACGCTGAGAGCCAGCCACACACCAAGTAGGAAGCCTTAAACTGACATCGTAACATCGTGGAGAAAGGCATGAGGCTATACGCACTTCGCCTATCTACTCATACAGTTTATTATTATTCTAGAAGTGTACCTAGGTAACTCGAGCACGGAACACCGATTCTCGCGAATAAGGGGTTTCCGCTTCGGTAGTAATAGGTGTGTAAATAGTATCATATCTATACCGACCATGATTCTCAAAGCATTTAGGGTAGAAACATTCTAGACTTCATTCAATGATAGAAATTGAGAGAAATTATTCCAATTCGAAGAATTATTCTTGATCGTGTAATGAATTCACTCAGTTTCTATCATCGGGATACATAGATTCATTCCTCAGTGAAAGTAATTATTCCTACATAACTGGAATCATTCTCGGCTACCTACTTATCGAGCACACTTTTAGTTTCTTATTACAAGATTGACTCCGCGTTGAGTTATCGTCACAAAGCAGGCCTTCTTGTGTGCCATACAGCTGTCTACCAAGTAGTCTGCAAAATGACAGCCTTTCAACAGGCCCTTTTGCTCTTCGAGAACTCCATGATCTTCTTGACTGTTTATCCACCCCCCTCCACCATACCAGCAAACCCCTTATCAGCCCAGCCTTTTGTACATCCGCCTCCAAAATCAACAATCTAAGCATCACCATCTTCTTCTTCTTCTTCTTTAATAACAACGCTTCTTGTCTTTCCATCGCCCCAGAGCACCTCGATCTCGTACAGCTAGCTGCTTGACCGTTTCGTAGATCTACGACGCCCACTTATGTCTCTTCTTGAGCATATCCATGTTTCCGAGACAGCCAGTCTCTCGGCATCCACTCACAACACATTTTGCTTCGGCGTGCTTAACATCCATAGCCTAGAATCTGTGGGACACGTATACGTATCACGTGTGATCGTGATCGTGATCATGATTCTGTAGGAATGCCCTTCGTACCTATCTTCTAAAGACTTACCGGTTCCTGTTCCAAGCCAGTCAGAATCAAGCAACCCTCTTCCCCGTGCCTTGCAAAGCATTTCCTTGGTATTGACCAGAAACCCGGCTGACAACAAACATGTTCTGCGCCTTGCACCAAGGTCTCCAAGATCGAGAGATTTGGTTGCGCAAATAGGTACCTATCGAGGAAGACTATCATATATACCTAGGTAGGTATAAAAGGAGCTCTCGACATTGGAGTCGAAGTTTGCTTCGATACAACACAGGTGTGGGCATCGTCGGGGTTAATAGGAATCAGCCGCCTTGCCATCCGTACTTAGTTTTGAGGAAGAAAGTGAGCAGGTACTCTATGGTAAAGGAGAGCGTGCAAATCTTGGCTAAAGGGTTGGGGAACAGGCGTTGTTGAGTACCTAGTAGCTTCGCTTCCGTGAAGATATATAGCTTTTCCTACATCAAGTATTAAGCAAGCTTAGAACCTCGTCCATGATCTCTCCGAGTTCACCGGCATTCACATCGGAAAAAACTTGGCCTATCATGTGGGCATATCTATGAGACGACCTTCAAGGCAGGACTGTGTTCGGTCCGAATAGGGTTTGTGTTGAGCTGGAGAACTGGGGAACGTGGACACAGCGATTCGTCGGTACTTGAAATCAAAAACAATATCAGCACCGTCGCCATTGTCAGTATTAATTTGATATATAGAAATATCGTCCATCTTATCCACCTTATTCATTTCATCCAGCTAGGTGGCACGCGTAAAGGAGAGGATAAGGGGTTGAAGGGGGAAGACGGCTGTAAGCTTTGTGTTAGACTGTAATTGGATATCACAGAATAGAAGAACATCACGAACTCATAAGGCAGCTTTTTACATGTTATATTCTAATACTTATTACCGCAACTTAAGCAGCAATAAACGAGCGATCCCTCATCAAGCCATATCTCTAGGCTCACGACGCCCTACCTTAATAGCAAAATACCAAGCCTTATAATGTTTGGGGTCATGTACCCTCCCTCGTTACATAAACCTTCTTACACCCCTCCTAAGCCTTAGCCAGCCGCGTACATAAGTATCTTTGAAACCCAACTTATACGTCATCTGTGATAGCCCTTTGGTTGGACACAAAGCGGTGGGAATTAAGACCAAATCCAAGTGTCGTTTCATCGTAAGTTTGCTATGGTATCGAGTAGCATTGTCGGGTGAGGTCGTTCAAAGATCTGATGTATCCAACCAAGATTATGGCTGCATGGGAGTTGTCGAAAACATTCGACTCCGATGCCGTCCAGTCATTACGGGCTGGCCCATCCACCAGCAACATCTACCCATTCTGCAAGACATGAGCCTTCCTTGCCTTCGACATCAACGATATCTGTATCGCAACGGCAACGGCAACCGACACCGTTTTCTTTCTCGGGGTCCCATTGGTCCCAGTATTCATCTTCCTCGATCCGTTTTCTCTCCTCTTGGGTCGTCTTTTCGAGATATGGCTCACGCGGTAGCTGGCGAGCAGGAGCATTGGCGGGACAATGTTGAATGGTGGTATGTCGATAACCGAAATCTCGGAAGTAGTGGATATCACGAGGTGCGAGAAGAATACCAGCGGCAAGTGAATGGATAGGAGCATCACCCCACTAGTGTCAAGTTAGCAAAGCCACCAGCCAATACTTCCGCACAAACAAGTTTTACTTACTCTTTCCATCCAGAATCCACCACTACGGTCCATCATTTCGAAGAAGGCCTTGTACTCTTTACTACGGAACCAACTGAGCCTGGCGATTTCAAAATTGGACCAGAAATGGCACATATTATAGCTCTCGCCTTCCATGGCTTCCGAGTCAATCTCGGGCAAGTTCATTCGGCCGGGATCAGTACGCAATATTTCCTCAGGCAATGGAGGTTTGTAGTTAGGATCATCCTCAGGAGCTTGCTTCTCTGGCCTGGGTTCAGTAAACATCTCCCATAGTCCCTGAGAGGTGATATTATTGAGACGCTTGTAGGCGGAAGCATAACGGAAGATGTTAGGAACAGTCTCTCGGAGCTCCTTGACGGCAATGGTGAAGCCATAGGTCTTATTGTTCTCGATCATGGCAAGGAATGGGTCGCTGCAAAAGCCCGTTAGTGATTGAAGAAAGGACATAAATACAAGTTGAACGTACTATGTAATATCGCAGAAGTACTTGATCTCGGGCTCCAAGCGCCAGTACCACTCGTATTTGGCAAGAAGAGGGTGGTCATAGAAGAATCTAAAGCATATTAGTATTGGTAGGGGTTGATCGTTTGCTAAATGCTTACCCAGAGTAAAATCGGCACATGGCATGGTAACTCTCAAGACCACCATACATGACGGCAGCATCTCCCTGCTTAGCGATGCCCTCCTTTGCGACCTTCGGGTCGATCCAATCAGGATAGCCCCACATCTCGGCGCCAACCTTGCCAAATTCGACAGGGGCAGAGGTGTAGTTACGAATAATGTCCTTGAAGGTCTGGTTGAAGTCCCCGTCGTTCAAAAAGACGTAGGGGTAGTGATACCATCGATTGAAATGTCGCTCAATGGATTTGACGGATTGGATAACACCATCGAGCTCCTTATTCCGGGCGAGGACGACGAATGCACCATTGGCACGCTCTTTGGATGTGTCGGGTTCTAAACAGCCAGTGACAAATACCTTGTCATGCTCTTCGCTAATTTTACTGTTTGTCATTCACATCGGTTAGTAAACTCTAGGTGAAGTAAACTTCGAAAATAATCAGAACGTACCGAATGGCTGGAGGTGCACCAGCAGGCATTAATATCCTACCAGGAGAGCTTGGGTGCCTAACAAACAAGACTAGGATAAGGACGACGACAATGCATGGAAACAGAACGACAACACCTAGCGGGACAGATATGCTAGAATTGCCTTTTAATCGGAGGGGCCTTCTGAAGAAAGCGAAGCGCGAAGTTAGTCGGTTAAGTTGAGGTCTCTTTTCGGTGGCCGTGGGAAGCTGTGGCGTGCCCATGGTCACAGGCACACGCCTGTAAGCGCGCCGAAGCAGATCCATGATGGCAGCTTAGCAGCGCTCTACCGTAGAACGGCTAGAGCGTAGTAGTACCAGGCAGCTAAAACAGCAGCGTTGAATTATATGGTTGTTGTGATGGTCGGATAGGTATGTTTATGTCGTGATTTGTCCCGAATACTCTATTTAAATCATTAAACCCAGATCCCGGCGGTCCAGCAGCTGTCCGTCCGTATATTCGGTTTGGTGAAAATTACGTAGAGTAGCGAGCGACGCGAGGGATGGCGACCCTGTTGAGGTAATTGACGGGGCGGGGGAAATTATTTGCTATTTGGTTGAGGGTGTCTCTCGAAGGGAAAGAGACAGCGCACAGATTAGAAGGGATACCAGCGTAAACAGAGTGAATGGCGAAATGAATAGACGGTCAATACGCATACGCGTTGGACACGCTATCTTTTGGCGTCGCTCAACGGTTTGACGAGTCCAACTGTAAAGTCGTTATCAATCGTGTCGATTGATTAAAAACGACCTCATTGGAGGTGTCGATAAAGTTGAACGGCGACAGACCGCAAAAGAGAGTCAATAAGGTTGTATGGGGGAAGGGGGGCGATTGTAAGAAATTGAAATCAAGGAAAAAAAAAGATACGGGGGGGACGGGATTGATGATACGAGATCGAAAAATTTAGGACGAGATGAAATGTCCAAGGGGTTAGAAACCGTAATGATTAATTGTTAGGGACAGGACACTTTGCTGACATGAACAATTAATCCCCAAGGTTCAATGTTTTTGGGCAGGCGATGGCGAAATTATGCTTGGACTTATGCCTGGATGGGGTTTTGTGGCCAATCAGATGTCGAGTAGAGATAGGGGACCGTGTTGAAACCACTTGACTAAAGATCAATTCAACTAAATACATTCACATATGAGCCAATTAGAGCCAATGAAAGTAAAGTACTCGCTACATGTCCTTTAAGGCATTCAAAGCCCTAAAGTGGAGTATCTAATACCAAGGTATCTGATATTATGTGGTAACGTTAAGTGGATCCAAGATCTTGAGGTGGTCTTGTCCCATCACGGCCATGATTTTTCCGGGGTTTCCAAACCTGCACGGTGGACTACATACGTTATCTGGACCACCTTATCTGGATTCTACGTTATTTGTAAATTTCGTGAAGTCAATCCCATAATTCCACCACGATATTTTGATACATAACGGTAGTTAGTGAGCTTCTCCAGAATTCAAACGTTCCAGAACCAGACCCACGACAGTCCACTTCATAATTACCCCCCCATAATAGGGCTAGAAATGATCGTCAACTATGAGTTCATTTTTGAAATGATTCACATCCTAACCTAAGGACTTTTATCTTGATCTGGGTGTTGGTCCTAGCAAAGATGATAAAATGTCGCATTCACAGACTTGTCGAATAACGACCCCTAATGTGCATGACTAAGTTTTTTTTAAAATCCTGAAATCAAATACTGAATCATGTCCCCTTTTCTGTCTACTTCTATAGTGCCTGGTGTCTACAACATGTCTTGAGAGAGAGATATACTACTAGTATAAGCAGATATCTAGGTTAGGTAGGCTTGACACGTATCCATTGAAATAGGCTATCTCTTCCATGGCTACAAAAGCTAGTCTGGGACATCACCACCTGTTAGAGCATAGGCAATGTTATAATCTCAAGTGTCTTTTGAACGTCAAATTCACTTTTAATGCCTGAAGATCTTTGACTATTCTAACCTCCACAGACATATAGCACGAGGATTGTGTATTGTAAGGCATGTGTCCCTATATTGGCCAAGTACTGGGCATCCCTTACTCAAGATCCTCTCTACAGTAAAAAGACCTGATCGGCGTACTTTATAAAAATGACAGTTCCAGTATCCGGGTTCTTGAAGCATCACATCCTTCAAGATGATGCCGCCAATACTTACAATGTCATCTTCCTAGCTTCATATGATGCCCTCATCTATTAAAGTTTCAAGGACAGGCACCTCTTTCCCGGTATCGACATTTCAGGTCCCCCTTTATCTGACTTGGCCGTTTGTTAAACTTGTAGAGAGGCCCATACATCTGCCGGCAAGAGGCGATTAGTCTGCGGGGGACCCTAGGAGACGTCGCGGTCGTGGAGTCGCATTTTATCTTTCCGCCTAATTACATCAATAAACGCTTCTCCCTCCGCAGACCAAAAACAACAACGCCTTATTCTGTCATATATGTTATCATAGCAATCTATACCTTGAGGTAGCGTAGTATCATGGCTGCTATAAAAGGAAATCTAGACAGCCCGTTCCCTAATGGATATCGATATGCCAGATTGCGTGTCCAATCAACCGCCGTCTCTCCCTAGATGACAATCATTAGATACCTATCGTGGTCTGTTAATTATCCTAAATCGCCAAGGTTCCGGTCCGTGGACTCTCCGCAGTCTAGATGGCTTCCCATGAGGCATAGTGTTGTATCATCGAACGTTGAAGGTTAGGGGACAGTCTGCAGATCCGTAGCTACATAACACGACAATTCCTCTGCAGCTTGTTCTATCCTAGCTTTTCAAGTTAGGTTTGACTACTTGGCTCGTACTTGCTATAAATTGAATACCAATATGCGTCTCTTGGCGACGGCTTCAACTGTAGTCGCCCTACTGGGCCAGGGTGAGTGTCCCATCGATAATAGCATTATAATGCGAAAATCTTAACGAGTTCGCCAGCTCTATCACAGGATGTCCCGAGTTTTCCTTTCCCAACCACCTGCTCCGGCGTTGCTGCTCCCCGATTCCAATACACGCTTGATTCTGGTTGGGAGGTCACCAAGATCGCCAGTGGGCTTCGCCAACCACGAACTATCATCTTCGACCCCCTGGGCCATATGCTAGTGTTGCAAGCCACTTCTGGAATCTCCGTACACACGTTTGGTGCCGACGGATGCATTAATAGCACCAAGACCCTCCTCCAGAGTGCCGGCCTCAATCACGGTCTGAGTCTCACACCCGATGGCACGACTCTCTATGCTAGCTCGCAGACAACGGCTTGGTCGTGGACCTACGACCCAGCAGCGATGACGCTGACCAACCAGAAGACCGTAATCAGTGGTATGGGACAGGGCATTCACTCCACACGTACCATCCTGGTTTCGCCCAAAGACCCGAACCTGATCATCGTCTCCGTTGGTGCTGCTGCGAACTGGGATAACCCGACCATTGACCCCAGCGTTGGTCGCGCGATCGTGAAGGTGTTCGATGTGAGCAAGGCGCCGGCCAATGGCTATAGCTACAACACCCAAGGCACGGTTTTGGGTTATGGTCTACGTAACGAAGTTGCATTGGCGTTTGACCCGAACGGTCACGTATGGGGTGCTGAAAATAGCGGTGACGACTTCAGGAGAACGGTCAACGGCCAGTCCACTGACATCCATATTGACAACCCCGCAGAGGAGTTAAACTACCGTGAGTTTATCGAGTGATATCTTTGTTTATAGATCGTTCGTGTTATATTGGTGGAACTACCTCGTTCGAAGGCTGACATAAAATCTAAAATTTAAGTCGGAGACCCGGCCGCACCCCTTGCGAATACCTGGTTCGGTTACCCGACCTGTTTCACTGTGTGGGAGCCGTCCAACTTTAACGACAACACGGCGCTGAAGACGGGCTCACAGTTCGTCGTGTCGCCCAACCAGACTTTCAGCGATGCATCTTGCGAGGGCAAGTCGAATCCGCCACGCCTAGCGTTCCCGGCACACATGGCGCCCATCACCAACGGCTTCGACCCGGCGGGTGAGAATCTGTACATCACGTTCCACGGCAGCTGGGATCGACAGCCCGCTCAGGGTTATTTCGTAGCCGAAGTGCCATTTACAAAGAACGCCGATGGCCAGTATGAGCCCGTCGCTGCTGCTGACAGCAAGACTGGCTACAAAAACATCATTGGCGCCCAAAGCCCGGGCTCCTGCAACTCGCCTTCCTTGACCATGAGCAGTTGCTGGCGTCTAGCTGGCCTCAGCTGGGACGCTGCCGGCGAGAGGCTGTTTATCAGCTCCGACAACCAGGCTCAAGGCGAGATCTTTGTGTTGAGAAAGAAGGCTTGAATACATTTCTTTCCGTCGAAAGATATTGGCAAGCTACCACATAAAGCAAAGGGTATCGGGCCTACTTTTCTCTAACCTAGCTTGTTTTTGAGGATTACGGGGAAGGATAATATGGGAAGACATAAAGGACTACTTAGTTCTTCATTAGACATATGAATCCCCCTTGCTCATTCTTGTGTGCGTAGATTTCCGTAACTTGCCAGAGGCGTATATGAAAAACCTAGCGCCTAGTCGGGCTCGTTGATGTATTGCAAATAGTATGCGATCTGTTCGAATCCGATAACCGTCATGAAACACCAGCAATTCTCCGTAGATACTGAAGCTCTGATGCCTATTAGATATTTGGACTCGGTGGGTATTCGGTACTCGATAATTTGTAAGGCTGAGGAATCTGTTTGCCTTGGAATGATTAGAATAACGTGGTGACTATCCTTTCAAAACTTCAACTTTGATTGGATCTTCAATCCGCGTCGTCACCGAAGCTAAGCTTGATCTTTTTGGCTTTTTTCTTGCCCTGCTTCGCGCCGTGCTTTGCGTCGGCAATTTTCTCATCTTTGGCTGTTGTTGATCGGGTCTGTCCTTTTGCTCCACTTGTAGTTTTGGGTTTCCTGCCGTCCTCGTCCTCGCCCTCATCCTCACCGCGCCCAACAACACGCCCGACTTTTCGCTTTTTTCCTGCCCCGATACCTGCTATCTTTTCCTTTTCCTTCTCTTTCTCCCTCTTATTCAAGTTATCGTCTTCTTTAGGGCCTTGGTTCACTGTAGCGCCAGTAGATTCTTCGTCCTCATCTTCTAGGGCGTCATTGAATGAAATAACTTGTCCATTTTCGTCAACAACAAGTGGTGCTTCCTCAGCCACGTCGCTCGCAGACCGTGGACGCGCCGCGCGGCGTCGCGCAGCTAAGATTGGATCTGGAGAGTCTGAGTCATGTTGCTGCTGTTGTTGGCCGCGAAGTCGGGCAAGGAAGGGCGGAAGTTCAGTTGAGTAGGAGAGATTCTTGGAAGTAATCTTTTGTTGGTTCTGGGAGGACATGGCTTTTAATTGCTTGAGCAGATACTACCTGACCGTTGGGTAGGTAAAGTGTGCGTAGAAGAGGTACTGGAACCTCAAGAAGCCTTGAATGTTTCGAGGTTCAATGTTCAATGTTCAATGTTGCACAAGAACATTAAAAGCATTGAAGGTGAATGGTTCCAATGTTTAAAGTTGGTGGGGAATGTCAATAACTAGTACATAACTACTAGGTACTAGGTACTAAGTACTAGGTTAGTACCTAGTTAATAAGGTACCTGGGTACAATACCCTGTTAGACGTGTAAAACATCACTGGGCAATGATTGAATCTGTAAAGTCTACACGTGGACTTCAATGTTCAACTTGAATGTTTCTAAATGTATGGATTCTGAGACCACTACGTAGTTGAAACGCCATCTGAAAATATTGCACTTTAAGTTCCTCCCTCATTTTGAGCTGTAAGACAATTTGATGTCATCACCAGCCATCAGACTACTGCTATCCTGCTCACTACATACCTTTGACTCGGCTAAGCACATACATTATTCCCGCTTCCATAGTTTCCAAGGTTGTTCGATGGACGATTTAAGTACTTACTACATGTAGATATCTTTGACATTAGGCATTTAATATCCTTACTATCGTATAGGTGGCTGGCCTGATAAGTCCTTCGTAATTGTCTCGGTACCTAGCTACTGTAGCTTGCGTTTTGAGGCCTCGAGCTCTGCGTTGTTGTCGATGGGTTGAGAAACCGTGACTGAAGCATTTTACACATCATCTTCACTAGCCTCCAGGGCTGTCTTTGTGTAAGTCCTTAGCCAAATATATCAGGCTACCCTTTTGGTCGTGAAGGTCGTCCGTTTATCGATCCCTTTTGCTGCGAGGACTCATCTCCTTGAAAGAGGCTATGCCATATTTGAAGACGATGCATATGCCTTGACTTCGTTGCTGTGATTGAGGCACTCTTCACGTTCTTTGAACATACATTCTACCCTGGTAGCACCTTATTATAGTTCGTCCTTTTCCCGACTAGATGCTAGGCACAATGTTCTTTGAAGCTTAAGCTCGAGGGCTAAAGTATGGAGTTGGCCATGCTATTAGATGAAGGACGCTAGACATAGGTATAAATGAGACCTTCAATGTTAGACTGCTACCTAACCTGACAAAAGCTATCGTAAACCCTTATACTCATCAGTGCGTATAGAGGCAAGCATGAGCACTGCTATCATCATCTTTGTTGGAACGAAGTTGCGGTTTCCCCTCCTCACATAGACATACACCCGCATCAATATTGATCTGGAATAGAATATTATCCACCCGAGTTTTTACCTCAGGTATCTTTGTGTGACATTAATCTAGGTAGTAATATAAATATGAAGAGATCCATTTACATATATTCTCATCAGCTACTAGGTACAAAGTATATATATACAGCCCAAAATTACTCGGCCACCACCTCGTGCACCCCCTTTCAGGCATATAAATCCGTATCAAGCAAGTCCTGCCAGTGTGTTAATGCCCTGATATTGAATATTGTTGCTCTTTATACCACTAATAAAACCAGCACGGTTTCTCTTGCCGAGCCAAAAACGCCTCGTAAATGCAACTTGCCTTGCCAGCCCAGTATCATCAAACCGTTTCGAAGCAGACCACCTCGCCCTTTAAGATATCCCCCTTCTCAATCTGTGAGAACTCCGTAATACCAGGCAACTAATAACGGGACGTTCGGTTTCCCATAGGAGAGGAACTGTGGTCATAAGCAGTGGAATGGCTATAGGGGTCGTCTGTGTAGATGGTGGCACGGCGCTCTTCTTCTGGGAGAAGCTCTTTCACTTCCCAGTTGTTCATCCGGGTACCAACGGAGAACTCGAGGTCTTCCTTGGTGATTGAATCCCAATACTGTGAATAAGTTAGATGTGTTGATACATTGATCATAAATCCGAATATGACATACCTTGTAAACCATCATGACAGCAAGAAGATTGCAAATGGTAGCGAAAAACAACCCATCCACGTAGTGACTTGTCGCTTGGCATATGGTGGAGCTAAGCGCGTATAAGATCACTTGACCGACGATGAAAAAGAAAAGACCGAAGGCGATATCTCCCAACGGCCAACGGTCTTCGAGGGTACGGACAACGAGCAGGATTTGCAATGCGACGTAGATGATAAGTTGTACACCGTTCAGGAGGTATAATACTGTGAACAAGCCTACGGTGTTTTCAGGGCCCATGCCAGCCCAGGACTTAAATGTAGCTAACGAAACCAGGAACGAGACGACGAAGGCAGCGAATGAACTGAGACGGAGCATCCAAATGGACAAGGGAGTACCGTCTTCGTATAATTGGAAGCCCACGAAACCGTTGATAAGCAGACAAGTGATCATTGCGGACGTGAGACCAGATTGTATCGCGACGAAGTAGGGGTAGGGTTCGGAGCCGGGGGGGACAACGCCGGCATCGACGCAGAGGGAGATGAAAGATAATAACATGAAGAAGTAGAAGAACGCTAGGATTTCCTTACGGCCTAAAATCATGCGCGAGTTAGCATACTACAGCGCATTGTGAGTAGGGTCAGTATACTGACCAACCGCAGTAAATTTCCCTCGGATGTGTAAAATCATCACCACGGTCATGATGATAGCAATGATGTGCATAAAACTCGATGCGCCCTGAAATATGATGGTGTTGGCCAACTCGATATTTCTCGCGAAGCAGTCCGTCTCGATGCCAACACTACTGGAGAGGGATGTGATGGTACCGACAGAAGGACACAACGGCAAGGGAGCCGTGTGGCAGATATCGGTGAAATCGCCGAAGCCGCCCATCTTGTCAGCGACGGGAGCGATGGCTCGAACGAGGGTAATTAATGACTACGTAGCGACCACGACGAGGACAAATCAAGGCCGAAGAGATGTGGAAAAACGTAGGTTATAGTGAACGATATACGATAGCAATACTAATATGACGGGGATGCGACGGCGTGTCGTTGCGGGTTTGAAGTTTGACGATGGGGCGCGGCGGAGACTCGATCGGTACTCCAGAGGCTTTGGAAGGGAAATGAATGAAACTAGTATTATTAACTGTAAGCAGCAGTAAATGTAAGTATGCTAATTTGGAACGAATGACTGTTTAAGGTAGTTCCAGCTTTTGTGATCCCAATTATGACATGGCCGAGGCTGGGGATGGATGGGAGGGGGATGGTTGCTCGGCCAAATGTCTGGGCTGAGATGTGGAAAGATGGTTGGTAAATGTTCCAAGTTTCCAAGTTTAAAGCCGGATCATGGTTTTGCTCAGGTGGGTGCCCAGGTGTGGAAGGAAAAAAAAAAGGGTGAGACAACATTAAAGAAAAAAGGACCCGCCAGAAACAAATACATGGTAGGTAAAGTGGTCTGTGCTCGAACTTAAAGAGGTACATGGGTACTTGGGTAAGTGCTCTGTGCACATTGATGATTGATGGCCATTAGCGACGTAACCCAGGTTACAAACTAGCACTGAGCTTACCATAGGTACCATTGAAGACACCATAATACACCTTAACTCTACTCCAAGTTATAATTCACCTTGGAGCCGTAAATAAGGCATAGTAGTATTCTCTTACCAATACACAGTAATTCAGTAGGCACATCACGATGTCTCTAGGTTAACTACTTATTTACCTAAACTGCCTAGGTTCGACCTGGTTCGTATTACCATTCGTATTCGCCGGTGGTAGGCGCGGACTGTCTGTCAGCCAATAGATTGAATGCATCGTGCTACTTCTAGTTAGAAGATACCCTTGGTAGTCTCTAACCCAGTTCAGATTAGTCTAGGTAGTGCAACATCAACATCAACATCGCCTCGAAGGTTGAATATACCTTCATACATCTTCATACATGCTACATACATACTATAAACTAGCCCATATTAGCAAATCTTCATTGAGCGCGAGAGCTTCCTATTACCCATCAACATAGTACACTATCAACCTTTACCTTCGCCCCCATCCTACAATCACCATACAAAATGCAAATGCTGTCTCCATTAGGCTGATAGCCGCTAAATTGACACAAAACTATCCACCTGCTTAGCTGATTATGCTGTAGATCCCCCCGAACGTATTGTTGCCGTGAATCAAGTACTGTATTTTTCCCACCCCAAAGAAGCCTTATGCCCAATGTGAATGTATATACCTAATGCCCATCCCTATTCACTCATTCGCTTCCAAGGTTATTATACATACGCTCGTCTGACCATCCTGACTGCGTTTAGGTATCGTATCTCCAATCGCTAAGTCCACGAGCAACTTTCCTGAGCGGGACGATTGCCGTGGACCTTGTGTTTCTATATATCAGGTGCATACTACCCCTGAAACCGCAACCCCTAATCTCTCAATATGAAGTAAAATACGCTAGTGTAGCTCCCGAGCTCATCTCATGGCACCGGTCTCAAATAGCTTGAGGTGATACCTAGCGATAATGAGCTAGGTGTGGTAGCTCTGTACAGCCGACGAGGCTCCAAGCAACTCTGGTGAGAGAGTCGGTTGTTCTGGACCTCTAGTCATGTGTGTGTTCCATATGGAAAAGGGAGACGATTCGCAGGAGGAAGCTGATCCTGAATTCATCGAACAATCTCCATGTTTTCCATTCGGTCGATACTAAACGTTGCTAGCCTAGTTATTTCGTCTCGGAACGTGGGCTCTGAGGCACTTGGGCTCCCGCTCCGGAGTCCAACTCATGGTAGTGTTGTACCACAGATCCTTCAAGCTCTGAAACAGCACCTGGACCCTCCATCTGTTGGTATTTGAGAGGTTGTTGGATGTACGGCTTTACTTCTCCATACGGCGGTTGTTGGTATGACTGGTGCGGTGAAAGCGGGCGTGGACTACCTGTCCAGTAGTTACTCGGTTCGGGAGAAGACCCTGTCATTACATAGGAGCCGTGCTGGCTATCCCATGCCGGGCCCTGGCTGCTTGGATGGGATACTGCCGAGATCCTCCCGTCGTTTGCGATTAAGGGGCTCTGCATTACTGGCGATGTCGTGCCTTGTGTTGGGTTGGGACTATTTGCGGACGTATCTGGGAATGGTTAATATTTGAATAGGTGGGTAGACAAGTTTCTCCTATTGACGAACCTTTGTATGGACTCCACGGTGGTCGTGTCGCGGATACTCGCTCGTTAGTCATCGTTGGCGGTTTTACACTTTCACTATCACCATCTCCATCAAGTGCCGCTGCACGTCGTCGTCGGATATAAAGGAACAGGAAGCAGGCAATTAGGATCGCCGCCGCGGCACCTCCAACCGTACCACCTACGATTTGTGAAACTGGTGCTCTATTTTCCTCTACTCCTGGTGGTGGCAGACCTGGCTCTTGGCCTGTCTGAGTTGCAGATGGACTTGCAAATGCACTTGTAGGATCGGCTGTAGGTTCAGGAGTCTGCGTGGTCTGAGCGGTCTCCGTCTCCGGCTGAGCCAGAAACACCGCGGCACTGTCACCGTTGTCAGATAGCCTTGCTGGGATCAAGCTGCTCGCAGCGCACTTTCCACCGTTGTTGCATGGATTCTGAGCACAGCAACCCATGAAGGGGCCCGCGGTGCACGTATACCAGTGCGCTTCTTGGTTACTCGTTCCATTCGCGCAAGCCTGGCTGGGGATCTCGCTGTAGTGCGCTACGTCGAAAGCTGCGCGCCGGAGATTGGAGCTTGGGCATGATCCGGAGCCGTCAGCACAAGGGTCGGTATCGCAACAGCCAACGAAGCGAATCTCACTGTTGCTGCAGATGTGGAAGTTTCCCCCATCTGGACAGGTGAGGCCCAGCTGGGCAACTGGGTGGCTGCTGTTTGTGCTCATAGTTGTGTATGTGTGTCGGTGAATTATGTGGGGGTAAGATGTATGAATGAATATGTGTAGGGGGAAGTTTACATTTGCAGAAATCTGTCCGTATATCTGTTTGTGAGTATGTATTTGCGTGGGTGGAGATTTTGAAGTGTCGGATTATCTGTCTGTTTACACCTGGGTATCTAGGAGGGCAATGAGCGACAGTGACGGTGTAAATAGTTTCTGACGTACTAACACTCTGCTTGGTCAAGCAAACGAACCATGCCTTAGCCTATGTATGACCAAAACATGTCATATATTGCACAGTAATGAGTCAGGCCAGTATTGCATCTATTAGGAACAGAAATCGGGAAAACCCAAGTTGAAGAACCTCGAAGGTCATGCCTGTATAAGCATCTCAGACTGTGTAGGTGTCCATTTACATCCAAAACTTAATTGCATAGGCAAGTCAAGCAACAACACCTAGCGAGCAAGGCTTGGGTGGCTGGAGGGCAGTACAAGTTATACGGGCCATGACACCAGGTGGCATACCTACAGATGTGTATTTTCTTTTGATAGGCAAAATAAAATATATAGATACCTAGTATGGAGAACGGCCAACCCCGTTCGCCATTAAGAGATGGGCATAGGAGACAATGGCGCAGCCAACAACACTGTTGTTTGTTGGATCCACGGCGCTAGTTACATCCTTCGTCTATTTTCGCAAACTGCTGCAGCTTTACCGAGTGGCATAATGGGGATTTATTAATTTCGGTTCATCCCTAGTTTTGTGTTATATGTAGGTATATATATTCATACATTAACTGTCCTAGTTTAGATATGAGCCATGTCTAAAGAGGGCAGGTTGCCATACTGAGAGGAAGGAAAGGAATAGTTCGTTCATACCTACATATTGAAAATTTCAACTTGCATTAGATAACCTATTAATACAATATCCTGTGACCGTACTGAAGAAGTTCCATATGTACACTCATCACAATCCACGCCATGCCGCAAGGGATTGTTGTTGAAGTTGAAGATGACGATAGTATCCATCTTCGCGGGGCTGTAGCTTGGCTTGTGGGTGAGTTCGTTCGGAGCTTGCCTAGCGAGATTGATATTCCGGTTTCTCCAATACGTACCTTGTTATGTGGCTCTTTTCCCCCTTAGGACAGTTTCAAGCAAAGCGAAAGTGATAGATCAAGAATATTGACGAGATGAACAGGTATTTATCATGGACATACCATGCGTAAAGGTTGGGTTGATCTGAGACAGGGATGGGGATAACCCTCCCTGGCCTCCTGCTCTCGTGCTCACGAGATCTGCATTAGTGCGAGATCTGCCGTTCCACATCCCGCTTTGACACGTCGTAAACTTGTCTTGACTCTTGAGAATACATAATACGAAGTTCGAACAACGAAATAGTGTACTTACTACATGTAACTACTATGGTAGGACCAGGTAGGTTAGTACCTAGTAGCAAGATCGTATTGTACAGATCCATGGGCACCGAACCCAGCGCTTTTGATGCATTACTGAATTAGGTTCTGACGACTGTTGCTGCCATCGTCATAATTCACATTTGAGAGCCTCAAACACCTAGGGGATGCATGCATATGGGATTAAAAAAAAAGTGCCAGGTTATCTTTTTGGCCTGCTAAATTGTTGGCTGGGAAATTGTGCGTAAATGTGTAGGTACATGGCAACATGCATCTGCCATCTATCAATTTTGTGTTGGCACTCCATACATAGTACATACTACTACATATGTAGTAGTAGGTCGACTAAACCCGTAGTAGGCTAGGGAGGATCACCATATCGTACCTCATGGCCGGTTCGCGCTTGTGTTTGCGCCCCATCCTAGCCCCGTCCAGTTCTATTTTTGTCCTTTCAACCATATCATGGGCCGTAAACGTCTTACCCTGGCTCTTTCACCTCAAGTGCTGTTATGGCGATAGTTTAAGCCTTCAAGTCTTTTGAAGCATTAATTGCACAGTACAAATTCAAAAAGCAAGCATGTCGTCTTGGTAGTAAAAAGGCCTTCTAACTGTATACCTAGTATTCTCACTGGCCAAAGGGCACTTCATAGATGCCTCAACAAACACGCAAGCAAACAAACAATCGATAAACCAAAAGGACATGACAAATTGAGGGGATTACGACGATCTTCGGTGTGTACCTTTACTACCTTAGGCTTGCGGTCAATCGCGGTGTACAAGTACCACAGTAAAGATGATGGAATTTACTTGTGCCTCTGGACGGATTCTATCCCCATGAATGGCCAAGTACTAAAGTAGGTAGGTTAGGCATGTTGGTATCTTTAGCATATAGACGATCTTTTACTGCAGTTGGGGCTGAGCAAGGCAACCCCCAGGCGATTCGTCTAATTTATGTCCGTTGGTACCCCAGGTACGAAAGCAAACATTAGGTATTCCGGCTTCTTTTACTACCTACCTAGATACACACTATGAGCCTGCCTTTTCTTATTTACTTCTTCACTCACTACTGAGTTCGCTTAGTACACCAGTCGTTGTGCCCAACGCAATGGCGGAACTACCGATCACGTCGTCGCGTACGGTCTCCGTCGCATTGTCAGATGGAACCTCATATAATGCCGTCGACGTATTCACAAGACCACCCGATCAATCAGAATATGTCTTTTTTACGGAATGGTGGGTTCCTATTCCCGCGTCGCCGACTTCCGAACACATTTCATCAGCAACCACGACAAGTAGTAGTGAGACTACCCCGACATCTACACCTACACCGACCCATGCATCGGTATCGCCAACATCGACAAGTAATGCGCAGCCAATTCAACAAGGTAGCGGCTCAGGCCTGTCTACCGGTGTTGTAGCTGTAATTGCTGTGGCGTGCGTTGTTGCCGGTTTCATCTTAGGCGTCATCATGAGCTTCTTATTCTTGCGTCGAAGATTGCGAGCATTAGACGCTGGGCATCACGCTTCTCAAAGAGATAGCCAGGAAAAGCCTTTGCAGGCCATTTCCTTAACAGATACACACATAAGGGACCAGTACCTCATCGTCCCGACGGCGGATTCCAAGATAGGCTCAGAGCTCAGCGCACTAGGACAGCTGCTACAACAACACGTCGAAAACAACTATCACCTCCAGCCTGTTTCACGCAGCGCCAATGAACTGTCTAATGCCCTAGTTCATCTTGGCCTTGGTGAGAGCGGCGCAATCCCGGTTGTTGAACTGGCCGCTCTGGCGTTGGATCCAAAGACCCGATATGTCGCCATACAACATGTTATTGCCAAAATTGCGTTTATCAGCGCCACCTTCAACGAAACGACAACCATTTCTTTGTTACCAGAACCTGTTTCTTTGTTCCTATCCATGATACCCAAAACGAAGGGACGTATGGGCAATCCAGATGGTCAGAAAACACCCTCCAATTACTCGTATTAGGAATTTGCTAACAGAAGTGTGATGGATAGCCCTAGAATCTGCACTCACGCGATGGCGGCAGTTATCTGCCTTCCTTCTTCACCCACGAAGAGGCAGCCGAACCGCACTAACGCCTTCAGAAGATACCAGCACCCATGAGGCCGAAAGGCTAGCCGTGGCTCTGAACACCTTCCTCTCGCCTTTCGTGGCAGGAGATCGCGAGGAGAGGTATGAGCAGGAGAACCACCTCCGAGAAGTGATAGTCGAGTGTGTTACTTTTGACTATCTCCTGTTCTCTCAACCATCGGAGTATAAGTTCTGCTTCGACAGCAACGGGAGAGAGATGAGCTTAGTCGTGTGTCCAGGTTTACACAGGGTTAGTGATGAAGAGGGTAGCAGATTCCCTGCGCCAGGAGAACTGGTGATACTGCCTGTGGTCCGCAGTATATAATTACGACTTTACTATGTGTACTTAATATACCCAATTCGCGAGCTCAATATGTGTACTTCCGATAGGAATTGCTTCTTATCTTGTGCCCATCTCAACACAAAACCAGTGTGTAACTATTGGGGCTCTAGTAGGCCCTGCGTTGACGTTAATGTTTTGCTCATATCTGGGCATGTCTCATACGGGAATGTCCTGTTATAAGACCGCATGAAGATTTGAGCATACCTTTTTATATGAAATTAATGATTCGAAAACCATGACTTCTGAAATTTGGAGCCTGAGGAGAAAACGGTATTGCCTTAAGTAATACATAGCTGTGGTACGATCTTAGGTACCTAGTCTTGCATATGTAAGGCAAGGAGATACGAATGATATGCAAGAGTGTTAATATGAGCGGGTCATAATTCGGTGGAAATATGATAATGCTTGCGCATTTGTACACTATTGTTGACTGACAAGAAAAGGGGGCTCCTTAGCCCCTGACCTATGGGATATTTATGAATAACTTCACTTCGTAGCGTGGGTGGGATTATGCAACACAATCATGCCATCTGTTGGAGAAATTCACAAAATAAGGCGATTTCTTTTACCCATATACCTAGTAAATAGCATGGCTCTCACAGGAGTTATGGTTAAAGCGGCTGGCCGTGATACTCAGAGATAGGGGTAGACGCACTACTATGTATGTACACGATCTTTTACAAGAAAAAGCAACAACAAACTGCGCGTTGTTTCCCTGTAATGGCTAGCCCTTAGAAGTGGGCTCCGTCTTTCGGAAGTAGGTGTCAAGGGCCTACTCGGGTCCTACTCGGGGCCTACATCAGGGGCCTACATCAGGGACCAGATAGAACAAAGACGGCTTACGTGTCTATGTACTGGGTAGGTAGCTTTCACAATATCCGGGGAGATATTACAGATCCCCGCGCAACAAAGATGTTGTTCTGCGCTTCGAGGCTCCGCCCCGTGACAGTAGGCATCTGCACTACCTAGGTAGGGAGAAAATGCACATGCTGAATTATAAATAAATCAAATTGCTAGTATGTCATCTATGAGGTATACCAGAAGACCCTTGGCCACTCTGACGCTTTCCGTAAAGCTCTAATTCCGTCTCCAACCGTAAACGCCGTCATGCAAAGCCCCTTATATCCTGTAGATGGTATTGTCATCAACCCCCTAAACCCTTTGTTGCGCCCTCCCAAAAGCCTGTTCGTGATACTTCGTAAACATCCAATGATAAAGAATGGTAGTGAGAGTCGTAAACCGTAGTCTCTCTAACATCGCTGGTATCTATGAGAATGAGATTGGACACGAACCAGCGCTGCCCTAGATTGGGGGGGGGGGCGAGGCTGGTTCTACGGCCATCTTAGCCGAACTCGCGGCGAACTCGACATCGAGGATGGCACTATATCGTAGATATAGCACATTGCATAGCCCAAGCCATGACGTCGATTATCATTTCAGAAGCAGGGAACGCATGGCATTCGACCGTCGGTTGCCGCGGGCTCCGAATGTTAGATCCACCCAGAATATGACACCAAGGATTCCCCCTTCACAATCCGCTTGCGACTTCGTCTTTCTTTCTTTGTTCGCCCCTTTTAAGGCAGCGACCAGGTTACCGCACTAAGGAATTCCGTTTCGATTTTCCCTTCGTTCCCTCAGCATCAATAAGACCCCGGCCGCGAGGAAGAGCAAGGCCAAGACGAGGACGGCGGGGATCAGCGCAGCTTGGTAGGTACCCTGGAGTTCGGGCGACAGGCCGTTCAAGTTCTTGGCCCACTGAGGAAGAGGGATAGAGCCGCCCTGGACCAACCACGCGATCACAAAGATGGCGAACACGGCGAGCGCAAATAGCGCTTGGACAAATCCGACAAATGAGCGATGTATAGGCGAAGGTTGGCTTTTAGTTTTATTTTTCGTATCTGGCATCCTTTTTGAAGATAGACCTTAGGTTGAATATCTATGTCTAGGCAGCCAATGGTAGTGAAGTATTCGGTGATATTCGAGGGAGAGGGTGAAGAATGTGAGCAGGGTGAGTAGGTAGGGCTGAGTGGGGGGGCGGAAGGGTAATAAGTCATAAGAACATATACAGACATATAAGTACTCGTATTATATATCACGTTAAAATCGATCGCCGAATCCAAACGGCGCGCAATGTCGGAACGTTCGGAATTCCGGATTTCTGCTCCAAGACAGCTCTCGCATATCTGATTGGCCACCCCACCACCACTTCGCACTCCTGGTTCCATTTATAGCATCTAGGCTGCCATGTCTCGAGACCTACATTACTAATAGGTTAGGTATCTACATAGAACGCCACAGAATAGGATGTGATCTCCTCCTCCTTTGATGTTGGAGGTAGGAGGTAAGTAACAATAGATACTCCGAGAGTTTCATCTTTACCGACCTGGGTAGGTGAGTATACTACCCGACATTCGGGGTGATGAACGCTTACTATGACATTAACTATAGCATTATGATAAAGCTGAGGGTTCCCCCCTCAATTAACATAATTTTATTCAGCAAAGTTGAAACTATTGTGAATACAATAGAAGGGCTCTTGTTCATTATGGCTTGAAGGGGTGTGTCGCGTGACAAATCCCATTGGCTGGCGACCGAGTAAAGAAAAAAGCCACCCGCGTGAGCCGGAGACATAAGTGTTACATGGGTGGTTTAGGTAACAAATCTCAGCTACTATGCCGTACAAAGTCCTAGGTACAATACAATTCAATGTATTGTACAGGATGGGGACATAGCTTAGGCTCGGAGCCCGACCAACAACCCGGGTTTGTTAGATCCCGGGCCAAGACCCGCCCGTCATGCCGCTAACCTACTCATTTGATGCTGTTACGGTGCTCATTGTTCGTCCCACATCTTTTTATCATCTTTTTATTTCTTTGTAATAGCAACACACGTTTCAACATGAACACGATCTTCAATGAATTCATCCCCTCAGCAACGCAAAAATGCCAACTACCATGAGCGATGCCATTAACGTACATATTATATGCAGATTCCTCCGCCATTTTTATTCGACGAGCGCACGCTAAAAGTATGAGCACCCACACCTGGCGGTGACTCCGGCATCGTCAAAACGTCGGGACATATTTCCTGACAATAGCTCGCAAATTGATTCATTCGAGGCTCAGACGCATGTTGAGCAATGGAGTTGCCTCCGTTGTTATTTCAGCCATCTACCGCAATATTGACTGCTGACGCCAGTATCTGAATCTAGTGCCTGAGTTTGCGAGGGCCCACTTCTCTTTAATAGGCCCGCAAGCTTTGCGATAAGTTATTCTTGTTCCTGCCTAGTACCTATGAGTACTTAGGTAACTCCCTAAGGCAGCGCCAGTCTCTATGTGGCAATAGGTAATTGTTGTCATAAGGCTTAAAGGAAAGAAGCTACCTATGACTTGCTTGGTCAGGGATCCATACAATCTACACTTGCATTATAAAGAGTAAAGCTTATGTGTGAATAGAGGCAGGACTTGAGGCTAGAAAGCATCGTTTCTGTGCTTGATTCGTCCACCTGGTTTAATAGCTAGAGCTTGGCATCAGGAAATAAACATCTAGACCTTGGAGAAATTGAAGCTGAGATCAGCAATGTACACGATGCGGCATAGTAGGTAGTTGAACGTGAGAGTAGAGGAAGGGCTAGAACGGGATCCCTCTTCGACTCAATCAGGAAACTTGGGAGAAAGACATTTTTAATCTCGTACTGGTACTCTGCATCTGGTGATATGTCGAGTATAAGAAGGCAGTGGCCAGCTCGAGTAAACCACATAACACTCCTGAACTCATCATCACAACCGCCTCTTATTCAGTTTGCGACTCCGGCATCTTCCTCACACGTCCCTGCTTCATAAATACCTGGACTTGTCTCTAGATCTCATCGTTTCTCGGTCTTCAACATGAGACTGACATCGATCCTCGGCATCTCTGCCGCCCTCATTGGGTCTTCCCTCGGGACCACCCAGATTCCTGGATCTTGGTTTCACGATGGTACCTATATTTGAAGCATTCCTCATCGCTGATAGCGTACTAACTCTCGACAGATGATGGATTCGGCAAGGGCCATAAAGCCGCGATGGCCGCAGTGCCTATGTTCCATTTCGGCCGTCCCCACGGCTCCAACCCGTGCTACCCCGAGTCTGCGCAGATAAACGGTAACCAGGTCAATGGAAACGATCCAGATCTAGGGAACTGGGCAAACCTGGGCCGCGGCTGTGCAGACCCAGGAAAATGGCTCAGCCCAAAGAGCGGCGGCCCGCTGCAGGGAAACCCCTTTCCAGTGTACTACACGGTCAACCAATGCCAGGACCACGAGTTCCGCGTGACTTACAGTATCTACTTCAAGCATGACTCTGGACACAAGAGCGACTGGGAGGGTGTCACGGTGGTCTGGCAGGGCGACAACAATAACATGTGGACGAGGACCCGACTCATGCTAGGCCAGCACGGCGGATATGACGTGAAGAACTGGGGTGATATCCAGAACACGTTCAACGAGTGAGTTTCACCTTTCAGGAACTTTATAACTAAGTGGCTGCTCTAATATGCCACCTACCAACTAGTAAAAATGACCAATCGACGAACGGCGCCAAGGGCCGTGATCATGCAAAGATCTATGTCGGCGCCTTTTATCACGCCATCTTCCACACTCGCAAGACATCCATCGACACCGCTGACCCTGCCGATAAGCAAGCCGAGTTCCGTTCCAACGATTGGTTCATCTGGCCCTGGGACAGCTTGGTCCAGCCTGGCTCCCTTATCAACCGTGAGTCCATTTGCTCTTCATGATATTTACCCAATTCATAACCAATTACTTATGCTAATGCTTTTACAGCCAACTGGGTCTGGGGAGAAGCCGACACGAACCCACCCACGCTTAGCAACCCCAGCAAGGGGCAGTACATCTGCAAGCACTGATGAGCGCCACGAGTATGAGCACCTACACTTAACTATGCGGATAGTAAGTATAGGTGATATATACTATTGCATCACATATCTGGGGCTCGGAAAAGCTTTGAGAAGCGCGGCATTGGATATTCGACTTGCTATGACGTGTTTATTCTAAGAGGAAATATGCTTGGACGGCTGCGATAATTCCTTATGTGGCTTTCCCCCTTTTTCTTTCATTTTCTTATTTTCTTTCTTTCTTCCTCTTATAAGTTACTTGGTGTATTTGTTTGTATATAGGTTAAGGAGCATTATTAGAGATATATACATATAGTGTTGGTGATAACTTGCATAGCTATCGAAGACACATGAAGTTGATACTATAGTAGTGTTGTAGTCATAAAATTGCCTTGAAAGTTCCAAATCCAAAGACCACGATTCAACCAGATCACTATGTGATGTATCCCAAACAAGCTAAGCGCAATCACATCATGGAAGTCAACTTCGGATTCCACATCGCTAACTCCTGGATATGCTGTTGCCATGCCTGGATAGGGTCCTGAGAGATACCCGCCTTGGACTGGAACACCGTCGTATTGACACCGTATAGGTAAGGCTTCTCATCCGCGTAGCAGGGAGTCTCTTGTTCACTCGGTACCGTACCGTTCAGAATGTAGGCCTTTGCGAGTGAATCCGTGCAAGCCGATTTGTCTCTGGACGAATGCCCATAGCCGTGGTGCACGATCAGCCTTGCATTGTCTCCCATCTCAGTAAGAAGCCTTCTCCCGTTCCGCAGAGGCGTTGCAGGATCATACGTCTCCGCGATGAGCAAGACGGGGTTCTTGAGTGTGTGGTTGAGGTCACCACGGTAAACTTCTGCCGGCTTCGGCCAGTACGTGGTGAAGTGGCGGCAAGGGAAGACGTTGAAGAATCGCGAGTTGCCCGAGATCCAAGCTTGAGTGGTCATATTAGCCCACAGGGATTGCCACCACACGATGCCCTCAGGAGGTTGCGGTGCATCGTAGGAGTCTGCGCAGATGACTAGGGACCCAAGCTCGTCGGTCGAAGGTTTCGGGGAGGGCGGCGACGGCAACGTGGGATTGTACTCCCAGTCCGAACGGTCGAGGAAGGCTGTGGCCAATGTCGAGTTGCCAGCTTCCAGCTCATATAACATCTGCGCGAGGGCAGGCCAGCTATTGGCATTGTACATGGAACCGTAGATAGCAGCTACCAATGCAGAGTAGGTAACTAGCGACGGGCCGCTTGGCTCGTAATAACCCGGAATTGGTCGTTGACTGAGCGAGTACACCAACTGTTGCATGCGGATCTCTAATTCCTGCAGAGATACGGGACCGGAATGATCTCTCGGCTGAGCGAGGGCACAGTATTCCGGCCCGGCACGAAGACATTCGCCGAGGAATCCGTCGCGCCAGGCGTCGGTGGCATTGTCTAGCGCAGTCCATCCAAAGCCACCCAAGAGGCGATGGTCGCGGACGTACTCAGTTCCATCAAGAATGACGCGACCGACGCTGTCTGGAAACATATTGGCCCAGGTCTGTCCAATGCCGGTGCCATAGCTGACAAGGTAACCCGTCAACTCGGCTTCCCAGAGTCTCTTGCGGATTTCCTCCATATCGCGCGCAACGAAAGACGTGCCGACAAACCGTGCCAGATCACCGTGTCTCTCCCAGCAAGCACGGAAGGTAGCGTTATTCATAGCATCAGCAACCTCAAGCTGGGCCTCTGGCGACGCGGATACCTCGCGGTACTGATTCGTCAGCATAGACCAGCGATCTCGATCGGCATTGTACGGGAAGCAGGCGATGGAAGGCAAAGTGATATTGACACCACGCGGATCCCATCCCAAAACATCGAATTTGCCATCGCTGAGTCGCTTTGTGATATCTTCAGCGGCCCTCCAGACGTAAGATGTGCCACTTCCTCCCGGGCCGCCAGGCTCAATCACGATCGTGCGCTCACTCTTGCCCCCAGCAAATGGTTCAACACCACCTTCAGGGCTTGTGTCGTACCGGAAAAGTCCCGAGACCTGATATTTTGTTATCGCAAGCCGAGCAATGCGTGAATCAGACGCGTTGGTGTAGTCTAGGGGGACATCTAAGTAGCCACATAGATATATGCCCCTCCCTTCATACGGATCATTCTGGTCACCATCACCCGTAGTCGTGTTACCCCAGCTCCAGTGCTCGGGATTCGGGTCGTACTGAAATGCCCAGCTTGCTTCCGGAATGGGATCGTCGAGGGCGGCTGGAAGGCTGGTGTTGGTACAAGGGATGAAGCGGAACGGATCACCGAGGCGCGGGAACTCTCCATAGGGGTTCTCTTTGTCCCAAGATGGTACGGTGCTGCCAGCTAGGACGTCATAGTATTGTTCACTAAACCCTTCATAGGATAGACTGGGGAGGTGGTTATAGAATGTAGCAAGTCCAACCAATCCAAGGACAACCAGTGCCTTTGGACATGATGGACCACGCTGTGGCTGCGATACTGGCGATGGATCGGCTAATAGTGGTGATTTGGATTTCTCCATGGTGACAAGCAAGCTATGAAGAGCTAACTGTCGGATGAGATGATGCACTTTACAACAGTATATTACGCTCAAAATCGATTATGCTAAGCCACTCAATAGCTCTGCTAATTTAACACACAGTACATTTACATGTAACCTCAACCTATGAAGAAGTCTTGGAGGAGGTTGAGGTTTGAAGTTTGAAGCATTAAGGATGAAGGGGATGAGTGACAGTGGGCGTGGAGAGGCGTTAGCTTAAGTACCTACCAACCTGGTATTTCCAATGCAACACTCGAGGCGGGGCTGATCACCAGGGCAATTAACACGTATAATCACTAACTACTATGTAACTATCTAGGTTAAGTAGGTACCTAACCTACTGTTATGTATTGTACAATACAATACAATACAATAATTAGATCTATGGGTATTTCTATCTAGATCCTTTATGTATGATGTTCATTCCTACTTTCCTGCTTGCATCTACATAGGTATCTGCCGAATCTCTTCTGCGGTCCAGTACTTCCTCATATTCTCCGCCCCAAGTGTCTTAACCTCCTGATCCATGTGCGTCCATAGCACAGTCCCCCACGTCTCCATCAATGCCTTCATCACATCCATATCCAGCTCCTTAGAGCCCTGCCGGCAAGCCTGTAGGTAGTTGCGCAACTCATCCAGGCCGTGGTGAATCTCACGATGCTGCCGCAGCAGCTCGGCCGCACCCTTGCCGTCATTCTTGAACTCGGGCATCCGTCGCGCGAGCACCGGGAAGATATACGCCTCCTCGATTTGGTGGTGGGTTTCCAGCTGCCCCACAAACGAAAACCCGTCCAGCATGATCCGCCTGAGCTTCGCCTTGCCCCCGTTACTGTTCCCCGCGCACGCTTCTGCCCATAGCGAGTTCCACGTCGTCCGGAAATGCGCGTGATATAAGTCCATGTGCTCCGCCAGCCGGTTGTAAGCGCGGAACTCGGTCCCCTTGAGAGGAGCGAGTTTAGTCTCTTCCTTTTGCTGTTTCTTTTCCACGTTTTGTTCTTCTTTTGAGCTGCCGGGTTCGGAGGAGGGAAGGGACGCTGGAGATGGGTCGGTGGAAGACATGTCGGCAGTTTTGAGATGGAAGCTGCGAGTAAGGCGAATTCGTGGTGGTGATAGCGGAAAACGAATGGCAAAGGTACGTTTGTAACAGGTCACGGTCGATTGAGACGTAGTAGGTTGAAGGGTTCGATGGTTAGTGACGAGGCGAACCCTGGCACTCGTGATTATTCTACAGCAAGGGATCATAGAAGTGTGGGATAAATTTCTGGCTTTCGAGTTTATTCTATACTATCCTGCGAATGATTATTTTTACTGTAAAGATAACTCGTCTATAACACGCTGGACTAAAATAAGTCAGCGATTAGAAAGCACGTTGCCACCTTTAGTAAAACCTCTTTACCTTTGATATAATTGGTTGGTTGAGGTTAATTACCTAATAATAGCCTTCATCCTTACTATCTAGGTACCTAGCCTAGGCCATGATAGTAATGATGGAGGGTAGGTAGGTAGCCTGCCTGCCTGAGTATGAGTTCTCAGACTCAAGGAGAGACTTCTCTGCCTTCCTTTGATGTCTTATGGATGTCAAAGTTTCGTTTCAGTGAATCAGAGGTAGGTAATAATCTCATGTATACTAATGCGTTACGAGTACTACTTAGATATCCGTTATTAATTCTGTTTGGTTTTAGAAATTCTTTCGTATTGCCCACCAGCTAACCTAGAGTAATGTATTGTACATCCACTTTCCTTTTAGACCGACCGCACGACCATAGATGTTTACGGCATATCGTAGATCACCTAGCTCATCCTAAAGGAGCTAGACTGTCAAGACATGAAACGACGTCAAGCACAATAGCATAAGTTGCTCTCTAGACTCCATCTACCATCGTCTCTACTCTTTTCGAAAAAAAAAATTCAATTCTCTACCTAGCCATACTTTAGTTCTTAGCAACATGGCTAACGCGGGTGATCGCCCGCAATTTCACTGGGTTAGTCCCATACTGAGGCCTTTTCATTAAAAAGCCATGCCCAACCCCATGCCGTAGATACAAACGAGAGAAAGAAGACTGCGGATTTTTGGGGTCCAGCTAGCTGCCTAGCCTCGGACTGCACCACCCAATACACCTCCAGTGAATTGTGTGCCACCAGCTTGTCTCTGGCCAGTTCCGCCGGTCCTGGCGCCGCCACGGCCACCTCGTTGTCCACCACCTCGGCCACCTCGCTGGTTTTGCCCGCCTCTTCGATCAAAGGCGTTTGCTGTGCCCTGTGTACGTTGCTCGAGGGTGCGTTCGTTGGTTTCGATAAGCTGCGCTGTCTTGTCTGACAACGTGAGGGCCAGGCTTTGAAGACGTGATAGTTCTACACCCTTGCGGAAGATAACGGTCGACGTAACCTGGTCAAGGGCAGCGGCTAATTCCTCGTGGCTGATCATCTTGCTCACAATTGCGGCGACCTTGCGGTCCTCGAGTTCAAACATGGACGAAAGCGTAGAGACGGCGAGAGTATCGTAGAAGGGAGCATATGTGAAGAGGTACGTTCGTAGACCTTCCTCTTGGATCTGCTTCGATAGCATGGTCTTGATCTCTTCCGTGTTCGGCATCAGGTCCCAAATCTTGATGCTGTGAACGAAGTTGATAGACTTCTTCCATTCACCTGCTGCTAGCGCACGAGATGCTTGCATGACGTGGTCACGTGTATTCTCCGGGGGGCCAGTAAAGATTTGTCTTTCGTGGTACTCGAGCATACGACGGTAGGTCTTGCTGATGACTCGTTTCTTGATATCTGGCGAGGAACCGGTATGCGCCAACAGTGGGATCTCAAGGAGCATGCTACAAGTTAGATAGACACACTCCAAAAGCTCGAGGTTGATGTGCATGTGGAAGGGTAGCTGTCTCTGCTTTTCCAATCTCTCCTGTTCGGGAGAGACCTGGGAGTATCGCTGGATCATGACACCCTGAGCCAACAGTTCCTTCTGTCGGCCGCTACCACAGATCTCCTGTAAGGTGTTCTGGGCCTCATATACAAGTCCCTTTCGGAAAGCGCATAAACCCACTTGCACCAGCGTCCGGTTGTAAAGGATCTGTGTCTGCACGTCAAAGTTGCTGATTGTCTCTTGCAAGTGAGACATGAGCATCATGTCACGAGCCTTGTAGTATTCGTCGTGTAGGGCGAGAAAGTAAATCTGGCACAACATGGCGCGGGCTCTAATAATACCCTCGCTATTGTTGAACAGGTAATTGCACAGAACATTGAGTAAGTTGGTAGCGTCTGTAATGCTTCCTCTTGGGGTAATGGCAGACTCCACGTCAGAAGGCACTGGCTTCCAGGCATTCTCTTCGAGAATTTTGACAACCTGGGAAGGCTTGAAGTAGACGTGCTCCAATCTCCGCATTACTATACGATTCAGGCTGTCCTGGGGAGTCTGTAGGGACTCATCCTTGGAGAGAGTTTCGTAATAGAGGAGACCACGGAAGATGACGTTGTATAGGGAGCCTTCGTCAGTCAGTCGCTCGATGTACTCCGAAGTATGAGGGTCGATGCTCTGCAATGATCGAGTAAGCTCGTCATCAAGTCGTTCAACATATGAGACGATACTTCCAGGGATCTTGATGTACTTTTCGCCCGCCTGCAATGTGGGCGGCTTCTCATCGTCGTCCCATTCTTCCGCATTCTCGATCACTACGAATTCCTTGTTCGTTTCGAGTACCTCGAACAAGATCGAGATCTCCTTCTCGGCAGCCTTCCAATGCTCTAAAGGCATAGATGCCGTTCCTCCAGAGCCAAGGTCAAACCTTGCGGAAATGATGGTGAGAAGGACCTTGATTCGTTGATATGGGGTAACAGCGACTTCATAGAGCTTCTCCATGATCTTGATTTGTTCAACACGATCCGTATTCTTCTTACCACGAGACTCTAGAATTCCACGGAGGTGCTTGAAAATGCTCTCGGGGGTAAATTGAAGAGTCCTGCCACCTTTTCCAACCGTGAAAAATCCTTCCTGGTCATCATCGACTTGCTCGATATACATATCTGTCTTCGCCGCCTTTGGCTTTGGCGCAGGGGCCTCTTCCTCATCTTCCGAGGCGAGGAAATCAAGAGGATCATCTCTGTATGAGTCCACCTGCGTTTGGTAGTCTTGCTTGAGCTTCTTGATCTTTTGTTTTATAGCATTGAGACCACGAGCGCTCGTGGCGTTCATCTTCTTGGGCGTGACCTTTTGCTTCGAAATCGTTTCGTTCATGGCATCCTCCAACTCGACGATGGCCTTGATGTAAAGCTTTGGCGTTCGTCCACGTTCGGCGATCTTAGCAGCTTGTCTGTTGAGCTTGTCGAATTCTACACAATAAGGGTTAGCACCGACAAAATATATCTGCAAATTATCAGTCTGATGGACTTACCGACGGAGACGGCGCCCCAGTCGCTTATCTTCTGGCGCTTCTCTATGGTGTCTATTATGGCTTCGAGCTCAGCGAGCTGCTTGTCCTTTGCACTCTTCAACGTCTTAGGAGTGTCATCATCGCTCTCTTCACTCTCAGAATCGTCACCACGTAAGAAACGAGCCGCGCCGGATTTCTTTCCGCCTTCTTCATCACTGCTAGAATCTTCATCAGAATCCTCTTCCTCTTCATCCTCATCTTCCTCGTCTTCCTCTTCGGACTCTTCCTTCGCCTCCTGTTCCTCCTCGGAGTAGAGCTCCTCCTCCTCGGAGCTGCTCTCAGAGGAGCTGTCGTCGCCACTACGGAAAAATCGAGACATCCTGGATGTTGCTAACTAGAGCGGGCGGATACTGTTGATGGATGCGAATAAGAAAGAAATGGATTAAGAACAACTCAACCGGAAATGGTGAGTTGCGATAATGCAGTATGCAAGGAAGTGGGAAAAATTGCGATGAACTCGCCTAGAGGAAATAAAGGCGAAGTTGAGCGTGGAGGGGCAAAATTGAAATGTGAAAACAGAATGCACACAAGTTTTGGAAAATTGTAACGAATTTTTGGTGCATGTGGGGTCGAGGGGTGTGAGCCGATTTAGTGGGCACATGTGCAGAAAGGCAAGTGCGACATTCAATGTTTGAAGCCTTGCGCCTTCAAGGTACTTCCCCACTACTTTTGATACAGTCGACAAAACACCATAGCATAGGTACTTTCTAAGTACCTGAGGCAGTACCTACGTCTAGGTAGTATGTACCTACTACATGTAAGTAGTTACTACTAGGTAGTATTTCAATGTTGGCGGCTATCGCTTATGTAAACTTTAATTAGTCAATACCTACTAGGTACTATGTATTGTAACCTCAGACGTTCAACCTCAGGCAGTACACCAGTGACAGTACTAATAGTCAGTTTTATGAGTATCAAATTGACCTCTGATTACAATTACTAGGTAGATGGCAGGTAACTTGTGTACTACTAGGTACCCTACCTAGTAGGTACATATGTATGTATTATCGAACGAAAGTTGCTTTGGTATTGACGCGTCCTGCAATTCCAATGTTGTCGCAAACGATTCAACCTAAACCATGATTTTCTAGCGACATCGCGAGCCTATGCAATAGCCTAGTAGTAAAAGTGCCATGGTCGTTCTAGATGAAAATCATCCCTTCGTAGATTTTTGAGTTAAGTGATTCCTGGCGAGATCCTATGGTCTTTGTATGATCAAGCCCCCCAGAGATTGTTGAAAAGGACTCTACTCAGCGATATCCAACCAGTCAGGATGGTCCTTGGCCCTCCAAGGCTTAATACCCTTTGGATCAGCCTCGCGGCTCTTTTTGGCCTGGTCCAAAGCCTTCTTGCTCTGCTCGCTATTGTAGAGGGAGCTGAAGTCCTTAATTTGGTTGCTTGCGTTGTCTATGGACCTGATAAAGGACTCATAAAACTCTTGGGCTATTTGCACGTTAGTGGTATTGTTATATAGAGCACATATATACTGTACATACGAGTAGCAGCATTGTTTGGTATCGTCTCAAGCATCCGCTGGACTGTGGTGCGTAACTCTCGGCACTGTTTGTTGCCCGGAAGGTGTCAGTTCTTCTTCGGTACAATGGATAATACAAGAAAAATAAGGTTCGGACTGCAATGGTCACCTAGGCGATTCGATCAAAAAAATAGAAAATTTTATCGTAGTGAATGGAAAGCGGGTTAGTGGATGGGAAAAGTCGCGTACCTTGATGTGCAGCAAGTTCAACTGCTTCATACTTAATTCCAGTTGCTTTTCGTCCAACTTTTCATTTTCGTCCTTCTTACCCAAACCACCGAGAACAGCTCCAGGCCTTTTCGCACCAAGACTTGAAGCCATAACAGACTCTCTCTCTGCACCTTTATCTTCTTATTCAATCCACAAAATACTTTGAAGCTTTGAAGCTTGCCAGCTTGAATATTCTTTCCTTTCTTTCTGCAATCAAGTATTATCAAGAATTGCCGCGATGGAATACAAGATGTCGGGGATCCAAAAGAATAACGATTGGGAGAATATTAACTTCTCTGTTGATGTTACAAATGATACGGTTGGTACAAATGCCTACAATGAATATCCTACTGCTCCCCTTCAAGAACGAGAACTACATTTGAGTTTAACGATGCCGCCGCGTGCGCCTAATGAGCGTCAGCAGCCGCAGCAATATCAGCCACGAATGCAAGGCATTGGCTATCACCACCCCCAGGGTATCGAGTTTCAGCCCCAACCCCAGTATCACTCACGCCCCTCCCAGCTGCATCCCAGTCAGCTGCAGCCCGAGTTGGGCCAGCTGGCACTCCAAACACCCCAATACAATCTTCCTCAGGTATTCCCGCCTACAACAGGTGCAATCTTTCTCACATCAAGCCAGGAAATGAACCGTGCACGCGCACCTCAGGTAAGCAAGATACTTTTTTGGTTTCCTGCCCCACAATATCCAACCAACCAGCAAGCTCAACATCTTCGAGAATTATGGACCCACCAACCAATTCTTTTCTGGTGTTCCCCCGATCTTCGTCCTCCAAAGTCCTCAATTCCCCTTCTCCCACTGTCCTACCACAGCCAATTTCCTTGATATAATCTACAAAGAACAACAAACTCACACGGTGAACAGCATCAGGTGCATCCTACTCTTTTATCTCATCAACACCTGCTACCTGTTCCCGGTCGCATCCCAACACCGGAACAAATAAGTTCCTCCTCTTCCGACCACAGTACGCCGTTTCGGACTGTTTCTCACAGTCCGCGTCAACCGCCCACCGTGCCGCGTCCAGGTAGCGCGTCTGATACAGTGGGAGCGTTCGGTTTTCCACCCGGCGTGTCTTCATCCCCCACTATCGCGGGCAGAGTAATTGATAATAACTTCAACTTCAATTCGTACCCGACGCCTCCGACTCTCCACGACAACCCGCCCAACACCGCAAACATTTCCTTCACGCAGACTCCCCACCACTCTGCGGTCGCCGCGGGTGTCGTGGTGAACGGGAACACTAGTGCCTTGAGCACCCCACGCCCGGGACCTACGACCACCCCAGCGACCCCAGTCACCATGAGTGATCCATCCCCACCGGGCGCCCTCAAGTCACCCCCCGAAGGTGTCTTTGCATCCTTCGAGGATCTAATCGGCTCAATACAGCGAGTCGCGAAGGATCAAGGGTTTGGCATTGTGAAGTTGCGAGCCAGCAATTACCGTGATCAGAAGCCAACACGATACGACTTGGTATGCGACCGTGGCGGAGTGAAGTATGCCAGCACTGCTCGAAAGCGCAACCCTAGCACCCGCAAGGTCGATTGCCCCTGGAAGGCTAAGGCAGTTTGCGAAGTTCAACTGGGCAACCGATGGCGTTTCCAGGTTCAAGTAGACCAACACAATCATGAACCCCGACTCGCAACTAGCCAGGCAGGCCAAGAGAACACCCCTACCGCACAAAGCATTCGAAGCCTCACGAATAAGATGGACCGAATGGGTCATGATATGTCGCAAGCGTTTGATAGAATTGAACAGCGACTAGATGGAATCGAAAAGCGGCTCGAGGTCATGGAGAATAGAATGGGAGGGATAGAGACGCGTATGTCCGGCCTAGAAACCCGAGGCACCGGCATGGACGTCCCCATGGATAACATGGAAATGGGGGGCACCATGCTAGATGGACCTGTTATGTAGGTCCGTTTTGGTATCAGTCTCTATCACCATCAGGATTGCCAACAGAAATTGGGCGCCGACTCCTAGCGTGGCTATCTCTTAAAATGCAACAGCAGGACTTTTCTCTTGGTGAGATTGAGATAAGTCTCTTGAAGGAAGCAAACGGAACCCGACAAGAGTATTAATAGTGCCATGCCATCCATACCACAGCAATATACCAGTTCGCAGCTGTGTGCTTACGATGTCACTAGGCTACCTAGAGAAGCAAGGTTCCGAGAGATAGGGGTGAGATGGAGATGATCAAGGGACTGGGGGATCAGAAGCAGAAGGAAGTTGGTAATACTCACGTCCCATAAGGATATCTTTGGCGTTCATAGGAAAGGGTATAATTACGAGTATGTTTGCTGCAATTGCAATGCGATTCTATTGGGTGGCACACATTTCATTACAGAGGGAAAAATGGTTTCGGTTTACATCACAAATTCTGAGGCGTATGGCAAGTGTGCACAGATTTACTAATTTTTCTTGTCTTTGGGCGGTTTCAGGTCCAACAAATGCAGAGCAAAGGTTTGGATAACCATGCCATTACTAAGGCTAAGGAGATCCAAACAGTCCTTCAACACTTACGCCAGATGGGTCGGTCTTCTTTTAAGATTTCTTTTCCCATCTATAAACAGGGGCGTGAAGACCCGGATTCAAGAATGAAGGAGCTCATGAGGTTGTCTAAATTAAAATAGATACCACCACGCATGGCGTCTTTATAAGAGCCACAATATGTATATGTTTAAAACCGATATGCAGTACCTATCTTTGATGCATTGCATATTGTGACAACTTGCATTCCGAGGCAATATCTCTGTACTTCTAGGGCCTGCCGTTTTATTCTATGTTGTACATTCGTCTCGCATACCCTAGGTAGTTCGTGAATCATTATACTTTTCAGCATTTTTAAAATGCATGGATGTATCCAAGCACAACAGTTGTCTGCCTTTTAATACTAACGATAATTACCAGAAACGATGACACTACCTAAGCTCACTTACTACATACTATGCACATACTATGTACTACATAGCATGTTAGTAGACTAGTAGTACGTATGATATCATGATGTTCTATAGTAACCAAGGCCATCAACCAGGACTGCTTCCGATTGGCCCACGCAACTAGCACGTTTCCCAAAAGGGAAGGACTATAATTACTTTGTACACCACAAGTATGAACAACGCGACCAAAAGGAAGGGATTTTTTTTTTTGCACGAAGCAGGCCTACTATTATCCCCTCGAGACCCAACACCGGGCTTTTTAGCGCCCCCCACTAAAACCTCACACGGGCCAGGCTCGCTACCAGCTTTTTACCATCGACTATGTACCGGTTCAAATAATAGGCGCGTTTTTACGTGTAGCAGCAACGCGTGGTACTTAATTTTTTGGTCTCGTTTGTACTCATCCTTCAACGCTCGAGAAACCTTATTAACGACGACACCGACGGCGATGGGTTTAATAATAACGATATGTTGCTTATTTGTTTTAATATATTTAAGATGGCGATAGGGGAGCCAGCTAAATCGAACATAAGTTGTTAATTTACTGTAAGTAGTTCTTTATGAAAGGTATGTAACTATTAATAAGAGTGGTATGCCTTATATTCAAAGAAAGACGCGTACAAGTATCAAAAGTTTAATTGATTTTTCTCTTAGAAGTAGTGTACAAAATGTTCAAAATAAGCTCAGATAAATATATGGAGAGTAGGTCCAAGCTCTTGTATTTTATTCGCCAGCGAGGCTCAAAATATGGGGGGCGCTAAAAAGCCCGGTGTTGGGTCTCGAGGGGATATCTCAAAATGATTTTTATACTTTTTATAGTTGTGGCCCTGGTACTGGCTATCTGAATAAGCCTCAAATAAGAGCCTCATATTGTGTGACGTGATATCAGCCATAATCTACTACCATCCATTGGCGCCGTTATGTTAGGTTAGTTTCGTAATCTACTAAGCTAGTTAAGTAGATTGGAAGCCTTTATCTTTGTATAAGCGTGTTGCACACTGTAGTAGTGACTTCTGCGTAAAAGCCAACTTTATTGCTTGCTTATTACGAGTTAACTACTTCGTACATAGTTGTGGTTACACCAAACCAAGCACATAAGTGTGCAATGTTGGTGGCTGACGAAGGGCATTTTGATAATGTTGACATACACATGGTCTTTTCTCTTTTGCAACACTTGGATCCCAGATTAGTAGTGTCTCCTGAAACTCGATGGTAGCAACAGCCAAGCCCATGCCGTTATCCGTGATACCATACCTCAAAGGGCTATACAGATAATTACGATACCTACATAGCTACCCTAGGTAGTATGGAGACATAGTGTAGTGTCCATTACTACCTAGGTAGGTATACGAATCAGGATTACCTACCCATTGCCTGTGTACTTACGGACAGTTATAAATTGAAGTAACAGGTGGTTTCTAGTTCATGGAGAATCATTCCTCCAATATCTATGTATATCTGTAATGTGCAGTCCAAAAGTCTCATACTGATATTCCTGCTCGTCTAAAATATCTCAAGAAAATCAATATGAACGTAGAGCACATGACCGTCTATATTGTAAAAGACCCATTCATCATTTAGCATAATAGATTTGATTAAGGTGCCTCTGAATCCTAGGTATGATAACAGTTTTGGTTACCCCTGAGTCGAGCTGGGAACAAATTATTAATACTTGGCCCTGGACATAGAGTTAAGCAACCTTGCCCAGTACTAGAATAGATTATGTTTACTCTGTATCAAGGCATCATTCTCGTTGAGATCTTTTGATAACGCGTCTCTCGTAAAAAAAAAGGCCAAGAAATTTGTTATATCGTGTAATGCATATTACCTAACTACTTCTTGTATATGAATCATAACAGTGTACAACTGTGTATGGACCTTGAAATTATATACATATGGCATATAAAAAACGGCAAAGCCAACACAAATGTGATTATTCTTGAACAAAATTGCAACTAATGATTATAGTCATTGTAAAGAAAATACTTCAGTATATGACAACTATGACAACTTGTCCACGTATGTATATTGAAAATGTTGCACAGAAAGATTATCCCATTTCGGAAAGAAGTTCTAGTATAGTTATTGTAGTTGTAGGCTTATGACTATAGTTGACATAAAAGCATCAATAAAATACCCAAATAACTGAAGATACGCGTACCTAACATACATAGTGTATAAAAATGCTCACCTTGATGCGAAATGCGGCTCTTGTGATGGCTGGCCCCCAAGGCGACATTGCCATCAAGACTGCTACATAGTTAATTAGGTACTTACCTCACCAATGCCGTACTTATTAACCTATGTGGTATTGTGTATCTTGATTTTAGGGAGGAAGTAAGGGAGAAAGGCCTCTCTACTCCACTGCGTTTGCATAAAGTAGCCAATTAATTACAAACTGCCTAACCTAGGTATGACGTTACGGTTACTAGTAGCTATGTAATACGGGTTGTAACCTAGGTGTAGGTACGAAGTATTGGCACCAATAAATGCTACTGCCCAGTGCCTACTAACTAACTGCCTACGTACCGCAATTGACTAGGCGATCTAATACTAATAGTTAGTGATGAGACCATTTTAAAATTGGGCGATCATCGTATTTTGTACCTATTGACGTGCTACATAAGCCCGTCACACACTATCACTAGCATTCTCAAGCAGAGACTAGGATCCAGCGTTAGTCTGGGGTTGATGGAGGTTTTATTACTTTTGAACTCCTAGGCAAACCGTTGATTCTTGGTGCAGTGCTTCTAAACGGCTCGTCTGATAGGCCATATCAGACCCAAGAAACGAAACCTGCTGCGCCTGAACAACCATAATATAGTGGATATCTGCTAGGAGTTTTGCTAGGGCGGGAAAGGGGTTCAGACCCCCTCTCTTCCCCCTACACGGTAATAAGTGGCGATTTTCCCCTTCTACAACGTGTAGTGTCAAAGAATGAACGAAGCGGTTGCTCACTTAATGCATTATATCGTCCCAAGGCGCATATGAACCTGATAATTGAGTCAAGAAGCATAGTTGCATGAATACTGTACTCTGGGTATGAATTCAATAAATCAGCGTGCATGTAACTATTCTTCATGACAAGAACACAGAAACCTGGTTGTTACTCTCGTACCCGCTTATCTGAACCGGGGCTCTGATGTCGGAAGCGAGGCCAATGGGTTGGGGTATCAACAGATTCTCTGGTCTCGACCGTCTCATCACGGCAGAAGAGCATTCAAGAGAATACACTATGTATGAGTAGCACTGTATTAAACTGTGGTATTCAGTAAGCTAAAGTGTTCCAAGGTTACTACCACATGGAGTGCCATCTTTAAAGCCTTTTTGCACGGGTGTACGTCGTAGTATATCTCTAGCCTTGCCATATTTTGGTTAGGTCTTTTCTCTAAACGCTCCACCTCTCGGCTTAGGGATCGTCTCCGTCGCTGTTGACCAGGCCTATGACTGGTCCCGGATCACCACTTATACCCTTCAGACCCGCTCAAAGGGGTCTGGTAGCACAATCCCTGGTTAGTTAGAATACGGGTCAATGCGTTGAAAAATTTCCGTTATTGTGAATTGCTCTCCTGGTTTTCTAGGATCTCGTGGGAGCAACACATTTTCACCGCTGCTTGCAGATGAGATTCACGAACGAAGCGACGAACTTATTATCTGAGGTGAAACATATCAGTACGTATGATCTGGAATTCGCAGTGAGAAAAAGGCCTTGGGTTGAACAATTTACCTAGGAGTTACTGGAAGGGTTGATTAAACGAACCAAATCAGATCAGCCCCCTGCAGTTATCTACCAGGAACCCGTTACAATTTTATGGGTTGTTTTTATAGGTTATCACGAGCAGGGCTCAATAAAGATAACTACAAACATACCCTAGGCGCAGATGTAGACCCAGAGTACGAATTCTACCATCTTGCTTCTCTTTTCAATGACTACTGAAACGCCCAACTTGTGGAATTTACACGCTCTGTGAGGCGTCGTCCATTTTCGCCCGCCTCGTACGAATGTTCTCCGGACGATATTATGACATTCACTTTCCCCATCGAGACCCAAGATCAGAAGGCCCTAATAGGATGCGGAGTAGCGTTTAGCCTCTTGCCGGCTGTCGTCGTCTATCTACGCATCTTGGCGAGGCATAAGGCCAATAGGCCAATCGACACCAGCGACTATTTGATCGTGATATCGTGTGTATGTTGGAAGCCATTTTACATACTCAAATCAAGCGAGAGACAAAAATTGACACCATTATTCAGCTTTTTGTGGTTTGCTATCAAGCGATTACGATCTCAGGTCCGTATTTATTTTGAGCTTCTCGTTTTGTGGTATGACTAGTTAGCTGGGAACTAATATACGCGGTATTTTTAGCGGTCTTCGTCGGTGGATTAGGTTTCCATGTCGACGATATACAGAATAGATTCGGCATCGAATCTGGTGCTACCGTATTTATGAAGGTGCGCTCTTCCATCAGCAACACTCTAAAGCTTGCGAAGAGCGAATAGAAGAGCATTACTGACATATACGTGGATACGCAGCACCTGGTAGCACTCCAGATCTTTTGGGCGCTTGGCCTGAGTTTCTGTAGAATATCCATCATTCATCTGTTCGCAAGAATCTTTGTGATTCAAAGCTTCATTGTAACAGCTAGAATTACTTGCGTGGTGATATTCTTATGGTACGTACAGCCTACTCCACCCTTGAAGTTTACATCTCGAGATTCTAACGAGTAGGAACATAAAGGGCTCTCGGAGCTATACTCACCCCCTTTGTGGCATGTCGACCTTTCGAGTATACCTGGGACAAGTCTATCGAGGGAGGCGGAACATGCGGAAACCCATTGATATCATGGTTCGTGACAGGTTCTGTTAGCATGATATGCGATCTGGTTATTCTTCTCATGCCGATGCCCTCTTTGCTTCGTCTGGAATTGGCATGGACTAAGCGGTTGATGTTGGCCGCAACTTTTGGCATTGGAATATTGTGAGTGTCTTAAACCCCATCTATCCTCGTATATTCCCCATCCACATATTCGCTAATTACAAGTATTATTTAAAGGACTTGCGTTGTCAGCGTCATGCGTATCATTTCCATTGCTGGCATAGATCTCGAAGATGTTACTTTCACGATGCCGCACGCAATTCTTTTCAGTGCTCTGGAGCCTTGTATCGCCGTGACACTGGCTTGTGTCATTGTTCTACGCCCCCTTTTCGGCGGTGAATATTTGCCCGACGGTACAGCGACTTTTCACACCCCATCAGTTGACGCCATAGCGAGGAAGAATAGCACCCGGCGGTTTCGGCAACTCAATGATGACTCGTCTGAGACGCGGTTAAGGCCAGAGGAAGTTGGGTATCGGGCAACTATCGCAAAATCACCAGAGCCTTTCAAGGGATTTGGAGTGTTAGGGGAAGGTCTTGAAATGGGGTTGATTTCGATAAAACAAGAATGGACCGTGAAGGAAGAGCCACGTCCGACGACCTCAGAAACACAGCACAGATAGGGAAACACAATAAAACCATAGAGATTAGAACTCTCCGACACAACACCAATACGCATTCGACTCGATTATCGCTGGTACATGCGTCGCCAACGTATTAGAGAAATAAGGGTAGAATGCTTGACGATATATCGGAGGAATAAATATTTAATATAAAGGATCGTGTGATCCAAAGAATTTTGATGGATGGCTGCAGGGTACAATGCTTGGAAAGACGATACAAACACTTCGATACCAGTATATATACGGCCGTTGTAAGCCCGTCTCGCAGTCTCATTCTACTTAAAAATCATGATATCACTATAGATCTATCTTGTAAAACTTTACATGTTCGCAAAAAGATACTTCATTCCTTCCCATGACTCAATGCTGGTGGGCAGGATCTGGTCTGGGGGCAATACAAATCCATTCCGGCCAGTGTCTCGGAGTTCAATCGCCCATCTTAGAATTAAATCAGTATCTGTCAGAGAGGGGTTACAACCTGGGAGATATATTACTAACCCGTATTCTGCTTTGTTAACGTCGGTAACATAATCGTTACTACCACCTGCGGTTGCGTACAAGGTAGCGCAAGTTGGGCCGGTTGTAAACCTTGTTCCGTATGGCTTCGCAATAGCAGAAGCAGTGTTCTTGGATAGCGAATCCTGCTTATCCTGGTTTGATACTTCTGCTGTGCATGAATAGCCATAAGGACTAAGATACGATGTATGTCAGTAAACCATTTTGAGTAGGACATTTCCCACCGTGAAATAGACTTACGTCAAAATGTATTGTCCATAGCTGTGCCAGTCAATATATAGCTTGATTCCGTTCTTCGCAGCTAATTCATCGCCCAAAGCTTGAACCAGTCAGTATACTCTTCATCTTAAGTCAGCCTTCAGGATGCGCTTACTTCGGATTCCAGTGTTTTCGGGAGTGTCGCCAGCCGCTACGCCGCGGTACCTATATGAGGGTTAGTGCTACCCTTTTACTTGCTGATTGTTGTACGTTTCAAGTCTGAGAGCTGACGGTACTTGAAGTTTGACTACTCACGTTTCTAAGATCGAAAATTTCGTTAGCATCTATAGTTGAAAACCAAGAGAAGAATACCAAGGGCTAGGAAAATTGCTTACCGGCTCCAGGGCTCGTAGACGATCCCTCACCATCCCATTTGTATGGCCAGTTCCGGTTGATATCAGTGCCAACAGCAGAGGTGCCCGATCGAGTTTGCCGATTCTTACGCCACATGCGATTTGTAGTTTGCGTGAAGACAAACCCTGTTGTAATTAGCTAAACTCTGGAAAGTGAACTCAGCTCAACTCACCATCAGGGTTAACGACAGGTAAGATGTAGAAGTCGTAGCTATCAAGGAAGCCCTTCACAGTCGTGTCGTTGGCGTAGTTCGCAACCAACTGGTATGTGATATATTCAACAGTCTTAAGATTTCTTGTCAGCACTTTTCTCCAATGGTTTCCAGTCTATTTAGGTACCTTGGAGGTAATCCATTCGCGAGCATGGACGTTACCATGGAAATACACGGCAGGCTTTGAATCTTTCCCACCGCTCCCCCAAAGGTGAATTCCCTGGATATCTCGCCCTTCGAATGATTTACCGGCCGTAATCAGTTCTGAGTTGGACGAAAAAGATGATTGGATGTCTTTCAGGTACGTCAAGTGATCGTCGTAAGCATGGTATGCGTCGAACCATGACAAACTCGGCAGAGCAGCTGCTGCAACTAAATCCGACTCTATTTACCGTTAGATCCTATATACAGGTTGAAGTTTAGACAATCTAACCACTGCGATACTCGGCAAGGGGTCCTTCGCGAGCAATGTCTGCGCCGAGGTCCTCAGTCAATACCTCTGAAGTGAGATTTAGCAATTCGAAGCTGGCGAGACTCTCAGGCGGGACGGCGATATCGAAGTGTGCCTCATCTACGTGGCCGTGATTGTGACTGAGATCGATGGCCTCAAGAGACTCCAATTGCGCCTCGAACTCTGCAGCACTATTCGCCGGGGCTACTACACGGAAGACCTTGTAGCCATCGTATACGACCATACCCCGCCTGTCGAGTCGCAAGGCGACCGCCAAGGGTGCGAGTACCAAGAGAGAACGAAGAAACTTCATGATGGCGACTGTGTGATTGCAGTTCAAGCGAGGAACTTTGCGAAATTCTCAAGGTAGTTCGCAAGTCGGGTGCGAGAGCACGTCTTATATCTTGAACTTATGGTGACATTGACTTGTTGCAATTCTGCCAACCATTCGATATTTGATCTGCGGTGATAGCGGCGTGACGGATTCGCTCTGCATCTTCCCGATCAAGCAACTCATGTTCGTGTAAATAGTGCAGCTAAGCTACAGTACCTTACCTAGCCTAGTAGGTGCGTTCAGGTATGATACCTAGTAAGCTTTAGCCTGGCTCGTGTAGGGACTTGGAAGTACGGGGTCGGTACATGGTTATAGAAGGTCCCAAGGACATCTGCGGATAAAGGACGCAAAGAGAACTAGATGCACTATCTACTATTATTGATTCTCTTAACTACAGTACGATGCATAGTATGATTGATGCATATCATATGTGCAACTATGCCAACCAATTTAGCCTACCAATAACTACCATGTAACAGGGGAAGGTGTGTTTAGCAACGTAGTGCACCTTTACCACGAGTCCACGACTGTTCGTATTATCGGCAAGGGTCACCGATGCAATATATATATATATGGTTATAACACAGGAACCTATGCGTGTCTGTAACTTACATATGTAGACCTAACATTTGCATGCCTATCTAGTTCGTATATGGTATGTTCAAGTGGTAATGTTTCGGCCCAAGTGCTTGGCCTATCGTTTGGTACTGTACATTCATACCTACCTAAGGATCTCGCTACGCGGTAGATTTGGCCTTCCTAAGCCGAAGATCTTGGAGAGGTCCATCAGATGTGGATTTATTTACCATCGTGGTTCTCGTTGTTCTCGGCATTGCTACCCTGTCTATCTAGCTTCCTACCTGGGTGGTCACATGCACAAGCCATGTACGCAAGAGCTTAATTGTATCAATACACTGTAGACACATGCACATACAGTACTACATCTGTACTTGCATGTATGTATGCATGTGTGTGTGTATGCATATATGTAGGTATGTAAGTAAGTTACTTGGTCGATGAAACTTCTCGCTTCGTTTAGGAGATACATAGCTAACAGCCAACCGCCAGAAGGCTAGTTATCGTCTTGAGTGGGCGGCTATGAAAAAGGGGCTTCGTGAAAGATTTCTGGAAACCTATCAATAATCACTACTTTACGATGGGCATTTATTTATTCATTTAGCTAATTCCTTATAGTTTGGAGAGATTAAAGGCGCCGGAGGAATTGCTTTGAAACTTGATAAAACTCCTCATTCTAAAAAAAGGAGTCGGCCATCATTCTCGCTTCGCATCGCGTTCCACGATGTCGCCTCGAATCTTACTTATAACCATTGCGATAACCCAAGGACTATTGAGTTCAAGAGAGGTCAATATGCATAATTTAAAGAATATCCATTATACCTCGTTTGTCTGTTTGAATTCAAGTCCTGCTGTGCAAACTTGAAGGTTTCAGTTTTCCGCTTGCTTGCATTACGATTCATTTGTACCACACACCTACTTTAGCATAGCTGGTGATACAACTGACTTGCTAGCCATAATGCATCCATGCATACTTAGTCTGTTCATTTTGCAATCTTTGGTGGTTGCGTCGCCCATAACATCTTTTACCGTGTCACGAAGAACCGTAACCGAACTCAACCAAGCGGCCTTTGAGGAGGCCCAGCAATCAGACAATACAGCGACGAAGGCCTTTTCTGGAATAAGAATACGTGTAAGACTAAGTTCAAGGAGAAACCCCCCGAATGTCGCTGATAGCATTTACCACAGACCTCTGACGGACGATGCTTGTTTGTCGATGAGCTCTCGGGTGATTTTCGAGCAAATCTCACACCAATCCAAGTAGCCGAGTGCGAATCCACGAGCGGGCAAGGATGGGATATCATCACAGCTGGCAAGCATAACAATGCTGATGACTCAATGCTCGTCGCTAGTACTCTGGTTCGTATTCAAATACACTCCCTCCCATGGGTTTTGCAGGTCTCAGAGAATCCTAGACGAACGCCTGCTTCAACTTCGATCCACGGCGTGCAAGTGGCAGCCAAGTCATATTGTTTAGTTGTGGTGGACGAGCAGACGGAAGTGGCGAAGTCACCGATTCTCAATTGTTCCCTTTCCATGGTGGCCGCCAGCCACTTCAGTTGACGCCCGCGAACGACTTGCAGTCTTGCTTCACTGTTGAGAGGGACGCAGTTGGAATTGCGCCCTGCACCTCGGGAAATGCCGACCAGCTGTTTACGTTTGACGACAATCCAGGGGCCAATAGAACCGCATCAACTGGAATTAGTGCTCCAACCAGCCAAATTGGCATCCAGACAACGTCCGCTTTCATTTCCACCGCAACTTCACCGGATCGAGGCCAAGATCCTACAACATCTGCGTTAGGAGTCACTTCCTCACCAACAGCGACAAGCACTGGAGAAAAGCCTGACCCCACGCAGGGCACACCTGTTTCTCGCGCCGGTGGCGTTCTGCAGCCTTCAGCGGTAGCTGAGGCGCACCAACGGGACGACACCGCTACGCGCGCCTTCACTTCAGTCAGCATACAGGCGCAAAACGGCGAGTGTCTGTTCATTGACCCTACAGCAGGAGACTTCCGCGGTAATCTGATTCCAGTTACGTTGGTAGCGTGTGCAGGAACTCCTAATGAAAAGTTCGATGTGATCACGGCGGGTAAACACAACAATGCCGAGAACTCTGCCTTGATCGTTAGTAGCTTGGTAAGTTATGACTACCTACGGGTAGGACCGTTCCCATTCAGTTGGGGAAACACTCTAACATTGATTGAAGACGAATGGGTGCATTAGTTTCGACGGCCGCCGTCCTGCTGGTGATACGGTGACGGTTTTCTCTTGCGGAGGACGAGCAGCTGGAGGTGCGTACATGATGTATGGATACCTCTTCTTTTATATTTAACGCTAATGAAGAAAACAGAGGGCGAGACTAATAACGGGCAGCTATTTCCATTTAATGGAGGGACAAGTCTAACCTTTGCGCCGGAGAGTGAGGGCAATGCGACATGCATTGTGCCTGGAAATGGCCGGCTTACTTCTGCTCCATGTGCTGTAAATGATGGTGCGCAACTTTTTACCGTCTTATCGTAGGTGTCTACCTAGTATTTAGGTACTTAAATAACAGTGACCTCTAGGGCTAAAAGTGGTCATGGCTTTGCGAACTAATTTTGTCCCTTACCAGCGTCCTAACTTCTGATTCATTTTGTTTTTCTTCTTTGACTAAGTTAACTAATATCTAAAATTGATATTCTACATTCCATAATACCCATCGCACGCGCATACTGGCTCTCGGCAGGAAAATACATTTATTGGGATGAATTACATCCATTCATCTCTTCCATCATGATTTATATCTATTTCGTCTCAAATGAACTCTCTTTTACTAGCCACTTCTCGAACGTCAACATCTCGGGATAGTCCTTGCGCCGAGCTTTTACATCTGCCTTATACCCGTCGCTGGCGAACCAGCCAATCATCAAGGATATTTCCGTAACCATATACGTCAGAACGCTCCCAAAGAACCAGTAGCTCACGGGAGCTGGGGATCCTGTTGCGTTGGTGAAAGCGGCATTGAGCTGCTCCCATGATAACTCGTCTCCGGCTAGCCCAACAGCTCTCCCACTCCAGCGTTCGGGTTCGATGAACGCTTTAGCAGCAAAGACACCAATGTCTGACGTTGCGACCCACTGCATCGGCTTATTCCCTAGGTGATTGTGTAGTGCCGCCGTGAAGACCCTGGTAGGGAAGCCCGGGGCCAGATTATCCATGAAAGCAACCGGGCGCAAGATCGTCCATTCCATGCTCTCATTCGAGGTTTTTTGGCTTGTGATATCCTTTAGGTGTCGCTCGATCTGGTACTTGCTCTGGAAGTGTGGTATGGGGGTTGGGTTATCCCAGGAAGCGTCATCGCCACCGCGTTCAACACTACTGTAGACGAATTGCTTGACGCCTGCCTTGATTGACTCGTCGATGAGAGCTACGCCTTGGGCGACCTCACTTTGGAGCGTTACTCCTTTTCCCATCGATACCTGCACGGAATAGACACCCCAGATGGGCTGGGGATGGACCCTCCGAGCTTCTTGAAAGAGTGCAGGGACATTATCTAGATTGCCTTGTACAAGTTTAATCAAAGGCGACTTTTGGACGAGGCGCCTCGAGCTGGAACTACTGGTGTCTCGAGTAACGGCGAGGATTATGAAGTTCTTAGGATCAAGGCTAAGAAGTGCATTGATTACTGCACCTCCCTGCTTTCCCGTGGCACCCGTGACGAGGAGAACTTTGGACATGATGATTCAACTTCTTAGAACTAAGAATCGAATTATTGCTGTTGTATCAAATGATTTGAGAAATTCAATGCAACGGCTTGGGGTTATTTAGTAGGGTCAATGATCGAAGGTATTGCGCGTCGGCATACGTCGACGACATCAAACTTTAGCTGGCAGAACTCTCCTGACATCCTTTTCGGCGAGCATGTCGGGCCTTACCTTTCGCATACCCGAAGCTGTCAGCGTCCGCTCTGAACTTACGCGGAACGCCTCGTAGCATTACGTCGTTTCGTTTGGGGACTTGCGAGACAAGTTATAGATTTATTACGCCCCTCCCGTCCGATGTCTCGTGGGTATGTTCCGCCAGTGTTCTTGGTCAATCGCACTCGTTGGCAGTCACCCCCAAGGGAGGCAAGAATCTACACCCTACATCTTCCCTACCTACTACACCCCACGCCACGCACGGTCCTAGCACACCTCCTCGGTCGCCACCATGGACGAAGCCCGCGCTCGCCGACGCAAGACTGTTGCTGCGCTTCTGGATGGCTACGGAAGTCTCTCGGTACCACAGCTTCTCATGACTACATCCCCGGACTTTCACCACCACGTTATTCCGGAAAGCCTAGGTATGAAGCCTCGGAATAGAGAAGCTTTCGCCCAACACGCAGCCGGTATCTTCAGTGTATTCGACGAGTTTAGAATGCTGCCAAAGTCTATCGTGGACGACGGACCAGGGAGCATGGTGGCGGTTCACGCACGGATGCAGGGCATGCTCAAAAATGGAGCTGGCGAGTGGATAAACGAATGTGTACTGTTGATTCAGCTCTCCCCGGACGGTACACAGGTTCTCAGGGTCACAGAGTTCGTGGATAGTGCGAAAGCACTGCAAATGGCCAGGGAGCATGCACCCGAGAGTTTTGACTGCGACGCATCCAACTTTCATGCGAAATGGAGGAAAGGAGACAAGGTTGGGACTTCGGAGTCTATGCCGATGGCGTTGCTATTTGGGTTGGGGCTTGCGCAAGTTGTTGTTTTAATATTCCTATTATACTTAGCTCAAGGGATCATGTTTTGAGTTTTGCTTGATGGGGGAGTCCGATGAAAATCAAGTCAAGTCAACTATCATGCAACAACTTTTTTGTGCCTCCTAAGAAGATTTACCTGAAACCGCCTTTATGGGAAACGATATTTCAGCAATGGCTTTACCAGTCTACCGAAACTGCTCGATTACACATTCACCATCTCTACCCACTTGGCCGCAAATATGTTTAGTTTAAATATGTTGGATTAAACTACAATTTCAGACGTCTTCCTCCCTGGTAGGTGACTGCTGAAGCACTATCTAGTTTTCTCCTCCACTCGCGCTTAACTTCTCCAAACGAGTCCCAATCTAGGGTACATAGGTGACAACCGTGGCTTAGATTGTTTTTGAGAGGCAATAGGAAAGCACGACTTTTATATAGAGAATGAACACTTCGCCCAGTCGGGCATTCAAAATAGGATAACCCTTTCGAAATCTGAGTGGCGATGTAATCAAACAGCGTCTCCTTCCCTGATGATCAACTTAATGTTTTCTCAACACTTGGAATAGCGCCAAGGTCCCAGCAACGACTGGAGTAATGAGACGCACGGTGTTGAACTTGATCCACTTTCGAGCATAGCTCTCAGCTTGTTTAGAGTCTACTCTGCCCTTGGGCTCTCGCAGAGCATCAAGCTTCTCGTTGATGGGCTGCATGTTGAGTGCAGAATGCACAACCGTGATGAGATGGCATAGTGCCGAGAACGCGTACGGTTTCCAGTCACCGAACACGCCATTAGGTCCTTGAGATGAGGCAATCCATGACGTGTAGGCGTAGCCAAAGATGCCAAGTGTGCTAATGGGTCGGAAGAATTGGTTGCCCACAACCCAGAACACTGGCCACTGCCTACCAAGCAATCGAGCTCGAGCGGCGTGCTCAGGGGATGAGGGAGATGGGAAATCGACTAGCAAAGCTGGCACTCCCATGAATGATTGCGTGATAGCATTACCTGTATGCAGTAATGTTTATGTTTAGAACTGGTCCTGTTGGATTGAACACATGTTTACTTACCAAACAAGATGAAGGAGAATGCAACAGTAGTACCGAGAACAGCTTCGGGAGGGACAGCCATAGATGACATATTGGTAATATACAAGCTATATGTAGTAGTATATTGATTGGTGTATTGATCAGAGAATTTATGTAGGCGTGTTCTCGTTACTTGACTGCGAAAACGCACAGCAGTTGTCGGGTTCCACGTTATATAGACGAAAGACGTCGATTCTTTGCTCCTCCGAGGGGGAAGCTCACACAAGTTGGAGCACTTTGCCTTTATCCATCGTTCGATTTCTGATTTCAGTCGTCACAGTGGTATGACAATGAAACGAGACTTCCTCTTTAGCTACTATACATACCTACCTAGAGTAGAAATTTCCCCCCTTACTTAGGAGGATGATATCTACCGTAAGGTTTGCCCCACTTCTATCGGCAACTTAATCATGTGTTACCTTAGATACATGTAGCTATAGGGTGAACCGAAGCTTGCGTTAGATTCCGCGTCAGTATCTTGTTATTTACTAAGAAGACTACAAGTAGTGGCAATATGTAGTCCGTGGTGACGACCGGGTTACTCACAATGTACTATGTCCTTGGACAAGAACATAGAGCGGACAGAGCAAGCCCCTTTTTCCTAATAGGAGTACACGTGAATATTCGACAGAGAGAGCAGTAAAATGACACAGAGGGTTATTCTGGAATGTGGCTTTTGTCTTAATTTGGACCGCGATGGAGTTTATATATGATTAATACCAACTAGTAACTAACGCTATCTCTTTATTACCATACTAGTTATTAGGGCCATAATTAGGCAGGAAGGGAGGTATCCAAATAGTAATTAAGACTCCAAATCAAATACCGAAAGACGTCAGGATATGCCGTTTATACCAGATCCTTGCTATGCAGTTTATACGACCTCTATCTTTCTTTTCCTCATTTCTGCATTTCTAAGAAATTCCTCCTTTTCCCTCTGGTAGTTCGCGTTTGATTCTGCCCATAATCGTTGTGCCTCCTCCTTTCGAGCCTGACTCCGAGGCTCAAACGCCATCTGAAAGGGGTCGGGCTTGATGATTAGAAGAGAATTCGATTTATCGAGGGGAACTGGTAAGTCATTCCCGGTAATAGGGTCTTTCTTTGCCTTGAGGTTGAAGCACCAACTCAGCGCACTACACGCTACTATCAATTCGTCTTGCGTGAGAGTTTGTCCTAGACACTGGCGCTGACCCCAGCCAAATGAAGTCATGCCCTTGATAGTTGGGTATACGCTGAGTGGTTCCTCGTATGTTGGCCACCCAGGCTCTAGCCAGCGCTCAGGCCTGAAGTTGTCCGGGTCGGGGTATTTGGCCGGATTTCGAAGGAATGCCCTGTGCTGTTTAGTAGGAACACGAATACAATGACAAGAATAACACACCAGTCGAGAGGTAAGATTCTTGTTCCCTTTTGGAGGAAATAACCACGAAACTCATCGTCTGCCTCCATCTCGTGTGCAACCCCTGATAGTTAGGTAAGTATGCGAAAACCTTTTCCACAGAGAGTAATTCACTAACCAGTCGGTACGTTTGGCTTCCATCGCATTGTCTCTTTAATGCAAGCTCGGAGGATAGGGAGTTTAGGCGAATCATCAAGAGTTGGTAATCTCCCTTCACAAGCTTCGTCGATTTCCTTCTGCACAGCGGCTTGCCATTTTGGATGATGTACCATAGATACTAACCAATATGACAATGGACCGGCTACTGTAAAAATGCCCACCAGAGCCATCATACCTATGACCGAAGAAGCTTCGTAATCGCCAGAAATGCTCGATCGCTTTTCGCCCCTATTCAGGTACTGGCTCGTAAAGCAGGGTCTTTGAACACCCAGAGCCATCTTGTTCCGCGTAGTCATCAAACGCTCCATCCACCACGCCTGTTGCTCATCGTGGCGCTTGTGCTCAGCAATCTTCCAGGGGTTCATCATCTCAGGCAAATGCCAAAGGGGTGTCAAAACGTTCGTGATCGGCCCAGCAGGTGACATCTGGGTCAAAAGACCCCATGCACTTTTGGTGCAGTACTCACTAAGTTCGATATCGTCCCACGTCAATTGGCACATCACCTTAGATGCCATGTCCTCCAATGAAAAGCCAAAATCATCCGGGTTTTCAATCAGTCTCGCGAGCCAGCGCTTCGCCTCGTGGTACATCACGCCGTAGTATTGCGCATTGCTCGCTTCAGTTAGATATGAGTGCGTGAACCGACGTTGCCGAGCCCAATATTCTAATTCAAGTTATTTTCTTTGAACAAGACCAGACTTACTAGAAAGTCGCATACTCACGGTTTCTTCCCATTAGGGGGAGGTATTCCATTGACCCATACGTGCTCTTTGAATCGAACAGAGATCTAACCATTGGCCTGTCAGAATTGTATTTCGCGCGCTTGACTAGGAGTTCCTCGGCAATCTTCTCGTCCGTGACGACTAGAAACTTAGCCCCAAGCATTTCAGTGAAATAGAATCCATTCGTGCCGCTATACTGATCCGCCCATTCCTTGAATTTTAGCCACATGAAGTTGATGGGAAGATCGTGTATTCGTCCAATATACGGCAATAAGGTAGGCCCGGGGATTTTACGTGGATGGTTCATCTCGTTGAACTGCTTGAATAGATGAAACGCGAGGAATCCAATAAAAACGGCCACAAGGACCACCAACGTGATTGGTTGCATGATCAACCGTTTGGTATAACGAACGACAGGCTAGGTGTGAATACAATGGGAGTGAGGCTGGCGAAACACTATGGAGGGTAAGTGACAAGATCACTCTCCAGTTTGAAAGCAACTGGAGGGCTGTCACACGATTTAAAGTATCTCAACTATCGTATCATGCCATCTCATGCTGGATATATTTAGAGTGTTTTCTCTCGATTGTGGTAGCTATGCAAGTCGTTCGGCGTTCAGGGGTGGTGGTCGAGTCTTGACCGGGTGTTCCCCTTTTCAGTCTCACATCAAAGTCTCACCGGGCGTCAAATCCCATCGTGGCAAAATCATGCCTGCATCTTCACGCACATTAAGTTCATATATACCTACCTATTTATGAGGAAGATTACATCCCACCATAGCCTTGAATACTAAATATTACGAAACAGAACATGAAAGCATCTGCAATGTACTAGAGTAACACGATGGAATTACGACGAGACGGTAAATGGTTATAGGTTTATAACGATAATAACTCCGGAACTGCAACTCCGAATCAATAAACATAGGTTGGTACCTACATTCGTACATATAAGCGTGACAAGATGCACATACATTATGTGACAAGAGTCAAGTACAGGAATGCGTCTCGCAATCTTTACAGATTGTTGTGTTTCTAATTGTTGCATCTTTGCTGCAACCAAGAAGAAGAGGAAAGGAAGAAAGCTTGCTTTATTCCTAACTACAGTGGCGGAGTGCCAACATATGGCCATATGGGCCATATGGCTCTAGTGGAGCCTATGGTGCCTGAGGCACCTGCAACACTAATCGAGTCGTTCTATCTACAATTCGATCTGGCAATTTTAAGTATATGTAACTAGGATAAGGCAGAGTTATCTACCGACTGGAACTCTATGGTGATATTGATGGAAGTATCATGTCTATAAGGCACCTACTCATAGCATGTGAATGATACATATTTCCACACACTTTAAAGTGTATCCAAGGTTTTAACTTTCGTTACGGATAGATCCAGCAGCGGCTCCCGTGCCTTCATGCATAAATCCTCAGGCATTTAGTTGTTCGAAACCCGATGCTAAGCTCTTTTAAGCAACGACATAATTTATAAGAATCTGTAGAATAACCTTATTGTTCGTACACTACACATACCAGCCTAAGGGGGAAAGACCCTTCATATTTTACACCAAGAGTGAAACACACCTTTCGGCACCTTGGGCCTGTTATATTCGTTTCTATCACAGTCCCCTACAATTTGTATCTATCTGTACTGGATTTGAACTCAGATCTTCTAAAAGGATCTTACATTGGGGTTTGTAATAGATTCAGCGTAGATGTGAAAATGATCAAAATAATAGGTACAATCTTTCAATATGCACATTAGTATCATAGAATATATAAGTTGGACGAACCCCGAGAAAATATAAAATACATGGGGAGAACTTTGGATAGGGTGTGTCGAACGGAGACTATGGAGTACCGCCGAGAAGCGTATTACCTGACGGAATCCCTCCTATACCATCTATACCATCTATAGTATCCATTCCCGGATGTGTGGGGTTCTCGCATTTTGGTTGTCGTTAGAACTGACTAAAAGGACCCAATTACGTGTCCAGGCAAAACATGGTTGAGCAGGTGTGAATATACTTCGGGCCCGAGGAGGATTCGAGAGCTAGAGGGGGTGTCTTACCAGTCGCGACGTTCTCTTATGTTCTGAGCGACGTTCAAATTATATAATCTAAACGAACATTACCCCTAATCCTCCATCAACGTTCTCGTTTCTCCCCAAGCTTTCCAAAGGTCAATAACAGAATATGGGCTCTATTCTAGAAAGCGACTGCAACCCGGTGGGATCATACCCGCCCTCCGGAATCGACGTACTTATCGTTGGCACTGGGCTTGCCGGCCTGACTGCTTCGATCGAATGTGTTCGTAAAGGACACAACGTACGCGTTCTGGAGCGTCACGATGATATAAACACTGCAGGTATGCATCTTCACACATGTCGTATCACCTGAACTACACTGAGAAAATGAAGCTGATCGAATGACTTCGGCCTTCTCTGTTGTTAGGGGACATGTATTTTATGGGACATAGCGCTACAAAGTTCTTCCGGCACTGGCCACAGCTACAGAGAGAGTACGAGCTGATATCTATGAACAATGCCTGGATCGAGACCTTCAAGCACTCAGGGGAACATATGATAACGCCGCTGAAGGTTTCCGATCGCCTGAGACAAGCTGGCATGGACCCAAACACCCCACCGGGCGCTTTTCAGATGAGACCCCTCATCTATCGCATGTACCTGAACGAGGTACAACGGCAAGGCATCAAAATCCAGTTTGGTCAGAAGGTTGTCGACTATTACGAGGACCAAGAACGTCAAAAGGCAGGTGTCGTAACAGACAAGGGAGACCGTTTCGAAGCGGACGTTGTCATTGCTGCAGACGGCGTGGGCTCCAAATGCCAAAAGCTGGTAGGCGGGCAAGTGAGGGCGATGAGTTCGGGTAGAGCCATGTGGCGGGCAGCGTTTCCAACTCATCATCTGGACAAGAATCCCGAGCTTAAAGAATTTCTAAAGATGGCTGGTCGGAATAACAATGAACCAATGATTAGAACTTGGTTAGGGTACGTAATGCAACTGCTGTATTCAATCGTCTGAGGTGTAGCTAATAACCGTAACTCACTAGCCCGGGGATGTACGCCATGGTGCTTATTCGTAAGGAGACGTGCGTCTGGCTTATGAATCACGACGTAAGTATCACATCCACCTAGCTACTCTCGTCACTCAATACGCTAACACGGGACAGGTCACAGGGTCCGAGGAAGAGAACTGGAACCACACAGTAGGGGCAGATGATGTTTTAAACAACATGGACAAAGGGTTGGACACTCCATGGGACCCTAGAATCAAGGAACTCGTCAAGTTGATACCTGATAACACCATTGTCAACTTTGAACTATTCTGGCGCAATCCACAGCCTTCTTGGACGTCGCCGGGTGACCGAGTAGTCCTCATCGGTGATGCTGCTCATTCTTTCTTGCCCGCTTCTGGAAACGGCGCAACGCAAGCAATCGAGGACGCAGTCTCGTTGGCAACTTGCCTACAGATTGCTGGAAAGAACAATGTACCAGAAGCAGTTCGTACGCACGCACGATTCCGCTACATTCGCTGCTCGTGTGCGCAGAAGATGGGGTTTGCCAATGCTGAGTTACTCCAGCATACTAACTGGGAGAAGGTGAAGCTCAACCCGAAGCTAGCGCAACCAAAACTCCCCAGCTGGATTTGGAAGCATGATCCGGAGCAGTATGCTTATGATAACTATGACAAGATGGCCGATGCCATCAGGCAAGGAATTCCCTTCGACCAAGTGGACACTGTGCCGCCAAACTACCCCCCTGGCTACAAATATGAGCCTTGGAACATCGAAGACATGCAGAGGGAGGTGGAAAAGGCTACTGTCAACATGGGTTCCGGCAACTGGGATTAGAATACCAAGGCTAGGCAAGGCTTTGTGTTGTTGGCTAAAGCAGCCAAGAAACGGCAGAAGAGAAGGAAGAAAGCTTGTCTTATTCCTAACTACGCTGGCGCAGTGCCAAACATGAGGCTAGCCTGATGGGACTAGTGGCTCATGCAACACTTGGTTATAGAATAGGTACAAGAATTGATTCAATGTTCTGCTTTAGAAGCGAAAGCTAAAAGGATTGCACATTACGCATGCTCGCGCCTGTCCCCCGCTTTTTGACCAAAAGCTGGTTGACAGGTTGGTATATGTGGAGGATCGATCATATTACTTTTGTGAGGTATATTTACATGGGTAGGTGCTCACCCAGTAAGGGCATAACCATCGCTATATAAACATTTGGGCTGTATAACCTAAGCGTTTTCCACTCCAGGCGCAGCAGCTGCAAGCAGCTTGGCAAAGTCGGGTGTTCCTAATCCTGTAACCGGATCCCATCCTGCAGTAGCATTCCATCTTGCCCCATTGCGGAAAGCGGAGTTGCCTGAGCAGCCGCTTCCGTAGCCCGATGTAATATCTATTAGGGCTGCGCTGTTGTTGTATAACCACGGGTTGAGGAACCCCAGAGGAGGTTCACCCTGGCTCTTTCGAGCAGCGTTCAGGAGAGCGACAACTCCAGCGAAGACCGGACTCGATGCACTCGTGCCTGATAGGAGGGCGGTTCTTCCCTTGTCAACTACCACGAACCGACTTCCTTGCGCTGCGACGTCGGGAAATCCTCTGTTGGACTTATTGAAGTATGCTGAGTAGGTGTTTCCTATCGAACCTAGATAAGAGTTGACGGCCTCTGCCTGCCAAGCTGGCTGTGCGTGAAGCGAGCTGAAACCACCGCTTGAAAAGCTTACTCCTTGTTCTGGAGAAACATTATAAGTAGCACCGACGGCGGTAACGTAAGGGCAGCCAGCAGGGAAAGAGGGCTGGAAGTACGGAGCTTGGTCGGACTCCCGGATGCAAGAGTCGCCTGGCCCAGAGTCACCTGATGAAAAGAGTACGCTGACACCGCGGGCTCCGAGTTGCATGTACAGGTTGCAGACTCTTAGGGCATACTCCTCCGGTACTGACTGCTCCTCTTCCCCGTAAGAGGTGGAGAGTGTCTGAGGCAAGGCCGAATCATCTTGATCGAGAAGGTACGTCAAGAATTCCAGGTAAGGCTCGTTTGACGAAGGACCGGGCTGATCGTGAGTAGGAACCAAGGGTCTTCATGTACAAGTTAGCTATATTCTATCAATCAGGGTTGTAGCGTTATTATAGACTTACCCACGACCACCAGTGCTGTATTCGCGGATTGGGACAGGGCTCGAAGCAGCCAAGATGTATTGCACGTCGAGATTTGCCTCCCCTGCGCAGTAGTTTAGCAAATGGTTCATTTTAGGATTCTCGAAAAGGGTTGCAACAACGTACCACTGTCATCATTGCTATCTTGATCATCCAACCCTCCATTGACCAGCTCAACGGTAAAGTTCTGGCCGGCAGCTGCCGGCAGATACTGTGACTCAAAAGATGCAAGATCATCGTATCGCGCATACTCTTCCAAGTAAGAACTGAAAGCAACCAGATTCCCTTCAGGTGACGCGGTGTATTTGATATTATACAACGATTTAATGCAAGCTGGCGTGATCCTGGAGGGGTTGCAGTCTGCAGCCTCAACCGCCATGCTTGTCTTCACTTCGTCCTCCTCCGCAGCCTCAAGAATCTGCATTTCGAAGATAGTTGACTTCTTCGCGCCGAGCTGACCGAATCGAGTGGTGGGTTGGATTAGGTCAATGCTTCCGGAAAGTTCATCAGGGATGCTGTATGACAAGGTGCGAAGTCTAGGACTGTTGTCCTTTTCATACAGGTACCAGGTGAACTTCGCATCGAGTAGTTCGTTGGCAGTTTTGACATCTGTCGTGAAACTAATCCAGTCGTTGTTTACCGAAGACTTGATACCGCTCTTAGCTAACCAATCAACAACGGACGAGACTGATTGTTCTGTCGGTGCCGTGTAAGCTCGGACTTGGTTACGCGACAAGTGTAATCCGTAATTTGGATGTCCGGGGGTTGAGATCTCCAAGACCGCCTGCTCCAAGGCGGCCGCATGCTGCTGCGGGAGGCCGACGCGCAACGATACCAACTCATCTGGGGAGGCTTGGGCAACCACACTCCAGCCTTTGGGGATGGAGGCGAGACTGTCCATCACCTTGGCCGTGGCGGCCGAGGCGTAAAGGACGAGGAAGGAGAAACGCATATTGACGATTTCACACGGAGTTGCACGAGTATGTTTTGCTCCTGTCTACCCGAGCCAACGAGTCAGATAAAGGTGAAGAGAGAACGGATTCCTCTTGGTGGCTGTGAGGGGATTGACGAGCAAATTAATAACAATGGCGTAGTAGTAAGTAACGAACCCTTACATATTATAATTGCGTGCGATGCTAGTCAATGCGATACCACCTTACCACCGTTACATGAACCAAGCTCGAAAGCGGTCTCCAGCCATGTTGACTTACTTGCAATCTACAAACCCCGGCCACTGGAGATGCGCCGACATGCCAAGTTCGGAGTGATCTTCCGCCCATCCCCTTTGAGTACTACGTCGCCTAGGCTCTATCCGGCAGGAGAGTGGGATTCGACTTATGCGCGGGGCCGCGACAGGTTGATAAGCTTCCGGTACGAGAGATCTGATCTCAATCCCGGTGTAGGGGCGCCCGCACACCATAAGCGGGACATACTTGATCGCTACAGAATGTCGTCCCGAGGGGATTTTTGGTGCAAGGAAAATTCAATAGCAACTTTGAACTATGCGACGTTGCCGGCCAGGCCCGACCTACCTAGACCACTAGTTGGGACAGGGAATGCCTGCTCCTCTTCGTATTACTATCGCTACCGAATCAGCCGAATACTTTAATGGCAGGTGGACTATGGATTGTGAATTGTGGATTGAGAATTGCGGATTGCGGATTGTCAGTGGATCCGAGATCCTGGTATGCGATTCTCATTCTTCGAATGCGCTGATGCATTCCAGGGCCCAGGCACCATCAAGTGTGATACGAGGCTTATAAGCACGTTAACCCCCAGCCAGACAATTATTTTAACCGTTGTTGAAGAACCCCAACAGGTTGAGCAAATCAGAGATGTCATAAGCCAAATCTCAACCCGTAACAGAACGAGGAGTAATTACGGGGTGGATTACTGTAGTAGGCAGCTGATGGTTGGAGTCAGGCCAAGTAGCAGTGGTAGCAGTGAGCGAGCTACGACGTATAGTAGATTGTGTTAAAGACTCGTACGAATGTTTACTCCACCGTTGAAAGTTGATGACATTCGATCAAAGTGGAGGCGCAGGCATTGTGTACCCTGACGGCGGGCTGACGCTGAGAAGCGGGTAGTTTTGCAATACTCAGCTACTGTATGTAGTAGGGCAGGTATAGAATTTAACGAAATCGTACATTAGGAAACTTGTCCCAGACTCCCAGGTCAGTAACAGGTCGAAAAGAATCCAAAGTCAATTGAGTTACATGAAGTTTGTACCTAACCTAGGGTAGATTACCTAATATGCACATAACTAGGGAGATACATATGTATGTTAGGCGCTGTGAGTGCGGGGTTGTTCGTCGCAGACAAATCAGTTGAATCTATCACGCTAAACGCCCGGCACAACCCCTAAAACTCTCCCTAAACAACGGATGATGTTGCTGGCTGAAGCAACCAAGAAACCAAGAAACCAAGAAACCAAGAAACCAAGAAACCAAGAAACCGAAGAAGAGATGGAAGAAAGCTTATTTTATTCCTATCCACGCTGCCGCAGTGCCAATACTACCTACATAAGGCTGCCAAGCGATGACGCTAGCCTAATGAGTCTAGTAGCCTATACGACAGATGACAACAACAGTCATTGCAGATAGATATATGTAAGTAGATTCTCGACATAGCATAATATACCTAGGGTATCTCGGCTTTCATGTTTTCTGGGAGCGAGGATGATATCCATATCCATGAGTCGGTTTTCGACTAGTATACGACACTGTGTATACCATAGCAAGACATGGTCTGTCTCCCTGACGGAGACGACAGTCGGCAACGGGAAGCTGGAACTCGGGGCTGTGCCTAACGTGTAGGATAGGTATATTTCCGGAAGTCATATCGTTGCCCGAGGGGACGGATAGGAAAGAAGGGTATAGGCTCAAGAATAGGTAATAGTCGGAGGAGGCCTGGCGGTTGTAAGGAAGGCAACGAGCGAGGGGTATAGCTGTAAGCAAAGAGCCTCAGCTACAGCACCGTAAGCGAGAAATTAGTTGTTGCTACTTTATGTAGATATCTTATGAGGTACTTAATGATTAACTAACCTACCTACATAGGTACTTAAAGCACATAGTAGGTGGCGCGGGTCGGGAGCGCATAGCTGCCGTCCTGTTACCTACACAGCAGGTAGGATTGTGACGCAAATTCAATATCGCCTGCCGTTTATTACTGGTAGGCCAAACATCGGTACCCGATCGAGTTTCTGCCATACCAACCTTGAAAGTTTGGAGGAACCTACATCCTTACTTATTCTGTCAGGCTTCATCATCCACAGAACTTCCCATAGCTCATGAAAAGTTGTTATGCAACTTAAAATGAACCCTAAAGCATCTAGTTTTGTTCCAGGTGGAACACAGGAGGGCCAGCATTATGACGGGCTGTTCCTACGAGAACCTGGCCAATCCCAAGTATCAGATGATTCGAGATCCCGGGTGAAGTGTCGGTATTTTTTGCGTGGGCAATGTCTGAAGGATAAACTCTGCCCCTACCTCCACGAGCGTGATCGGGAAATCCAGACTTCCATTCAAGGCGCGACTAATGTATGATTGCTCGAAGTAACCTCTTTCATGGCTGACCGTTGTCTTAGATCCACAAGCTTCCTGAGAGAGAGGAGCTTACTCGTGCCAATAAGGGGGCTTTGGTTCACTTCGCTGCTGGTGCACTCGTCACGAAGATATCTCTACCATCTGACTTCTCAGCTGTCCAAATCAGTCCGCTACCGCGTGATAGCACGCGAGAGTCTCTAATGGCCCTCCTCCGTTCCCATAATCTCAACATACCAAGTGAGACCGATATTCAGTTTACTCGCGAAGCAGAGTTATCAAGCGCTCTGGTAAAAGTTGAGGACCCCGAATTCGCTAGGGCAGCTGGCAAGAAACTTGGCTCACAGATTGCTCCACGTCTAAATAAAAACATGGAACCGATTGTTACTCCGATAGATATGCCACTATTCTCGGATTCGAATAGTCTTCGTGTCGACTGTAAGAAACTGCATGTCTCTTGGCATAGGGCCAGCAGAATAGTGTGGCTCAATTTCGGCAGTGGCGAGATAGCCAAACGCGTGAATAAAAAGTTCAAAGACGGAACGTACAAAATTTTGAACCAAACTGTTCAGTGTGGTAACCCAACTCGGGGTGTGAAACTGACCGTGTGCCTAACAGACGTGCCGGCATCTGCCACGGAATCTGACGTCCTCAAGTCAATTCGTAATGTGCATAGGCCGCACAATGTCGAGCTTGGAAACCCTACATATTCTCTTGATATAGAGACCTGTTCCGCCTCGATTCAATCTCTGTTCACCTCTATTGGCCCCCTTGAATGGTGGGAGCTTACCCCTGATATAACCGGTAAACGCATAAAAGCAAGTGCCCGGTTTCAGAATGAGGACGACGCCAGGGAAGCCGCACGAACCCTGGACAAGTCAGAGCTCAGTTTTAATAAGAAGGCGAAGCTCACTGTACAGCTTGTCTATACAGCGAAGTTCAAGGTGCCCGCAAACATCTACGAAGCAATAGAGCCGGAGCTCAAAGCTAACATTAGAGGTTGGAAGAACTCACATTTGCATTTTACTGCATATGAGAACTCCGATCCACCTAAATGGTATCGTGTGTTGAAGATTGAAGGGGAAGGGGCCACCAATGTTGCGGAAGCGAAGAATACCATCACGAATATCATGTCCGGTATGGTAGCTAAGGAAGGCAGTTCCGTTCTTTGGCATCAGGCTCTACGCAGCAACGGAACTCTCCTTCATCGGTTGAGGGAGTTAGGAAACCAGACTGGAGTAGTTATCGCACGAAACAGAGTCAAGTCTCAGCTTCGACTGTACGGATCACGAAAGAACTGTGAGAGTTGCCAAATCGAGATAGCTGGCTTGTTGGCAGACGATCGATATGAGCACTTCAATATCGACCTGGGCACGAATGAATTTTCTTGGGTCCTCCAGGGGGGCTTGAATAGACTCCAAAACGAGATTGAAGCTGAGAAAGTTAGCTTCGACATTACTTCGACGCCCAAGCGTGTGGTCGTGATCGGTACGGTCAGGGACTACGAAACTATAATCGACATCTTGAATAATAGAGAAGTAACCCCGAAGAAGATGAACGTCTCGAACGAGAAAGATTGCGTCGTTTGCTGGAACGAGGCCGAGAATCCAATAGAGACCCAATGCGGTCATGCGTACTGTCTAGACTGCTTCGAAAACTTATGCATGTCAGCTACAACGAAGGAAATGGTTGTCCAAGTTTCCTGTGTTGGAGAGTCAGGAAGATGTGGTAAGACACTCGGCCTCCCGGAATTGCAGGAACACCTCTCCTCGGCCGCATTTGAGGAGCTGCTAGAGCAATCATTTGCTTCGTACATGCGGCTTCATCCACAGGTCTTCCAATACTGTCCTTCTGTCGACTGCGGATCTTTCTATCGAATCAATTCCACCCCCAAAATGCGAACGTGCCCTCAATGTCTAGTACCAGTGTGTACAGCATGCCATACCCAACATGGAACTATGACATGTGCGGATTACCAGGATGTGTCTACGGGGCGTTACGAGGCCCTGGAGAGAGTGAAGAGAGAGATTGGTATCAAGGACTGCCCTAAATGTAAGACTCCTTTGGAAAAGATTGATGGATGTAATCATATGACTTGTCGGTGCGGTGCGCATATTTGCTGGGTCTGTCTAAGAACCTTTGAAGGAGCACAGCTTTGTTACGATCATATGAATAAGGAACATGGTGGAATTGGGTTTAATTATGAGTGATGCTAAGTGCATCACTCTATATTTTACCAGCTTGTCAAAGCTTCTAAACATTAAGGATATTAGTAGCCGCGTACTATGGTCTATACGTAATTACAGGCGGTGTTAGCTTCTATGCCGCCTTAAGCTCGGGCGAGTCAAGACAGCCTCAAAAGGGGACTGAACTGCGCTGTCCAGATGCGACTATGTGGCGGGAATAACATACACCCGAACGTCAGTTGCATATTATGCAACTGCTGGATTTCAGCCATGATATTACAGGTAGTACAACCTAACTTCGCAGACGGTAATTATTGGACGTAGATGTGCGGCAGTGAAGGGAGAGGCTTGCTATTGCAATTGCCTAAATGAACATGTCTGCATCCTCGCCGAGAGGGACGAAATGTCTTAATTCAAATGCACGGAAAACTTGTCATGGTTCCTGAATGATGCTTGTTAAAGCAGAAAGAGGAGAAGGGAAGACACATGGGAAGAGTGTGGTGCGTCTTCCTGCTTTATAGGGATATCACGTCGGGTGTGAGGCTTAATGCCAGTCCACAGATAAAGGATCAACAGTCAAAAGAATGAATTGTAAGAGAGGAAGAGGGCGGAGCTCCCGACCACTCAGGCTAGCTATATATACATGGATATATAAGGTTCAGCAATAGCAGCCATGGCGATGCCCATATGGCAGTAGCTATGAATATCCACGGGAGTGGCTATTCATGTCCATCCATGTCCTAACATGGGTCTGGTCCTATGACAAAACTCTTATTGCTTGCCTCTTAGTCGTCACCGTCGATGTTAACAGACTTGGACACGATGAAGTTAGCTAACATCGCTTAGGCCATTCCTGCGGTCGTGGCTATAACTATAATTCTCTACTTTTGGCTCTGCACTAGATTTGCACAAACTCCTTCTCGAGATAAACTAACGTTATCTTCGCGACAAGAGCGAAAACTTTAAATTTCATTACGCTAACCCTCCGAGTGAGGGCGGAGGAAAGACTAAAACGGATCGAAATTATTAATGTTATTGTTTAGATATGAACTTGCCGGATATATGACCCTAGGGTTAGGGTTAGGGTTAGGGTTAGGGTTAGGGTTAGGGTTAGGGTTAGGGTTAGGGTTAGGGTTAGGGTTAGGGTTAGGGTTAGGGTTAGGGTTAGGGTTAGGGTTAGGGTTAGGGTTAGGGTTAGGGTTAGGGTTAGGGTTAGGGTTAGGGTTAGGGTTAGGGTTAGGGTTAGGGTTAGGGTTAGGGTTAGGGTTAGGTTAGG